GAGCAGGCCGGAAAAACTGCAGCAGCAAGAGCGTGGCACACGGTGCCACGTGACGGCTGACGATGACGATGATGGTGGTGGTGGTCGTGTCGTACAGAGGATGCGGACGACGACGCACGCACGCATAAATAAAGGGTGATGGACGGTGGTGATGTTGGCCGAATGTGGCCGCGATCGATGATGATGCTGAGACCAGGAGCAAATTGATGGCGTCGAGGTCGATCAGACGGAGCTGCTGGTAGTCGAGAGTTGAGTGTCTCTTCGACTGCAATTGCCGAGACCAGATGAGGTCGAGCCGAGGTCAATCGGCAAAAAAGGGGCGTGCCGCTCTGGTGAACCAGCAGGGCTGGACCAGACATTGCGCACTTCCACTCGGCTGCACGGCCTATGGAGAGCACGACGGCGGAAGCGTAGAAAAGCGCGCATATAGCGTAAAGCCGTGCCGTGGCTGCGCGCAATTGAAAGAGGACGGCGCGTGCGCACGGAGGCGATGTGTGGCCAGAAAAGCCCGCGGCTAGGAAGCCCACGGCGCTGGTTCCTTCAGGACTAGTCGACCGAGCCCATCCGTGTCGACAAAGCCTGAGTTGGACAGAAGATCTGTGCTGAACCTCTTCGCGCTCCAACATCCTCGCACGTGTTTAAGGAGCCGGAAGAGGATGCTTGCGACAGCCTGGGCTACATCCGGGTAGACGAAGAGCACAGTACTGTCTGCTCGCCGAGCGGCCGCCATCAGAGTATGGCGACGGCTGGCAATGTATTGGACCACTGCCGCGCGCCAGAGCACAACACGCACTCGCTGGGCGGAAGCAGGGAAAACGGCAGCAAGCCAGCTGGTGACGACACCCTTGGTTGTGAGGGGCAAGGGAGTGCCGACGATTGCCGGCTCCAGCGCAAAGAGAACAGGCATGGCGTCGTGCCAGACGGCCTGAACGGCTGGGCACTCAACATAGCCATGCTGCGTGCTGTCGTGCACGCCGCATCCATGCGCGCAGAGGTCAACCGCATGGATGGAGCGGCGCGCTATATCGGGATCGTTGTCAAGCGCAGAGAAAGCTTGACGTACATCGTCCGACCCAATGTTCTGGCGTTGCTGTACAAAGGGTCGGAAATCGTTGGCGGTGTTGTCGGCATCTGTAGGGGCGTAGAAGTCAGTAAGCGGCAGGCGAGCGATGCTGGTCGACGGTTGGAAAGCAACCTCGGGGAGAGAAACAGTGCGCTGGGACGAGAGCGGCGTCGCGGCAGAGCTCGATGCCGCCGGTTGCGAGGCGCTCGCTTGGCCGCGCACGTCAGCCTGCGCGTCCGCAGCCCGTTGTTGTGCACGTCGTGTGCGGCGGTTGGACGGTCCGGGATCCACGTCAAGGTAAGGCTCCTCAGCCTCGTCATCCGTCGCGTCCTCCTGAGAAGGCAGCATAGGAAGGACTCCTTCTTCGTCTTGCTCGTGACGCGTGACTTGGTAGTGCCGCTCTGCTCGCCGAGCGCGTTCACTGGTCGCAGCATTCCACGTTCGGCGAAGCAGGAAAAGGTGGACGTTCGAACGAACGTCTGCGGGCAACGGCACGGCCCCCATGTCCGACCAGACTTTCTGCCAGTTCACGTCCTCTTGCAGGCCAGGCCAATCCGGAGCGTATGGCTTACCAGAGGCCGCATCTGTAAGGATTCGCTCGCGGGCCCACTTGGCAGTCACGTCGCCCAGACGCCTGTCGCCGAGCAACATGACTTTCCACGGGAGCCGACAGTCCGTGGGCTCGATCTGAAAAGGGCGAATGTGTGGCAAAGTCGCCTGCGACGTGCTTGGCGCGCGGTCGCGTTCCGTGCGGATAGTGTTGTTTGCGTCGTTGTGGAGAAAATGCAGTGTCCGTTGGACCGCCGCCGGCAGTCGCTTCCACCAGCCATTCCAGACTCGATCGATCCTGCTGTAGGCTCTATGAATAGTCGCTCGCGCAACATCAATCTCGCTCGTACCATGTGGGTAGAAACGGTTACGACGTGACGGGTAATTGTACTGCACTGCAGACCGAAAGGGCGGGCTAAGCGGCGATGATGGAAGGAACGCTCCTCGCGCCTCCGTCCGTCCAACAGCGCCGCGCCACCAAACTATATCCGCAAACGTGTAGTTCAGGAACGCGAACATTTGGAATCGGCCTTCCTGGGGCATGCCGATGTGCTCCAGAGCTGTGACATGCTCTGCACGTATCTTGTCACGGGGCACTGCTGTCGCCACATCAACGGCCGAGGTCTCTCGCGGCGACACAAGGGCAGTAGCGTCAGGGTTCAGCGGCGACTCTGATCGTTTCCTGGTTGACGCGCCTGCCTGCGTCTTGGCCTTGCGCGACCTAGCCAGGCCGAGCGCAGGAGTGAACCAGGGCAGACCCATCAGCTCATGGCGAGACAGCAGGGACCAGTCCGCATGAGGATCGATCTGAATGCCTAGCGTTACGAGCATGCGGATGACGCGGCCCCAAAACGAGTGCCCGCCGATCGCCGCCCCGGTGACGCGACGGTATTCTCGACCTCGTCTAAGCAACAGCCCGGCGCCAGAGCTAGCATGTTTCTTTGAATCCGTTAGAAAGAAATGTAGCCCTTCACGAAGGAAGGTGCCAACTGTGTCCTGACGCAGGATATTCTGCGCAAAGAACGCAGCGGTCATGGCCAGGGCTGATATCTCCGGATCCATCAGGCCCATGTGACCAAAAATGGCTGCGTCGTCAGACGGATTCGAACCGTCGCGCCCGAAGGCATGAGCTTACTCAAGCACAGGCTTGATGCTAGTTTTTCAATATTAGCAGGCCCACGGGGTAACCACTGCCCTATAACGACTTGCCGGCGCTGGAATTCTTTTGACGATTTGATCAGCATCATTTTTGATTTTATAGAACACACTTCAGCTTGCCACTCCGCGTTGATGAATCCAATCGTGAATTTTGAATCACAACGTAGATCCAAAATCCGCGATTCACGATTGTTGTGATCATGGATGAATCACAAATCACGAATGAGGAGTCCAAGGCTGAGATGAGTGGTTGATGATGACGATCTCGGATGAGGATCGATGCGCAGCCATGAGTCAAGAGCATAGGTGATCAATCTCGTTCCCTCGCGACTGCGACTCGCAGCCCTCCGTGAAGCGAGAATGGAAGTCCACCTCCTAACGTTGAATCACTCCGATCAGGGGCCTGGATCAGCTCGAATGCCCCATGACCAGTAGCAAGCAGTACTGGGATTGTGAGGAGCGTGCTGTGCTGGTTCTCCGCAGCTAGATGCGCTGTTGTGTGGCTCTTCAGCTTCATCTGAAGGGATGAGACACTCCATCACAGCTGCCGTCGACCTTCCAGCAAGATCGGGAGCCAGATTAGAAAACGTATGACAGGCTTTGTCAGACGGGCGTGCAACTCAAACATTCGGGGTCCGTCGAGTGCGGACCGAGCGAGCCTGCACCACCTCCCGAATCCGATTGGGGCCTGCCATGCAAAGTGCATACCCGCCATTTCGAGCACACGCTTCGTGAGTGGAGCACGGCGACTAGACACGCGGTGCGGTTGACTCAGTCCACAAAACGTCTCAGAGCGTGTCGCTTGCTGGATAAGATCGAGAGCGTTGCGGCAACATTTCTCGAGCAGCTTGCGGAAGGGCTCGTGACGGACCATGACCCCCATCGGCCAGAGTGCAGGATCGAAGCCGTAGGGGAGCCGCAGGACGAGCAAGCAAACAACAGTGGCATGGACAGCGATGCCGAGAGCGAGAGCAGCATACATGAGGAAGGACCCCTCACAGTAGAGCCCATTCAGCCTGGCATGAATCAGGCAGTGCTGCGCCCGAGCTTGATGGCGTTTCCCCGTCAGAGGTCGCGATCCGTACTACGGATCGGTGAGGCTCATCGCCGGTCGACTTACTCTGATAGACGTGGCTGATGCCTCCAGCCTCTGAACAACAGCTCAAATCCTGACAATCCTGGCTTCGATGCAGGCTGCGATCACCGAGAGGGTCACAGTCTCCAGAAGGTAATCGACGTCGTGTGGAGACTTTGCTGATGATTCTAGCTCACCGACAAGCTCAACAACGATGTCCCATCTCAGAGCCGTGTACTACGAGAACCCCGCCCTTTTCGGCACGCAAGCAAGAGTGGATGAGCTAGTGCGCGAGCTATGTTCAGCATTGTCAGCACCGGCCTGGACTCTGGGTATCGCAGCAGCTTCGAAGGGGCTTTGGGCAGGCGACTTGTCCGTAGTCTATTCGGACTTCACCACCCTGCGCGGGCATACCTCAGCTGCCACCCGGCAAGGGGATCATTCTGACCAGCTTTCCGTGACAACCACAGAGCACCTCATCGGGAACGTCGAGAGCATCGTCAAGCTGTCAACCAGCGCAGGGTGGATCTGCGTTGTCGAGAAGGAGGCCGTCTTTCGATCCCTCCTTGCCGACAGCAGCTACTTGCGGGAATACGGTATCGAGGGCAGTGGCGCGGTAATCACAGTGAGTATTCGATCTAAAGTGTGGGGAGCCTCGCAATTCTCAGAAACCGTCTCCGCAGGGCAAAGGCTACCCGGACGTGGCCACCCGCAGCTTTCTGAAGCTGCTGAGCACATCGTTCCCATCGTAAGCAGCTTCGGATCTGATAGCGCTGTTGCACACAAGGCCCCGATGCTCATTGCCAGTAACGCGCCGTGTGCAGGATTCCAGTGATCTTGCTTGTTGACAGCGGTGCGCGAATGCTGGATCTCAATGCCGAGACTGCGCTGCTGTGGCTCATATCTCATCCACCATCACATGTTGAGCGCTTCAGATCCTTTCGGTCTCGATATTGCACGCATCTACAGATTCGGCTCCATCTCATCAGAGCCGGAAGACGTCGAGAGCCTCGCTTTGCCGCAGATCAGGCTTTTGCAAAGTTCGAGGCCTCTAGGCGAGTACGACAACTCGTGCGTGTACAACCTTTTGTGCAGTTTCGGGCGGGCCTTCTCCGGGTCAAGTGGGCTGACTTTGCCATGTCCGTATCCCAAATCAAGTCAAAGCTCAGTCTTGCAGCTCACTTGCCGCGATAGGAACAAAGCGCGCAGTCTGCTCCGACTCAGCGGGCATCGGCAGCTGCCAGAGGAATGGCGAGCGTCCTTATCACTCATGATCTGGACTGGTAAGAAGGCAGAGCTCTGAGGGCGCTGGAGGTATGCCTAAGTCAGCATGAAAGTAGCAAGGACGTCGACCCCGATGGCATCCATTTGCGAATCCGGAGTACGTAAGAAGGGTCTGTAGAGGCAACAATGACGATGCACTTGGGCATAGCAATAATACGGAGACCAACAGGAGCAGATCTGTGAAAAGTCCATCGAGGAGGCGATGCAAGCGGCGAAGGAATGCGCGGTGACGGTGAAAGAATGTGAACAGGGAGCGGGTCCAGCCTCGAATCGATTTTAGTAGCCGGAGTAACCGCCTCCGTACTGATAAGGCCTCTGCTGGTGCTGCTGCTGTTGCTGCATTTGGCCAAAGCTTGGCGTCTGATACCCACCCCCAGCATACGTGCCAGCAGTGTTTGGCGGACTAGCCCATCCCGTGGGAGACGCAGCGTGCTGCAGAGGGGTGAAGCCACCGTTCGCGTATCCTTCATGGCGGTAAGAGTACTGCGATGGAGCGGGCGAATACGCTCTGTAGTTGCCTTGCGCTCCACTGTGGCTCGAGTGGGCGGAGGAATATTGTGTGTGATGCGATTGGGCGCTCGGAGGCACATTGCCGTACCTCGCGCCTGCAGCCTGTTGAGATCCGAATGGAGCCTGTCTCATCTCGACGCTTCCATCCCTGTACGCGTTGTATCCACCACCCACGCCCAAACCAGCCGTGGAAGGCGGGCTGTGGTCATCCCAACGAATCCCACGACCGCCCGGGCTAGGTCCGGCGGCCGGTCCGTAGCCGTTGCCTTGTCGCTGCGCACCCATGGGAGCGTCATCCTCGGCGTCGTTGGACAGAGCCTTGTAGCGAGCAGCATTGGCCGCACCACCTCCAACGAGTCCGCCAGTAGCAGCTCCTAGCGCATTGCTAGCTTTGCTTCCGACGTTGCCAAGCGTGCTATCGTTGACCGAGCTCATGTTGGCCCTGTCGTTCTTGCGTCGCCTTCTGTTGCAAGCCACAATCCCTGCCCACAGAGCGATCAGTGCGACTGCTCCCGCAACCGCAGGGACGAGGATGTGCGTAATATTTTTGGTGGTGAACCAAGCGCCTGCGTTGTCGCTGCTGCTGCTGCCACCTTTGCCGGACCCGTCCCAGAGCTTGTCATTGTCCGAGCCAGCCGTAGCGGTCGAGCTGCCGGGCGAAGCAGGGTTAGCATCCTTCGAAGGATTCTTGAGCGTCCTAATCGCATCGCTAGACGACTTGAAAGCCGGCTTCCCATCGCTGCCCGAAGCGCCGGTGTATACCCAAGAGGTGGCGCCATTGTCTCCAGTCTCTCCGCATGTGATGGACATTGATTTGAGCTCGCTTTGATGTGTCGGTCGGGAAGCAGGGATCACAGGCATGAGTCAGCTCTGCAGGACGTTGCCATCGTCCAGCTGGAATGACCCTACTCACGCGCCATAATAGCCCTGCTCTTTGTACGTGCCGCTATCCCAATCGATGGGTCCGCCAGCCCACTGAATAACGCCATCGCCATTGGTCGAGTTTCCGCCAGCCCAAAGCGAGACCTGGATGAGACTTGGGGTAGAAGGGAAGCCCGAGAAGCTTGAAGCCTTTACAGATCTGACCGTCTTGCCATCAATTTTCCACTGCAACCCGTCCGCTGTCCAGCTAAGACCATACGTGTGCCAGTCGCTGACCGTGAAGCCGTCCGTGGGCGCTTTGGCGGCAGCGTCGGCCCCTTGGGGTCTCTGAGCTTGAACAAAAAAGTTGGTCTGCAAGTCGGTCGCGTCTGCCGTGGTCATCTCCCAGTCGATCTCGTCTTTGACATCGCTCATAGTGATGAAGGCGAACACCAATCCTGCTCGCGCATCGTGTCGAGCTGTAAGCTCGACATCGCCATACAAAAGGTATCGAGTGGTGGAGATTTTGGACTGGGAAGGAGCTGTCAGGGCCAGCATAACGCCCTCTGGACCGGACGTCAGCTTGCCATTATCAAGCGTGAATGGAGCCAGAGAGGGGTCGCCATTGTAGTCGAGGATGGGTCTGAAGGACTTTTCGTCGTTGAAGCTGTTGGGCGCGAACGTGATGTTCTGGTTCTGGCACACGGGCATGGCCAAGCACGAGGTTGGCGAGTTCGACAAGAGCGGCTGGCAGCCGAGGGCGCTGTGATCAGAGTGGGACAGCAGTGCATGGCAGTATGGTCAGCCTGAGCGAGAAGGCGACCAAACCGACTCGACGCTGTAGACGCTGATGCATGCGATGCTCACCACTGCTCGATGCCCGAGCCACACACTCCTTGGGCGGAACAGCAAGGCGCGTCGCTGGAGCATTTCGAATTAGCAGAGCATGCATCGCCTGCCGCTGCCTCAACTGTCGGGGTCAAGGTCAGGGCGAGGCAAGCAAGGAGCACCCATGCCGTTGCAGCTGCAGGCAAGCCAAGAGCAGAGCGCTTTGTTAACCTCATGTCGAAGGGCTGGCAGGCTGGCCAGTCGAGAAAGGACCGCACTGATCGGCGGAGGAGGCGAGGTGACAGGTGCGCCGAGAATGAAAGAAGGGAGGCAGGCAGGCAGGCAAGCGACGTGTGGCCGTCAATGCGAGACGTAGATTTGGCAGGCAGGGAAGATGAATGTGGTGGCAGTGACGGCTGCGAAGGTCGCGTTTGCGCAGTTGGCACGCTGGAAGAAGAGATGAGGACAAAATGCAAGGAGGAGAGACGTTTCGGTGTTGCACACCTGCTCTATACCCATACGTACTTGCCCGCTTCATATGTAGGAACCCGCGCGCGTGTTGATGCCTGCTTAATCCGCACCCAACAAGCAAGCAGCATGCGATGCAGCATCAGCAGCAGCAGCAGCAGCAGCAGCATCAGCAGCAGCAGCAGCAGCAGCATCATCATCATCATCATCATCAATCAGCACGACCCAGAGGGGCAAGCCACGCATGTCCGACCTGTCGGCACGGTGACATGCAGTGTGAGTCCCCATCGAATTGGACGACGTGCACGAGACGCAGCGTATGCCGCAGGCAGAGCATTCAAATTAGCTTTCGGCATGTCGACGACGTGAATTAAGCCGCCCGCTTCCTGCCTGCTGGCCTCGCATGCTGCTGGAGGAGGCGGGGCAAGAGGAGCGCAGGGCTGTGGGTTGATCCGGCAACAGCAGCAGCAGATCGCGACGAGAATTTATTGCGCATTGCTATGAATGCGAGTCACGAGTATAGACATCGGACATCCGACGACTTGCGCTTTCAAGCCCGATGAACTCGTTCAAGACGCGCGTGCGTACGCTCGCGTACGCGTTCGGCAAGCCGCCCGCGCGGGGTTTCCGCTGCTGATCGACCATCCATCAACCGCGGTGCAACCAATGGATGAGACCGTCTTGCCATCACTCGATCGTGCTCACTGCTCGCGATCGCCTGTCGAAGATGGAGTGGGGACGCGCCCACACGAGTGCCATGCAGTGAGACGCGTTCGTCTTCTGTCTACCTCATTCGAGGCGAGGCCATGAAGCGAATGGCATCGGCGAATTTGCAATGTAGGCGCTGGCTTCCAAATCGCGCGGCTCAATCCTGCACGGGCAGCATGCTGACAAAACAAGGTGGCCTCCACTCGTGATTTGCAACCGACGCCAATGCGAGTTAGAGTGGTAAATACTCGAGAAGGCGCGCGCGAGTAGCTCATTCACATCTGAGCCCATCGACGATCGCTCTTCCATCCCTTCCTCGACGGCGGGCGACAGCGCAGAGCCGATTCGAACAGGCAACTTTGCTTGCGACGACACTCCAGAGGCGAACTCAAGCGTGCGTGCACTCGTAATTGCATGCTCAGCATTTGTCATTTGGTCGACCAAACGAGGGGTATCGACAGTGCACCATCGCTGCTCGCGGGCCGCGGCCCCATGCGGACGAGCCGCACTCTTTTGCACTACGACTCGACGCTCCATACATAGGTCTGCGCTTGAAGTCTCCAAGTGCACCTCCTCACGAGCAACTCATCCATCGCCGCCCCGGGCAGGCCGACGCGAACTTCGGCACGTATGGTGTAGCTGCGATGCTCGTTCGCTTGGAATTGGAGCGTGCCCGTAACGTGCTGGCCTTTATTGACCGCCAGAGGTTCTGGCAAGAGGAAGCGGACCTGCTGCCAATGCGTAGCAGGCTCGAAAGGCGAAGTCGACATGAAGGTGGACGATGAAGATCCGAGCGGAATGCTTGGGTCGAAGGTGGAGCTTGGGTGTGCTATGCCTGCTGCCGCTAGAGCAGCATCGAGCGCAGACTGCTGCGGCCCTGTTGCCGTCGGCTCAAACACTGGCGCGTCTTGAGACAGCAAGCCGCCATACACAGAATTTGCTGAGCTCGGCACTGCTGATGACGGCACCCCAGAAGTGGCAAGACCGACGCGGTCTGCCTGCGTAGTGGCGTCGCTGCCCGAGCTGGAGATGCCCGTCATTGCTTCATCTTCGTCTGGCATTTGCGAAGCCTCTCTTGCTGCTTCTGCAGCAGGTATCAGTGGAGGTGGTGGTGGTGCGAGATGAGAAGCGTCGCTTAGCGGTACGGTTGGAGGCAAGAAGTGCAGGTCGAACCACCCAGCTAGACCATGCACCACCGAAGTCTGCTTGACATCCGCGAAATGGATCTGAATGTCAAAACGCTCAAGTTCCTCCTTCTTGACGCTGTTGAAATCGACAAAGTAGTCCGAGGATGGGCTGATCACGAACTTGGAAGGGAAACAGCCGACGACGGGGCTCTCGAAGGCTTGCCTCCAAGCTGCGTCTGCAAAAGGTGACAGGTCGACACCATAGAAGTTTTCGGTCTCCCACCATCGCGCCTTGTTCGCAGTGTCGTCCCAAAGATTCCGATCTTCCAGCAAGGCTAAGGAGATTGTTCCGCCAGAGGGCAGCATGGTGCCTCCCGGCTTGAGGAATCGATCGCGGGCATCTATGAAAGTCTCGCACATCCGCTCGTGCAGCAACAGCTTCGTGCGGCAAGACGTGTAGCTGTTCAGTATCCATGCATGACGCCTCTCGCTGTAACATTCACGCTTGACTTCGTGCTACTCACCACACCGAGACACTCTGAGACAATGGTGTCGACCTGCTTGGCGCCGCCCAGAGTCTCGGGCGTGACGTCCTCCACCTTGGCTTGGGTTCGAACGTATACCCATCACAGGCGAGATGTGCGTGTCAACGATAGACAGAACCGAGCGAAAAAGGCGTGATCGGGCCAGCCCTTGCAAGAGCTGGCCTCAAAGGTAGCCCCGCTTGCTGAACTCACAGTGCACTGCCTGTATCCTCCCATCAATCCAAGCATTCCGCTGTCTGCTATGCTGAGCCGCCTTGCCCTTCGCAGCGCTCGTGCTCGTGCTTGAAGGTAGCTGACTCGCATCGACGAGGTTCTGAAGATGCTCCACCATCCCGCTCGCTTCTATCGCAAACACCCTCCTTGCGCCCGCTTGCGCAGCAAACAAGCTCAAAATTCCGTTCCCAGCGCCCACATCAATCACCAACTTGTCTGCAGATGATGCGAAGAAGTAAGCTCGAAGAAATTGAGTGGGGATGCATGCCGGTCGACTGACCCTTGAAGCAGTCCTGAGCATTGGCCAGGATTGCCCTATGATAGATGCTCGTCCTCACAGAGTCCTGCAGCATCTGCGCCTGATGCGACAAGAGCGCATAGTACGTAAAGTACGCATCGTCCTTGGCCTCGTATGGTCCAAGCTCTGAAGGTTTGGCGCTGACATTGGCCGCGGATGTCTTCAAGGCTGCTTGTTGCCGTTGGGTGGTGTCGCCAGCGCTCTCGTGAGGCTGGGTAGTTGCCATGGCGGCACACCCACGCAAGCATGCACCAGAGTTTGTCAAGATCTCGGAACCAGGTGCAATGCCTATGACGGAGAGGAGTTCAGACTTCAGCTCTAGTGGATGGATTTGCAAGCCGATGTGGTCTAAGGCAAGCCGTGATTCTTGAAGCAGAAGGTCTGATTCGAGATTCTTGATTCAGATTCTTGATTGCGAAGCGTGAGTATACTTCGAGTTCTCGTGACAGCTCAGCACGTTTTAGATTTCCAGCCAGAACAAAGATCACGAGACCTGCTTTGTGCATGCATATCTATCGAGAATTTGAATGGTCAACAGCAAAAGGTAGGTACATGTATCTTGTATGCAAGATGCTGTAGGCATTGCTTATACATGAATTGAAATTGCGGCGAGGTTTTTATGTATCAAAAGTCAACTTTTTGAGTTTTGAGTCTTTGAGTCATAGTGTGGGCGCGTGTCCGTTTTCTAAGACTTCGCCGTCTGCGCGTGCCACTTTTCCTGATGTTCAAGATTATCGTGCTATCGTCTTGAGTTGACCCTATCGCGCCCTGCATGGAGCATCAAGGATCAAGTTCGTGCGTCTAACAGAGTTTACCGATTCTTGATTGAAAGAGTCACGGTATCTTGATTTTCGTTGGTGTAATCTTTCAGGTAACTCCGGCAGCACACGCTTTGCCATTGACCAGTGACAGAAGAATGAGATGTGCTCACATGTTGTGCTCTAACACTAGTCTCGTGCGCGAAATTCAGATGTAAGAAAGTGGTACTTGGCATGGTAGGCAAATGCCGAGCTTAACGTTGCTCAATCGGATGCAGCATCGGACACAAGCCGACCTCTGGTCAGGCATGTACAGTACAAGCTGCAAGTAGGCATTGCATCATCTTCCGGTAAGCGCTTTCTGAGTGTGCGAGGCTGGTCACTATCAACATCGAAGTCCCTTAGCAGAAAAAGACACCGTAAAGGGACTTGCCACATGCCCGCTTGCGAAAAAAAAAGAGTGATGACATGCAATGCATCGAGACGTGTGCCAGACCTACAAATCCGCCTCAGCCAGGGCTCTGCCGACCACCTCAAAGCTGGCGATCATGATGCCACAGGCGGGCGCAACCTTGGCGATGCGGGGAGTGAGACCCTTCCACAGCCCAGACGTGCCTTCTTGTGCTACAATATTGCGAATGGCCGCCAAAGTGCCTTGCCGACTCGAAGAGGCTCTCGTCGATGCACGTCCTGCGGGACCGAGGGTATTGCTCAAGCGCTGCGATTGCGAAGCCTCGCCTTCCGACCGAGACTCCGAAGCTTGTAACCTGGTCTTGAGCAGGTCGAAAGGATGCGTCACCACAGCGGCCGCGGTTCCGGAAGTCGCCCCGGCCACAAAAGCGACCACAAATTCGTGACTATTGTCCTTCGCATTGCCTTCTCCCAATCCGCCCCCAGTCAGAACGCGCTTCAGACCTTCGTAGCCCATGAAATAGATGGCTGAGAACGGCACGTCGCGCCAGAGCGTTGCCGTAAGTCCGCGCCAAAGTACCAACGGTCCCTCCGATGTCACTTCGCCTCGCAAGGAGCGCACGAGAGCCGAAAGGTTGGAAGTCTTGCTCGTCGTCGTGGCTTGTAGCCGCGTGCGCACGAGTTCGAGAGGCGTTACTAGAGTTGCTGAGATGCTGCGCGCAAGCGCACCTGCGATCAGTGAAGAACCGAGGGAATGTAGAGTGACAGCCGCCAAAGGGTTTGCGTTCAAATCTGCAGCAGCGACGTTTCGAGATTCCAAAGACAGAAACTTGTCGCGAAGGGCATCGTAGCAAGTCATGTACGTCACTTGAGACGGGACCGTCATGAGTCTGTAAGTGAAATGATAGAATAAGGTGAGCGGCATTTCCAGAATTCTCTGATGTCAGTGTGCCAGTACTCACAGCGTGGGACTTAGACCTCTCCATAAACCTCTTGCGCCCTCTAATCTCCATATCTTTATCATTCCGTCCGCAAGCCCAGTGAGCCTCCTATCGCCGGCACTATGTTCCAGCTGCTTGACCGCTTCAACGCGGTCCGGAAAAGCACATATAGTTGCTGAGTTGCGAGCATGCTGCGCGATCGCTGCGTTGCTACTGGCACCACGAGCGTAGCGGGCCGTTTGGGCTGTGCTCCGTACAGACCGGCTATGGTTGTGTACCAGATCGGTGCCCGTGCTGGGATGTTTGGAAGGTCGCATAGTGACTGAGCTGCTTCCTGCACCGCCCCTTGAAGGTCCGACCACTACTCGTGGGTCGTGGACGCAGGTCAGAGCTGCGTCGCCATTCGAGGTGAAGAATGTGGCGTGGCAACAGGTGGCAGGATTGGAGGGAGCGGACCGCAATGCGCTGATACCGGGGCCAGTGGCTGGACGTGAGCTCGGCCCAGGCAAGGGTGAGGCCGGTGGGCCTATAGGTGAAAGTCTGTTGGATGGCACGAATAGCGGCTCCACAGCCGCCTGCGTCTGCAGGCGCGTCTTGACCACATCGAAAGGGGTCACTGCAAAGGGAGCGGCCTGCTTGAGCGAATGCCCGTTCCGAAGATGCCCAATGAACCAGCGTACTCACTTGTCAAGCTGGTGAGCACAGCGCCTGAGCAAGCGGCAACAGCTTTCTGACCACGAGTGACCGGCTTCCTTGCATTCGACTCTATGCTCCTCTGCAAGCCCATGGCGCTGCTTTCAGCCGCATGTTGGCCATTCGCCGTCTCGTTTAGCACGTGCGCAGAAGTGATTGTAGTGGCCATGAGGGCAGCCAGTTGAGTTTGAAAGACCAACGAGATGCAACGTCAGACTGCAGGGGACGGAGAACCAGTCTGAGAAAGGGCTGGCCTTGTGTCGCTGTGGGTGGCGATGCCAGCTTGGTTCCACGCCTGAGCTTCGAGGTCGAACTGACAGAGGTAGCGACAGGGTGGTGTACGAGTGAGAAGTGGAAAAGAGAAGATGGCGCAGGAGTGTGATGTAGTCAACATTCAAGTTGCACCTCGTTCTCACTTCGAATCGATCAGTCAGCTAGCATGTGTGCGTCCTTTGCAGTCATCAGTAGTAACATCACGTTGCATATGATCGTGAATATGCCGAGCGGTGCACGCCTGCTGACGTGAAGAAAGTTTGCCATCAGCAGAAGCATACTGTACGTGCTGCAGCGTAGCTGCGACGCACACTCGCACCACTGCGCGCTGAGTAGGTATGACAAGCAGGTTGCCGCGCATGTTGACACACTCCTCCTGTGCTTGCTGCAGCACAGTAGTAGTCACGAGTATCCGCGCGCCCAACGAAGCTGGGAGCGACCGCGCTTATCCGATTTGGATTCACCATTGGATCCAGCAGCATCAGCATCAGTCGTGAGTCACGAGTCACTCAGTGATATATACGGTACGGATACGGTGCTGTATAGCGTGTCAGTGATGGCTTAGCGAGGGCTGCAAACATGGACAGCATATAACCACGACCCACGACTCACGACCTATACGATTCACGACTTTTGACTTTGTCCCGACGTCCCGTTGACTCAAGCAGGCCGCTCACGGGCGATCAAACGTCGCACCACCAACCACCACGGTGTCGCTGACCCTGCATCAGCCCTAAAAAGGATATATATATACGTGCAGCTAATCGTCAGCACCTGCGCTTGCAGAGCGGCAGCAGCGAGCAGCAGGGTGCAGCAAGCATACGGAGAGAGCACCCGCAGGCCCCTTCAGATCCAGAGTCGTGACTCGTGGGTGAGTGTACCTACAGTGTGAGTCTTGAGTATATGCAGTCACAGTCGTGCTTCCAACGCACGCGCTCGCGTAGGCCATGTGGAGGTGCTGTAAGGTGATTCTGAAGCGGTGCAAGTGCAATCGTGAAAGGAGCTCATCATCACCCTGCCGCCTGCGTTCGACACTTGGATCCTCGTTCAAATGACGCTGAACGAGCCAGTCGGTCGGCCGGCGTGCGTGCGTGCGTGCGTGCTTGCTATGTGGCCTAGAGGGCCTACCTGATCGCTCACACCGCCCCCTAACAAACACCTGATGTCGGCCGGAATCGTGAATGTGGCGCTTGACTCTTCCCGATGATCTTCCACCACTAAGCTCCGCCCATCATACCCGACCACACCGCCACCGTGAAGCCTCTTTGCCCCTCAACCAACATGGAGGCACACAGCACTTCCAATGGCCCAGCCTACGATGCCGTGCAAAGCACTTCCACTGCCGCACCACAGACGGTCGATGCAGCCACCAAGGAGGCGCTCAAGTCGCAGCATCCCGACAAGTCCAGTTTGAGACCCAAGAGCTTGCTTACAAGGCTGGTGACGTACGCCATGCAATTACCGAACCTCACCCCACTCTGGGCACTTCACATCACCAGCCCTATGGGTCCCATGCCTCACATCCTTGATCTCCCCTCGAGAGACGCAGGTCGCACGATTCCCATCTACGTCTTCATACCTCCCGCTGCGCACCGACGCAAGGCGAACAGTGAGGAGGAGGCATTCACGGGCACCACTCGTCCTTGCCTCGTAGACTTTCATGGCGGCAGCTTCGTCATGGGCGGGCCGCTCGAGCAAGCCCCTTGGTGCGCATCTCTCGCTCGATCTGGTGTCATCGCCATATCCGTCCACTACCGCATGGGTCCCGTTTGGGACTTTCCCGCCGCTTTATTGGACGCCGAGGATGTGGTCAAGGCCGTGTTGGATGCCAAAGATGATGCTGAAGGAGGCAAGACGGAGGCGGGTCGATACCTCAGACGTGAAATTGCGCGACGCTCGGATGACCGCATCACAGGCATCGAGGAGCAGCACGTGGGTCTGAGCGGATTCAGCAGTGGCGGAAACATCGCTCTCAACATGCTGCTGTCCATTCCTGCACATCTGAATGGTCAAAATGGCATGCCATCGGTCTCGCACACTGGCGATTGGCCCTCACCATTCATCAACGCATCTGAAACCCTTCGACAAATTCCAGCCTTGCTCTTCTTTCCATCTTTGGACGCTAGACAGTCTCCCTTTGAGAGGAGCAGGCCACAGGGCTTGCCACCACCAGGTCAAGTAGGACTGTTTCTGGAGAAAGCTACAGATCAGGCGTACTTGCCGATGGAGCTGCGGGCCCATCTACGCGCCAGTCCTGGTCTGGCCCCTCTGGGAATGCCAGGAGGGCCGCGAGAAGAGATAGAGGTCCGCAAGCAGGCTGCCAGAGAAGCGGGACTCATGCCTGAAGTCACCACTCCTGTCGACGAGACTTTGCCTACACGAAAAGGTGCGACTCACGACGCCGAGTCTCAACAGCTTGACTGCATGCTCCCAAACACACGCGCCGTTCTCATTCTCCCAGAATTGGATAATCTGTCAGAGCAGTCCGAAATTTGGGTCAAAGCATTGCAGGCTGCAGACAAGGCGGAGATCTCGTCCGACACGGATGGCAGCCTCATCTCGCAACCTCTGCAGGCTTCATCTGCCAAGGTCCGAGTGCACCGCATCAAGGGCATGACGCACGGATTCGTCACCTTCCCAGACGCTTTCTTGGATCAAAAGACCAGGGAGCGCAAAGCCAAGGTCAACGAGCAAGCGCGGCAGTTTGTAGTCGACATGTGGCGTCAATAGATGCATTTGGCACTGTGTTGCTCGAATGCAGCACAAGAATCCATGCAGCATCAGGTGCGTGGCGAGAGGAGTTTTGAATCGGCGCCCGTATGTGTGGCAGGCAAATTATATGTGGGCCCAGCAAGCCGCTTCGTCCAAGGTCCTTTGCGAGATCACGCTTGCGGTCGTGAGGGTAGCCGACCGTGTCGCCTTTCGCGCATGGGATTTCCTCTTTCACCAGACGAATGGAAACACTCTCCATCGCTTGGCGAGGTAATTGTCGTACTCTTGACCAAAATGCTTGCGCATCATGCTCTCCTCATCGGCAATCCTTGTTGGAACGACCCACAGCCCTGTCCTTAGCGTCTGAATAGCTTCGAGACAGAGCACAGCGCGCGCAATAGCGCGAGGATTGAGACTGATGCTCTTGACGCCTCCAACAACGTCCACCATCCAAGAAGGCAAAGCATAAGTGGCTGACTCGAAGAGCGGCTTATCGTCCAGCAGATAGACGAGAACGTTGAGAGGTCCCAGCAAGACGGTCGTCATGCCTATGTAAGCAAAGAAGAGACCGAAATAAGAAGGATGAGCGAGGTACTTGTAGGGTCCTGTCTTGACCAGATTCTGCTCGTCTTTGACCTGCAGACGGAAGGTGAAGAATTCCTTCAATGCCCTGTAGCACCAATAGCGGATAGCGCCGGCGAAGATGGTGCTGATGTAGAGTGGGGTGACGGCTGTCAAGTATGCGCTTGAAGGACGCGCATGCACCACATCGATCGGTTGCACATTGCGAGAATCAAAGAAGAGCTTCAACAAGAAGAGGCCTTGAGCGCCACCGGATATGGCGGAGCCTTTCATGTACAGGAAATATTCTACCTTGCGGATGATCGACTGGGAATCCTTCGGCTTGAGGATGCGGTCTTCCTGCTGCTCCTCGCCTGACGCCCAGCTTGCCGCTGGCTTCTCGATGGAGCCGCTGGGATCGTTGTTGGACACATAGATCGCGATGCCCGCTAGGGACGCCGTAAAGGCTTGCAAAGCGAGTGAGGTCGACATGATGAGAAGAGCGCTGTCTGGGTTCGGCAGAACACTCTTAGATCTTCGTGCTGGGGTGAAGGTAGAGGACTGAGCTGCGCCTAATGACTCGCAGCTCTCTGAGCCCCGTCAGACGGTGGACTCTGCGATGGTGCACGCACGGGCATCAGCGCGATTCGGACATTGGCACAAGGCAGGTGACAATAATGTTGCCGCTGGATAAGATTGCTTGTCAGACCCATGAGTAGCCGTACCGGCATGAGTGCATGTAGACCCCCACGGGTCCGTCCGCTCTCCTCCATTCTAATCGCGCGCATGCGCCTACTCCGGTTCGCATTGCAGGACAGCATCGGCTCGGACTCCTCTCCCTTGCTACAGTAGCAATGCCCTCCACTTTCCTCGCGTAAGCAGGGCATCAACAGAGCTCTCTTGGACCGAGGTGTTGAATCTGAAGTATATAAACTTTGACAGGCGATGCTCCCAGGGTTGGCGCTAGCGTGCGCGAAGTGAAAGCATCGTGAGCGTGATTGCAGTTAGTCTTGAGTTGAAGGACCGCGACCGTGACTGTTGCTCCCGCTAAGTTCATTTAGTGATTGTTTGCGGCAGCTTCGGCCCGATCGGATGAATCGGCCATGCAGGCTCGACAACACAGCAGCACGCGGGCCTGCCGATGCTGAGACCGTGTCATGCATGCAGCAGCAGGCATGCATGGCGCGGGTGCCAGACGGCGCTCCGCGGATTGTCGATACCAGGCAATCACGTGCCGCAATGCCTTGCAAGCCCTTCTTTTGCCTCACAGCGGTGAAATCACGATCGAAGAACGCGTCAATTGCGAACATTCAAAGATTGGACATCAGAAGCTAATTCAAATCGCGAGTGTAAGCAAGAACCTCTTGCACAACTTTCGATCACGCTTCTCGCCCAAATGTTCAAGTTGACTGCTCATCCAACCTCCTGGCCAGCATCGCCGTTGTCGGCCTTGATGCGCATCATTCCTTTTCTTAGCTGCGGTCGATTGTAAGAGGCCGCAGTGTAGTCAAACGTGTTCCACGACTGCCTGCCGAGGACAACGATGAGCGCCGCTCAGCGCGCATACATAGCCAAGTCCGCTCCTCACCTCTTGGACGAAGTCACGCCCGAAACCACCTCGGGACGCCCGTCTTCCGCCGCACCTCAATCAGGCAGCGCTTCTCCTGCTGCGTCAGTCTCCCCAGGGAGCTCTAGCAGAACAAGTCCGGCTTCAGATGCAGACGCGGATGGCCTGCCTGCCGAGAGCCTCGCGGCTGACCATTTCCCTCACGAAAGGCGCGCTTCAGGAACACCGGGAGGCACACCGAGCGGCTTGAGCGGAAACTCGGCCGCAAACGTCTCTAGCTCTCACACTGTGCCGCCTGGATTTAGAGGACCTGTGCCCAAGGATGGAGATGCCGAAGAGATCATCCCGCATCCTCCGCTCCTGCCCACCATCGGCAGCGCCACGCTTTTCAGCCCGACCAATACACCTCTGAACCGCAACGGCTGGCGCTACACACCCGCCGGGCCAGCTTCCTCTCTGCTGCCCCAGACCGTCTACCGCACTCTCGAACAAGAGCCTGCAGGCGTGCATTGGAGCTGGGCAGATCGTAGTGCCTTCACCAAGATGAGCGCCGACGCCGATGTGGTTTCTGCCGATAAGGGATTCAGATCTGCAAGGGCCAACGTTCCGGTCAGACATGGAGCTTGGTACGTTGAGGTCCACATCCTAGAACCGGAGGTGCTTGTCCAAGGTGTGGGCGCCTTGGGCGCTCTTCCCGCTCCCGCGCGTGATGGACCTCACGTTCGCCTTGGTTGGGCTAGGCGCGAGGCACCATTGAATGCCCCAGCAGGGTTCGACGGCTACTCGTACGGCTACAGGTCCGCAACGGGCGAGAGAGTTTGGCTTTCTCGGCCTGGCGCCTACGGCAAGCCTTTCGGTCCTGGCGATGTGATTGGCCTCTGGATTCGTCTGCCTATGCCGGATCAGCACAAGGAAGATCGACCTTCTCACGAGAAGCTGGGGGTCGAGACGGTCATCCGTCGGAAGCGGATTCCAATCCGGTACCGAGGTCAAGTGTACTTTGAACAGCTTGAGTACGCTCCAACAAAGGAGATGGAGGCGCTTGCAGAGCAGAGCAAGAAGGGGCTGCATCGATGGAACGCCCCCTCCTCCACGGACGCACAAAGTGGAGCAGCTGAAATTGAGACCGCTGCACTTTCCGGCCATTCGACCGCGAAAGCATCGCAGCCATCGTCAAGTCAGTCCGCAGCCGGCGGAGGTGGGAAGAAGCGCAGGAATTTGGCGCCTCGTCCAGAGGTCTCTGATGAGCCAAAAGGTAGACCCTTGTCAGACTTAGGACCTCATTCTCGCATCGGTTTCGTGCTCAATGGAGAACCACAAGGAATAGCTTTTGATCATCTCTTCGACTTTCGACCGCTAAAGCGCCCTACGACGACGGCCCAAGAGGCAGCAGCAAATGGGAAAAAGAAGACGAGTGGCGCGGCATCAGGGGCGACAAAGCTCGGGCTAGCGGATGCAGAGGAGGGTCAAGCCATCATCACGAGCAGTAGCAGCGTAGCTAGCATCATGAAGAGCCGGGAAAATCACGCAGATGATGGCAGTTTGGGGTACTTTCCCTTTGTCTCGTGCTATGGTGGCGCAAGAGCGAAGATCGTTGCAGATCCTGATCATTGGGCATTTCCGCCCTCAGTCGACCTTGAGGCGCAATTGGAAATCGCGGGGCTCGGTCCCTTCGGATCAAGGGTCGCAAGCGTCGATCCCGGCGCAAAAGGCCCTAGTTCTGGCGGGCCTTCTTCTGGATCTTTGCCCTCTTGGCAGGGTCTTTCTGCTCGCTACGGCGAGTACATGGCCGAGCAGTGGGTGCTCGATCAATCTGATGAGGTGCGCGCAGCTTCAAAAGCCGATGGCGCCAAAGAGGCAGCGCTTCGAGCGGAGCTGGAAGAGGACGCCAGGGAGAAAGCGGCGAGGGCGCGCAAGAACAAGCGCAAGTTCCCAGGCGTGGCGGGGAGGGATAGGCACAAGAAGAAGAATCAGTACACTTCTGGCAATCAAGGAAGGTCTGGCAGCGCGCTCAGAAGAGCCTCATCGAGTCGCTTTGACACTGCGAGCCCTTCCACTACCCCTGCGCCGCTTACGGCAGGACACGATCAGACCCCGCCGCTGGATCAGTACAACGAGTCACAAACGCCGGTCGACGGCGAAGCAGAGGATGCTGCTAGCGGGAGCGAAAGCGTTGGTGGCCCGTACATACATGAGGGCGGGCCAGGCAATGAATAATGATACGTAGAATTTGCAATTTGTACCATACACTCTCGACAATTTCAGCCGTTTCCAAGTCTTGCTCATCTGCGCGTCTTGATTGCTCTAGTACACGCACCGCCACCTCTTCCCCCCCTCCTGTGTAAGCCTGGCGCCTCTTTGTGGGCTAGAGTCAAAGCAACAGCGCAGAAGTGCGCCGCAGCTCTCAGCCCTTCATTGGTGCAAGAGCGTTGGACGGAAGTTAGGGTCCAGTATTTGCCTCGCTTCGACGATATCGTGCGCCAGCTTGCGCAAGTTTGCCACTGCGACGACGACATCGACTGAGTAATCAACGTCGAAGGCTTGCTGAATTCCGGAAGCGATTCGCTTGGCTTGTGCACGGTCCCAAATAGTGAAATCGTCGGGGTCTTCATCCGAAGTGCGACCTTCAGGCATGGATTCGGCTTGAGGCCGGCCTGTTTGCGATCGAGGGGCGTAAGAGTTATTATTGTCCAAAGCGGCCAACACAATCTTTCCCAACACAGCGTATGTCTTGTCGAAAGACGTGGGGTCGGCAGGTTTGTCGACTGTGTACAAGGCAGCGCAATGTCAGCGATTAGGAGGTCGAACAAGCAGGCAAGCAACGAGCACCCACCATAAATCTCTAGGCGACTGCTTCGAGCAAGAACATTGTGCTTCGCATCGTGGTGATAGCGAATTTCGTAAATACCCTCCTGCCATGGCAACTTGGCACCCTTGAAAATTGTGGTACCCGATTGAAGTGCTGGCGTACCCAGGCTCTTCTCCACCTCGCCGCTTGGAGCAGCGCTTGGTGTGAGCGGCAAAGCACCATTGTGCACGTCGCCGTCCCATTCATCTTCTGCAACGCCGACCCACTTCCCGTGGCTGGAGATGCGTGTGACAAGAGCTTGCTCGCCATCTGCTCCTCGAGGGCCGCCGAGGCGCGAGACCTGATAGATGCCGATCCAGTCGCGACGAGAATGAGTGCTTGGTGCACGCCACTTGACGGAGATCGGTTCGCCAAGATAGAAGCGCCTGTTCCCCGCGGCAGAGGGTTGGACCTCCAAATTGTACAAAGATGTGTCGATGGTGGAAATGTCCTCACCTGTGCGCACGATCAGCAGCCTGTCTCTGCCTTGTTGTAGTAAGGTCCTCGTGTCCTTCACCATTCCATCAAAGCGAGCGCCAAAGTCTTCCAGACGGTTGCTAGCATCCTTTTGCACTCGCTCCAGCTCGGCTCGCATCTCGCGGACGCGCGGATGATCCTGCGCTGCCCGGAAGAGCCCAGCATTGCGCGTCGCCGCACCCTTCAGCTGTTTTGTGACACCCCCTTCGCGGCTCAATGCAGCTTCTCCATACAGCTTGCGCATGTGGGGATTTTCCACTAAGCTCAAGAACGCCCAATGCGCAGCATGGCTAAGAATGGCTATTGATAAGGCCAGCTTTGATCCGGAGATGAGGCTCAGGCCAAAGAATGCAGCCTGACCGACGCTGCGCTCGGGAGAATTGAGGAAGCGGAAGATGCCTACCGAGTGCAGTTGATGGGGGAACTCGTCGATGAAGAAATCACCGTACAGCCAGCCGAATGGACCTAGAACGTTGTAGCTGTCGTGGGCAGCCCACACGTGTAGCGCGATGAGGAGTACGCCGAGGACGTGGCGTAGCAAATCTGTGCCAACCTGCCAGTCAGAGCCGAGCGGCACATAGCATTTCCAGCAGAGGATGCCATACGAGATGTAGGTCATGACCAGACTAGTGTTGTAGATAATCTGTGGCGCGTTGAATGAGGTTAGCGGCGGTTCGCCTACAGGCTCGCCCTGGTCGAGCGGCACCCACCTTCCAAGAATCAAACGTCTCGTATACTGCATCTGCGCTACTATTGAATGAGTAATGCTTCAGAAAATGGCGAACCATCCACTTCGACTGGCTCTGCTTGCTAAGAATAAGACCAAGTCCCCCAGAGTGGAAGGCACGCCAAGCCAGTGCATTCAAGTAAGCGAGGACAAGCGTCGTGGTAGAGCCGAGTCTGCTCGTCGGCAGCAGGAATGGCACGAGTGCGTAGAAAGATGCTACGATGAGCTGAAAGTCTGATCCTCTCAAAGGATCCAAGTTCTTGAACACCACCACATCGCGCTTGAAAATCTTATGATGAAGGTCGTGAAGATTCGTAGCGCGGGTGCGAGACTCTCTCTCAGCCTGGAACCGCATGCGTTGGGCTTCCTCGGGGCTCAGATCGGTGGAATGGCCGAGATCGTCGTCATCTGTCGACTGAAGGTCGCCAGAATGTCCAGTCAAAGGTGACATCGCAAGTCGTGGCGAGGGCAACGCGTCCGAGTCTGCCCGAGGGCGCTTCGCCTCTCCGCGGCCTTTCGCAGCATCTGCAGAGGCAGCATTATAGGGTGCAGTGCGTAGGGGCACCCGAGCAGCAAGCGGCTGAGCGGCGGTGGTTGAGCAGATCTGCAATCAGCTTCTTGCCTGAGGGACAATTACACGTGAATGTACGCACCTTCTTCTCCCCGTACACGCGATCGATATGTGGCGTTTCGAACCACATCAAGAACGCAAATTGACTGGCGTGTGCTGCCAGGGAGACGAACAGTACTGCATACGAGCCCGAGACTAGTGACAGGCCGTAGTAGCCGGCGTAGCCAATCGAATACATCACGTGCGGTGCCTAGGGTACGAGGAGGTAAGGTGCTTAGCGCGACGGGGTGAATGGACTCAAAATTGGTGATCGCACTCACGAGCTCGTACACTCCATCAAATACCAAGGACTGGAGACAGAGGAAGAAACAATCTCCCCAGTACCTGCGTTGGACGCAGCGAAACGATGCAGGCATCAGAATGGCACAGACTCGTTACTCTGCAAGACGCTTTGCTCACCACGCGTAGTCCTTTACGACTCGATGAGCATCCATCTTGACCCACAGATTGAAAAAGATGAGTGTCCAGCCCGCTGCCCAACGAAGAACGTGCATCATTGCGCTATGACCCTCTGGAAGGCGGGTGCAAGAGAACGCGAAGAGGCTGTATGCTGTGAACTATTTGCGGCGGGCGACGACATGTTCAGCAAAATTTTGTGGAATCACTGCTTTGCTTGTATACGAGACACTCACATCGTTGAGCAAGATGACGTCTACGATGGACCTAAAAAGCAGCCAGATGTTGTATTCGATGGGCACTTTCTGTGGCACAAATTCGAAGTCAGCCTCGAGTTGAGTTCGGCAACGTCACTTGATGCGTGAACCAAGCTTCCTCCACTCACTTCATACTTGTATCCTTTGCCCATCTTTGCTTTCAGATGCTTCCTGACAGCCTCTTCCATCTTCGGGCTGCTCTTCTTATCCATCCAACCTTCGCGCTTTACTATCTTCACGATCCAATTGTGCTCGCTCTGTTGCTTCAGCACCCAGCCGAGACCAGCGTTGTATGCTGCTCTCCAGAACGCAAAATAGCACGCGAAGACGATGCGAGCGGAGCTGCGCGACAGCGCAAAGAACAGCAGCACCTGAGCTGACAAGCTGACAATCGTCAAGATATCGAGTGGTGTCTTTGGCGCGTACGGCGAGAAGATGGAGGTGAGCATATCCGGAGTCTCGGGCACTTCGAAGACTGTGGCGAAGAAGCGGAAAAGGGAACTGAAGGGGTCAGTGATCTTGCCGCGCTGCTTCAAGCAGGGTGAGCATCGTGCGCACCGGTGCCATCAGAGGTGCGACCCAGCACCTTGTGTCCCTTCTGCTCTGCATCTTGCGGCACAGAAGAGGAAGTCTTGTCGCTTGAGCTTGAAGCATTGGCTCTCTGTCGAAGACCTTCCGGTTTGTCGGCAACACCTGTAGCGCTCATGCTGACAGTTGCCTGGGCGGTGAAAAATGAGCTGGAAGTCCGACACGCGACCTCGTTTTAGCAGCTTCAGCTGTACAGCTGCACCCTGGCCCTGTTTCCCAGCAGAAAGTTGCGAGGAGAGCGAATGGTGGGCTGCTGCAAGAGGAGCAGATTAGAAGCTCGGCAAGCGGCTCTCGCGTATTCGTCGAACCTTCGCGCTTGTCGAGTCATACAAGCTCTGTGACGATTGGTGTGTTGAATTCGCAATGGCAAAATGATTGATGGCTGTGCGGGTGTGAATGGGTCGAAGAGTTGGTGGTGCGGTTTGAATGGCGCAAGCAGCCCGTTTCGCAGTCGACAGATCGATCGTTCGACACTCACGACTCTCACTCGACTCAGAAGGCTTGAGTGCTTGCTACCTGGGACCCTCCACTGTGACTCTCTCCTCTCACGCATTCCGATCCTCTCACGTTCCCATCCAGCTGCAATGACCCGGAAATTCATGGAAGACGCGCCAAGAATTGGGCCGTACGAGCCCGCGCGGCGATCAACCGCGCTCGCTCTCGCACGGTTCACCGCCGCAGGCGCGCAGCACTCGTGACTGGCGCATCGTGAATGAGCAAGGTTCACGAATGCTCTCGACAATCAGAATGGTCCAGCCAGCATACGTGACTCCGACCGCGCTCGTTTTCCCCTTCACTATGACTGAAGTTGCGACTGGCTCTGATTCTGTTGCGAATGAGCAGACAACCATCAAGAGTAGTCCTGAGAGTTCGGCGATACCCTGATTCAATCCCTTCAGTCACATTCAAGAGTCGGATCTGCCACAAATCCATGACTCTTGACTTGCGACTCTTCACGCGTGACTTGACTTTTGCTTGGGCCATAGGTGACGATCGGCATCTCGACGCTCGATGCTCGATGATTTATCTCGAGCCACGCATCCACACTCGCCGTCGATGAACGTCATGACAGTGATTTCAATACATTGAGATCCAAAAGATGCCCCATCTTGTTCCGTCAACCTTTCAAGCTCGTTAGGTTGCCATGCCGGTGGCCCTTACGAAGCTGCTCTTAACGGCGCCAGCGCAGAACGCGAGCCGCTGCGAGGCTTCGATATGGCCATAAATGCCTGGGTATCTTGGGTAGAGAAGCCGCGATGCATTCAAGGAGGGTTGCGAAAAGCTGACGAGTGCGGTACCGCACCCAAATTCCAAACATACCGTACACGAGAAGGATTTTCGAGCGTCTGCGGGACCAGTTCTGGTGCCGCACCTCACCTCGCCGCATAGCGCGCCTGTACCACTCGGGCGGAGTCTAAAAATGTCAGTCAATGCAGGGTCCCGCTGCAGGCTCATTTTCCGCTCCAGCGGTGGACCAGATGGTAGGATGTCGCACAATACACATCCTTCGACACGGTGGTGGTGAGAGGCGGCGCAAAGGCGCTCGGTCAATCATACCGTTCATACGCTGTATGTGTGCAGCGGGTGAGTCGCTTCTGTCAAGAGGCGTTGGTTGCGGAATAGCTGAAGGCTTTCCGAAGACAAGAGGCTGAGGTCTTGATCGTGAAAGTCGACTGACTGAACGGCCAGAACCGTCTAAAGTTGCCTGCTACAGTCGCGCTTTGCGAGTCTCGAACAGCGGGTCCAATAGTCACCGAGCTGACCAGCTGTAGCTGTCCTTTGCTGCCTTGAAGCTCTTCTGGATCCAGCGAGTGCAGAATTGTCAATGTCTTCAACGTGCACCGTGAATATGTCATTCAAGAATGCGTGGTGATGAAGGCACCCCAGCCTCTCGAATCCCAGCATTTCGTCTCAGCGATCTACCGACGGTCCGCGAACATCTTAAAGTGACGCTGCTTTGAGAGAAATTACAATTTAATCTCATCCTTCCTAGATCGTCAAAGGAATCCCGCCGTTGGGCGGCTTGTTTGTTTGTTGCTCATCTAGACTTCGAATGAATCAGCGATTCTTGCCGCCGTTGCAGGCCGTGGCCGTTGTTGTGTGATCCAATGCAGCAGAGATGGAACTTGGCGCCCGCTATGTCAGGCTGCGCGGCACAAGCTCCCGTGCTGCACCTGCTGCTGCTGCTGATGCAAGGATGGGCCGTCAGCAGCAGCATCCAGCATCCAGCAGGAGCAGTTCGAGTCACGGCGGCATCATGCTGCTTTGGTACCGCCCCGCGCACCGCCGCCGCTGCTTTATTCGCGATGGGACATCGGGCGTGATCAAGATAATTGACCTTCAAGCTCGCCTCTGCAACACTCGCACATCGCCGCGCACTTTGGCGTTGGAAAGCGTTCGTCGATTGGTCGCGATCGAGCGACCGGCAGCAGATATAGCTGCTGCAGTCCGGCCGCGTCGACAGTTTGAGTGCATCGCAGGAAATAAGCGAGACCTGTTTTCAGTTTGACAACGCACATTCTGATCAACCCGTGACTCCATTCCGATGATGAGGCACAGGAAAGTGGGAGTCGCGAGTGTCTCGTTGGTCGATCTTCATGCCGGTGCCCCCCAAGGGAGGTGCTGCAGATATAGGGAAACGAGCAACGGCTTCAAGAGTCTGATGAGTAGTCACGTAAGTGCAGGGTACGTTTTAGCGACGGCGTGTCGGTGCGGTAAGCCCGAATAGAAGTCACGGGTATTAACTGTGAATCACTCAATCGTGAATGGGTGCGTGCGTGGCTTCGCGTGCTGCATACACCCTATGCCGACATCTGCACGGAAAGCATCATGCTTTCTGGACTTTTGAAGCTTATATGCCCTCGCAAAGGTGCGAAGGTCGCATTTGACGGGACAAATGCGACAGCGGAGTCAGAGGGTGGGTCTGAGCGCCGGATGAAAAGTGTCCCCGCGGCACAACGGTGGCAGTCGTACAGTAGAGCAGTTAAATGATTGGTGCGTAAGCCCGTTCAATCACGGCGTATGGCGCTAGCAATCGTGGACTCTTGCATTTGGTACACACCGGTGCAGGCAACGAAAACACCCGTTGTGCAAGTTGATGCTTGCGTGGCAGCAGACAAGCCGAGTCTGGCTCCTGGCTGCAAGGACTGTGAAGAAAGCCAGCACAAGTGTGAGTGGAAGCGCGTCGGTTGTGATCATGTGTGCATGGACAGCCCCGCTGCTCCCTCTTTCGCCCAGGCAGTCTGTGTCCCCTCTCCTCACATCATTCCTTCGCTCGAAGGCCTATTCGTGATTATCAGACCGACCGATTTGTGGCAGCTATTCGTGAATCTATTATAGTCAGCTCCGCTTTATAAAGCGCCAACATTCTTCATTCACTGACTCCAATCAACAGACGGCGGCCCGATGGGTTCCTCGGAGTGACCCTCCCAACATCGCCGAGAGCCGGGGTGCTCCCTATAATACAGCACGAGCACGCGCGCGCGCCTTGGCGTCACTTCACGCCCAAGCATGCATGCAGCAGCTATTAGCATGCAGACACGCGCGCAGACACGCGCAAGGCTCACGCGGCACGACCTGATGAATTGAATCAAATTCGTGATTCTGATTCACGATTCACACAATTGTGATTCTGAAGTATTGCTGAACTCGTCGCGTGCGCGTGCTGCTGCTGTACGCGGGCTCTACTCGTGACTCTCTTAATTGGCCTCGCGCGACCCCGCCCGCGGCCGGTCGATCCTATATACAGCTGATGTGGGCTTCCACATGCGCGCATGCACGCAGCCCACCAATCGTGCATGTGGATGTGAACTGCTTCCTCAGCATCGTCTCATCGCACCATGCAAGCATTCTTGCGGCGATCTCATACCCTTCAATTCTCCTCAGCGCTCTCTATATTCACACTTGTCCGGCCCACCTCTTTTCCTCGCCTGCGGTCATTCCTGAGGCGCGCACAATACCGTACCCATATTCGGATCAATCACGCCGGACACGGACCAAGCCACACGGGACCTCGTCAGCGTTGCGCGAACGAGCTGAAAGTTTATAGGGTCTTGGCGTGCCGAAGCTGAACGGCGTGCGTCGCAAGACTTTCGAACTCACGCCGCTGCAACTACATCGCTTCTTGTGGGCGACAAGTACCCTGCCGTGAGCCGGACTTGGAGCACGCAGATCTCGAGTAGTGGGACAAGAGTCGCGAGGCGTGGATGCTGTCCCATGTCATCTCGGCAGATCATCAAGAATAGATAGGCATAGCTCCCAGCTCGCGCTCGGACTGTGCTGCTGCCAGCATACATACACACGACTGCGGATCTATATAGCTTGTCAAAGACACGCCGCGCTGCGCCGGTTTCACAGTCGGGCGGTTGATGTCGCTTCCGCGAAGCTCGATCAATCATCAGGAATCGATCTCGATCGCGGTGATCGCTACTCCCACTGTATGCGTGGCCGCGGCGCACAACATCTGGACTTTCGCTGCTGAAAACGCGATCGACCCCCCTTCGCGGCCTCGTGCACCGCCACTACTACTACTACTACCACTACTATACTACTGTCATCAGCCGCGCAGATCACGCTGTCTCAAATCCGAGACAGTTGGTGCATGACGTGCGCCATCATTTCCTTCGCTGCCGCTGCTGGATGCTGAGCTCGGCGGATAAATACCTCGATCGAGTCAGTTCACGATTGTGATTGCTGCTGCTGCTGCTTTTGCTGCTTGGCCGCTTGTGCATCAACGGCTCGATCGACAGCCATCAGCAGATCCCCTCGCTGCATCGACGATTGCGACCGGCTGTCAAGCAGATCCGTCTTCCAGCTTCGCGCTCCATCCTTCCGCGTCCGCCATCGTCCCTGCAGCTGGAGCCTCATCTCCCCAACCCCGACCCTAAACGTCAGAAGTGAACAAACCTCGGGCCGCCTTCAAACATCTTGCACGTGGGTCCATCTCATCATAACAAGAGGCCATGGCCAGTGCGCCGTCCCCTAGAGTGCGTCCGCGCGCTGATGCGGATCACACAGGCTATCGGTCGTCCTCAACGCAGGGCGTGGCGAGCGGTGCTTCGACCTACGAGCAAGGATCGGTAGCATCGCACGCCTCCTCATCTGGCCTGCAAGGAGCGGGACCGATGAGCAGCCATACGTCTAGCGGTGTGCACAGCGCGGTCAGCGGATCTCGCAACCACATTCCTCTTTCTCTTGCCGATGCCCTAGCTCGAGCCGGGGACGATATGACGCGTGCGCTGGACGAAGTGCTGGCAGAGCGCAACAAGTACTGTCTGGAAGCAGCCAAGCTGTCGGGCGAGAATATGCGCATCTGGAATCTGCTGGGTCGTATTCGCAAGGAGAATGAGACGCTGAAAGCGCTCCATGGCGGACCGTCTCGGAGCGGATCACAGGTCAGCTCCGTAGCCGCCGCTGCCGCAGGACAAGCAGTCAGTGCTTCGGAATCGAGGCTCAAGACACTCCACAATGAAAGCGCAGCTGGGGCAGGACTCGAGGGCTCAGCGCGCTCAGCCAGTCTGGACATCTCGGACAAGTCAGCTGGCAATTCATTGGCAGTCCGGCCGGGCAGGTCGAGCAAGCGTCCTTCTACTGGGGACAGCACCAAGCCAGCGTCTAGAGACGGCGCCACCTTTTCGGCCCGATCACCAGTCGCGTCCACCGCGCATGCTGGCCACGCTCATACGAGCAGTGCAGGTGCCGCAACGCCGACCGCGACCACCTTTGGCTTCCAATCGACGGCCGACTCTGGTCGGCACAATATTGGCGGGGACAGCTCACACAGCGAGGCGGATCTATCGATGGCCAGCACCAGCGCGACGCACGATTCCATCATGGCTCAGCGTGCCGCTGCGCAGAAGCGATCGGAGGCTCCCGAGTCGTCCGAAGATGCTATCAGGGCCGGTGGAGAGGATGTGGAAGATTTTGACGCGGTAGATGGGTCGAGCATTGGAGATGACACTGCAGATCGGTCGGCGCCTGGAAGTGCATCCATGCATACGCCTCGACAAGCGCCCTCCCAAAGCTCTCCATGGCAGTCTAGGCTGCAGGCTCCAGCCGACATTACCGGACCATCATCGATGTCCACCAGCCCCAGCATGAGTGATGCGGATCGAGGAGACGCAGCGCACCAAACGGCACCAACGTCTGCCCGTATGTCATCGCCGCTGCTCGATGCGGCCACGCTTCAAAGAGTCAAACTGCACGTGGAAAGCTCTAAGCTGCGGCCAAATGAGCGTGGCCGAGAGTTGATCACCTTTGTTATAGCAGTCGAGATCCGCCAATCCAATCCGCAGAGCTCTGCCAGGAACTCTGCTCACGGGCCGCTCACTGCCTGGAAGGTGGAAAAGCTGTATTCGAACGTGTTGTCACTCGATGCCAGGTTGAAGCAAAAGCACGGAAAGGCAGCGGCGAGGCACTTGAGCTCGGCCCAGCTCCCTGATCGGGGACTGTTCAGGGATCATGCGCCATCGAAGGTGGACCAACGCAAAGTGAGTGGGACCCTACCGTGGTTGCGTCCTCCTCTCTGGCTGATGCACTTGGCACACAACTCCTTTTGGAGGCGATCCTCGAGTATTACCTCCAAACGCTCTTGACCGCAGAGCTCTCAGACATGAGCGATGTGTGCACATTTCTGTGCACCGATGTGATCCCGCCCAAAGCCCGCGATCCTGAGGCGATCGCGATGGAAGGGTTCTTGACAAAGAAGGGTCAGAACGTTGGCAAATGGGTGACGCGCTACTACGTCGTTTCGGACGATCGTCTCATCTATTACGATCAGGTGAGATGCGATGATTCCACATTTCCAAGAACTTAATCTGCAGGTCTGACACCTCGCCCCACTCGATACAGCCTGGCGGCACGCAGTTGGGTGCAATCAGCATCGCTGGTGCGCAGATAGGCCGTCAACAACGAAGCTCCTCTGCAGAGATGGATGAGAATTCATACCGGCACGCCTTCCTGATTCTCGAGACGCGTCCACCTCTGACGCGAAGCGAGGCTGCCCAGGCTCCTGTCCGTCATGTGCTGTGCGCCGAAAATGACGCGGAGCGCGACGAGTGGGTCGACGTCCTCGTACGCGCTGTTAGCCACATCGATAGATGCAAGGTCGCGCGGGAGCAAGCTGCGAGGCTCGCGCGAGACCCTGCCACCACTGCTGCCGCTGGTGGAGCGTCTGGCTCGGCACCGCCCGGGACTGGCGCATCCTTGGCCGATCGCTCAAATACTTCGCGATCCGGCTCGCTAGGCGAGCATGGGAGGCCTGGAGTGGTTCCGATGAGCCCGCCAAGCCATGGAACCATTGCTAGTCGGAGGGTTGTGCAAGATCAGTCTTTCGATACTGGGCGCACCTACGCCCCTGGCTCAGGCGCTTTGTACCAGCAGCAACCACCAAGCCAAGCGACAAGCTCGCAACAGAATCAAAGGACGCCGTTGTACTCACAGCCGTCAGGGCAGGATGGACTTCCACCGCGCAAAGGTAGCTGGGACGTTGCTGCTGGCTTGCAACCAGCAAATCCGCTCAGCAACTCACCCGCTGTAGCATCGCCCCGATCGCGCGGAGCCAATCTACCAAGGGGAGCAAGCGCGCAGCAAGAGATCGGCAGCTCGGCCTTTCCCGGTCCTAGCGCCTCGGCCCAGCAGCTCAACGCAGCGGCGTCGCTCTTGCCGGCTACGAGTGCGGCTGCCGGTCGAGCTGGCGAGAATGCCAACAGAGCCAGCATGAGACCGGCCATCAGCAGGCCTATGAACGGCCAACCGATACCTGCCGGTGCGCGTTTTGGCAGCAAAGACGATAGCATGTCGTCGGTCGACGGTACTGTGGTTTCAATTTCTTCCAAGGGACAAGACGCGCCAGGCAAAAAGCCGCGCTTCTGGCACCGCTTTGGTAACAGCGACAAAAGTGCTCCGGCGGAACCTCGACCTGTTTTCGGTGTCCCGTTAGAGGAGGCTGTGGCCATCTCGAAGAGCGTAGAGGGCTTGGAGCTGCCCTCGGTCATTTTCAGGTGCATACAGTACCTCGAGAAACGTAGAGCCGCTGACGAAGAGGGCATCTACCGTCTGAGTGGATCTTCCGCCGTGATCAAGGCTTTGAAGGATCGTTTCAATGCGGAAGGCGACGTGGATCTCCTGGCTACTAGTGAGCCTGCGCACGACGTTCACGCTGTAGCCGGATTGCTCAAAACTTTCCTCAGAGAACTTCCAGCGCACGTACTCACTCGCGAGCTACAAGCGGACTTTATGCACGCAAACGACATTGCTGATCGTCGGGAGCGGGTCAACGAGCTCGGCGCATTGGTATCGTACCTCCCCTTGGCGAACTACTCTTTGCTCCGCGTACTCTGCAGCCACCTCATCAAGATCATCGAGCGCTCCGATGTCAACAAGATGAACATGCGCAACGTAGGAATCGTCTTTAGTCCTACCCTCAACATTCCTGCCGGCGTCTTTTCATTATTTTTGACAGAGTTCGATTGGATTTTCTACACGGGCGCAAAGGGCGAGCCAGCACCGCGACACATGGAAGAAGACATCCAAGCTCCAGATAGTGGCGAGCTCGGCACACCGTACTTTCCCGCTCAGCAATTGGCGTCTGAAGGCCCGAGCGCCTCGTCCAGCGAGAGCGAGACGTACGAAATGAGTCCACCTCAGGTCAACAGAAATTTGGATCCGCAGAGCTCGCTCAAGGGTAGAAGGAACCGAAGCTCATGGATCAAAGGCGGACAGCTGCACATGGGCGACGGTCACATTGTGACCACCAATCAACAAATGCACCGAAACAACCGCAACTCGCTGCAGTACGATGATGAAGAAGCGAATCGGCTGCTAGGCCCGCAAGGCCCTGGGCGACTAATGTCTCATCGCGAAGCGGATGAGAGTGGCGCTCTTGGGCTATCAAATCCTCAGGATGATTCCATGTACGAAGCGGCAGACTTTGGAGGGCTGGATGAAGATGAATACCCAGATACTGCTCTCGGTGGTGCGAGCGGCGGCATCTCGACCGGATTTGCTGGCAGCGGCGTTCCGCACTCCCCTCATCCTTATGCTTACTCTCAACAACAGACCTTGGGTCTCAACGTTGCCCAAAATTCATCGATACCTCCGAGCCCTGCAGGCAGTGCTCGCTCCCCACGGACCACGGCTAGAGGGCCGGGGGACCCCCAAGCACCTTCACCTCGGACACCTGCCTTTCCGCGCTCTCCACCGCCAGCAGCTTGAGCCAAGGCGAGCTTGAACCTTCTCGCAGCGCTTTTGTGCTCGCGTGTGCTCCAACCTGCTCCGAACATGCTTCATATCGCTGCCCTTCCTTTACCGTGCCTGCCCCGCGAGAAACCTTATGCAGGGTCGCATCCGTCTTGGTTCCATTCATACCCTATGCATGTGCCTTGGGCAACGCGATGAAAAGCCTAGCAACAAAGCCGGCCGGCATTCTATAGCTCGAGGAACGCGCTGCCTGATGTAATCATACCGCCCACCCTCACGCTCGTCTGCAAGTAGCATGTCGACGACTCGTGAATTGCAACGCCGTGTGCCCGCTCAAGGAGCGTCTTGTGACATTGTCTGAGACTCCACGGCTCCGCTAGGACCTCTATCGAGCGCGTTGAGCTCTGTTGTCATCGAAGGAATCGGAGCAAATGAGCAGAGGTACATGTCTGCGATTGCGGGACGTCTCGACTCACTCTGCATATCACCGCTGTCCAACTCAAAGTCGAGGCTCTTTGCATTCTCTTCTTGTCGACCCTGATTTGAACTCTTTGGCAGAGGCACTACACCGCTCTGAATCAACCACCTCAGCATGACTTGCGCTTCCGACTTGTTGACCTTGGACGCTATGGTCGACAAAGTCTTGTCGCCGTAGTAACGGCTGCGAGCCAAGGGGCAGTAAGCCTGAACGATGATTCCTGCATCCTCGCAAGCCTTTCTTAGTCCTGCTTGGGCAAAAAAGGGATGGCATTCGATCTTGCGTCTCACCAAGTACACATCAAAGAGACGGGGTCAGTGGAAGCGAATGGGCATTCACGATTCGATTGCTCGAGTCGCTATTCGGCGCCAGACGCGAACAGTCCATGCACGCATGCCATTATACGCACTTGATTGACGACAGGCACCACTTGCGGCTCGCTCTGCATCAGCTCCCGCACGTGATGTTCGCCAAAGTTGCTGATGCCCAGACTCTTCGCTTTGCCCTCTTTCGCCATCTCGCTGAGCGTCTGCCAAGTGTTGAGCCTGAACTCCTTTCCCCCGTCCGGAGCGTGCAGCAGCACCAAGTCGAAATAGTCCAGACCCGATTGACGTAGACTGTCATCCAGCGCTGCGCGCGAACGCGCGCCTCCGCCCATGCTGCGTGCGCCACGAAGGAGGGAGCGAGAGGGTAAGATCAAGGGACATTTTCCGAATGTGAATGGTTGATGCGATGGCGCACCGGCCTCAGCAACTCACTCGTTGGTGAACAGCTTCGTCGTGACGAAAATGTCCTTTCGAGGGACTTTGCTTCCTCTCACAGCCGCGCCCACCTCCTTTTCCTGGATGCAGAGCGATAGCCATGCAGCCAACATCCGGTTGGGGGGCGTTAGCAATGACACGGATGCTCTTCTTCTCTCCTCTCCTCTTTGAAGCTGCGTCCTAGCTACTCAAGGGACAGTCTTCATCTGCGCTCACATTTCTGTAGTATCTCGCCGTATCAATGTGTCGATAACCGACCTGATCCAAAGCGAGGGAGAGAGCCGTGTGGCACTCGGAGCCTCTCATTGCCCAAGCTCCGATGCCGAACAGGGGCATTGTGTTGCCATCCGCCAAGGGCACTGTAGAGCTGAGGTCCAGCTTTACGCCTGGAGTGGGCGCCCATCGGGCCACAAAGGGCGCGCTGTTGCCGCTGCTGGAAGACATGTTGGCGCGGGACACTGCTAGCGGGATGCCGATGTGGTGCCTCACGGCAGAAGAGATGGAGGATGCTCGGATGCTGGTGCGCTTCGACAGGGCAGAAATGCACATCGATCCGCCGTTCCCGAATCCGGATCGATTGTGAACTTTAGCTGAGAAGGGGGCCCTTTGTTGTTGTTGAGGAGGAGGATGTTTGACGTGGCAAACGTATCCCTCGACCATCAAGCATCACATACATAATAACCATCCACACATGATCCTGGATGCTCGCTTACTCACTCACCCCGTCTGCCTCTTCTTCTTCTTGTTCTTCGACCATCACGATTCGCCCAAGAAGGGCGCCCTCTGCAGCGCCGCCTCAAGCTTGAACGATCCCTCCATTCACGCGATCCATTCATTCAAGCAAGATTCCTCGAAGCACTCACCATTCACGTGATTCACCATTCAACCGTCCATCCATTCAGATTCATCCATTCGTGATTCAAGACTCATTCACGATCTAGCTCGATCGCTTCCTGCAGTTTGGTGCTGCAGCCGGTACTGCGACTGCTCGGCGTGACAGTTTTGAGTAGTTCCATCTTGCAAACTCCGACCCAGGCAGCAGCGGCGGGGATGGCGACTCAATGTGGAGGTTGCGCATCGCATGGCAGTGACACAGCATCATCCAACCAACCCTTCGTGGGAGCTCTGAGGCTCCGAGCTGCATGCAGCTCATGTCTGCTGCAGCCGCAGTCCAGGGTGGTGTGAAGGAATGCGATACGATGCGGAGTCCTTCGCTGCTGCACCATCACCAGCTCGATCCTGTACGATATTACCGTGTAGCGGTGCTCTAGCTGCAGCCACGCTGCGTCACATTATTATGCCTTCTGAGGTCTCGGAGGCCCGTTCTGTTGTGGTGCAAGTTGCTGCGCTCACAGCAGCTAGCTCTCCGCGTTGCAGCCACTCGTGACTGCATGTTCTTGCTGTATCACACTCTCGGACTCTGGCACATTCTAATGTCGTCCGACACTCGTGATTTGACTTGCACACCCTCTCGTCTTCCCCCGGCGCTCGGCCACGAGGTACCTGGCTGTAGGTCTTGGACCGAATTTGTTTGTTGTCTGTTGTGCTGCTGCTGCTGCTCTCTTGTGCATGCAGTGCTTGCGAGATCTCTCTGACACTGGCACATGCACAGGCACCTCCACAGTGGTGCATCTTGAATGTATCACCCATTCACCGGCCCCATACATGCAGTGACACAGCAACGTTTGCCACGCTGCCGTCGGGCCGCAGGCATGTCCGTTGGACACTCAGAGGTCAAGTCACCTTACGTGCTGTCTAGGTGCTCGTGGGGGTGTTGCTGTAGGTGAGGTGCACATATAAGTGAGGTCGTGCTGTGATTCGCCCTTCCATCACTCCTCAACCTTTCGCACCCAGTAAAATCCAACTTCCGAAACTCCAAGTCTGATCACGCGACACCAACAACCGTACACCAACCCTACCTCACTTCAACACAATGGCTGCCAACGACAAGTTCATGGGATGGGTCGCAGACGGCCCAGACTCCGTCAAGGGCAACCTGACGTTCAAGGGTGAGCATTCGACCTAGCAGATCCGTGACCGTGCTTTCCAGCGATCGCTGCGCGGGTCTTGTCGACACACTGCATGCTCGCTTACCTGCCCTGCCCTGCCCTGCCCTGCCCTGACAGAGTTCACGCCCAAGAATTGGACCGAGACTGACATTGAGCTGGATGTCATTGCTTGCGGTGTATGCGCGTGAGTGTGCAACGTTGCGGTAGGAGCTGCTCGATGAATGGTCGACAAGACAATCCTGACTCCTTTCATGCTCGCACAGGTCCGATATTCACACCATGCGTAATGGGTGGGGCCCCGCAGACTTCCCGACCGTTGTGGGACATGAGATTGTCGGCAAAGTGACTCGCGTGGGAAAAGAAGTCGATGACCCCATCCAAGTGGGCGATGTGGTGGGCATCGGTGCCATCACCGACAGTTGCAGAAAGTGTGAGCTCTGCAGGAGCGACAGGCAGTCTTACTGCCACGTTGGAGCTACAAACACATACCAAGGCAACTACCCGTGAGTCGCCATCGCGTGTCGTTTGTCATCTTTGTGAGCACTTTCACACTCCTACTTACTATGGCTTCCTTCTCTTTCTTTGTGCAACCAGCGACGGATCTGGCAAGTCGATGGGAGGGTACGCACTCAAGTGGCGCGGTTCAGCTTACCTCGCCATCAAGATTCCCGACGGTCTCGACCCAGCGCTGGCCGCACCCATCATGTGCGGAGGCGCTACCGCTTACTCGCCCTTGCGCGACTATGGCGTTGGAGGACCGGATGGGAAGCGCGTGGCGATCATCGGTATCGGAGGCATTGGCGCATTCGGCATCGCGTTCGCCAAGGCGCTCGGAGCAACGGACATCGTCGCCATCTCCTCTACAGCCAGCAAGAAGCAAGAAGCCCTAAAGTTGGGAGCGACAGACTTTGTGGCGTGGAAGGATGAAGGCGATGAGGCATCCAAAAAGTACAACAGGTTCTTCGATGTCATTCTCAACACTGCTGCGAACACGGCATCTCCATTCGACAAGTACGTGATGATGTGCAGGCCCAGAGGTCATGTGGTCAACATTGCAGCTCCCGAAGGTCCTTGGCCTGCCATCCCTGCTTGGCCAATCCTCTTCTCAGGAGCAAACATTGGCGGAAGCGCAGTGGCTGGCAAGGCTCAGCTCAAGGAGATGCTGGAAATGGTCAGGGACAAGAAACCTGAATTGATGATCGAGAAGCGATCTCTCAAGGACACCAATCAAGTCGTGCAGGACATGGTCGCGGGCAAACCTCGCTTCCGGTGAGTCGTAACGGTGCCTTCGTTGAGCTTGGCGTCAGGAGAAGTGCCAGAAGATATCGACTGACCTTTACGTTTGCTCACCGCTGCCCCTGATGCTCCCTTCCAGCTATGTGCTCGTCAATGATGAGGCGCCAGCTGCTTGAGATGTTGCTCAAAACCCCGAGTCTTACCCGCTGCTCGTGCTTCTGAGGTGCTTTCCTGAATGTCTATCTATTTTCAAGCCTGCTTCTTATAGATTGCATCTGCATGATGATCGTGGATGCCTTGGCGTTGCGAGTGTTGGCTACTGCGAAAAGCGCGTGAGAAAGGGGTGAAGGTGAGGTTGAGTCTCGTAAGACTGATGAGCGGCAGTCAAGTCGTTCTTCGTCAACTGAAGTCACGAGTTGCCTTGCATATTATCTTTTACACATCGTGAATTTGAATCGTGGTGATTCAAAAATTATATGCATGCGCGGAATCGAGTTCCTGTTCACGTGATCCATACGCCGCGCAGGAAAATTTCACGTTGCTTCATGCATCACCAGCAGCACCTGATGCCTCGTATGTAGGCGCCGTATCGGATTCAAAATTGAGTCGAATCTATCTGGATTCGTGATCTTTGGCTGATGCTTCCTTCTCTCACCTCCTCCTCTGCACTCTTTCGCACTCATTCACGAACTCTGCTCGTCACTTGTGTGGACCGAGGACTAATGATTACAAGGCTTTGAACTGTCTCTGGAACAGGACACGAGCGCCAATTCCACGGCTGCATCTCATCCATCCACCATCTCCTTACCCTTGGACGCGCTGCGGCGAAGGCGAGCGCTTTGCTCAGGATGTGAGTCCGTTGACTGCTCGCTTTGGTCTACTCACTAGCCATTCGAGCTTACGCTTGTTCTTCCTGCAGGTCGCGGCTCATTATCAAGAATCTGCCCTCCTACCTCTCCGAGGCGAGGCTGAAGGATCACTTTTCCACAAGGGGCAAAATTACCGACGTCAAGCTGGTCAGAAAATCGGATGGAACAAGTCGAAGGTTCGGCTTTGTTGGTTTCAGAGACGAGCAAGCGGCCCAGGACGCCAAGGAGTACTTTGACAGGACCTTCATAGACACTGCCAGGATTGCCGTGGACTTTGCCAGAGAGGTGAGCAGGTGCGCACGTAGGCATGTATGCTGCTCCACACTGTCTTGCTGATGCTCGTCACACCACCTTCCTTCTTCTTATGCGCAGGTTGGTGACAGTCAGCTGGCCGAATCAAAGGCCAAGCGAGCCCAGAATGCCGTTCCGTCTGTTCACGAAGTCGGTAATAGCGACGCCTCACGTCCTCATAAGAAGCGAGCCCTCTCAAACGCCAAAGGCGCATCAATCACCAAATCTGAAGCGAGAGGCAAGGATCAAGGCATCTCCTTTGATCAGTTTATGGCAGTCATGGCACCCAAGAACAAGCGCAAGGCGTGGCAGAACGAGGAGGAGATGGCGAATCACGATGATGGTACTGCCGCTGTCGCCGCAGAGGAGAAAGCGTTTGCAGACTCGATCGCCGCGAAAGAAGAGCGCAAGCGCGTCAAAAAGGAGCGCGCGGCTCGAAAAGCAGCCGAAACAGATTTGAAAGGAGCAGAACCAGGCGGCTCGGTAAATCCCACCGAAGAGGCGGATGATGCGCCCGTCAAGGCCGATGCGGCGCTGGACGACGAAGGACTGACGGATTTGGACTACATGCATCGGCGCATGCGAAGAAAGATAGGCGGCGACGATGAGGAGGAGGTTACGAATGCCACGACAAAGCCAAAGGAATTCGATCAGTCGGACAGCGAAGATGGCGACTCCGTATCGGACGCAGAATCTATGATGAACGAAGAGGAGGCGGCGAAAGCCGAGAAGCAGCGACAGGAGCTGGCTGTCAAAGCCCAGCAGGAACAGGAGACCACAGACACCATCATGGAATCGCGTCGTCTCTTCGTCCGCAACTTGCCCTTCACGGCCTCTGAGACGGAGTTGGAGGAGTTCTTTGGACAGTGGGGAGCGGTGCAGCAGGTGAGTAGGGCAAGGCCCAGGCTACGCGCAGCGATTCCACCGAGTGATGAGCACAACGCACCAGATGGGGACAGCTTAGGCCACAAAAGGCACTTGGTATGCTGATCACGCAAATGGTGTTGCTAGTAACAATATCGAGTTCTGAATGGTGGAAGAGTTTGGGACGAAGTTTCAGGCGACATGGCACGCTGTGCACGACGGGAGACTGACCCCCACCCGACCCCACTTTCTCCATTGATTGGTGCGAAGGCGCACATTCCGCTCGACAAGACCACGAAGACCTCGAAAGGCATGGCCTTCGTCCGATTCGTCGACCCTTCGAACGCGCTCTCTGCCTTTCGCGAGTCGAACGGCACGATCTTTCAGGGACGGCTGTTACATTTACTGCCAGCTGTAGAGACGCGCAAAGAGTTGGAAACGGATAGTGCCGCTAAGAGCAAGTCACTCAAGGCTCAGCGCAAAGATCAGCGCAAGGATGATTCGGGCAAGGAATTCAATTGGGGCATGTTGTACATGAGTGCCGACGCCGTTGCAAGCAGCGTCGCCCAGCGCCTTGGAATTGAAAAGGCTCAAGTCGTTGGTGCAGATTGGGACGCAGACGGAGGTTCCAAAGGTCTTGGCCCCGCCGTAAAACTTGCTCTCGCAGAGACGAGGGTCATCCAAGAAACGAAAGCGTTCTTGGAGCGAGAGGGAATCGATGTCGAGGCTTTTGAAGCTCGGAATGGAGTCAGACCACAACGCAGCGAGACGATCATCTTGGTCAAGAACATTCCTTATGGAACTTCGGCAGCCGCTCTTCGTGAGCTCTTCGAGAGGCACGGCGAAATTGGAAGAGTCTTGATGCCGCCTGCGGGTACGATGGCCATCGTTGAGATGATCTTACCTGGCGAAGCTCGCGTGGCCTTCAAGGCTTTAGCTTACAAAAGGATGGGGAACAGTATCTTGTACCTCGAGAAGGCACCGGTGGGTCTTTTGAGGAAGGACGAGGAAAATGCTAAGACTGCGGCGCCTAGCGTACCTGCGCCACCAACGAAGGAAGCGCAAATGCTTGGCTTGGGCAATGGCTCGGGCAACGAAGCCCTTTCAGAGCCTGGCGCGACTCTGTTCATCAAGAATCTCAGCTTTGCCACCACGGACACGGGGCTAGCAAAAGCCTTCCAAAGCCATCGAGACTTTGCGTTTGCTCGTATCCAGACGCGCCCAAATCCACGTGCCGGAAATGATCCGGGCGCGAGCGCTCGTCTAAGCATGGGTTTCGGCTTCGTTGGTTTCAAGAATGTCGATGCTGCCAAGTCGGCCTTGAAGGCATTGGATGGCAAGGATCTGGATGGTCATACTCTCAGCATCGCTTTCGCCAAGCGCGGACAGGAGGAAGACGGTTCGAGCAACACCTCGAGCGCCAAGAGCCAAACCTCGACCACGAAGCTGATGATCAAGAATTTGCCTTTCGAAGCCACAAAAACGGACGTGCGACAATTGTTTGCTGCTCATGGCCAACTGAAGTCGGTGCGGGTGCCACGAAAAGCAGCGACAGGCTCTTCGAGTGCTGGTGGAGCGCGCGGATTCGGCTTTGTCGAGTTCACTACGCGAAGAGAAGCGGAGGCTGCAATGTCTGCGCTCAAGCATACTCACCTGCTCGGAAGACATCTCGTCATTGCCTGGGACAAGGAGGACGCCCAAGGGGTCGAGGGTGTGAGGAAGAGAACCGTCCGTGCGCTCGGAGAGACTGCAGGGGAGGAGAGCGTGGCGAGAAAGAGAAAACTCAAGCTGACCGAAGAGGATATCGCGGAGGCGGCACAGAAGGAGCTTGAAGAGAGGGATGAAGACGATGATTAGCTTTTGCTCTCGGCATGCCGTTTGACTTTGTACAACTGCCAAGCATGTAACACTACTACTACCGCACTTTGCTTCCCCAAATCAACAACGTCGCGCTTGTACCGCATTTTGTATTTGTATGTTGCGAGCTAAGCTTCGCTCGAGCGCTTGTTCGAGTACTGCCATAGCCCATTGCTAGAATGCCTGAGTAGCACGAAGTTGCGGGCCAGAGTCGCCAAGGCGGTAGGAGTGTAACACATGAGTGCGAGTTTCGCGGGGCCTGCTTAGGATGCGGTACGTGCGCGCCCATCAGCATGCAGCGCCACGAATAGAAAAGGCCCGCGGATTCGCGCACCTTTTTTTCCGATCAAAAAGGGCTGTGCGCGGAGCAGCACGATGAGTGATCTCATGCCACACAGCAGAGGTTCATTTGAGAATGCGAGGTCAACGACTTATCCCTCGACCCCGCCTCGCCTTTCCACTCACGACTATCGTTCATCCCGCATGGCCTCTCGCTTATCACCGCCTCTAATTCTCACGCTTGCCATCCTCCTCCTCTCCCTAGTTGCTCGGATCGCGTACAAGGCGCCACTCAAGTCGGTCTTCATAGCAGATCACATCCCGTCGTCACACGGAAGGAGCGTCGCAACCATGTCCCAGACCTTGCTCAAGTCCATCGTGCTGCCTCAAGCTGGCTCAAGCAAGGCTACCGCTACGGTCATTTTTGCTCATGGCTTGGGCGATCAGGGAGCTGGCTGGCTCGATGGTGAGTCTTTGCAGCATTGCGTATCGGAAGTCTAGGTCATGTCAACTTCAGAGCTCCCAGAGGCTGAGCTGAGCCCAACTTTTTCCCCTTTTCCCCACAGTCGCACAAATGCTTCGCAAGCGGCCCAAGTTGCAGCACGGTGGGTGATAGAGAGCTGCTACATTGCGCTGGCGTGTATGCTGATCAGTCGTTTGCACACTTTGTTCCATCCTCGTAGTACGATTCGTCCTTCCCAACTCCCCCGTCCAGCCTGTGACTCTGAATGGTGGGATGCCCGTGAGCAGCTTTTTTTTTTTTTTGGACCATAGCATGATGCTCCGCGCTGCTAGAATTGTGCCTTGACCGCTGCTTCCTCACCATGGCCTGTGCTCACACCACACGCTAATACACAGATGCCAAGCTGGTTTGACAGTAGGTCCACTGCCTCATTCCGCCCTCCCAAGCCCTGGCGACATGCAGCTGAGTCTACGCAATCTCTCGCATCGGCAGTTCGCACACTCGACGATATTTCGGGCGGGGAGGACGAAGTGGGGCTGCGCAAGAGTGCAGACGCTTTGAGCGCTCTCATCAATGCCGAGGAAGCAGGCAGTCAGGAGCACCTTGATGGGCAGGGTGTCCCATCTGAGCGTGTAGTCGTTGGTGGATTCTCGCAGGTGGGTTGGCTCGGTATGCGCAAAACTCTCTCCCTCGCTCGAACTGAACGCTCCCGGGCTTTCGCTTCCTTCCAAATATCCTTGCCTCTCGTCAGGGAGGCGCCATCGGCTTGCTGTGCGGTCTGACGCACCCCAAGCCCGTAGCCGGCATCGTTGGCCTCTCCACCTGGCTACCCCTACGAGCCAAGATGGTGGCGCCATACTTGACATCGCACGCGCGCAATATACCGATCTTTTTGGGTCATGGCACAGCGGATCAAGTCGTCAAGTACGAATACGGACAGAGGAGCGCCAAATTTCTCCGGGCTGGCGGCGAAAATGATGGCGGAGCAGGAGTGGGATGTGGAAAGTGGAGAGATGAAGGCGGCAGACCAGCAGGGGTGTGGGCCGAGTCGTATGACGGCATGGCGCACTCGGCCTGCATGGAAGAGGTGAGCAGGGAGTCCGAAGCGCGAGGGTGCGAATCATCGCCTCATCTTTGTTCTCGTGTTCCTCTGTCACCCAGATCGAACACGTCGCAGAGTACCTCGAAAAAGTCATACCGGCTCAAGCGTCGTAGCGCAAGCAAATCAACTTTTCCGGGATCACAAGCATTAAATCGATCAAGTTGCGCTCAACAGCCCAAGGGCGACCTATGCTATTTGGTGCCATGATGCTGTCTGACACTTCGTTGTGCCAAGGGCTCACGACGCCAAGGGTTTCTCGTCGTCGGCACTGATGGTCCTGCGAGCGTGAAGCCACTCGTAGTCGGCTCGACACTCTTCGATGCCATCTAGCACTTCCTGACAGTGATCCTTCTTTGGTGCTTCCACGCTCTTGTCGAAGCCAGTGCTGTGCTCGGCAACATCGTGGAAGCTGCCCCAGCTGGAGAATTCCTTGACCTTTTTGTCCTCCCACTTGAGCATCGTGGGTTCGAATGGCACGCCCAGCGCCTTGCACCAATGAGCCAGCGTCTTTTCGGGGTCCGCAAGGAGCGTGGCAGAATCGATCAAAGGCGGTGCCGCGGGCTGCTCCACCGGTCTGCCGGGGTACTTTGTGTCGTCTGCAGAGACGGGAGCTTTGTGCCACGATGACTCTGGATTCGACATCCACTGGTACAGGATGCGAATTTCGGCGTAGCCGGCCTCGGCAGAATCCCAAAAGGTGAAGCCGCCGGCGCCTTCTTGTGTGCATCTAGACGATGATGAGAGCGAGGACGGCAAGGCTGATTGAGCTCACTTTACGTGCCTCCTCGCTTGGTATGTATGGGTGGCACGCGTCGGAGACCTCGCCCAATCAAGCTGCCCCCAACCCCGCGCGCACTCACTTGTAGTAGCTGGGAATCGTCTTTTCTGGCGTCCTCATCAGGAAAGCGTGCCTGTACCTTCGCAGCAGATCGATGGGAACGACTGTGGGATTCTCGAGCGTGTTTCGCAAATCCTCGACGTCCTTGCGATCCGCATCAGACTTTGGTGCTCGCGTGTCCGCTTGGCGATACACTTTGGATTTGGGGTACAGCTTGGCGAGAGTGTCGGCGCTGAAGATGGATTGCGCCATGTCCTGAGTGGGCAAAAGGGTCGCGGACAAGGCATGGCGGTTTGAGGTGGGTGGGTGAGTGAGTGAGTGAGTGAGTGAGTGAGTGAGTGAGTGACTGATCCATTGGCTGCTGCTGCTGCTGCTGCTGCTGCTCACCTTGATAAAGACAAACTTGACCGGATCTTTGCCTTCTCTATTCTTGCCATACCTGCTCTCCTTGAGCATATCCTGCATCACTCCCTCGATGGTGGCGTCGTAGTACTCCGATTGGGCGCAAGCCTCTTCTCCAAATCTGAAATTTGCCCTCTGCGCACTGTGATAGAAGACCATCGTCACTGGTTCGTGCTCGTAGTGCGTATCCTTGCGTTGCAGCAGAGCTCGAGCGAAAGCTGTGCTCGTGCTTCTAGGGTGCACCCAGAGGCAGATGCCGAGCGGGCCATCGGCCGAGCGTGTGGTCCCATTGGATGAAGTCATGACGAGCTTGAGATTGGATGGAGATGGCTGCCTGCGGTCCTTGTACTACCAACGCCTTGTGAGGCGAACCTTAGATGTTCAAGAGAGAGAAAGGTGATGTGCAAGGTGGGGGGAAAGGGGGAGAGGGTGCCAAGCTATGTGGACACGAGTCCATGTCCTGCCGACACTCGCACCTCCATCCATCCATCCACCCATATCCCACCCTGGCCGGCGTCTCCGCTTCGTGCAAGTCGCGATCAAAACTTTTTGGCCCACACTTGGACCGCTTTCACCGCTTTCACCGCTCGTGCAGCGGATCAGTTGGAGAGCAGCAGGCAGCAGGCAGCAGGCAGCAGGCAGCATCTAGCAATTAAGCAAGCAAGCTGCGGTCGTGCGCGAGATACTTCCTTCCAGCCGGTGGTGCCAGTCGACAGATCAGCAGCCAAGCAAGGCAAGCCACCTTTGCTGCCCGGCGACAAGGCCAACAAAACAAGCATGTGCACACCTGCATGCCTCCCAATCACGAAATCGTGAATGTGAATGCCATGGCAGGGCCCACAGAAGTGCAAAGAGTCCCGAGAGGGGAACAGACTCAACTCTCTCTCCAATCACGAATCAAAACTCTCCGTTCGAAGAGTTCGCACGCGAATCGACCGAGGTGCTCCAAAGGTCCTGCTGCTGCATGCTGCTGGCTGCTGCATCAAACTTCGATCATGTGCCTCAGTCGTGAGTTGCATAGCTGCCCCGCTGCTGCTGCTGCGTCCCACGACGTGTGGCTTGAACGTTTCGCAGTAAAGCTCGATCGCTGCATGCAAAGAAGAAAGTTGACGCTTCACCAGCAGGAACAGCAGGCATCCACCCTTCATCCACCCATCCATGATCGATGGATGGTGAACGCTACCGTGCAGACGGCACGAGACAAAGTCTGTCGGACAATCCATAGCGATGGCCCTTGTAGGACGAGAGGCGCCCCTGCATGGTCACAATTAATTGCGAAGCGCAAGCGTGTGGCTCAAAAAAAGGTTCCCAGCTGGTTTATATTGCGAAACTTGATTCACTACGCATAAAAGGCAATCAAAAGGATCGTCTTTGTCTCGTCTTGCTGAATGAGACGAGCAACACCGCGGTGCACGTATAGAAGACGAATGGCAAATCTGTATTCTAGACCACGCCAACCACGTCGAGCTGAATGGCAAGCCTTGTTCAGAAGTTGATGGTCTCGGAGCCGATCTTGGTGCCACGCAACGCGAAACTAGCAGCAACTGCTTGCTGGCCCAGGGCAGTCTTGGCTGCCGAGCTGCTGAGGCTAGGCACGAGTCCTCGCGTCATGGAGCAGCCCTTGTGATCCAGATTGCCGTTGAGGATCTTGTTGAGGAAGATGAAAGCGGGGGGAAGGCCAGTCACGAGCTAGAGGCAATCGCGAGAAGGAGAGAAGGATCACCTCAGCACATGCAAGACGCGCGCCTCTCTCGCTGCCATTCACTCACGGGCACAAAGTGCGTGCTGGGGTCCGCAATGGCAAGCTGGATGGAAGAGGCACCCCTCTTGCACTGATCGTTGTAGTAATCGATGATCTGCTGAGTGTTGATCACTTCATCCGTAGCCGCATGATAGATGAAAGCTGGTTTCTGCAAAACATCCTTGCCAAGATTGTTCAGCTCGATGTACTTTTTGGGGATGGGCTCATCGAGAACATTGGGCACCGTGACGTAAGAGTAGACATCCTTGCCGAAAAAGTCGCCAATCTCATTGTGAGTGCAGCCTTGAGGACCTCGAAGCCTTTCGAGCGCCGCGGTGCCATTCGGTCGAACGACCGTCTTGATGTAGTCGTCCAGCTCCTTGTAAGCATTGGCCAAACCTGCGATGCCAGCGCCACCGAATCCTGCAAAAGGGCTCTTGTTGAGCTGGTCAATGACAGGTCGCAGATAAGCGACGGTACCGCCGTACGCCGCACCGGCAAAGTTGAGGCTGGAGCCGTAAGACGAAGCGAGCTGATTGGTCCACGCTGCTGCATGTGCTCCACCACTGTACCCGTACGCAGCCGATGTGTATCCAGCAGTCGAAGCGGTGATGGTGGCTTTGTGTTGGAGAATGGCGCTGATGGAGTCCAAAGAAGCTCGACCCGCACCAGGTCCGGCGATGAAAGTGGCTTTGGAGCCTTCGTGATCCGGCGCGACAATGTACCAGCCTTGCGCCAGAGCAGCGTAGAAAGCGGGTAAGTTTGGAGCTCCAACTACGGCGGTGTTTAGCGGATTGGTCGTTCCGGGTATCAGGGCCCAGCTGGCAGAGCAATGAAAGGAAGCAGAGTCCTGAGGCAAGAGAATGGCAAGGATTTTGGGTGGGCTGCTCGAATGACGCATGAAGCCGCTTAGCCACAGAAATCGCACACCAAGAACGCTGCTGGTCCGCATCACGACTCACCCGGGAGCTGGCTTGTGCGGAGCAAAGACGGTGGCCACGACGGCATCTGGAGCACCGACAGAGTCTTCGGTGCGGTACAAGATTTGGTGCGCCGACTTGGCAGCGGCACCGACGATGGTGTCGACAGGTCGCTCGCGAATGATCTCACCTCGACTCAGGCTGGCCAGATTGGCAGGAGCTTTGTAAAAAGGATCGTCGACGGGGTCGGGAAAACGGACGGCATTGTATAGTCTCGGCTCGATCACGGAGCTCTGCGCTGTGCCGAGAAGAACAGCGGCGCAGCTCGCAGCCAAAAGCAGGGAGGTCAAGGAACGCATTGTGTCAGGGGGTCTGAGGGAGGGGAGAGTGGAATGAGATGATGGGCGCGAGTGGGGAAGGGGAGGGGGAGCTTTTGCCTGGGAGAGGCTCTTGGAGGAAAGAGGGTCCCTCCTCTGGAAGACTAGTCAATAAAAAGTCGCGATGTGGTCCGAGAGCCGAACGTGTGGCAGGCAGCCTGACGCTCCCAGTTTCCCCACACAAGGCACCATCACGATGCATTCAGATTGTCACCGAGCCAACGATCTGCGGAGCGACGAGCGCGATCATGAAAGTGTAAATGGGCCTTTTTCAGAAGGCGGCATGGAGAAGATGCAGGGCTGGTGATCCTCCCAAGCTTTTAAGCCGTGTAATTTTACGCGTACATTGCCCCCCCCCCCGCCTTCTTCTCCGCACTCTGCCCTCCTGCTAAAGCGATGCGATTGTGGGGGAGAGCGCGAAACTATGCTATAGTGCCGTGCCAACTTGGATGCGGGGAAAAGCCGTGCTGGGTTTGGGCATGCTCGAGCGGTGCTGCATGGTTTTGAAAGGACAGAGGGCGAAGGATCGCCGCGTTAGCCGCACTTGCCGGGCCGTGATGCTCGTGCGGGGGCTGGGTTAGCTTGTACGTGCTGTGTGTGTGTGATGTCGTGGTGACACCGCCCTTCTCAGCAGGCGACGCTATATAGCTGTGATGAGAGCTCAGGAGGTTGATGTAGGTAGACGGCTTGCTGAGACGAGGGAACGCACGGGTATAGACCGAGTTGAAGCTCGCGCATGCGCATTGGTGAAGGAACAGCCATGCCACGGCGGAGCGTTCTAGCAAGCAGTGGGCAGGCGATGCGGCTCGATGTGGATGGCCCATCACTAGGGCTCAACACTCGTGACTCTTGACTCAGACTGCAAACGAATGCTCATCACTTTCTTGGTCGAGCAGCTCTCATGAGGTCATGCGCAGTGTATTGCGAATAGTCCCATCATTCATTCCCTCTCAACATCCGACGCACACATTCGAGTGTCTAATGCTGAGGGACTGCAGAGCGCATCAGCGACGGGGGCAAGTCGCCAAAGCCGTGCTTCACGCGACCCGCTCGCTCTTGCCCTTGTATCCGATGAACTTGTCCCGCCCATCATCCTGCACGTCGAAGCTTCTCCAAGGTCCGTAGAATTGATGATGGTCGGGCCGCATCAAGCGCCACGCCTTTTGCGAGGCGAGCTGTTTGCCGGTAAAGTGGGAGGTGGGGGTGTTGTTGGTGTTGTTGTGGTTGGACGCTTCCTCGGCCGTGCTCGGTGCACGCTGAATGGTCGGTGGCCAGATGGACCAGCTGTAGGGTTTGTGAGAGGATCGAGTGTCATTTGATTGCGAGAGGATGGGCGTCATCAGCCACAGGCGCCCAGAAAACACGGCAGCCATGGCTCAAAAAGCAAGAATGTGAGGGGGCACACCACACACCGTATGCTCCGTGTACGATACTGGGATGCTGTGCGGGTGGCCAAACAGCCCACGGGTGAGAAAGAGCATCGCGACTCACCCGTTCCTCACGACGCTCCAGGATCCCATCGGACTGCTGCACACCTTGCACCTCAACTTCCACTTTCGCCCCGCTTGAGCTTCGTACGTCTCCAACAGCTCGCTCCACGAGCCTCCTCTAGCTTTTGGAAATCCTCTATTCTCCCTATCCATTTGCGCCTCTTGAAGCGTGTTCGAGTCCAGATGAGGCGCTCCCACATCCTCGCACGCTTCCGGCATCCAAGAAACGGCAGCGAATGGCAAGTGCAAAGTGTGGACAAAGGGAGCTCCGTTGAAACGTTGACAGCGAGTGCAGTGGCAGTAGGCGCTCGTGCTAGGTCGCCCTACGTTCAGATCGATGATGAAGGACAGCGCACCGCACGCGCAATGTCCCGGCACCAACAGGTCTTCATCGTACGCCTCGTCTAATCGACTCGCATCAGTCGAAGCCATCTTGAAGCGTCTCAAAGTGCGGAGCTTCGCAGTCACGGACTCGACGAGCGCAGGTACGTCGAAGTAGTGAGCAGATGAGCGAGGGTATGCTGGGAGTCTCACGGAACGGATGATGGAAGCCAGACTCCAAGTGTCACACGACGGGCAAATCTGGCCGCAGCTCCAGCACATAGGTGGAGGCCATGTACATGGGTCAGTCGGTCCAGCCTCAGGAAGACTTTTGATCAGCCCAAGAAGAGTTTGAATTTGCTGCCTTGGCGACGTCTCATGTTCAGGCGTGCTAATCAAATGTCCAGAGCATCTCCTCTGAGCGAAGCCTTCTAAGACGCGCACAGCTTGTCTGGTGACACACCAACACTCGGATTTGCCACTTTGTCATTCATGTCATTTGGGCAAAGCTGATCACAGGAGGGATTTGAGGTAAAACCACCTAGCAGCGAAGCTGTTGCTATTTAGACAGTACCGGACTTGGCAATCTGGATCTTGGATCGCAGCTTGCCGCTGTCGGAACCCTGACCCTCAATGGCCTTGACAATGTCGAGCCCCTCGACGACCTCACCGAACTGTGAGCACACCGACAAGAGAAGAGTCAATACAGATCAGAGTACCGACTGACACGCATTGCGTCATCCACTCACCACGACGTGCTTTCCGTCGAGCCAGCTGGTGACGACAGTGGTGATGAACTGCGGGCAAAAAATTGCAGCGGTAAGGAGAGGGTGAGTATCACACTCGGACATGTGACGTGGTCGCGAATGTTGAATGTCCACTCACGAATTGGGAGCCGTTGGTGTTGGGGCCGGCGTTGGCCATGGAAAGGAGGCCAGGCTTGGTGTGCTTGAGCTGGAAGTTCTCATCGGGGAATCTGAGCATTGCGCAAGCGGGCGAGGGGATGAGATGTCTGCTTCCAATCGACAAGACGTGAGTGCGAGTACTCACTTGTTGCCGTAGATGGACTTGCCCCCGGTGCCGTTGTGGGCAGTGAAGTCACCACCTTGCAGCATGAAGTTGGGAATCACCTGCAATATGGGAAGAGAAGCGGCAACAGCATCAGCAGTCTGATTCTTCTTCGCTGCACGGCGTCCCTCGTCCAGGACATTTCGCGGTGCATGTGCTTCTACCTAGCCCGCGCACCCGAACGAGCTGAAATTACTCACACGGTGGAAGCCAGATCCGGCGTAGCCAAAGCCGTGCTCGCCAGTAGCAAGCTCGCGGAAGTTCTTGGCAGTCTTGGGGACGACACTGGGGACGATCGAGGCAAAGAGATGATGGCAATACCAGTCAGCAAGGAGGCAGGTCCAAACGTGCTGCTCGACGTCCCAGCCCATGGTGATTGTGATGGCGGCTGTACTTTTTCTCTCGCACTCACTCGTCGTACAACTTGAAGACGATGCGGCCAAGAGGCTGGTCGTTCTTGGTGACGTCAAAGAATACGTTCGACATTCTGAAACTGGATGGCAACAGGAAGTGAAAAGAGGTGCGTGCTTATGAGCATGCCATTGCGCGCATCATTCTGCAGACGATTTAGGGGCTGCCCTTCCGACACACTCACGATGTAGAGGCGAAGCGACGGGCAAAGGAAGGTGCAAAAGCCATTGAGATGATCGTGTGTATCGATCAAGCGTCGGTGGTGGTGCGGAAAGGAGCAGCGTAAAGTAGAAGCTCCCCCGCATACAAACAACGCCCCTCGACGTGCAACCAACCCGCCAATGCAAGACTCGCCCGCACGCGCTCTCTTCTTCTTCATCCAGACGCATGGGCCAAGTCAGACGGGAGTCGCGCAGTCATCATCATCAGGCAGGCAGCCTAGCTTGGCGGCCGCGCGCCAGCTGCTGCTGATGCACGCGTATACACGCGGGCGCGCTGCTGACGGGGGACTCACCACGGCGTCCGCATGCAAAGCCTGAGCGCACGGACCGGTCATGATCATCACATCACATCTGTACGCGCTGATGCTGCGAAATCGATGCAGTCGTGAGTAGTGAGGCCATCATCAGGCAGGCATGGCGATCATGGGGGACAATGCACGGCAATTCGCAGCAGACAGAAGGTCAGCATTCTGTCTCCATGTCACCGACCAAAGGCTACCTGCCATCACTCGACATCAGATCATTAACAATTGTGAATTGCGTTCTCCGCCGCGCCACAGAGCAGAGATCATAGAATGATGAGATCGAGCAGAGTTGAGCGGCGGGCGGGCGAGATCAAAGTGGCTGCTCGAGCGGACAGTGGACACTGATGTCGTGCCTGCTGCCCTGTACAGCATTCGCAAGCCGTCTGGTGCTGTGTAGCGAGGCGGTGATGTACCGCGCTGATGATGGAGAAGGTTTTTGCCCTCCACACCGCGAACACCTCGCGCCGAAGGCCAGCGAAGGAAAGAGTCAGCAGGCGCAGCGCAGTCAGACCTGAGTCAAATTCTCGAGTGGCATCCGCGCGCGTCGATCGATGGATGCGCAAGCGCGCACGCTGCCTCTTGCAAAAGAGGCCCGAGCGTCGCGCGCCCCGAAAGTGAGCCGCGGCCGGGCGGAAGCGGGGCGCTTGAATTCTTCCGCGTGTATAGCCGTGCGGCTTTTTGCTTCCATGGGCAGCGGCGCGGATTGCATAGAACAACGTTGCGAGTGATCACATCATACATCAGCCACGATTCTTCTCGATATCCACTCAGTCCTGCGTGAGCGTGGAACGTGTAGAGAAGTCCCAAACCTCTTCATCCGGCCCGCTCTCAATTTCGTGATCCGCTGAACGGTGTTCGGATGTCCAGTGCAACTCGTGACTCGTCGATCAATCGTGCATCGTACTCAGACAGCTGACTGCGAAGCAATCTGCTCCTCGGATGCATCGTAGCGCATCATGATGAATTGATGATTCAGGTGCCATACGCCTCGAAAAAAGTCTTGAGTCGTGCCAACGCAATCGGCAGCGCCTCCTGTCGACGCCGCAAGCAGTGGATGGAAGCGTCAAATTCCTGCTCTTGGTTGCGTCCGAGTCGCTGCACTCACCTCTGTTCGAATCGTCCTGCTACCTTGCTTCTCCAGCACGTTGATCCAGACGTCAAAGAGCAGACTAGCCTGATGAGCTCCCAGATCAATCGTCGGATCTTGGTCGATGATGACTTCCAAGCCCGAAAGACCGCCGAGGACCAAGAGGGCATGCTTGAATGGCTTCAATCGGCCCGTATCCATCTGCGAAGTCACACTCGTGGCAGTAGCAGCACCTTCAAGCAGCTCCGTCAGACTGGTGCCTCGCTCAGAAGTGCCCAGGACGAGATCGTACTCTGCCTGGGATGCGTCGGGCGAAGCTGTGCTTTCGCGCCCAAAGGGACACGTCGTCAAAACTTCTGACAAGCTGTTGCACAGCCGCACCGAGTAGCCCCAGTATCCTCCCGTTTCTTTGACTGGCTGTCGAGGAGACACGAGTTTGCCTGGGGACGCGCCAAAGATTTGTGTGCGTAAGAAGCGTCCACTCAAAGTGTCAGTGGAACGCGATTCTCACGACATCGGTCACCGAAGCTGCTACTCACCTACTGCACCAACATGCGGTGGCATTCTGACGGTCACGCGTACGCCTGTGGGTACCTTCTCATTGGCGGAAGGGCCATCACCAGATACTCGCGCCCGGATCGGCTGCCCAAGTCCCACATCCACCTCCACGAGCTGCTCGTTTCCATTGTGCGCAGCACCATCGTCGTATCTCCTCTTTTTGCCGTGATGTCCGCTGGAGTCTGATTCGACCACGACGCCTTCGCGGAACGTCGATACGTCTTCGTACCGGAGATGATGCGGGCAGTCTAGAGGCGGCAACAGACCTGCAAGGCGCAGATCTTTGTGCATTGGGAACAGCGCTTTTCTCAAGTACCTGAGCCAAGAAAAAACAAGCGGTGCAAGGTCAGATGAGATTCGTCCTTGTCGGCATACATGCGCAGGCCATGTCCGCCCGCAGCACTTACTGAGGGGTTTCGAGGTACTGCAAGATCCTCGCCAAGAAAGCGTCTGGATCAAATGCACTCCTCTCCTCGGTCCCATCTGCACCTGCCTCTGCTCTCTGATGACCTCCGGCTGCTTTCCGTCGGCCGCCGGTCCAATCGTGCCCTTGCGAAACAGCCTTTACATCTTCGTGAAAGACGATGACCTCGTCCACGTTGAAGATCGCGCATGTACGAGCCAAGCCGCCGGCTAACCTGGCTTGCAACTCGGGAGTTTGGGCGTTGAGTATGATCGAGCCAGGCAAAGCTACACTCAGAGTCCAGTCCCTTCCAATATCCTTTCTTTGGCGTTCAAGAAGGTGACCTCTAGCGGATGTCAATGTCGACTGCTTCGCCGCATCTGTCCCGCGTTGAGGCTGGCCATTCGACGCGGAGCTGGCAAAGCCCGAAGGCTTGTAGGGATTGTTGCGCTCCAGGAACTCTTTCGATGCAGATGCTTCCGTGCCGGGCTTCGAGGGCGATGCTGCACTGGCTTCTTTGTGCGTAGATCCAGCATCCGCAGTGGCGGATCGTTTTCCGCGCTATCGCAATGTATGGCCAGAACGGTGCGTGAGCAGGAGTGGTCCAGACGAGGGTTTGCAGCATGACGACATGCCTGCTCGTGTACGCGCCACCCACATGCTTCATCGCAGTCCTCCGCCTCGAGACGGACATTCTGCTCAGGCTGGGTGCAACTCAGTGTGCATCGACTCACCTTTCTAGATCGCTTCTTCTTGCCAGACTCGTCCATCGTGGCCAAGGTAGGTAGCTGCCCTTCACAGCAGGTCGACGGGCCGACTGAGGTCTTCAAGTGAGACCGCTCTGTTGGAGCGTTCGAGCCCGGTGACACCGAAATCTCTCGGCGAACCTATGCTGCAACAATCAAAGCTTTTGGGAGCTGGCTGGGCGGGTCGTGTGAACGTCACCCAAGACGTGCGGATATGCGAACGGTGCAATCGCCAATCAGAATGAAATGCGCGCGAGCGTTGAACACGCAAGACTTGCACGTAAAAACCAAAAACAAAAAGCAAGTCCGCGGACTTACGAGTTCACACTCTCTCGTACGGCGCAAGAAATGCGAACAGGATATGCATGCACGCGTGTCTCGGGGGTGCTGAAACGCGGTCCTGTTCAACTTTGGGCACGTGATGGTGCTGACCAAAGGGCGCATGCGCATGCGTCTACTCGCAGCAGTCAGAGTGCGGCGGCGGTTCATCGTCATCGAGTTTTGCGACGCGCTGCACACCCAGCATCACCGCTATGGCACGCAGGCAAGAGAGGTCGGGCGTACAGTCAAAGTATAGCAGCGAGGCCAACGTCGCTGCTGCATGAATCAAATGAATGCTGTGGGCGATGCTTCTCGCATGCAGCCGATGATCGGAAGCTCCCCTCTCCACAGCTTGCAGTCGTGAGTCCTTAATTGGTACGTGGTGTGACTAGCGCGCGGCTCATAGATGAGGCCATGTTGGCAAGCATCCATGGAAGAGCGCTCGCTCGAGGTTGTGTGCGCGGCCCGTCGCACTCAAGACCTTGATGGTCATCGATCGAGAGACTCATCTCCATCGGCTCCACACCACGATCACGCTTCCCACACAAGAGCATTCAGCACCGCCTCGAGCGACCACAACAGGCGTACGCATTCACGATGGTGCTCACACCACCCCATCCAGCGTTGGACATCAACGAAGTGGCCATCCCAGCCCTCGCCAACTTTTGGTCCTCCTTCACAGCGCACTTTCCCTCTGCGCTCTCCTTCTTCTCTCCCGCCGTCCAGTCGAAATGGTACGCTACGGCAGATCCGCTGCACTCGGCCGTGGTCATCTGCGCGGCCTTTAGCACCTACTGCTACGTCATGCAGGAGATCACTGGCAACGCCAGTCAGGTGGACGGTCTGTGGACCTTTTTGCCAGGTGAGTCGCTCTCGCCAGTTGGTAGCACGTCGTCCAGCAGACGGCAGTTGTTGTTGGACGAGGCAAGTGACGCGATCCACCTTGACCGCTCACTGCCTTGCCGCTGCCTTGGGACACGCAGTGATCTACACTTTCCACTTTACATTTCAACGTGCCATCGGCCACTGGCTCCAACCTCCATCGCCGGTCACCAGCTTTTTCCAAAAGTCCGCAGCGTCAGTCTCGGCATTCGATCTGATCGAGCCCCGCTTGTTGTTAATCTTCGGTTTGCAAGTGCTCTGGTCAGCTCGTCTCACCTTCAATGCCATTCGCAGAGGAATGTTCAAGAAGGGAGAGGAGGACTATAGGTGGCCCTTGCTGAGGGCGAGCATGTCTCGCGTCGCTTGGGAGATCTTCACCCTGACATTCATCGCCATCGCTCAAAACATCTTGCTGGCCTTGACCGCCGCTCCCTCTTACCTCATCCTCACCGCTACCAGCGGCAAATTCAAGAACAGCCCTCTGCCAAATCCTCCTTCCTCGCTCGGTGTAGGCGATTGGGCCATCGCCGCTCTCCTCGTTCTGAACCTAGTCATTCAGTTCTTTGCGGACCAGCAGCAGTGGGAGTATCAAAACTTCAAGCGGGGCAAGGACAAGTACGGCAAGTCGCTCAATGCTAGCAAAGACGGACAGTCCAGTCTGGTAAAGCCAAGCGCAAGCAAAGGTCCTCTTGCACAGGATGGCACCGTATCCGCAGCAAAGGGCATCACGAGTGGCCCTTACACACCCCAAGATGCTCAAAGAGGTTTCGTCACAAAGGGTCTCTGGGCCTTCTCCAGACATCCCAACTTTGCCTGCGAACAGACGACATGGTGAGCATGCAGGGCAGAGCCCGAGCCATTGCCCTGGATTGTGATTCACCTTATTGACCTGTTCCACATCTGGAAACCCCCCTATTCAGGTGGATTCTTTACCTCTACGTTCCCCTCACATTCCTGCCTTCGTCTCCTGCCACGAGCGTGTTGCGCTACACTGCAACGTACGCTCTGATCTCTCCTCTTCTGATGAACATTCTCTTTTTCGCTTCCACCATCTATTCGGAGAGCGTGTCCGCCGGCAAGTATCCTGCGTATGCCGACTACCAAAAGCGGGTAGGCATGTTCTTGCCCTTGGACACGGCCGCCCGGAGCATTTATTTCGCTTTCATCGCGGGCGGCGAGACGAAGAAGGTAGTGGAGGAGAATGTGTGGGGCACGCCTACCAAGGATGCCGTCAAGAAGCAGTAAGAGGTGTTGAATGTGGGGTTCGCGAGTGCTCCTTGGCCCTCGACTTTGCCCAGTCATCTCGTCTCACGCAACCCCACCGGCATATCGGGCCCATCTCTACTGCGCTGGAAGATCCGCCAAGGTCGATCATCTGGAGCGCTGATTGCGGGGCATCCACCGCTCGGATGGGCGTGGTACAACAACGCGGTTCGGCATCCGAAAACCTTATATCCATGAGGGCATATTACACATGTACTCAGTCTGTTATCGGCGCGTTCTTGAAACATCTAATCAAGTGGAATGTCAAATTGAATCAAAAAGTCATGTAACGCCGAGAGGAGCGCACTAGCACCAGCATGATGGGCAAGCGCAGTGTCAAAGCCATGTATGAGAAATGGTGCGACTTGTCTCGGTGTCGGCCATGCCGGCTTTCAAAGTACTACTCGTCCTCTTCGTCCGATTCGATGATCGCGCGTCTACGTTTGGCGTGAGCTTGCGTCTTGACCGGCGAGACGGACAATCTCCCGGTTGCCTTTTCGAGCGAGCTGTCCGCCCGTTCATCTTCGCTGTCCAGCAAAGCTCCCCGCTTCTTGGCAGCGTTGCGCGATGCATTGCTAGCCATTCCGAGCGCCGACACCGACTCCTCGTCCGTCTGTTGGCCTTGCATCTCAACATCGCTCTCCTCTTGCCCTAGGAAAAGACCGCTACCACTCCTCGCATTCGATTGGCTGGATCTGTCACTGCGCTGACTTGAACTGCCTGACTTGCGGACAAGCCCAGATGGTTCTGCTGCCGGTGAGCTTGTAGCTGGCGTGGAGACAGATTTGCTACGGCCGCTCGAATTTGATGAGTTGCGTCTGTGAAGAGGGCGCCGCGGTGATCCAGCTTCATCGCTGTCTGACGCATCGTCGGTGTCGCTGTTGGTGCTCCGTACTCGCCGTATGGTCCGACCTTGCTCATTTCGATGTTCTTCAGCATCGGTAGCATGGTTGCCAAGGCTGCCCGACTCGGCGTTCGAAGCGTCGCGCTGAGCGATGAGCCTCGCAACCGCCTCCATTTCCTCGTCCGAGTCCTCGATGAAATCGCCCCTTGTCCATGCAGGTAGTCTATTCTTCTTGCGAGGCTGACCTGGTCCGCTTCGAGTGCGTCTGCGAGCGCTGGCAGCCTCTCGAGATTTCTGGATCGCGTGCTTTCTTGAGGTGGACGCATCCCCGCCCTCTTCGTCGCTTGTCGCAATGACGCTGCTCGCTCTTTTAGCATCGTCATGCGAGCCCTCCTCATCAGAGAACCCTGCTCGATTGCCACGTCCTTGCCGAGGAGCGCGCGGCTTGGGCACAAGCTTGACGAATGATCGGAGGGGAAGTCCTCCGGTGTCGAATCGGAAGCGGATTCCTTCGTCGATGTAGTTGGCGTCTTTATCTAGATCGGATGGCAAGAGGCTTGCAGGCACCCACCAGCGCCATCCTCCAATTTCGGCATCATCACTGGACAGACCTACGAGACGACAAAGCATTTTGGCTTCCGGCAGATAAGTTGCGTCATTCGCGATGTCTTCATTGGGGTATTGCATGCCTGATGAAATAGGTGACGCTCGCTTGCGTTCAGCGACCGCTTCAACCAGCGTAGATTTCGCTATCCACTACTCACGGAAGTCAGCAAACTTAGATAGCGTCTCGAGAGTTGGTTGCTCCGTTGAATAATCTTCGGCCTCCGCGTCCCGAATGATCTGTGCGCGCTCAGAACTTGCTAATTCCAGCCCTTCTCTGATCCAATTGACGGTGCGGATCTTGTTCAGCTCAAGTAGAAGGGATACGGCGATTCGAATGTCTTCGATATGTCCCTGGGAAGGTGTGATGGCGATCTCTCGCTTCATTTTGCGCTCTTTTACAGGCTTTGGTGGCGTCTTGTCCATCTCGTAGTGCTGCTTCTCCTCTGCAGAGAGCTTGTCAAACTTGTGCATGATGTATTGGATCATCTTGCGAGCGTCTTTGACTGCACTGGGGGCTTTGCCCTCCAAAGCCGGCAGCATTGGCCCTTCTGAAAGAGTCCGCAGTGTCTGACGATGAAAGAATGGGTAGAACAGCTGAACCTTCGCCGCACGAATGGCAATCCGGTGGATCACCCCTATGACCGCCGAGAGTTGCTCCTGTGGCGCTTCGAAGTCGCGCCATCTGCTCAGATAGTCAACGGCGGCAGCTGCAACCTCGGATGCGCACATATGCGACTGATACTTGTCGAACTCGAAGCGTCGTTCTTTGTAGACCACTTCAGCATGGTCTTTCGCTGACTTCTCCAAATCCGCGACCTCTTGATCATCTGCTTCCCCTTGTGCCGCACGAGCCTTAGCCTTTGCAACGCGCGATTTTGCCCTCACGTAGAGGTTATCTTTGTCTGAGGAGTAGCGCTCCAGCATGCGCGGCATTGTGTATGCAAGCGCAACAGTCGCTTCAAGACAAGCAAAGCTTCTTGCGGATTTATAGCTCCGCATGATTGTCTGGCTGAGCGCCAAGGTGCTACTCTCGTAGTAGAGTTGCGTTTGCAGACCTTCGGCTAGGTCTCTTTGATGCTCGCTGGAGCTTCTAGACATGGCGTCCACCATACGTAAGAGGCACGTCCAAAGCTGGACGGCAGTCACGTACTCCAGCCATTCGCGCTTCTCGAGTGAGCTTTCGGCGCGTAAGGTTGCCATCTTGAAAGACCAGTGTTCAAGCCAAAAGGAGATTTGGCTGAAGTCCCAACTTTCTCCGTGAACTTTTCCATCATCTGTCTGCGCCTCGTGATCGTGGACCCCTTGTTGCTGAGCATCCTTGTCGGTGTCCACAGCGCGGCCTTTGCCTTTGTCTGCTGCTCGCATGGCTTTCTCGCGGTCTTTTCGCTCACGTAATCGTCGCGCCTCTGCTGAGTGTTGCATCAAGAAGTAATCCAAGAAGAAGACAGACATCTCCATAGCCCGGACACGCGCCTCTTCAATGTTGCCGACCTTGGCGCTCTCGCGTCGAATGTCCTTGAGCACAGCACGCGTGAGCGCTGTGTCAGCAGACGTTGGCAGGTTTGTAAGCGGTGATCGCTGCATGCAGTTTCGGCCCGGGACCGACGCGACTTCACTTACGCTCAAATCCCAGTCTAAAGAACTTTTCTGTCCACACGAGCAGCACCGCTTTCGCATGCTTGGTCCACTCGGACTTGTGACGCGGCGCTCCCTGCTCATTAGCATTCTTGCGTCTACGGACTTTGCGCTTGTACTTGAGCAACGTCTCGGTCATAAGTTCGTCAGCCGTCTTGCGAAACGCGTTCTGCTGTCGCGATACTCTTCGCTGGCCGTCTGAGCCTGTGAAGTTGATCGCAGTTCCAAAGCGAGAGTGACGGGTATTTCCGGTTGCTAGCAACTGCGACTTCTTTTGACGAGCCTCGCCATCCAAGGAGGAGGCAAGCGCAGATGGCCGGATAGGTTTGTTCTGTCAATTGGAGCAGGTTTCTGAGTCAGTGCGAGCCCGTCCATAATAGCTGCTATGAGCTGTGCTCACGTCGAGAGAGGTGAGCGGGGGCCTCCGTGACAGTGTTGAGGCAGCGTCCTCAGCTTCAGTCGACTCGGGTGCGATGCCTGAAAGGTCGCCGACCAATGCTGCAGGTCGAGTGCCCGAGTAAATGTGGTAAATGCACTCCCCGGCAACGCTACTCCAAGGCTCGAGATCTCGCGTTTCTGCTCCACTAGCCATGGTGAGTATCGCGTCCAGGATATGTGCCGAGTGCATAGATACGATCAGGTCGCTCTGGGTTCTGGCAGCAGCGATGACGTCAGCACTGCTCAAAGCTGTAGCTTGGGGATCCCTGATAGCCAGAAGATTCCGGAAGAGGTGCATACACATGCTGATCGTGCCAGTGTCTCTGTCAGTGCGGTTTGGACGAGGCTTGGAAAGGGCTGGCAGGAGCACGTGCATCATGATTGTGGAGAGCACATCACGTTTCGACCCATGAGACTCGCCAAGGCGTGTGATGAGTATGTCACCCTTGTAGCGCTGCAGAGCGCGCTCCAGTATAATGATCTTTGAGAGCTCAGCTATGCGATGATCGTCTTCGTCTTGCTCCCTCGCTGCTCTCAACTCGGCCATTGCGTCCACAGGCCATGTCAAAGTCGTGATCAGGTCCACTGCGCAGAGGCATCGTACGCAAGATCAGCATCTCGCCATCCGACCGCCGGCGTGATCAAGCGTGCGCCACGCAAAAGCTCACCGCAAGCCAAAGCAATCTTCATGCCTCGTTCCCCGAGCTCGACCGCCTTGAGCAGTAGTGGCAGCAGGCCCCCTTGCAGGACATTGAGCTCGGCGTAAATTCGAGGAATTAGGCGCGAAGGATCGTCTTCGTCCTGACGCCAGAGCTGTCGCAAGTCTCGAAGGCAGCCTGCGGCCAGCGACATAAGAAAGCCACAGAAAGTAAAGACGTCACAGCGTGAGAAGTGCACTGGACGGGCGCTCCTTGTGAATGCAAAGGCACTTACGCAAGACGTCATCGCCAACGGTGTAGACCAGACGAATGCCATCCGGTGTGTCAGTCTCTTCCAAGCCTCCAATGGCAGAGACGATGTCCACGACCGTTGCTCTCAATGCCGCATACTGCTCATCTCCTGCCTCCGTCTCATCGTCTTGATCACCTTCTTGCCCTTCGCTAACAGAGCGGTGGGCGTCTTTGTTCAATTTGAAAGCGCGTCGACCTCCCCGTTCCCACTCGGAGTCAGCTTCCGAAGATCCGGTGCCTTCGGACGTCGCCTCCAGGTCGTACTCCTCCATCAGCTCGATGTCGCTCTCCGAGTCCATGATGGCTTGCAGAAAGAAGCAAAGATTGTCGTGTGTGGTGGTCGGTTGCGCTGTTCAGCGAGTCGATGATGCTGTTTGGCTTTGTTTCCGCGTAGTAAAGCTCCGGCCGCAGGGGCCCTTTGTAGCCATTGATCAGGCGAGGTAGTACAGGGTTACAAAGGTGTGCAAGATGACCGCGACAAGAGGCTAATTGTGAGAGGCGAGTAGTTTGCGACCTGAGCGCGTTCATTCACGATATCGCGGTCGTGACTCTGGTGTTCACGACTGAGGAAATACGAGTCGCTCGGACGCGAACTTTAGTCACGAATTGATGCAACGCGTCGCGCGCGTCGTTATGGCGGAGCTCCGCGGCGAACCATTAATGATCTTGTGTTCTAACTAAGGTACCGAACGCGTCGCGCACGATCTTGGATGTCTTGAGCGCGCGAACGCGGCAGCGCAGTTAAGACTCAATCGTGACGACTTTTGTCCGCGGACGACCGAATTATAGTCGTGAGTATATGCGTAGGTGCACAGTACGTCTCAAAACCACCAGCACACAGCATGTACGCCAGCGTCCTGCGATATTTGTAGCGCGATATACATTTAGCAAGAGCATCATCGGCGGCGCCTGGATGAGTCAAGCCCCAGGATCGACCGTGTCACGCCCCTGCATCACATCGAAGATCTACCAGCACTGCGACATCGCCACAGCAGCCCCCGCGAAAGCTATCAGCAGCCGCAGTCGTCGAGAGTCACGGATACAGTGCTTTACATTGCGGCCGCGGCGCTGGCTCCCTCCCGCATCGCTGTGACTCGGGCGTACAACAGTCGCAACAGTCAGAGCACCTCTGCGGTACCCGTGAGGTCTCATGCATACAGATCGATCACTTCTCGTGTTCCACCACAATCTTGAATCAAATTGTTTGATCGCAAGTAGACATCGGTTCAACCTCCTTCGCTCGTTGAGTCAGCAACAATGTCGACTGATGCCAATGCAGATCAAGCTAGCACCTCTGCGCCCTGGTTTTCGCCTGCCCAGGCTCAGGTCGCGCCTACGAAGGCAACAACACGCCCGTCAGCCTCCGATTCAGCTGCGAGTCCAGGTCACTCTGCTCCCGTGGTGACAGGCGTCTCTGAAGTTACTACTAGCGCAGCCTCGTCGACTGTGCCAGCTATAGCCGAAAGTGCAAAGCGCGGCGCGACTGCGCCTGGACCACTGCTCGACAGAGCCGAGGTTGCTCGCGATCAGAACATCTTCAGGCCCAATGGAGAGATCGTCTTTCCCAGATCCGATGGAGACCCTGAGTATGGTCCGCCAAACACGGCCCTTCCCAAACCGACAGACTCGGAAGTCAACTACTACCACAGTCAGTATACACGAATGGGCGGTGTGGCACGGTTATGGACACGTACTGGAACAGCTGCGCGAGCACTGCTGACGTTTGCTCCCTGACATTGCCGCTGCGTTCAGGCTGGGGAGATATAGCAACGGCGGAAAGAGACTGGGGAAGCAAAATCGGCAGCTTTTTAGCTCAGGAATTTGGTCTACCCGCCAGTGAGTAGGCGTTTGCCAGAACGTCAGACAACATTGTCCATGTGTGTGTACGCGCTGCGCCTTATCTACAAGTTCCAACCTGCTTGGCACAGACCCACCGCAAGGCAAACGTTGGTTCGTCGGGCGCTTTCCTAAGCACTACGAGATGACAGAGCAGCGCAAGGGTCTGCAGGTTAGCCCGCGTACGGATCCGTATTTGTTCGGCTCAAAAGCGCATCGGTTCCGCAGCGCCGTAGAGAGCCATGCACACTTCATCCTCCTCTTGCTGGATCCTACCATGGATCCGCGAAATTGCTCGTGCAAATACTGCAAGGGCAAAGGTACGGAGCCTAAGACCTCCGCCAGCTACATGCCCAAAGGGCCCAAGGCGACGAAGGCTGCCGCACCTCGGACCTCGAAAGGCAATGATCGAAAAGGCGCAACGGGCAAGAGGCGAAATGTACGTCTGTTGCCTCATCGCGGCCCTGCTTACCTGGAACAGAGCTGACGTTCTCCTTGCAAATATCCTTGCACCTCCCCTTGTAGGTCGATGCACCCAAGCCAAATGAAGCTTACATTCGTACTCGCCGCCTTGTGAAACGCGATCACCTCCCTGGTGTACCCATCCACTCCGCTCCAGAGCGCGAGGCTGAGCTGGCCCGAGGAACCCCTCAAAGAGGTCAAAGAGAAGGCTTCAGAGCTGGCGAAATGTGTTGGGCTGCCTTACCCGAACCCGTCGAGGCGCCCAACAAGGATCCCACAACCCGCGTAACTCATCTCATCGTCACTATCGACAGGAAAGATTTTGACGTGACCGTGGCTCCTGATGTCGGTGAAACTCCAGGCAGCTTCGATCTCACCGGTAGAGTGTCTCATGCTCCAGTCTACCTAGTCAAGGTCCTTGGGACCAATGAGCTTGTAAGGTAAAATGTATCGAGTTCGAGCGCGCTCTGTAGCTAACGCAAGCACTCCAACCCCTGGTCAACACAGGCCAGAGTGAAAGAGGAAGACCTGATACCTTTGTTAGCATTCAATGTCGCGGGCGAGCTCACGCAATGGTTGAAGGTCGACCCTGCAGAGGTGCCGTGGCTCGAGGACGATTTGCCGCCTCCCCTTCATCTATTCCCAGGTGAGCTGAACGTTTCGTCAGCGAGATGCTCATGTAGTCCCCAAGACCTATGCGCTCGCGATGTGGCTGCTCACCTTTGCTTTGTCATCCTTTTTGGCCCCTTTCAGATCCAAATGCCATGCCGGCAACAACTGAGACTAGACCAAACTTCGTCACCATTGTCTCGGCATTTGCTCACGGGCTGCGAATCGCATCTCTCATTCGTTCTACATTCACCCCTACGGACAGCTTCAAAAGGGATTCTTGGGGACTTCCTGCGCCGACAACGCACCCCATACCAAATGTACCTGACGCTTCGAAAGAGCGGAGTGGGGCTCAGAGTGGAGCGAACCAGAACGGAGAAGGTGGTAGTCCAGCTGCCGGTGCTGGCAATGCTGCGCCCGGCGGTGATGTTCCTCCCGCACCACACCAGTCGGGTCCAGAAGTGGACAACAACCTCTACTATCAAGGTATTCTTTTTGGGCCCGAGAGAATCTGGGTAGGCGACACGGTACGCCTGAACTTGAGCGCTGCACAGGTCAAAAAACTGCTACACGACATGGGTCCCAATGAGAAGATGCCAGGTGTGTCCTCCAATGTCAACGTCCCTTTAGTGATGCGCATCAAAGCCATCTTCACGCCCGAGAAAAAGAAAGCAAAGCTCTCGGCAGCAGAGGTGAACGCAGCGGCCGAAGAGGAGGAAAGAGCGGCGGCGCAGGGCATTCGGGACAAATCGGCCGCAGCTGACGACGCAGGGGAGGAGCCTGTGGAATATCGCATCGCCGGCGACCTGTACCAGGTCTTGGAAGAGGAGGAGGCAAAGAAGCTTCAACTCGAGAGTCACATGGCGCCGACGTCGACACTGGGCCCTGTTGCACGGAGTACGTACGTCATACCCGTTCGACCTTTTCTCGTCGAGCTTCCATCCAAAGTGAGTCGTTAGAGCCATTTAGTGGCGGTATCGTCGCACTTCGAGAGCTCAACGCCGCCGCTCTGCCCGCTGCGCCCAGCTCCCGCCGTCTGGTATTCTTCCAGAGGGTTTCACCTTGCAACGCGTCAACCAAGGCAGCATCGAGGTTGAGTGTCCACTCAGCCAGATCGCGGGCCGCTTGTGGACGAGCTACGCGCCCTCCGAGCCACTTCCTCGCAAGGTTTTGGAGCAGCGGGAGGTGCCGCTTCAAGCGCCATCGCAAGAGGCGACGGACGCGTACACTGTGAGCACTCCGTCTTGTTGCGAGCACGCGGATTGATTGTGCAGCCCTGACCCTGTCGTGTGTGCTCGATCAGGTCTCGTTGAGTTTGGCAGGACTCTTGCCTGGTCATCTCAAGATGGTTGCGGCAGAAACACCAAAATTGGATCGAGACCAAGCCGTGCGAGAATGCGAGGGAACGGCCCGCATGCTGTTGCGTGCTTACATTAAGAACGAGTGGAATCTCGGTCGCGCAGCTGATGACGGTGAAGAGGCCAATTCGGAGTCAAATGGCGAGGGTAACGGATCTGTCGAGAAGCGCAAGCGCGGTCGACCTAGCGGCAGAAAATCAAGCACGACGGATGCTGAAGGTGCTCGCAGCTCACCGAAACCCGCTGGACACACATCCGCAAGCGGTACTCCAGCAGCAAAGAAAGCTAGGAAGAGCGCAGCCTCGGATATTTCGGGCTCGCCATCGACCTCCACGCCGATAGCAAAGCCAAGAAAGAAGTCGGCAGCGTCGGCGGCGTCTGCGCTCGCGGACAGAGAGGAGAGTCCGCCTTTGCCTCCTGGTTGGATCAAGAAAGTCAGCAGAAAGGGTCAGGGTACATACTATGCAAATCCAGAACTCAGAAAGGTGAGTGCACAGAGCCTCATTATGAATTACTCTTGCCCTTCGTTGGTGGAGCGCCGGCTGACTCCTTGGCGTCTGTGGATGTCATTGATGTGCAGGTCTCTTGGGAGCGACCGTAGCCGCTCTGGCGTTCTCAAGGCCGCTTCACGTGCGCTTCGCCATGCTCTGGTCGCATTGCCATGCTCATAGGCGGCCCGCGCTCGATAGATCCTTCACAATAGCGTCGTAGACACTGAAAGTGCTTCGAGCTCATGTATGTCACCCTCACGGAGCTTAGCGCGACGCTGTAAAAATGCTTCAAATTTGCGAAGCGAGCCATCTTGCCGAGTTTGGCCAGCATGCGGTGGCACGCTCCGCCGCATTCGATGTAGGGGTAAAGCCTGCGCTCACGAAACTTCGCAAACAAGAGGCAACGCGCACATTCACATCCATGATGCTTGGCGTCCAACATGAGACGCGCTGAGGGAGTCGGTGTGGTCACCGCAGTGTTTCGGGACCGCACAGTGGAGATGCGGTGACGTCTTCATGTCTCGCTGCTGAGCTGGATGGCGGCCGGAGGAACCACGTGGGTCATGTTTGTACCGTCACTTACACTGATACCCGCGGACCGGCACACGCGGCATTCAGACGAGGATCAAAGAGTGGCAGACAGTCAGTCATTCGCATGCACGATTAAGCGGGTCTTGACGCCAGCCGGCCTACTCTGCGATGCGAGGTGTGGACCGTTCGATCGAGGTGCGAAAGGAGGAGAGGGCCATGAGGCAGCATTTGACAGGTGGGTGAACTTGTTGCGGCGGGCTGGGTGCGCGCGCGTGGGACGTGCGCCACCGCCGCCGCCGCCGCCGCGAGGTGCGTGCATGGAGAGCATCAGTGGGAATTGAGCGTTTGTGCTACACGCACGCTTGCATGCTTGCGCCGCTCTGCTGGTGCAGAGCTCTCGGATCAGCAAGTCACAAGTCCTCAGTGCGGTGGCGGCATGGCCCAACGTTGCCGCGATGTGGACATGTCGTCAGCACGATTACCGCCTCGCTCGGCGGTGCGAAAAGGAAAAGAGAATCACTCACACTGAATGACCGAGCTCCTTTTTTCTCAGCAGAACATCTCTCCGGCGCACCGCTCTGCTGCTGGCTGGCTTTGGTAAATCGAGATTCGCGCCATGCAATAGGGCCCCTTCTGCGTGAGTGCCAGCTGCTTGCCCGCCAGTCGGAGTCGATATCGGATTGTGCCAGGACGGTCGAGACGTTTGGCTGCTCAAGTCGGCCAGCCAAATGCTGAACAAGCTACAACAACAGTCTTCGAATGCAATGGTCTTTTCTTCGAATCCTGATCCTCCTCATCAGACGGCACTCGCTGAAGTCAGGGTGACGGCCACGCCGGCTCTGGTGCAATCTCCGCAGTAAGCGCTAGCGTGCACGGCTCTCCGCCCCTGTCCGTCGCGACTTCGACAGAAGAAGTACCAAAGCAAGTACGTTTGTCAAAGCGGCCCGTCCGTCGGGACGAAAGACTCCGGCCGTGGCAGAAGTAGGGAGTTGTGGAGGAAACATTTGCACCGTCGTTGGTTAGCCGACGTGACGCCGTGCCGAGCTCGGTCGAGTTGCAAGTCGGCGTCAAACTTCGGACGGGCAGTTCAGAACCTCTCTGCTCTTGTTGTAGTCCGCGCTTCTACGCTGCTCGCGATGCAGGCAAACTACTTCAGTGCATCCGCAGCCCTCGGCTCGAGTGCTCGATCGAAGCTCTGCAATCCTCGTGGCTGGGATGCGGTGTGTCCCCTAAGCGCGAGCCGTGCCCTCGGCAGCATCGAGGTGCTTCTCTATGAGCTGCAACAGGTTCCTCTTCATAAAAGGTTCAAGAAAGCCGTCAATGATCTGCCTGCGCACGTCTCTCAACACATCGATCTCGAGTCAAAGGCCGGTTGGAATATTCTCCGGTCGACGTCCTACTGGCAACATCCTTCCAACTCTCTGCGGAACCAGCGGCAGATCAAAAAGGACTGTGCATCCGATTTGGGGATCAGAGCGGCCCGACAATAGTTTTCTTAGATTGATTCTGCCCGTATGGGAAGGGGTTCGTGCTCAACGGTCCCTCATTCAAGGTGCATATCGACCCCTCTACAAGAGGAGATCGCCGATCCATCCACGATCCAAATCTAACGACTTGGTGAGTGTGTGTGTGTGTGTATTGTGCGCACGAGGAACCGAAGCCGAGTCTAAGGTGTATGTTTCTTGCGATGTCAGGGTGTTGTTGAAGCACTGGGTCTGAGCAAAGGAGCTCCCTCCGGTATCATTCCTCTTCGTCGAGCCGCGCTTGCGGAGATTTAGTCAAGAGCAGCCGTTGCGCTTGGATGCAATAAGTAGGCTGTAGCTTCAAAAAGCTGAACAAACTTCCAAGCAAGCAGCTCATCTTGCGCTTTGCCGAGCCTCTGCTCCTTCTCAAACAAACAGACGATCAACCAATCGACCAATCGACACTCTACTGCCCCTTCCTGGAGTCTGGATCGCTCTCAGTCCCAGCGCCTCGGCCGTGCGGCGCTTCGTGCCTCTCCTCGCTTCGCAGTCTCCACTGCTAGGAAAAGGATTCGCCAATACCGCCAATCACGTTCCTCATCCTCTTGCATCGTCTCCCTGTCTCACATCCAGACCAGCCCTCAAAGTGTCAAAGGCGAGACAAATTGTATAATCAGGGTGAGTTTGGAGAGGCTCGCGTAGTCTCGCGCCCGTACAGCACAAGTGGTAGCTCGAGCACGTTTCCAGCATGATTTGCAACGGCGACGGCGTGGTGCGATCTGAAGTGGCAAAAGCGGCAAGGGTGGGATGTTTAAGTGGATGTTCAAGTAGACTCTTCTGTAGAGTTGAGTCGCTGAGTGTCAAGTAGAGCGCCAAACAAGGCGCGTCTGCGCAAATGGCAGGCCCGCGGACTGTCAGCGAGCTTCATCACGATCCCTGAAGCAAGAAGATGTCATGCATGCGTTTACGGCAGCTTGCGCAGGAGGGAGTGCTGGTCTGGCCGGAATTGGCCGGTTGCGAATCAGTCGACAGCGAAAGTAGCTTTGCGCAACGATCCCCAGGTCTACCAACTTTGCCTCCTGCAGCGCTCCAAGGGAAGGCAATCAGATGCCAGGCTCTGCGATCACCTCAGATTTGGATCTCTGATCGCTCTCAAGGACAGCAGATGATTGACCTTCAGATTTCCTTTCCCTTGCCCGCTCTCATGCCCTCACTCGACCATCTCTGACTGTCGACATGCCGCCGATCTGGTCATCGTCTGCATGCAACATGCACTTTCGTCAACGGTCCTGCCGCACCATACCCTTTCCCTTTCCGACTCGCTATGTTCTACTCGTCCAATGGGCTACAAAATGTGCCCCCTCTGGACTCAAATTTGATTCCACGTCCTCCTCCCGCAAACGTCTCTTTTCACCCCGCTCAAAATGGACCTACAACGTCTCCCTCACGGTCGATATCCTGCACTGGAATCTACAATTCGCGACAAAATGGTTGCTCAACGTCTTAGACGTGCACTAGAAGAAATCCTCGCCGACTCCTCCTCCCTCCCTGCCTCGCTCGATACCCGTCTAACACAAAACGCTGCAGCCGACGACTGGAGTCGCCAAAGCACTGACTTTACCGTATCTGGAGAAGAGCTCCGACTTATTTCTCCTATTGTGAGTACAGCCGCTGCGCGCAATTCCGGTCCACGAACTCACAGTCCCTTCTTTACAGGCTGGCGCGATAATGTCGTCTCACTTTCAACAGCATCAGCCTGGCCTAGAGACGTCCAGTCTCGGACTAATTTGGCCGGACACGCGCCAGCAGATCACGGCGAACACGTTCGACATGCCTTCCGACCTGCAAGCGCTCAACACGGCAAACGTCCTGGCCAACCAAAGCAGCTCTGGCGCGGAAGCACGCGATTTTGCCGAAGCTCCGTATCAATTGCGGAAAAGGCGACCGACCTTGTCATTAGATTCTGGCGCGACGAGACCGCATGCGTCCGACACTGCTATTTCTGGACCCCATGACGTGCAACGATCCTCTTCGTCCAGTCGTCTGGCCCCTCGAGCCGCATTTAGACAAGGCAAGAAACGCAACAAGATGTCTCAATGGCAGCTAGAGGTCCTCGAAGAATTCTTCGATCACAACGCCAATCCGATCGGCCAGACACGAGCTGACCTGGCCAAGAGAATCAATTGCTCGGATAGAAGCGTACAAAGTGAGTCCAATGCAAAGGTCGATCGCAACCTTGATCCGTTGCCAAGCGGAGCTGATGTCGTTCCGCGATGCTCTCTTCACTCACAGTCTGGTTTCAGAATCGGTGAGTCGAGCACGCATGACGTTGTCTTGTCAAATGAAGCTCGCTACATCGACGGTGGACCCCTTCAAGACTTGTGCCCGTGTGGGCACACCCATTTTCATATATTGCACTTGATGTGACGATTTTCCTGCCAAGCGTCAGATATCCTGGCTGACCAATTTCCCAGGCGCGCTCGCGCAAACCCTCCTTACAAATTGCAATTTCATTTCAAATACTCTATGGAAAAACTACATCGACGTATTCGATGCATTCTCGACGCTCGCAGCCGTCAAAAACGAAAGGCATCAGGCGGGGCGCCGGGCCCCAACGTCCCTCAGACTGGACGCTTCAAGAGCGAGACCTCGTCTCTTCCGCCGCCCACTCCAGCCAGTCTGAGGCACAGTCTCGGTGGCTCCACGTCCGCGAGCGCCTACACATCCCCTTCCACGACTCAGCTTGGACTCGCGGGAGGCGTAGATTGGGAGAGCTCGGCTGGGTCTTTGTTCTCCGGCTTGGAACGTGAGTCATGAAAGTCCAGCAGTCTGACTTCCAACAGCTGCGATCTAACATGACCTACGCCCAACTGGTAGCGAGCATCAAGTTTCCGGTAACTTCTTTGACAGTGGGCACTTGGCGTCGAGTCCAACCTGGTTTGACTTGCTTTTTCTCGCGAGCAAACAAGCGTTTCGAATGGCGTCTGATCAATGATAGCATCGGGTTCAAGCTCGAACTGCCTTGGAAGATTGTCAAAAGCATTTCGCTGGAAGGGCCTTTCGACTCGGCGGGCGCCGCGCAAGTAAGTCTTGGAACATGCTCCTGGCCTCATCTGTCCCGAGTGACAAGGCTGACGCCAAGTCTGCGTCCGGCAACCTATAGGGAAGGATCTCCATTCAGCTTCATCGAGCTCCACTCTTCTACCTCGAAGTCTTTCGCAGCAATGAAAGAGATGGGTCAGAGAGCACGACAAAGTCCTGGCGTCAAAACGACGATTTCACTCAGGAGCGACAGGCCAGCGAAGTGTTGCTCCACGAACTAGAGGGTCCTTACGAGCAACTACGAGTTGCCGTGCATCATCTCATGACGCTCGAGCCCGGTCTGCGCCTGCTCATGCGCTCCAGTGGTATCAACGCTGCACAGATGTTCATGTCCCCGAGTCCAACTACTGGAACGAGTTCTGCTTTTGCTACAGGAACACCGTGGTCGACTGCGCTGCAAGCCTACCAAGACCCGAACGGGCATGCTGGCAACACGTTGGAGCTTTTCGACGCCACCGTCGATCGGGCGCATCCACACGGCTCGGGGAGGATGCAGTTCCAGCCTGGTCACGACATGAGTGATCTTTACAGGTCGACATCCTTCCCTTCGCCAGGCTTTGACGCTCTTCCCGGCGGGTTTCCCAAGCCAAGTCCAAATGGGTCGGCGGACAGCATACCATGGCCCCAATCGTCGCCAAGCTTGCTTGATTCCGCGTACGATCCGGCACTGGGCTTTGCATCTACGCCGCTGAGCTCCCCTGCCTCGACCAATCTAGCCTCCTTGACTGCAAGTCCGATCACCAACACGTCGCTTGGTCTGGGCGCCTTGCGCGTTCACGACCGCGATGCTTACAACGAATTTGCGAATGGCCACATTCCAGCGCCTTCCAGCATTCCGACGTCGGCGCCACCCAGCATGACATCCTGGCCAGCTTTGGATTGGTCGAGGCCTAGCCAGGCCTTCACCCGTGCATATGGAAGCATCGGAAGTGATAATCGATTTGTTGCTCAGCCGACACAGCCGACACAGCCGGCACAGCCTCCAAATTCCTATGTCAAAGTGCTCGAGCACGGAACGATGTCGGCTCCTCCCCACGGTCGAATGGCTCCCTTGCCTTCCATCAGCGATGCTGCCCAAGAACGTGGCTCTGAATCAGGCTCTACACTGAGCGTAGGAATGGGCGTCAGCGCCATGTCCAGTTCCTCCACTCATGGCTCCCAGCCCACGTCCATGCAGCACACTGAAGATTCGCCTCTGAGCGACCCTCCCAGCGGTTCTGCGGCTTGAACATCTCTGCATTCTCGTGTGCTCTTCCTAATACAGCTAAAGATCTCTTCTCCGCGCCCCTACTGTAGTGTAGTCCGTCTCGCATTCCCTAAGCAAAGTGGTAATCTCGTCCTTAATCCTGTCGCCAAAAGCTTCATCGCTCTCTGAGATGAGCATGCACCATCTTTTTCTCTTCGCCTCCTTGTACGCCTCCTCCGATGCCATCTGCACACTCTTTCTCACGAGAAATGCGCTGTCGCTACCATCGCTTGGTCGTCACCCTTATCCGCTCGTCTACAAGCTTTCGCTGTGCCAGACAATCTAGCTAATGAGAAGAATCACTCGATCTTACGATCAAAGAAATGCGATTGAACGTTGAACAGACCGGACGAAGAGCTCGTGAAGGTGCGTCTTTACACCAACCAGCCTTTGCAGACCGCGCCTTCCCTGTGACCCGCTTTGCCTGCTGCCTCTGGCCACTGCACAACGAAGCGATCTACAAAGGGCCTCAAGATCCTCGCCGTCAGGCTCAAAGACTTTACGCGAGCAAAGGACTCCACGTACAAGAGCTTTGGGGAGGGCATGCCGACAAACTGTCAAGACGGATCGTTGAGCGTGTTAGCATTCTTTTGCACACAACGAAAGAAGCGATGCAGTATGAAGACTCACGCGCAAGACGTACACTGCAGCTACCAGCGGTACGCAAGTTCCTGGGCCGTTCATGAGCACGACGTCGAAAGCGTGTGTGTTGAACGTCGCCGCAGTGCCAGCGGAAAGCGGTGCTCGGCCCTGAGCGCTTGCACTCGTCGCCATGCCGAGCCGAGCCTTGATGACGGGCAGAACGATGAGCTGAAAGCAAGATGCAAAGGAAATGATCGTCGTGATGGGCGAGGTGAGAAAGCTTTGCTTGACCGCTCTGGCGCGTGGAAGCACTTTGACTGCATAGTCATTGGCTTCGCCGTCCTCCCCTTCAGCGCCAGAGGCAGCCGCCGCGGCGCTACGGGCCGCGCTCATGCTCGCCTCCAAGCTTTCGACCTTTGAGCGACTGAACGCATCTGTTCCGGAAATGAGGTACACTCGAGGTCCATAACGAGCTGGCGAGAGCGCGCTGACCAGTTTCAGCATCTCGGCGGTATGTCCGCCTGCATTCATCGAGAGCAGGTAGTCGAGACGTGCTCGAGTCAGCTGAAAGGTGGGACTCGAAAAGGCAGAAAGACACTGACCCTGCTTCCACTCGCACCCATCACTGACTGACCAGGCTCCCCATCGCTTGCTTTGACATAGCCTGCAACTCACCGCTGCCGAGGAATATGGCCACGCTGCATCTTCGATGATTAGCTGTGCGGACGGACGTGGATGGACCTCGCGCTCTGACATGGGATGGCAAGATGTACACCAACCTCGCCAATGCCAACGAGCTGATGAGGCACAAGAAGAGGAGAGCGAGCGACAAGATCCGTACGTATGTCATGGTGATACCCGATGACTTTCCAGTACGGCGGCTTGTGCTCTCGTTTGAGAGGCGTGGCCTTATCTTGTGCGGTCCCACGCGATTTCTGCTTGCTGCCTCCTGATCACAGCCGAGATGTGCGCCTTGTATGCTGTGCTACGCTATGCGTGCCTGCTGACGTGGCAGCCAGTCGTGAGTGGATCAACAAAGTCGGGTCACGCTCTTACCAGCAAAGGTCAGGTACTTTTGATCTCTCGATGCTAGCGACACACCATCCGCGTGTCCCAAAATTTGGATCCGATGGAGGTGGAGGTAAGAAGGCAAACAACACGCATTTCGCGCGGGCACTGAGTGCTATACCAGGGCCGGTGCAGACGCGTGCGTGTATGCGTGTACCGGTACCCACAGTGTGGATGAGTAGATACATGTCATCAGAAGAAGCTTTGTGTGAATACTCCATCGTGCTCATCACCACTTTCAAACGAGGACCACCGTGCGGTAGAAGTTCGTTCGGAACAGCATACTCGTCCACTGCATCGACTCCTCAGTCGGCAGAGACCGAGCATGCCTACAAAGAACGGCAGTCGATGCTCAAAGCATATCATAGACATTCGCCACGCCACGAATGCGTCTGCGGAACTACAAGAGTACACGTACAATTACAATAGAGTGGGCTGCGGAGTTGAATGGAGAGCTGGACTGTATTAAGGACCCTGTGTATGACAGTGGTTCCAGGAGCGAGACGATGAGCTGAGATGTAGCAGGGCGACAAGTACACGTGTGTTGATTGGAACGTAGGCGAGTCTAGACGGGACTCGGATGCAGAACAATGGACGACGAGGTGCTGTAGGCGTAGACGTTGGGCTGGCGGGAAGCGGTGGTGATTGAAAGATGGTAAAGGCGCCGTGACTCGACCAAGCACGTGCGATTTCCGTGTTGCGTGGCAGGCAATCTCAAAAGTAGACGCGATGAGCTTCGCCAATTCTGCTCTCAGTGGGACAGTAAGGGCACTTGACTCGTCCGCTTCCCTTGCCGATCTTGCTCAGAGACTCCAAGCAGACGACGTGCCCGCAAGTCATCATCATCGGCGGGTTCTCATCCGTTCCTTGCTCCTTGGAGACTGGGCAGGCAAACGTTGAGTGAAAGCGAAGATGGGGCGGCAAAGGTATCTCGACCTGTGCAAAGCGAGAGGCAAGGGCACTCGGTCAGACCAAAGACACGTGAAGATCAAAGGCACGCTGTATTCTGCATGACCAGCGTACTCACCGGCAGCTCGTCGGCTTGGCTCCACTCGTTGCCGCTTTGCTTCATCACAGCCCTGACTTTAGCGATGCGATTCAGCGCGCCGCCCGCACCGACTTCGACAGCTAGCTTTAAAGGCGCTTCCTTCGCCACGCCTTTCCTGGCGCACCACTCTGCTTCAAAGAGCGGCGCGAGTAGTGGTCCATGCATGGTGTTGTTGTCCAAGAAATGGCGGTACTGCAGCGGCATGCTCGTAAACAATACTTGGTCCGAAAGGTCGCTGGCATGTGGCTGGAGGAAGACGAGGAAGGTGTACAGCTTCTCAACCTCGACCAAATGCGTGTGCATGAACTTGGGGAATACCGTATTTCCATACTTCATTGCGTTTAGTTGGGAAAGCATTGGATTGGGATTGGGTTCGGCACGACCATCCCCAAATCCGTGCTGGTTGATGACGCCGCTCATGCTCATCGTGGGATGAGCATCGTGATAAGTTGAGTGGGCTTCGTTGCTGTGCCCATCCTCGGATGCACCGCCACCTTCTTCCGGTGCATCCGTCCAGTGCTCCATCGTTGCGTCCCCGTCGGTGCCATCGACGTGAAGCCTGATGTTGCCGTTCCTGTGCAAGGCTCTGCCCCGCGCCGATGTCTCATCAGGATGCTCGAGACGACCAGTAGCCAAACGCAGGAACACGCTTCGGTGCAATACAAATTCCAGCGGAGACCCTCTGGCAGCCAGCCACTTGCTGTTCGTAGTTGCCCATTCGATGGCGAGTCCAGGCCGCTCGGCGTGCAATGCTTCCAAGACCATTGTGAGCTCCTTAAAATTGACGTGTGGTGAAGGGTGCGGAATGCCTGCTTCCTGTCAAAAATTTGGCTCACGCTGTTAGCTGAAGTGAGAAAACTTGGCAAGCTATGCCTTCGTGTACACATGTAGCACACTTGCTATGTCGTGACAGAAGGTTGTGTGCACAGCCTGCAGCCCGGACCCCGTGAGGGTGCGCAGCGGCCAAGGCAAGAGGTGCGGTCTGCAACGAGAGCAAGCAAGACAGTGCAATCTCTCCTGTGTAGAAGCGCTGCAAAGAGCGACAGCCTCGACCAGCGCTATGCAGCAGCTATTCGATACGATTGCCCTCGCGACGCGCTTCAGAAAGATCTCGAGAGGGCACACATGCTCCCTCGACGCGATGTAGGACGGCTATGACTCAAACGCTGGACATGTAAAAGTGGGCCGGGAATCGCTTCCCTTCGAGGCCCGTCCATGGCTCTTAAGACCATCCATGTGGTGGTGGGGAGCGGTAGACAGGCTGATAGAAGCGGGAAACCGGCGCGCATCGTCCGACTCACTTTTTGCAACGTCTCGGCAGCCTCCCACTCCCCGGCTCGCATGAGATGCAGAGCTACAGTTGAGTCGAGCGCATACTTTGACGCGGGCGAGGAGAAGAGGTTGGGATCGGCTATACCACTCAAGCTGGATGGAAACTTTTTGTCCAACGCTTTGCCCAGTCGAGCCAGAGCATTGTAGTACTCCTTCACGCGCGTAGAGCTGCTGGATTGCAACGAGGCAAAGGCGTCCGCGAGGAGGGGTAGATTGGGACTGGATGACGCTCGTTCCGTCTCGAGCTGAGTGATGAATGCGTCCAAGTTCGAAGCGAAGGATGAGGGCACAGTGCTGTTGTACAGGCTCGGCGCTCGTGCTGAGAGCTTGGACAGATCAGAGAGCAACGAGTCCATCTTTGAATTTTGGGGAGTCCGCGCGAGGTGAGGGGAGGCGTGAGAGAAGTAGACGAGCTCTCGCGCGAGCTGGGGCGACAAGCGCCCTCGACGGCTGTAAAGGGCTTGTCACCTGAGATGTAAGCTCTCTGCACGAACAGACAGCGATCTTGGTGTCGTGGTCGTGGTGGTGGGAGCTAGGGGTTGCAGCGTATCGAGGCTGCATCGGCCACGCCGCGTGCAAAATTGATGACCGCTTCACTTGACTCACACTCATGACTATAGGTGGCTGCATCACGCCGCTAAGACGGTCTGCGGGCGCGCGCGCGCGCAGCGCTTGCGAGCCACGCGAGGGCCCATTCACCACTCACACGTGCAAGAGGTCAACTACGGCCAAACGATCACCCACATTCAATTCGTTTCAAATGTCTGCTTGACCTCGGCTGCTCGAACGTCGTCATTCTTCATTGTCGAGTCAATGATTCATCAGTGCATGGTCTGCATGTGGTTGGGTGAACTTCGAGTTCGAAACCTTAGAGAGCAAGCGAGCTTCTGAATCAACCCTCAAGATTTGTTCCTGCAGTCGTGAGTGTGCGTGCAACAGCAAAAGACGCGAAGAGATGATCGAATAAGCGATACATGGCGAAGCATTCATGAGACATATTCGAGATTGTGTATATCGAACCTTGATTTGAATGACATACAAAGCTCCCCAGCTGACCTCGGCGCGAATCACATGATACAAAGGTGGGTTCGGCCCAACGATCCATGGTCCAAACCCCGGGGGCTCGGTCCGTGCTACCGTTACAACTTCGACCTCGCACCGCCTTGTGCATCTTTCAAATCGCTTTCCAGCACCTCTGCAAGGAGCGTTAGCCCTTCGAGAGCGAATCGGTGCATGTTCTGTCGGGTTTGGGGTGCGCTGGTAATCTAGTCAGTGAAAGCGGCCGAGAAGGGTTGAACAGTGGGCCATGCAATCAACGAAAGGGTGCGCACCTGCACGCGATCCTCGCTGCCCGTCCTAATGACCCGTGTAAATGCTCGGCCTTGCGGACGAGAGACTGCGACGCAGGTGAAGCCGCTGAAAGGAAGAACGCATACACGCAAGGTGTTCAAATGGGCTACGCGCAATCTTGCAGGCCGACGGAGATGGCCTCGACTCACGCTGGCAATCTCCGCCCAATACCGTGCGGTCCCGCTATGCCACTCTCACCCACGGCGTAATCCGCACCCAGCTGCTTTGCCACACTCTCAGCTAGACCAGATACAACGGCATCGGTAGGACCTCTAAAGGCAGCATGCAGCCCATCAAGAGCGACTGAGCAACTTCCATGGCAAAAGTCAAGCAGCGACCCTGTGATGGTCGTGACTCACCTGTAATTCCTGAGATCCGCCTCTGTCCATCCAGCCCAGCTCACTCGGCTTTCTGAGCAAGTCGAGGCACAATTACCGTCAGCCAAGGCGCTACCAAGATCAAGCGAGCGATGACGCACCTTTGGTGTACAGCACGCCTCCACCCTTGTACCACGCACCGGCCCCATCCACACCCAAAAGCGCAGCGCTGATCAGACCTCCAGATGACGATTCTCCCACAGCCACCGTCTTGTCTCCCAACGACTTGAGGCCTTGCACGATGCGATCCAGCAGCTCTTGAGGTATATTGCCGACTGTAGACATTTTTCAGGCAGCTATATGATGCTTGAGATCGGATTCGGGTGATGAAGGTATACGTGGACAAGTTGAGATCGCGAACGTGTGGATGTCCAACGCGAGCTCCGGCAAAAGCCACAAAGCTTACCGAACCGGAGATGTTGTTTGTGTTGTGAGGGCGCACCCAAACTCCGCGGCCTTCCGAATCGGACGCATCGGTGAGGTCGCGCGCCTTGGTCTCGATCGGAAATCCAGGCACGGCACACCACACGCTCATGCGTAGAGCTTCTTCGCTGATCCTGACTCGTGACTTGTAACCGCAACTTTTCCTACTTCTCACCGTCCTCTGCGAGACGAGCGCCTTTCTGGAGTGCTGTGATTACCGACGTCGCAGACATCTCAGCGACCCCTCGCACGACACACTTGCCGCAGCTGTCACATCCCTAAAGCTGCGCGCATCCAGATCTTCTCGTCAGCGCCAGCAGCTAGAAGTTAGCACCTGGGCCTTTGCTCTCCCAAATTCGCAGCCACTCCCTCAGAACGATGTTCGAGCGATCCCTCTCTTCGCTCATCAAAGGGCTGCGCGCAAATGCGGCGCCTCTATCTGGGGCGACGCGGCAGCAACAGAGGAATGAAGCGCGATACGTGTCTCAGCAGCTGGATGAGATCAGGGTGGAGATGCGCAGCGAAGACCGAGCGGTCAAGGCAGAGGCGGTGCTGAAATTGTGCTACGTGAGTAGGTGGAGCGCAGGTCTTGATGGCTTTCGACCTCGAACGCTGAGACATGGCGTTGTGTGCTGCAGCTGCAAATGCTCGGACACACGTCTAGCGCACCAAACAGCTTCAACATGCTCGAGGTTATGAGCTCGCAGAAGCTTCACGAGAAGCAGATCGGCTACCTCGGTGCAAGCATGAGCTTCACGCCAGAGACCGACGTCCGGGTGCTGGTCACAAATCTGATGCAAAAGGTGCGGCGGGCTGAAGGGCTGTAGCTTCGCAGCTGCAATGTGGCATTCTGTTGCTCATGCCGCCTCTCCTCTGGCGCAGGACTTGCACTCCGACAACCCAATAGAGGTCTCTATAGCTCTCAACGGATTGTCGCACCTCGCATCAGCCGAGCTCGTGCCTCACCTCCTGACCGACGTCCTGCATATCTTGCAAGACTCACCTCTACCTGCACTGCGAAAGCGCGCTCTGCTGTCTCTGCACGCTCTCATCGCGCACGACGAGACCTCCTCCACTCTCGCCACCTCGTTGCCAGCTTTGCAAGAGGCACTACATGATGCTGATTCTGGCGTAGTTGGAGCAGCAGTCAACGTCATCACTGAGCTTTCTCACGCTCGACCAGAAGCCTTTTTGGAATACGCGCCAGACCTGTGCTCACTGCTCGAGACGCACACGAACAATTGGACGCTGATCAAGCTGCTCAAGCTTTTGGGCACTCTTGCCGCAGAGAGTAGCTCGGACGAGCTTGCTGGATTGCTTGCATCTCGGCTAGAGAGCTTCATCAGGACAACCAAAGCCATGAGTCTGCTGTACGAAGCGCTTGTATGCGCTATAGAAGCTGGTTTGGTGGATGGCGAGGATCGACCAGGCGCGTCAAGCACCAGCGCGAGCTCTCCGGACGCATTCAGAACGCTTTGTCTGTCCAAGTTGACAAGCATGCAATCGGGGACGGATGCCAATCTGCGCGTCATGGCGCATTCGGCACTGAGAAAATTGGAGAACCGCAGCATGGGGCCTAGCAGAAAGAAGCTACCTACCAACGTGGAGGGCATGCTGATCGAGTTTGGCGAGACTGACAAAGAGCTGCTCGAAATCGCCGGAGAGCCTGCGAGAGGAGCAGATCGCTCGACGTCGGCTGCCATCGGTACCAGCAGCGCAGCTGCTAAACAGCCTTCAAACATCCCAGTGGCATCTTTGTTGGATGATGATGATCCCGAGCAGGTCGAGAGCTTCGCGGTGAGGGCACCACGAGGTCTGCAGTGTCAGACTGAGACTGACTGGAATTGACGCGACTCTACTTTTTCCGAATCCCACCTTGTAGCTGCATTCGCAAGGCAGATGATCACCCTCTTGGAACTCTTTACACGGGGACAGATAGACTTCTTTTGCCTGGAAACGTCTTCGCCCGGACGATGCACGGGTGTGTCCGTGATGGGTCTCCCCTACCAAAGGTCTATGGTCTGATCTCACCCAACCTCGAAAGCGGTCCCGGGCTGCGGCCGAAACATTTCGCTGCGCAAGGACAGCTGAACGCGCACATCGAGGCACCCCTCGCGCTGATGACGAAATGTTCAAACCATATGGGATCACGCTTGTTGTATTGTAGACATCGAATCGAAATGAAGGACTTCGGATCTGAGGCGCACTCACAGACCCAGCAGCGCGCGTCGCTCACTGTGAGCCGCTAGGCGCGGTCATTACGATTGCTAGTCGTTCACAGACTGTGCCTGAGGCACTGACTCAATTCCATCATTAGCCTCGTGCAAGCTGACTCGCAATTCGTGATGGTCACGAAGGTGGAGAGGAGGAGGTCGCTGCTGGGCTCGAGCGTGCCGCTTCCTATGCACTTCCTACTCCCAAGCACGACGAGGGTGCTGTGGGTGACGCGGCTTGTGCATGGCGCCGCACGGACCGAAGCGGCTTGCACGCGCGCATCGTTGTGATTATATATGCGTGCGACTTTCCTTGGCTGTCTCGATCGCGAGCTAATCGGCACTCGCCGCCATGCAGAGGGCTGAACTATCATAGCAACCACCATCAATCGTGATTGCGCATAGCTGACCTGAGCGAGGACGCTTTTGATCGATTCTGGTCTTGAAGAGTTCAAGGGGCCATACATAGCGGCCTCAGAGTCGAGAGGAACACGGTGCATCCGAGAGCCGAGAGGCTGCCAAGGTCCGTCTCAACACGGAAGTCCTACCTGGCAAACTTTGCCTTGTCCGGACGTCGGCGCAAAGCTCGGCACCAGTATGGCTTCGCAAGAGGCTAGTGGCTCGGACGTTCCAATGTCTGAAGCTGGTACTGTGGACGAGCAAAAGTGGATGTCCTTCAGCGTACGACATGGCAAGACGTTCCACAATGTTCGACTAGCCGAGGACGACTCAGTACTGGAGCTCAAGATGGTCAGTCTATAGCTTACAGCGCGAGTCTGCGGAGGAATTTTTAATGTCTCCTTCTCCTCGACCAATGACTTCTCCCAGATGATCTTCAGTCTCACAGATGTCCCTCCAGAAAGGCAAAAGCTTTTGGGCCTCACACGCGGCAAGCTACCTATCGATGAGGCGCCCTTGTCAAGTCTTGCTATCCCACCTGGAAGTCTGAAGGCGAAACAAGCTGTCAATCTGGATGGCAGTAGCTCTCCTGCGTCATCTCGGACGCATACAAGCGGAAAGACGATCAGCATCATGCTCGTAGGCACTCCAGTCCAGGACACATTTCAAGACAGAGCGGCTTTACTGAATGCGGTGAGCTCCATGATGAATGTGTCGCAACTAAGTGCGGAGTCCACAAATTTAACGAATCATGCTGTTGCGAGTTAGCATGGAGGCCAGGACGGTGATGGAAGAAAGAAGAAGCGCAGCAAAACCAAGGATGAGCGAAAGGCCGATCGCGGAAAGCCAGACTACGTTGCGTGCGTATCATGGCCGGATGCAGCATTGCCTCTCCCGCGTCAAGCCTGACATTGTCCAAGTTTGCACATCTAAAACAGCATGTCCGATCCCTCGGTTAGTATCCAGAAGCCGCAAGGCAGTGAACAGTGGTGCCGGGCTCATAAGCTCGAAGCACCACATCCTTGCAGAATATATCGAAGGTTCGCAAGACGGTGGAAAGGTTCCGCGAATTTGCCCCTATACATCCACCTCGTACAGGATTATCTGGCGGACTTCTTGTCTTGGTAAGAGCATTGGCCCGGCACTCTGCAAGCCACCTCGACCCTCATGCTGTACAACACTCCGCACAGGACCTCGACTGGACGATAGCAGATACGCACAAGCTGATGGATCCACAGTGTCCCGTAGCTTTGGCGGCCCGTCCTGGCCTTCACGAGGTGGGACATTCTCTGGTCGCTCTTCTGTCCTCCTGTGGCTGACCTCAATCGCCTTGTTCAGTTCCTGGCAGCAGTCTACCCATACTACGACATTGCTGTCTGGTCTCAAACCAGTTGGCGCTTTCTAGAGATGAAGCTTACAGAGCTTGGGTGCTTTGAAGACTCGCGATACCAAATCACATTTATCTTGGACAGATCTTCCATGCCAGCGGTTCACGTGCGCGAAGCTACAAAGAAGGAGGTCAAGCCGCTTGACGTCATATGGAATAGGTTTCCCGAAGTATATGGCGCACACAACACTGTTCACGTACGTGATGCGGCTGCGCTTCCACGCATCACCGAAGACCTGACTCTTGAGCTTTCCGTACACTAACGTCCAGGTCGACGATCTCGGCCGAAATTTCATCATGAATCCTCTCAACGGAATCGTCATCCAGCCGTATTACTCCGATGCCCGTCTAGACGACGAGCTTGCGAGCCTAGCGAGGTACTGCTTGCAACTCGCGAATCCGAGCGTGACAGATGTACGCAACCGTGGCTGGTCCACCCCCGGACATGACAGGTGGCATGACTGCACCTTACCGCTGGTAAGCCCGCTACCCGTCGCGCTAGACAAAGCGGACACCACAGGTAGCTACGCCTACGTCTTCAGACGAAGACACGCGCATTGGCTAGCGTACGCCGCCAAACATCCGTCATCAGCGAGACAAGGGGCGACGCAAGCTCGCGCTGCGCCACAGGAAGGGCCAAGCAGCGGTAATTTAGCAACAACAAATGAGGAAGAAGGAAGTGTGTCGAGCAGTGGTGCCCCCATGCAAGAGGATGATTCAAAAGAAGACAAGCAACCACCAAAGCAGTCTTGAGCATCACGACTGACCAAGGCCTTTCCCTGGTACGCACCGAGACGCATCGCAATCTCCTTTGTACACCTAATGTGACATGTCTTCTCCTGCGGCTGATCGACCCGCCTCTATCGCGTACCATAGCCACGACACATGGAAAGAGGGAAAGCTCTGCTGGTGGTCAATCGCAGGATGATGTAGTGGGTGCAGCCAGTCGTGGCGATGCGTGATCGGATTTTAAGGTGTTGCAAGGATACAGATAGTACAGGCGAGGACGCTGGGAGCGGTCTAGGAGGAAGAAAAGGAGGAGAGACGGAGGTGTTCTCAAGCCAGACAATGCGATTCGATGCGATGCGATGCGAGGGAGGATCGTCCAAGGAAACGGACGGGTCGAGGATTGCTTTGCAAGGAAAGAGGAAGACAAATTCTGAGATGAGATGGCGAGATGATGGAGGATGGAAACCTAAGAATAGGAGGGTTGTGGTTCACGTGTTCACATCAGCCTTTCATGGCGAGGTAAGGCGGCGGCGTATTGGCGACCAGAGCGTGTTCGCCCTCAAGCGCTGGGGGCGATCTCTTCTACGCAACTTAGCGGGACGGATTGATCCTTGGATCCAGCGCGGGAGAGGCATCTTCCTGACCATGAAGACTCGGAAGAGGCGGGTAGGTCGGAGCAGATGGCCATTGCACGCTTTGCTGCCACTCCGCGACAGAGCCAGCAGAAGGTTGGTTCGAATGACCTGCAAAGCTACTGTACCGCATTCCCGCCGCGGGGTCGTGAGTGTTTGTGACGAAGCCGGAGGAGTTGAACGGATTCGAAGGGATGCCGCCAGCGGGACGTGGATCGTGAAAGGAGCCGGCATACGAAGCTGCGTTTTGACTCATTGGATGTTGTGCGAAGGTCGACTGGACAAAGGGAGGGATGCTGAGTCCTCTGAATGTGCTTGGATCTTGCAAAGTGTGATCTAGAGCCGCTTGAAGAGGAGGAGGAGGACGAGGAGGAGGAGGAGCAGGAGGAGGAGGAGGAGGAGCAACATCACTTTGCAGAGAGCGGCGCCTGTCCGCGTCGCGCTGGCGCTCGCGTTTGTTGCCGGAGTAGGAGCTGCTACCGACGCTACCTCTTCTTTTGGAGGGCTGCTTGGGCTGAGACTCGTCGTAGTGGCAATCGCGATTGCCGATGCGGCATTGTTTGCAGGGCAAGCCATCCTGGGAGCACTTGACTTTGCGCCTGCGACAAATCAGGCAGCCGGTCCGGCTGCGCTGAAACTTTTGTTTGCGATGCGTACCAGCACCGGAGGATGAGGATAAGGAAGCTTTGGCGTCGTCTCTCGTCCACTCTGGACCCGAATGCGGCAAGAAGGAGTGAAGCTGAGCATCTTGTGGGTGAGGTGGAACAGGCAGATCGGGTGCTTGCGGAGCCGCCAAGGCTGAGAAGGCATCGGAAGGTAGAGACATGGATAGATTGGGAGGCTTCCCCCCTCGCCGATCTGCCGCTGCCGCAGACGGCAGGGATGGAGGAGGCGCAACTTGTTCGGACGATCCGGCCGCGTAGCGAGAGGTCGAGTAAGGCGCGCGCGCCCCACGAGAGTTTTGATCCCAACGACTTGGCGTGCCCATGTCTTGGCAGAGGAGAAGTGGTCTTAATCGAAACGTCGCTGCGCGCTAGGTGACCAAGTGAAGGAAGTAGGGATGCGATGCGATGCGATGTGATGCGTTGCGTTGCGTTGCTAGAGGAGAGGCGAGACGAAACGAGACGAGGAAGAAAGTGCGAGAAGACGCGGCATGCGAAGTGCGAGGTATCGAGGATGTTTGCCAGGAGGCGAGGACGAGGAAAGCGCGGCTACTCGAAACGAATCATTTCTGTCGTTGCTTTGGATCGACCTGTGATCCGCCGCCCCGCCCAGCAGAACAGAGCAAAGCTGTCCGCTTGCAATGAGCCGATGCTGTGGATGTTTTGGTGTTGATGACCGTTTGGCGCTGGTTGCAGCTGTCAGCAAGAGGGGTGCGCTCAAAAGGCGGGAGCGATGCGACGGGTGGGCGGGTAGAAGTAAGGAAAGGGTTGGCCGTTTGAGTGGTAGAGGTAGGAAAGCTGTGATGAAACTTTTGACTTTGGTAGACTGCCTCGGCTGCTGTCAATGAATCGCGAGCTGTGAGCGGGGCGCGCCCGACCCGCGAGATCCGAATCTGCCCAGTGAGTCGTGAGTAGCGATCGAGTCAGGTGATGGCAGGAAGAATCACAACGATCTATCTATCTATCTGGCTGGCTGAGCAGTCACGAGTCTCGAGTCGTCGCGAATCGGGCGAGTGACTTTAGCCCTTCAAGCAAAGGTACGTTGCAGGTTGAGTGTGATGAGTAGCAGAGCTGCTTAATTCTAGCCTGCCAGTCGCGACTCACAAGCCAGGAAGCGTAGGAATCTGAGTTTGGGAAGAACGGAGCGTCAATTTAAGGCTCGACCGAAATCGTCAGACTTTCTTCGCACGCACATCCCCACCCATCCCCGCCCATCCCCCGATTTGCCCTCGAAACTGATGGCCTTGTGGTGCAATTTGCAGGAGCGTTATATAGACGGACGGCACGGGAGGACCCTGAAAGGCGAGGAGGAATTATAATCACGATCGAATGGGATATCATGCCACGCAGCACCGCGGGCATGCATCTATGCGGCTGCTGCATGCATGCATGCATGCATGCCATCGCACGCGCGGGAACTCGCGATTCGTGATTATTACACTTCGTCACCGCCAAATGCATGGGTCGCAATCAAAATCTGAATCAAATGAAGCGACCCTTATTGATGATGTCCATGCACAACGACGCGAGACTCACCGTCCACGCGTATCACACCTCACCACTCACAACGGCAAAGCACGCGTACGCGATGTATGAGTCAAGAGTGGACATGGCAATCAGAATGCAGGCAGACCACGCAGCAGGCACGAGAAGAGCATTCATCATTGCGAGCCAACGTTTTACGTACGTTGACATTCACGATTCCCGCACACGCGCGCGTACCTCAGAGGGTCTGCTCATGCACAACCACGCACAACATACACGGTATGTCCGAGCTTCATGCGATCAGAGACTCACGACTCTGACTGCTTGACTGCAAATTAGGGCGGGCGATGCACAAGATACTACTGCTGCACAATCCAATCGTCCAATCACAAGCTTGAATCAGCGAAGCGAATCTACGGAGCAGCCGACGGGCACGCGACGACGATGACGATGCTGCTGCTGGTTGAGCTTCATGACCCGTGTCGTGATTCGACTCTTGACTTTCACACGGCACAGTACCGTACAGCATGCAGCCCTTAGCGAAGTCGGTGGAGGCCATAAGCGAGGGAAGCCTCGCGTAACATTATCCAGCAGCATTCATGATTGCCAGCGCCATGCAGCATGACTGACTGACTGCACTTAGCCGAGAAGTACTCGTGACTGTACTTGATGTCGTGTCCATGCACCCGCCCCCGCATCCGACTACCGACTCGCACACTCTTCTGCAGGTACCTCGAGTTGGACATTTTCCGATCACCGAGCGTCCCGTCCGCGGTGGCGACTGGAGCTCAGCGTCCTACAAACACGTGAATCACGTATATACACGTGAGGGTCATGGACTTGACACCGCAAGACCGACCGGGCCTGGAAACATGATGTAATTTCGAGTACTCACGACTCGTGACTGTAGCTCGACGAGGCTCGCTCCATTTTGATTGATTCACATCCACTTCGTTCATTTTGGGCTCCACACTCACACTGCGCGCAATCAAAATCTTGAATTGCCCGTTGCCGAAATGTTTGAAATCTTGATTTTTGAACGTCGATGAATTTGAAATATCAATATTTGGTGGTAATCGAATCGGTTTCGCTCTGCCCACGTGGCGTGACTCTTGGCCTCCAGCAGCGCGGCAACAAGATCACACACGTGACCGGTGTGCTTGGGTCAGCGAAGCCCTGCTGTTCGGTGCGGGCGTGCGCTGTGCGCTCTGTGTCCTGGCCAATCAATCATCACGAATCACAAGTCTTGAAGTGAGTGTGGCACACACCAACGCTGTTCCGGTCAGCAGCGCTCCATCAGAAGCGACAATCCGGTCTTCCCTTTGATCTGACTCTCATCGCCTTCCTGTCCGCGTTTCAGCACATTCGTCGCCTGCTTGACCGCATCAGCCCTCTCACATCTAACTGGGCCACCATGTCGCTCTTCCGCAGCGCAATCCGCGCGCCTCTTCGCGTCGCGGGACCTTCGTGCGGGGCCGCACCGGCAGCTCGACGTGGTCTCGCCACTGCTCGTGAGGAAAGGCCAGAGCAAGCGAATAGCCCTTGGGCCAAGTCCAGCCCTTCAGCCCCCACAACTGCTTCCCACACGGTCGAGGAGCTGCATGGACTAAGCATCGATGAGATTCTCAAAGAAGGAGGATCGCGAAAGGAAGCTAGTATGCGTCACTTTACCATCAACTTTGGGTGAGTTGAGCGGCCTTGCGTACGAGGGACACACCGCGACCTCACTAGCTGTATGTGCTGATGACGACCATTCATCATGGTGCCACGAAGACCTCAACATCCCGCAGCGCACGGGGTGCTTCGGCTGATTGTGGAATTGAATGGCGAGCAGGTGCTCCGCGTGGATGTGAGTATTTCTTTCATGATGCGCTTTCCTGTCGATTCAAAATTCGGCATCTGACTCCTAAACCTTATCTCCAAACGTTCACCCGCAGCCCCACGTCGGCTTGTTGCACCGCGGCACAGAGAAGCTCATCGAGTACAAGAACTACACTCAGGCGCTTCCCTACTTCGACCGACTCGACTATGTCAGCATGATGACCAACGAGCTCTGCTACTCGCGAGCCGTCGAGAAGCTGCTCAACATCGAGGTTCCCGAAAGAGCGAAATGGATCAGGACGCTGTTTGGAGAGATCACCCGCATTCTCAACCACTGCATGGCCGTCCTCTCGCACGTGATGGATGTCGGAGGTCTTACGCCATTCCTCTGGGCTTTCGAGGAGCGTGAAAAGCTGATGGAGTTCTACGAGCGAGTCTCTGGCGCACGTCTGCACGCGGCTTACGTGCGACCGGGAGGAGTGGCGTTCGATCTGCCACACGGTCTTCTGGACGACATTCACAAGTGGGCGACACAATTCTCATCGAGAGTAGATGAGATCGAGGAGGTTGTCACTGGCAACCGTATCTGGAAGATGCGTACCATTGGCGTGGGCAAGGTGACCGCGCAGCAAGCTCTTGACTACGGCTTTTCTGGACCCATGCTTCGCGGTTCGGGAATTCCTTGGGACATTAGGAAAGTCGCCCCGTACGATGCGTACGACCAGGTGGAGTTTGACGTGCCAGTCGGCAAGAATGGTGACTGCTACGACAGATACCTCTGTCGCGTGGAAGAGTTCAGACAGAGCTTGCGCATCATCGAGCAGTGCTTGAACAAGATGCCCGCTGGCCAGTACAAGGTGGACGACTACAAGATCGTGCCTCCTCCCCGTGCCACCATGAAGGAGAGCATGGAGGGTCTCATCGCCCACTTCAAGCAATTTTCTGAAGGATACAATGTTCCACCTGGCGAGACGTACTCGGCGATCGAAGCGCCAAAGGGGGAGATGGGTGTTTATCTCGTTTCGGACGGATCTAACAGGCCATACCGGTGCAAGATCAGAGCCCCAGGGTGAGTGCGCCGCGGTTCTTGCATTGCCGTCTTGACTAGTCTGATAGATTGTGCGGTCTTGTCTCAGATTCGCGCACTTGGCAGGAGCGAATATGATGTCTCAAGGGTTGCAGCTTGCAGATTTGTGTGCCATGTGAGTGTCCTGACGCTCGCAGCTATGAAATCCGACTGACACTCGTTCGTCATCCTCTTGGTGACCACTCGCGCGTTTATAGCATTGGGGTGGGTGGCGCGCTTGGTGATGTTGCTTTTGCAAGTAGGGCTACCTGCTGACCTTGCTATCTGCTACCTTTCGCAGACTCAAGATCTCGTGTTCGGCGAAGTTGACCGTTAGATTGCGCCTTAGGTGCTCCCCACGCTCTCGCTGTGATGTTCCACATATTCTGATTGCAATCTTTTCTTTTGGCATCTGACGGCTTCTACGTGGCTGTCGTGATAGTGTTTCGACTTTGCGCTCGGATCTGTAAGCTTGTGTCGCTTACGCCATGCGATCAATCAGGCTGCCATTGTGTGTGACGCATCTGTCCTCTCCACTTTTCCGTGCGACGCACCACGACTGACCGGCAAGTCTGGAGCTACGTCACGTCACGTCAAGTCACGATTTGTCATTCACGCTTATCAATCACGAATGTGACGAGGTCATCTCTCAAGAGGCGTAGCAGTTGTCGACGACATTTACGCCAGTGTGGAAATTTGGGCGCTGAACGATCGAGTGGCTGAATCACGGGTAGAATGGTGCGCGTTCACGTTCGTGATTGTTTCGCCCGCGAGGTGGCGTGCTGGCAGTCCGGAATGAGGGCTTGAATCACTTGATCGTCGCTGAAAGTGAGACACGAATCTATGGTCGGTCCGATAGCATGCAAGTGTGCCTTGGGGTATATCCACCCGCTCACACTTGCTCCGAGAAGAGTGAGCCAGGCACTTCTAGTTCTTGTGAGCACGACAAGCTGCAGCTGCTTCATACTGATGTGCAGTAGCTGCCGGCGATGCGTCGTATCGTCGGATCGGACAGTCGCGAGTTGTGAGTGCCCGCGTCGCGTTCTTGATTCTTGTCGTGCATGCTGCTTCGGACACTCACCGTTCTTTGCGTGGTGATGCGTCGGCGTGAAAGCTATAGGTGGATAGCCTGCAGCTGATGCAGGGCCTTTTGCCGCCATGATGGCGTGAATGTGAATGTGCCTGGCAAGCGCAATGACGAGCACGAAGAGACGCCTGGATCATCTGGAGGGGCCCCGGGGGTGCCGATTGGCCCACCGACGCGTGGCTTTGGGCTACGTGCATGCTGCTGAAAAGCAGAAGAGCATGCACAAACGGACCCCGGCCCGCATGTTATCGCGTTATGCGAGCGCATCGGCGCTAAGCCGAACAAAGCTTGCCTAGCTGCCATGCCGTCGTGGAGCAGCTCGCATGCAGCCGACTTCATTTTCGAGCTGCGTAAGAGCTGCGTAAAATAAAATAAGAAAGGCGGGGAAGTGCGTGTGGCCGTACAGCAGCAAAAGGGTAAGCGGTGCAGCGGACGGGGAGTGCCGGACTGCCTTCGCCGGTTAGCGTGGCCGGGCTGTGTGTGACGTGCTCGCTTGGAAGGTAATGATGATCACGAGAAGGGAGAAAAGCATGCTGGACCACAGCCAGCCTCCCGTAGCTGCGACGGGAGTGATGCGAATGCAAAGACAGCAGCTTCAAAGTCGTCTTCACAGCCATCACATGACGCCGAAACGATAAGATCTCGACTACCCTTCCTGACCGAAGGCCTCAACTCCTTCTCGACCCACAACATCTGCTTGGAAAGTGACACATCCCCCGACGCCTCAGAGCGCACATCTTCTCCTTTCAAGACAGGCGACAAGCAGAATGAATCGGACACTTCGACTCTTTGCATCCGCCTCCTCTGCGAGCGGAGCATCATCCTCCGCCTGGGCTGGAAGACCCAGCAGCCACGCAGCCAGTCAGACGTACCTCGTCGTAGCCCACGATGCGCGTGGCGCAGACATCATGGCGAAGCGTCTGGCTGTGCGCGAAAACCATCTGGAGGGAGCGAGACGGGGCAAGCGGGATGGCAGGATCCGTGAGTGTCGATGAAGAGGTGTGATGAGAGCTCGACAAGAAGCTGCAGAGCTCTTCGAGGGGCATTGGGGGCACTTCGCTTACTCTGGCTTGCCATCCAGTGCTTGGTGGTGCGCTCCTGAGCCGCGACTTTTCCGAGCTGAGCGAAGAGGGGCCAAAGGGAGCCATGGCGGGTAGCGTCATGCTGGTTAGAGGCGAGGTGAGTTGAAGCGGACAAGGTAGCACAGCTGCACCGATTATGGAGCTGACTCTGGACTACTGCACGGGCATGACGACGCACGTCCAGTCCGTTGCGGAGGTCCGATCGCGCATCGCGCAAGACCCGTACGTGACTGGAGGCGTGTGGGATCCGAGCAACATCAGCGTCCACCCTTTCGCAGAAGCGCCGCTTGTGGCCATCTCTTCTGAGCTTTCGACCAGTTCGGATGTGACCTTTGGACCGTCGCGCAGTCAACACTATTCTGCCTTGGATGCGGACGCCGAGCTGGCGGATGCGATCGCCAAGAGAGCTGCCGTCGCCCGAGACCAGCCTGCTCCCTCGCTCGGACTGGACTTGGCATCTTTGCGCAACGCTGCAGCTGCGACGCTGCAGAGCGGTGAAAGCGGTGCGGCCAGCAGCAGCAACAGCAGCCGCTCGAGCAAGTCGCCGAGAGCCAAAGGTTCGCGAAGCGCTAGAGCGCAGAAAAAGTCGCAGAGTGTCAATGCTGCTGGCGCCGCTGCTGGTGCTACGCCTGCCACGCCTGCTCACACGCTGGGACAACTTCGAGGAGAAGCTGCCAAAGCTGCTGCGGCTGCCAACATGACCCTGTCCCAGTTGCGCACCGTCCACACCAAGACAGGCTGAAGGCTGCTGCTGAGTATTCCTTGCACGGGGCATATGCAATGCTTTCGATTTCGACACGTCCACCAAGACTAGGCGACCGTGAATGCTAGATCCACGCTTTTGCGTCGCTTTCCTTGTGGGGACTTCGAAGGCGTGCTGCTGGCTTTCCCACACCGGTCTGCTTGACTTGAAAAGGCGGTCATTTACACTGGCCAGCACATCCCACTTTGGCTTCTTGAGATCTTCACTACAGAGGCTGCTCTGAAATGCCCGACTCAGAACACACACACACACACACACACACACACACACACACACACACACTCTGTACAATCTACAGCTCCCTTGGCCCTGCGTCGCACATCGATACGCTGCGCATGCACCCTCGCAACATTCAAGCAGGATGCCCCCATCTGTGTTCGGATTGCGAACGACGCGCGGATGGTGCGTATCCGCTCAGCGCTGCCCACTCTTTCCTTCGATCGAGACTTGTAATTCTGCAGGAGAGACTCGAATTTCGAATCACGAATGAGGTCGTCGACGAAGCATTGATCGGGCTCCGCGAGTGCGACACTTGAAAGGAATAACCGTGAATTGGTTTACTTTTGAGCGCTTTGAATCAAGAAACGCGAATCTCAGTCACAGGTCACGATAGTCACGAATCATATCACGAGTCGATCGGCGCGGCCGCGCGCCGGCGCAACTCGCGCTCAGCACACTGGTTATGCATGACTGCTCACGCACGGCATCCGTGCGCAGACGGCAAAGAAGAATAGCCGACCGAAGGCTATAGCTAGCATACACACACGCACACACACACGTTCATGTGTGCTTGCGCTTCACTCTCTCATCGAGCGCATTCGCGGCTGCCTCACGCTGGCCTTTGCGCACGCTCCACAATCTCGCGACTCCTATTGTGAGCCATCCTGCGTTCGCCGCCCACTGACTGCCCTTTGCGACTACCAGCTGCAGAGTGGCACTCGCTCTGATTCGATCTCAGTGGCCGCAGGCCATCATCCCAGTCTTGAGTCTTTCGAATCTCTGCGACACAGTCCCCCACCACCAGGCCTTTGCTGCTGCTTGCACTTTCAGGTGCACGCTTCATGTTGCCTATGCTCACGTTCTGCACATCTTATGGCCCAGGATTACGTGACTCAGGGGGAGCAGATCTCATAGCAGACGAGCACCTCGACTACCGCGTGCAGACGTAGCCTCTAGCGGCGACTCCAAAGTCGCTTTGTCGCGGCACGCATCGCCGCGGGGTTTTTGCGTCGCGGTCTCGAGGTGGACATATCTACTTCGTAGAAGATGCTTGGACCAGCGGTGCGGACTGCGAGTGGTCCTTCGAGAGGGCTCCAGGCGGCCTTGTCTTGCGCTTCTCCATACTTGGTAGCCAACTCGGCATGCGCATCCCACAGGCAGGGCAAGCATTGCCGCACCACCACACCTGCATTTTGCACACCAAACAGGCCTCGCTCTACATCTCTGCCGCCTCTGGGAGCTCGCTTCTCTTCAAGCTCTGCCACACCTCCTCGCTCTCGTGCAATCTCCTCCAAAGATGCGCTAGCGTCCATAGCCTCCGATCAAGGTCCTATTCCTACTCCCAAGCAGCTCATGGCTCATCTAGACGCGTACGTCATTGGTCAAGCCACTGCCAAAAGGACGCTCTGCGTAGCTGTGCACAACCACTTGCTCAGGTGCAGAATAGAGGATGCGCAAAGCTGGGAAGAGCAGCGCAAAGGCGAGATATCTGAGGAGGAAGGTACAGATAATGTGCCCGGAAGCGCGTCGAAGGAGGTGAAGAGGCAAATCCCTTTTGCAAACAGAGGCTTGACCACGGGCGCCTCGGGATATCGCAACAGGCCGCGTAAATCGCGGTCTCTCCATCCTGATAGTCTCCATCAGGCGCAAGAGCACGAGACGGGGCCAGGGTCTAGGTACGAAGAAGACATCTTGACCGACTGGGCTGGTCAAGCCAAGGGCCGTCGCTACGTGGATGGTTACGCCCAAGGTAAGTGCTTCCTCGCTTTTTGAGATCGAACATGGGACGCTTGGAGCTAGGCAGGGAGGCGTCCAAGACTTTGTGAGCTGACTCTTAGCCTTTCGCACACTCGACTCAGACGATGCTGGTGATGGCAGACCAGAGGCTCATGCATCAGGCAGCAGCCAGAAATTTTTCAACTCGAATCTGTCGGAGAGTGACATGCGAGCGCAGCGACAACTTGAGTGGACACGAACGCCTGCAGATCCCGCTCCTCACTCAGCTTCAAGAGCCGACTCGTCCACTTCTGGCTCGAGTCACGCGAGGAATCGCGGCCCTGCCCGCACAACTTCGAGCCTCGGAATCGTTTCCAGTGCAGATGACAAGCCCAGATTACCGCGACCGAACGTCCTGCTTCTGGGCCCATCCGGCTCCGGCAAGACGCTGCTGCTCTCCACCTTAGCTCGAGCACTACGACTGCCCTTTGTGCATGTAGACGCAACTCCCTTGACCCAGGCGGGTTACGTTGGCGAAGATGCGGAAAATATCGTAGCAAGGCTGTTGTCGGCTGCAGGCGGAGATGTCCAAGCCGCTCAGCGAGGTATCGTTGTCCTTGATGAAGTGGTGAGTGCGACCAGGCGAGCGCGGCGCAGGAATTTGAAGACGTTGCATCATTGCGAAGGGTGAGCTCATACACCATCACCTTTCCGGCGCGTAGGACAAGCTAGCGCGCAGACCTGGGGATTCTGCTTCGAAAGACGTGTCCGGTGAAGGCGTGCAGCAGTCGCTCCTCAGGATATTGGAAGGGGCAATCATCAGCGTGCCGGAAAAGGCAGCCGCTGGCAATGCTGCGCAGGCTGCTGCTGCTTCTGCTCCTGGCTCAGCCAAAGCTGGAAGACAAACGCAACAGCCTTGGTGGCCCCCAGGCAGAGAAGCAGAGAAAAGGCAGGAAGGTGAGTCCTTGTGCGCGACTCGGCACCACTTCAAGTATCGCGCGCGCCGTTCATTGATATTGTTGCGTTTGGTCACAGGTCCACGTCTCGTCGATACCTCTGGGATACTGTTTGTGCTTTCCGGGGCTTTCATCGGTCTCGACGACGTCATCAAACGGAGATTGAGAGGTGTTGCTGCTGCTTCAGCAGTAGAAGGTCGCGAAGTAGACCAAAGCCGGCGTGCTGCTGCTGCTGCCGCTTCCCGGAGAGCATCAGATCTCTACGATCTGGCCGAGGTCGAAGACCTGACAGCATATGGCCTGATTCCCGAGTGAGCATCACAGCCCGCATTTCACATCTCGCCCACCCTTCCAAGCTGATGAGGCCCTCCGCTGCTCGACTGCGCCCAGGTTCATTGGTCGCGTGCCCGTGATGGCTGCTCTGAGCGCTCTTTCTGAAGAAGAATTGCTGAGAGTCATGACCGAACCTCGACATTCCTTGACGCAAGAATACGAAACGCTGTTCCGAGCATACGGGGTGGAGCTGCGCTTCACTTCCCTGGCGCTGCAAGTCTTTGCTTCTCAGGCTGTCAGTCGAAGAACAGGCGCTCGTGCATTGCGGAGAATGGTGGAAACGACGCTGTTGGACGCGCAATTCACGGCCCCAGGCAGCTCGATCAAATACGCGTTGGTCGACTGTGCGGCAGCTCGGGGAGATTCCGATGTGCAGCTGTTTTCGAGGGGCGCAAAATCAATGTTCGAGAGGGCGTGGGAGGAAGAGAAAGGCTCCGCACAGAAGAAGGGCAAAGCTTCGTGCGCGGGCAAACCCTTCAAGAAGGACGGTCAGAGCGCCAGTTCGAATCGATCGCAGGCGCAAGGATCGCTCGACTGGGGCCAGGGCATGGGCATTCCGCCTGAAGTGAGGCGGGCCAGACAAGCTGCGATGAGCTCGGCGAGGCCTGGCGCACGAAGCACATCGGCGTCATCCAGCGCTGCGCGGCATTCTGGATCCAATGGTGGCGTCAAATCTGGAGCGCGCAAGACGTTGCGATCGGACGAAACTACTCTGCGACGCGCGATACGGACACGGCTTTCCAGGCCTTCGCGAGTAGGCAATTTGCGCATCATTGCAGAGTAATTGCCCATTTTATTTTACAACTCCTGTGCTTGAGCTCTGCAAGGAATGCACAGAGGTCCAGACGAACGGCACGTCTGGTGCGTGATGCTGTGCAGTGGCCGTCGCGTGGCTTACCAAGTGCCGAGATGGCGATTAGCTTTCCCAAGAGCCCAGATGGTGAAGCTGCATGCAGATGAAGCATGCTTGAGTAAGTTGTGAAGCCGACTGCCACGCATGGGCAAGTCACTCACCTGTGAACGTAGTTTGGACTGCAGAATGGCGGGACACATCGCTTAGCAAAACGTCTTTGCGTCAATGACCGACCGTCTGGACTCACTATGAGATGCTGCAATTGCGATTGAAGACACCGACAGTCTCCTCGTCTGCCCAAGATCTGCATCCGGGGCTTGGCGCCCAGTCAGTGCGAGGACCAAGCGACTTTGGAAATTTGCTGCACTCACCCGTCGTCGAGCTGCCGCCCCATGATCAGTGAGACACCTCGCCTTATTGCTCCCTTGTCCTCGCAACCCGCATGCAAGAGGGCGATGACAGCCCACGAAGTCTGCACCACCCGAGAGGTGGCAGCCTGCACATATCTTCCTTCCACGCAAGACTGTCAGGGATCGTCATGATGTGTACTTAGTCCCGGCGAGCCACAATTCCTCATGTGGAGCTCTTTACCATGCTCAACTTACCTTGAAGTCTTCACCCCACCCGCCATCCTCGCGCTGCTTTCCAAGCAAGAATTGACAAGCTCTCCTCACAGGCTCACTGTTCTCGCAGCTTTGTCCTGCCAAGTGCAAGCTCTCCAGCGCGAACATCATGGCATAGGTGAAGCACACAGCCCAAGATCCAAACCAGGAGCCATCGGGCCTTTGCGCTTTCATAATGTAGCCAAAAGCGGATTTGACACAGCGGCTGAGGTACAGGGCGGGTCATGTCAACAAATGCCACGAGGAGTGCTTGTCCTGTAGAGACGTACTCTATATCTTTCTTGCGGTAATTGCTGATCTGCTGGAATTTGAGCAGCCCCGTGACAACGCTTGTTGTGCCTGATCAGCAGCGTTGTATGTCAGCAACAGTAATGCGAGTCGGTCATTTGCAATTCTACCCACATTCTGGGTAATCGTACTCGATCATGATGTCCCCTGTGATTATCGATTCGCAATCAGCAATTCGAATGAGAGCAAGTGTTGATGACTGAGGCTCACCAAAAACTTCAGCGGGATTCAGCCACTCGAGCACGGCTGCCAGATATGGGGCGGGGTCAGTGCCTACCACAATGCGGCCACACGGGCAGACCACCTCACCTGGCCCATTGATCGTTTCGTAGCTAGCAAAACCGCCACTCCTGTTCTGCATCGTCAGCAGCAAGTCCACAGAGTCGTGTAGGCGCTCGATCGCGATGCGCTGTGGCAGCCTGTAGAGGGATTTGACGTCAGTCGCACCGGTCGTGCAGCGGTGTCACAGGAGGGTAATAACTATACACACTTTGCGTCATTCTGAAGCATGATTGTAGCTTTCATACCTTCTCCAGTACAATCGCTAACCGTATAGCTCTGCTCTTTCGTGCTGAATGGCCAAGCGCCCTTTGAACTGTACCGGTAAGCCGCATTATAGTGCTTCGGATTGTCACGAATCTGATGCTCGTCAAGCCAATCGAGAATTCGATAGCATGAGTTCTTGGTGTCATCATCGTCGACTAGTCCGGAGTCCACCATGGCTTGAGCAATGAAAGCTGTGTCTGCAAGTCCAAAGAGCGGCATGGAAGTCGAGATCAGCTGAAGCATCCAATGTCGCTTCATCGTCAAGTGTTGATTCGCTCACCCCAAAGCTGAGAACCGTTCGTTCCAGTCATCATCATGCCATCTCTACCCATCCACATGAAATCTTTGAGTTTCTCTCGATGTTTGGCCATGACGTCACTGTCAGGTCCTTCTTCGATCCACCTGCAAATATAGTTGAGCATTTTGCTGACTGGTCCGACGGTCTGGTAGCTTGTGTTCTCGTCTTCCATCGCTAGCAGCTGGTACGCCCTCTTGACACCTGCTCTACGGAGTGGAGGTATGGAGCCACAAGACTCGTAGACGCCCAGCACTGCCATCAGACCTTCCATCGTCTTTGTGTGCGGGGCCCAAATGTCCACCTCTGCTACGTGGTTGCGTTGGGAAGGCCAGTGAATGCTCTCGTACGGTTCGGTGTACAGCTCCTGCGAGCGAAAGAAGGTTCACCGCTTGAGTGGATGCACGATTCGCTGACGTATGCTCAGCCTACTCACTTGCCTCAGAGATTCGATCAGAGGATCGAGTGGACACTTGAAGCGCTTCGCCCAAAGATAGCCCATCGGCAAATACACCATTCGGGTGTGAATCCACCAGCGCCAAGGATGAAAAGGTATCCAGTCCGGCAAGCACCAGAGTTCTGGAGGGATGGGATGCATGCCCTCCCAGTCGTACACATTCAGGACGGCCAGCCACAGCTTTCCCCATGCTGGAACTCCTCTAGCACCGCCTAATTTGTGAAGCACTCCGCGGGCACGAATCATTGCAGGATGATCGGCCTCCATGCCGAGAAGGCGGCAGACGGTATAGTTGGTGGCCGTTCCAAAGGCCGTAGACTCTCCTGCAATGTGGCTGAGAGTAACGTAACCGCAAGCACCGAGCGTGATTGGTGTGGTCAGCGATGCCCCCAGACCGACGGCGCGCGACTCCAAGCTTACTCACAGACCCCAGCCACCGTCCTTGTTGGCGCGATTGACCAAGTACCGTTTGATCTCGATGGCCCACTCGGCAGGAACGGGGGTCGACGTGACGTACATGCCGATGACGAGGCCAGGCAGCAAGAACAGTGGTCCCCCGTACTCGCCCGCCCAGTGACCATCGTTGGACTGTATGCGTCGATAGAACTTGAAGCCATTGCGTGCAGCGTCGATGGGATTGGTCGCTCGAGGTAGTTTGGGGGCACCCTGAGCACAAGAGTGGTTCCTGAGCTTCCGAAATTGTTGCGAATAAGGGACGACGAGCACAACACTCACAATGTCCAAACCAAGCCAATACTTGTCCTCGTCAGATTGTGGCCATCTTGTGCACTCTTCGTCGGTGCGCAGGTAGTGCCATACGTGTCTACCGTGATCCACCTCCAAGCGCCATCGAGAGTAATCTGTCTGCTCCATGATAGCAGGTAGACAGAGCTTTGCGATGACTCCCTGAAGAGTTTGTTGAGCCTCTCTACGAATGAAAGTGAATGCGTGTAGACCTCGGCTTTTGTAGGCGTGCGCGATGCGAGTCTTGACGCTGTGGGCGCAAGTCGCGGGGTATGTTCTATCGCGGTGATGGATCAGGTGATGTCGAAGCGCGAGCAAACATCCATCGTACTTTGCCGCGAAGTGACGCTTGTATGTCGACAATGAGAGCCTTGCGAGCAAGAAGATGCTTCGAGTGCGAGTCACTCGAGTGAGTCGAGCAGAATCGTTCGATTTCGGAGTCCTCTGCTGAGAATCAGTTGCCTGGAGACGTCGCTGATGCTGACGATCCGACGAAGCTTCCTTCCCCATCATGGTGCATGCAGCAGCAGCAGCAGCACAACCCCCTTCACACACGCGCATGCGCGTCTCGAGCGTCCGCGTACGCTATAGCAGCTTCCACACGCGGCGGCGGGACTTACAGTGTACCTTGTGCGCGCGAGATGCGTGTGCAGCTGCTGCTGATGGGTGGGACGCTAGACAAAAGGAAAAGCTTGCACCGCCTCGTGCAAGCTTCTGCGCGGGGTGAGCGGACGGGACGTGTGCGGATCGAGCAGGAGCAGCAGAGGTCGATGCGATGAATACACCTGATGATGTTCGAGAGGGCGATTGACTTATCCACATTCTCTATTTCTCGAGTCATGCTCGCAGGGATCTGCTGCAGCCATGCAGAGCCACAGACTAAGATGGACGTGCTACGCTTGACGCAATGATGCCGTCACATCTGAACGTGATAAACGAAAACATGACGATCTGATTCTTAGGTGCAAGTGGATACAACGAACATACACAGTTGGGTCGGAATAGAAAGCAAAGAGGGTGTAGTGGCCAGAGTCTCGAAGGAGAAGGTGACTATGACTCTTGACTGTGAAGAGCCCAGGGTCTAAGGATTGGGACAGGATCGCACGGCACATGATTCGCATCTGTGATGTCTCTGCCGTTCTCCGCGCTCGCACAGGGATTTGCTGCTTCGCTTACTCGCCTTCGCCGCGGGATGACTGCAGCTCATCACCTTCCTCCGCATCTTCGGCCGGCTCACTAGCCTCTGCGGCATCGAGCTGCTTCTTGACTTCCTCCTCCTCCTTCGCCTTGGCTTTCGCTGCATTCTCTTTCTTACTCTTATTCGAAGCCCCTCCAACTTTTCTCGCTCCAGCGGGCACGGGTGCGTTGGGGTCTGTGGTGACCTCCGTGCTTGCTTCGGCACGCCGAATCTCGGCTGCAGGAGGTCCTCGCTGCGATGCTGGCTCGTCCGAGGCGATCCCGAGCTTGCCCTCCAGCTCGCGCACTCTGTCCTCGAGCGTGTGGACACGAGTCTCCCACATCCCGCGCTCCTCTTTAATGCGCCTATCAACGGTGGCATCCAAGACACGACTAGAGCGCTGCAAAGTCTGCAGGAGCGTATTTGAACGCCTCACCTGATCCTCGAGGGTAGCCTTGAGAGTGCGCGAGTCGGTAAGGGAATCGTAAAAGTTCGAGAAGAGAGCCAAGAACTGAGTTTTGCTGCTGGGAGGTGAGCGCAGATGCTCTGGCAGCCGGGCCGTGGGCGGCGGCTGAGGCAAGCCTGCTGTACGGGGTGGCGCTGCACCGCCTCCGGGCGGTGCACCTGGTGGGCCTCCACCTCGCATGAAAGCAGTCGTATGATATGCAGGAGATGGCAGCGTGGCAGTCTGAGGAACAAAACGAGCTGATGCTAAGGGAGCTGCATACCCATGGCCCATAGCTGATCGTTGGGATCCAGCAGGCTCGGGACGTGGAGCCAATCCTCGCTGCGGAGGCGAAGCGCCAGCATAACGCTCATCAATCTCGTACTCGACTCGTCGGCCGATGGGTGCTTGAGCCATGCCGGCTCCTGAAGGGCTTTGGTGGGCGCCCGGATGACGAGAGGAGAGACCCGGCTCGCCATCAAAGCTGATCTTGTGCGCTGGCGCCGAGCGCGCAACGGGTGTGGGGGCATTTGTTCGTCGACTGCCCGATGATGGGAGATCAGCGGCGGTGGGGCTTCCGCTGTTCCCAACGTCAATATGCAATCGGCTAGCCTTCGCATGGGCCAAGTCACCACGCCGACGACTGAGAGGCACAACACCCTCGTACTGCTCGGCTTCGGCCGAAGTTGGGACTGGTCCGTTTTGTGGAGGGCCAGCAGCGTAGTGGCGAGATTCTGGAGAGTAGTGAGCTGCCCCGTCACGTTCCGGCCCACGCCTTGCTCGAGCGGCAGCACGATACGCTTCCTCATCTTCATCGACGTAGTCGTAGGCGTCTCGGGCCTGGACAAAGACGAAAGCAGCGAATCTATCAGGAGACTGCATCGCTTCACGCTAGCTGCGTTGCCCAGATACTCACTCTCGCTTCTTCGTCCTGCCTAGAGACTGTGACTCTCCTCCTCTTGCCGTTCACAGGATCGTCCGGCCCGCCTGAGGCGAGATGATTGAAGCTTGGCAGTTGCATGTGGGGAGAAGCGTGTCCATTGTGAGGCGAAGCACCATATCCACCCGGCGAAGCGGTGGCACCCGAAAGCATTCGCGGTGGCAAGGGCCGGCTCTCCTCGCGCAGAGCGGCCGTGCGGGTTTGTGGCGACGCACGAAGCGCGGCGTGCGAGCTTCGCGGACTGCACAAAAGGTCATTTAGGTGCAGCACGTCAGTAGTAGGACGATCTCTTCTGAGAGTGCCAGTGGTGTCACTTACGACACGAACCGAACATCGTCTTCATTCCTGCGTTTGCGCGCCTCCCAAGCTGCGCCTTCGTCAGCGTGGCGCGTCTGCATGATGAGACCGCTCTCGCCTAGGCTGGCGGCGTGCGTGAGAAGATTGGGATTACCGTTCACTGACAATTCAAGTCTTTGCTCCGCAGGATTCACAGCGACTACCGTGGGCACTAAACGCGATGCCGTAGCACTTCGCTCGCGCAGCAACAGCTTGTTGTTGTTACTGCTCTCAATGCCTTGCTTGGGTCTCGGCGAAGTGGCCGACGCGAGGCCCGCAGATGGATGAGAGGTCGTCGAGCTGGGAGTGGCTGGGACCAGGAAGTGATCCCCGGGTAGCTGCGGTCGAGAATTGAAGGGCAGACGCTCGACCGGGCTATCGAGCCTTCCGGTGCTGTGTGTGACTGCTATGCTCGGATTCACCTCTGAGCGATGCTTGAGCGTCACTGCAGACAACGGCCGTGTTTGCTGTGATGCTGCTACCTGGCCAAAGTGCGATGACTCGATCGTACCAGCACGTCTCCGCCCTGTGTTTGCGTATTGCAAGGACATCGTGCAATGAGGAGCCCAAGCGAGAATTGTGGACCAAATCCAATGCGAAGATGCGTGAAGATGAGGTGATCGAAGCAGCGTCAAAGCATTGGCCCAGGAGGGACGAGAAGCAAGATAGAGGGGGGTAGAAAGGGAGCAAAGAGCGCAAAGGTCAGCAGACTGAAAGTCGCCCCCGCACCAGCTGCGAGTACCGCCCAACGAAGCAAGAATGAGGTGGCAATGTGAAATGAGCGAGTCCGAGGTGGAAAATCGTGCAGTACCAGCTCGACGGCGGATGGTGGGTGGCCCAACAGAACAAGGTACTGCAAGCGGCCCGCTCCCAAAGACCGCACGCCCTCTCCACGCTGCCTGCCTGCCTTGCACGTCCATGGCAAGCAGCTCATAGCGACGGCGCTCATCGCCGCTTTCACTGCCATTATGGCATGTTGCTGCGCCGAGGTAGGGCTGGTTGTGCGCCCTTTCTACGCGTATTTCGACGCCAAAGTGGCTTGCAACCACGCCTCGAAAGCGAGGGCTGCGCGCAGACTGAAGCTCCCTATATATACCTCGCGCAGCACTGAAGCATGCTGCATCCCTGACCCTGACTTTGCTGCTGATGCGAAGCCTCGCCCATCCGAGTCGCGATCAAATGAGTCTAAGCTTTCGAGTCTGATCGTGTGAGTCTGATTATTGAGTCCGAGTCTGCGCGCCATGTGCGATACATGCAGCTGCTGTCTGACTTCATCGTCGAAGCTTGATTGCGGCTGCCGTATGCACAACACGCGACAAGTGCAAGAGATTCTCTCATTGCGCCGCCGCGATGGCTGCATCAACTGAATCGCCGTGCGATTCTTCGGGTGTCGGCTGCGTGCTTTCGAAGGCGCGCTGGTCGGACGATGCAAACGCGAGGAGGAGGAGAAGAAACAGCCACAGACAGCCTGGTCTACGTCTGTCTGTCTGTGCCTTTGACGATTGATTGCGCTCGCCGAGGTTGGGTAAGCGCACGCGCCCCGTGACTCGAGAGAGATGGGCCAACCATCTCATCGGTTGTGCCTCTTCAGACGAACCACTGCACAGCTCCACTACGGCCACCGAAGCGGGTTGCGAGCCCTTGTGAATGGGGCTCAATTCGTGGAGCTGCCATACAGAGTTGTGCTTGCGCAAAATCAAGCTTGCCGATCGTCGTGCTCATATATGTGTGCAGCAGACGGTCCCGCCTCATTTTTGATTGAAATGTCTCCCCGGAATTGTTGTCCCGAGTCTTCGCTTTGCGATGATGATCCCAGTCGAGAAGGTGGCTGGTGTGATGCCGTGATCATACAGCCATGAGTGGACGAGAGACCGGCAAGAGGCATCATTATGGAGGCGGTATTTGCTCGACCATATCCATCCCTGCGCTATGATCGGTTGGACGCGAGCGACACGGCTTCCACGCGCACTATCAGCCAGCAAACCCTCTTCCTCGAGGTTTGAAGCCGCACCTCAACCCAGCACAAAAGACGGAGGTGTCCTGCAATCCACTCATGCTGATCGATAACCCTGTCTACACATCGCGATGAGAGTGCGCGCGCGACAACGCGAACTGGCCTACTCGCTAGACGCTTTTCCCGCCAGACACGTGCGCTGCCAACGCAAAAGACTCACCCAAATGAGCGGCTGCAACTTTATTTTGATGTCGGGAAAGAAGGCCAAAGAAAGTTCCGCGCCTGCCGCCTAATTACTATCTCGGCAAGTCCCTTATTTCAACCGGACGATGTGCGAAGAGATGACGACGCGTACAAGTCGTCGTAGGGTAATGAGAAATCGAGTGGGACGGAGAGCGTCGGAATGAGGGGCAGATGGGCGCAAGGGTGATGAGAGGAGGCAAGTCGGATAGAAGTTGGTGGCAGAGATTCGGGCCGTCGAGATCGCGTTGGACGCGCGGGAATGGATATTGGATGAGCAAGGGCTTTGGTGTGGATGACAAGGGAGCTGGTGTGCCAGTATGGTGGTGACTACGGACGGCGTGCCGTGCGACCGATCCGTGCAACCAGAGGTGAGATAGCTCCTCGACGCGTGCCAAGGAGGAGAGGGGTTGGTCGTAAGGGTGCAGGTGGGGAGCTATCAACGTGAACGCTGGTGAGGAGGCCCGAGTACGCGCGCAATCAAGTTGGGCCTCGCCGCTCTGCTGGAGATCAGCTATAGCTATACACACGCGTGTGCGCTGCTTTCTAGACCGCGAAGCAGACGAAGAGGAGGGGACGAGCCGGAAGCGGTGCTACGACGAGCCGCGCTCGGGACGCGCTTGCGTTCGCAGCTAGCAGCCTGCTGCTGGCTCGAGACAGCCTCGGCGCTCTTGTCGGAGACATCAGACGAGCGGCGAGTGCGTGCATGCATGCATGGACAGACGCGTGGGCGAAGCGCGCCAACGCGCTTGGGCTGCTGCTGCTGCTATGAGCAGTCACCAGCAGTGAGCGGCGCCGTGGCGGAGGTCTCGGAGGCAGGACTTGCAGCGGCGCTCCGGCCATGTGGAATGGCCACCATAGCTGGCGCATCAGCATGCAGCGCAGCACCAGAGCACCCTGCGCCGCTACCAGGCCGGGCGAGCCGCACAAGGCGAAGGCGCTTCGTGCAGCGGCAAGATTCAGATTTGCTGGAAACGCCTGGATAGGTCAGCGCAGCACCTACCCAGCAGCTGCGATGTTTTGGTTTGCGCGCGCATGGCTCGCTGGCGCGGCGCGTCTACTCTGACTGTTTTATTATTATTTCTACTCCGGATCATCACACAATCATATCATGGCCGGGGCGAGGTGCGACCGAGCAAGGCGCCGCAAACCTCTCTCGCGTCGGCGCAGTGACACAACCTGCAAGGAGTACATTAGATATTCTTGAGTCGCTGCCACCAGATGAGGAGAATCAGTGATGGCGGCACGCATAAACCATCGTTCTGTTAGGGCGTTCATGCGCGCTAGCCACCTTGCATGAAAAGGCGTTGCTATACAATTCTGGATGGGCTGACGAGCGCCGTTTTGATTGATGGTTGAAGGACAGAATTATCAAATGAATTTCCAATGATGAATCACAGCAATCTAAGTATCAAGCATGAGAAAGGCGGACGCGCGCGGGGAGGTTGACGCGCGCGCTCCGGCCAATCCAGATGCGATCGCGCTACGTTTGGGATGTTTACGACTCAATGACGATAGGCAAGTAAGCAAACAATTAAGTGACACGCATGACAGTCTTGAGTCATGAGTGTATTATCCCGGCGTAGTGCCGCTATCGCGACTTTTCTTGGTGCTGTTGCGGGTCGCGGATAGCGCGCCGGCAAACTCACGATAAGCGCACTCGTGACGTGACTACTGTGACTACTGAGTGATTGTGTGCGCATGACTGCTCGGCATCCCGTGGTCAAGAGATCGGGCCTGGGAAGCTCGGGTTCCCGATTTGAGGCCAGCTCAGGAGTCACTTAAGATTTGACTCACACTGGGCTTTCACTGAATTGCAATCAACCATTTGATCAGCAACCACACCTTCGGCATTCTCGCAGGAAGGTGCGTGCGCGCGCAGCTTTGCAAGGTCAGCTTATATTCATTGATTGAGGAGCTTTCATCGAGCCAAGCGATGGATAGATGCATGGACGGGTGGTTCGTCATGCAATAATGAATGCAGCAGACAGACAGGAGAATTGGCGCAGCTTTGAGCCTTAAACACCTCCTTCACGCACTAGCACCAGGTAGGCGCGCGTAAATGATGGCAGCCAGGTGCGTACATTATTCACCCACACGTCCTGACCCGCCATGTCCGCACAAGCTCACAACGATCCACGGATGAGCGCGAAGATCCCCCGCGCCTTCTGCGAGAGACTGCCTCCCACAAAGTTGCCAAGACCTTGCGCAAAGCTCCAAGCATTCGTTGGGTTGGTCAGAGGGTAGTCGAGCGGGGGTGGGATCGCTGTGCGAATTGCCGAGAAGAAAATGTCTTCAGTCGTGGCCTTGGGCGAAGTGAGCGCACGCAGACCTTCTGGTCCGGCAAAGCGACCGTAGCCGGATGCCTTGACTCCACCGAAAGGCAAGCCCTGGTTGAGGTAGCCACATGCGAAATCGTTGATGTTGCACATGCCGGCATCGAGTTTGCTAGCCACGTACATACATTGCTTCTTGTTGGAGCCAAAGACGCTTGAGCCTAGCCCGTAGCGAGTGCCGTTCGCTAGAGCAATGGCGTCGTCCAAGCTGTCAAAGGACATGACGCGGAATATAGGCGCGAATAATTCCTCCTGGGCAATTGCCATGTCAGGTTTGATGTCTACTATGAGGGTCGGCTGGAAGTAATGCCCGTGTGCGTGTTTGGGATGCGCGTAGCGTTTGCCGCCGATGATGACTCTGGCGCCAGCCTTGACCGCATCGGCAATGATGGCCTCCAAAGCCTCGATTCTGGCACCCGTGATCAGGGGGCCAATGTCGACGTGCTCAACATGGTCGCCAGCCTGTTTGGCGTCCTTGGACTCGGAGAAACGAGTATCAGCTAAGAATGAGCCTGGCTTGAGCGCTTCGATGCGAGGTGCCATCAATGCAATGAATTCGTCGACGATTTTTGAGCTGACGATGAAGCGCTCAGCACCAACTGTATCGCAGACAGTTCGATGTGTGAGATAGTGGCGACAATGAGCGGTGAAGACACGGCATTGTACTGACTACAGTTCTGCCCCGCCGCGCCAAAGGTGCCTCTCATCCAGGTAGGTGCAAAATACTTGAGGTCCACATTTTCAAGTATGATCATCGGGTCTGCACCACCGAGCTCCATACAAGTCGGTATCATCGCTTTGGCGGCGCTTTGCGCGACGAGCTTTGCCACCGTCTCCGATCCGATGAATGTCAGATGCTTGATGGCTGGATTGGCTGTCAAGGCTTCGGCATCTCCGGGATAGCATACGACCACTTGGACGAGGTCTGGAGACTCTCCACAAGCGACGAGGCATGCTTGCAAGGCTGTCAAAACGTACTGAGAGGACCAAGCCACTTGTTCGGAGACCTGCAGTATTGACCGGGGCAAGGTAAGCAGCCTGACTCTCTCAAAGTGGAGAATCGATGATTCCGCGCTTACCTTGACCACCACAGAGTTTCCAGCAGCCAAAGCTGCGATTGCTGGTGAGATTAGATTGTGGACGGGATAGTTCTGCGCAGCCACAAAACAAGATGAGAACCTGGTCGCGCGGCCGACGCAGCCCCAAGCGCAGGACTTACCCAGCTGACACAGGCGGCGACAACGCCTAGAGGTCTGTGAAAGACCTTGCATCGTTTGTGTGCCAACAAAAGGTTCGAGGGCCGCACTTCCGTTTTCAAAACAGCCTCGGTGTTGCCGATGAGCCAGTCGAGCTTCGAAAAGGTTGTCAAGATTTCGCCAAGCAGCGCATCTACTGCCTGAAGACGGAGCGTCAGGACGCGTCGATCGAGCGTAGTTGTAGGCGGGATAGCTCGAAAGACGACTTCGAATCACTCACCGTCTTGCCAGTGTCCCTGCAAGCCACCTTGACCACAACTTCCATATCGTTGGCGAGCCACTGCTTGATTGTCCTCAGTACCCGCCTTCTCCTCGCAAATGGCGAGTCGCGCCAGGCTCTTTGAGCCGCTTGTGCTCTGCGCACCTTCTCAAAGATGGCAGACGCATCATCAGCCTGGATATCGGAGATGTGCTGAGCAGTGGATGGATCGTAGCACGTGATTAGTCGAGGATGGGCTTTGGAGGAGACGGTGGGGTAGGGAAGCACCATGCCATTCCATCCTGCTTGTACGGCGTGAGGCACAGCCACAGACACTGGCCTCGCGGACTCTTTCCTGCGCTTAATGATCGTCGAGGTCAGGAAGGCGACCAGCACAACGGTCAGCGCAGCTGTCAAGATTGACCCCGCGTGCGGTTCGATCTGGGCAACAACATCTGCAAGCCAAGTTGGCGAATGCTGCTTGGCAAGCGCGGCAAAGCGATGAGTCCAATCGTAGAGGGGTGCTGCAACAATGTCGAATGCACCACCAGCAGCTTTGACCGGCTGCGTGTGACTGCTCCTGCCATTGCCGCTCAACCAAGTTGCCAATCGAGACGTCATCGACCGCGGAGGTGGCTCAAGCATCTTTGTGGAGGCACGGCGCTCGGGGGATTCAGGTGTCTTCGCTCAGGTTTTGGCTTGTACTTGCACAGAGTCACTAGTGTAAAACGCTAGAGGAGAGCTCTGTTACCTGCCAACGAGTCCCGGTGATCAAAGAGAAGTGATGATGCAAAGCACAGTCGTCAGCAGTCACTCGAGGATGCTGCCCCGCGTTTCCTGGCTGAGAAGAAGTCCAGAAAGGAGCGGAGCGTATGCTGCGTGCATGCAGCAGCAGCTGCTGCTAGCGCGCCTTGGGCAACTCGCAACATTCTTGATTCATGATTCCCCCGCGGCTTTTGTAGCAGCTCCGAGAGGGTCACGTGAAAAGTTGATGCAACCTCCTCTGGATCACGTGATTGAATAGTCTTGGTGTGTGTATCGACACAACAATCGGCACGGCCCACCCACGCGACTCTGTGACCTGCGTGTGTCTGAGACACACACGACAGGCGAATAATCACGGAATGATGAAGATTCGTGATTCGTGGATCGCGCTGCATGCTACGAGCTGCTTTCTCGGCCTTATCGCCGGTCGCTGGTCGCTGCATGACCGCTGCCCACTCGTGACTGTGCGCTCGACTGCCTCGCAACGCGGTGCTCACACATCTTTGACTGGCTCACGCCCACTCTACATCTCTTGCTCACTTGCCATCTCTAGCTGAGCCCCCAAAGCGCTCTCTTCGCGCCTCTCACCCTCCCTCGTGCTCGTCGAATGTCCGCTCGCATCGCTGTGCGTCAACAGCCGTCTGCACTGCGTTCATCACTTCGGTCAACACTTGGCCGCCAATTCTCGTCTTGCTCGCCAAAGCCCACAGCTAGTCTGCCCTTCGCAGTGCCAAATCGATTCCAGAAAATTGGCGCCTTTGAGCAGACCCTTCTCTCACCATCGTCCTCATTCTCTACCAGCAGCAGGATGAGCGCCTCCTCTTGGGTCCCTCCCGCTCCGGGCAGCATCCCACCTCCACCCAGACCTCCTTTCACTGATCAGCACACGCTCAGCAACCTGGCAGACATTCGCACGCTGAACCTTCATCTGGAATGGCAAGTGGATTGGGAAGCCAAACTCATCTCTGGCAGTGCTGCCCACGAGCTGGAGGTGATTGGGGAGAAGGGAACGGATAAATTGGTGCTGGATACCAGCTACATCGACATTCACAAGGTGGAGGTGGAAGGGAAGGAGACGAGGGATTGGCACCTGGCTCCGCGCAAAGGCTCGCTGGGAGCTGCGCTGACCGTACCGCTTGGCAAAGTGTGGAGCAAAGGAAGCAAGGGCAGGGTGGTGGTGCACTACAGCACCACGGATCAATGCACCGCTCTCGGCTGGCTCACCGCCGCTCAGACCGAAGGCAAGAAGAGCCCTTTGGTCTTTTCTCAGGCTCAAGCAATCCACGCCAGATCCCTCGTGCCCATCCAAGACACTCCGAGCCACAAAATCAAGTATACTGCGAGAGTCAAATCCAAGATCCCAATCCTCATGTCCGCCTTGCCTGCTGGCTCCGTTCAGGCGTCCGAGGATCACCCTGGAGACCCCCTGGCTGCAGAGAGCCAAGGCTTGTCAGACGATGAGGAGAAATACTACGTATTCAAGCAGCCCGTTGGCATCCCTTCGTATCTCATTGGTATTGTAGGTGGAGACTTTGTCTTCAGGTCGCTTGGGCCCCGCTGCGGAGTATGGGCTGAGCCTCCCATGGCGGATCGAGCAGAGTGGGAGTTCAAATCCACGACGCACAAATACCTCTTGGCAGCTGAAGAGCTCATCTCTCCCTACTCGTGGACGCGATTCGACAGCGTGGTGCTGCCTCCCAGCTTTCCTTACGGCGGAATGGAACAGCCCAACCTGGTCTTGCTCACGCCTACGCTCGTATGCGGAGACAGATCGCAATGCGACGTCGTTCTACACGAACTTTCCCACTTTTGGAGCGGCAACTTGACAAGCTGCGCTACGTGGGCAGACTTTTGGCTGAATGAGGGCATCAATGTGTGGATCGAGCGTCTCATCCTGCAAAAGATACACGGGCCGGAAGTCGGTCCTGCTTATCGCGGCCTCAGGTGAGTGAGAGCTCGCGGGGTCCTAATTGCATGTGGTGCTGCGTCGCGGTCACATCGCTGAGACGGCTTTCACTCTTCGCGCGTGTTTCATCAGCTACCTCATCGGCGAGAAGGAACTCGGAGGCGCCTATAAGGAGTTTGATGCCACCCCACGATTCAAGCGACTGGTTCCCAAATATTCTGGCAATGAGGATCCGGACGACGCATTCTCGCGCATTCCCTACGAAGCAGGCTCTAACCTCATCCTCTACCTGGAAAGGCTGGTGGGAGGTCTGGACATTTTTATTCCTTTCATCCGATCCTGGTTCGCAACATTTTACGATCGATCGGTCACCACTGGCGAGTTTAGGCAACACCTTGCGGACTTTTTTGCGGGCAACGAGCACGTGACGGACAAGCTGAAAGAGGTGGATTGGGATGCCTGGCTCAACAGCGAGAGCGGCAAATTGCCTGTCCAACAGACCTACGACGATCGATTCGCCAAGCAGTCGTACGCGCTTGCGGACAGGTGGCTCAAGGTGATCAAGGAGGGCGGCAAAGCGGAGGGCTTCAGCAAAAAGGACATCGAGGGATGGTCTGTGGATCAACAGGTCGTCTTTCTGGAGCAGCTGCACCTCGGACCCAAAGTCAAAGCGTCCATTGCCGAACAGCTGGACCAGACGTATCAATTTAGCCAAGCACAATGTGGGGAAATCCTCCTCTCCTTCTTCGTCATCGCTTTGGAAGATCCAGCGACGAAGTATGCAAAGCAATGCGCAGAATGGGTCAAAACGGTTGGCAGGATGAAGTATGCCAGGCAGCTCTACAGAGCTCTGTACGCCGTCGATCCCGACTTTGCGCGAAAGACCTTCGAGGAGTCCAAGAGCTTCTACCACCCAATTTGCCGGAACCTGCTTAGACAAGATCTCAAGCTTGCACCTGTAGCATGAGGGCGCACGCTAAAAGAACACCCTGCAATCAATAAGGTCGAATCAACCCAACTTTGCGCGTGGCGCCCTCCTCGGGCCATTGAGAGACACCGGCTCTGCATGCTAATGCGATGACTGAGATGTTGCATTGTTCTTTGACATACGAGCGCTTATACACAAAACTTCCTTGCACTCATGGGTCTCGCGCGACCATGTGCGACCTTTGTTTTGTTCCCTCAACCCTTCCATTCCCTGTCCATCCTCTGGGCCAGAGACTTCAGCGTCACTTGGCCCCATAGCGTTGTTTCCGTCCCAAATCAAATGGCACGTATCTAGTAGAAACCGTCGCAGGTCCGAATGAGCGTTTGACAGCGCAAGGCATGACAGCAATGAAACGCCCGAACAACTTACTTGTACTTGACCATGTGCGCAATCTGCCTTCGCATGGTGATGCCAAAGAGGATGAAAAAGTAGAGGACGAGGATGGGGACAAAGACTGGAATATCGAACGCTCTTGTGATTGTGCAGCCCAATGAGATGAGGATGGCTTGGGTGGCGCCTAGCCAGAACTGTGTGGGGAGGATTCGAGATGAGAGGACAGCAATCATCAGCATCATGTTGTTGATTGGGAGAGAAACGCCCACCGCACTTTGACTCGGGTAGCGTGCGTCTACGGCGATAACCTACGCAGAAGGCTTCTGCGACCTGTCAAAGCGCGCTCTGCACACGAGCTGCCTGAGGATTGCGTCTACGAGTGACACACCATGCGCGTACTCTCGCAGCATGTATGCATCGCTGGGCCCGCTGGTGATTCTCTGTCCAGAACCATCGAGGCGCTTTTTGGCTTTGCCGTTGACTCACTTTGAATTCAGGCAATCTCCTGATGAAGGGCCTAAATTCCTCCTCTCCAGAAGGTGCAGGCGTTCCGAACATTCCGCTCATCAACCCTACCCCGCCCGATTTTCCAAACCCTCCGCTGGCAGATGCAGAAGTGGGCAGTCCCGGCTCTCCTTCTTCCACATCTTGCTCTGCCAAGTCAGCCTCGATCGAAGGGTCGAATTTGGGCTGAAGAAAGGCGAGAAAGAGGTTGAGCAGGTAGATGAAGAGTGCGTAGCAAACTTCACGAGAGGGAGATGAAGAACGAACAAGCAGACTCTAAATTAGCGTCGAGTCATGAACGAACAGCTTCCTACTCTGGTCTGGTCGCCAGGCTGGCTGCGATGCAGCAGTTCCCACTCACTGATGTACCAGCCTTGACCAAAGATGACCCGAAGCATGAACAGGGTCAATAGAGCAGCGGTAGCGCCCCATCTCCTTGCAGTGTAGGGAGTGGTGCTGTCCAGAAACACTTGCACCCTCTGTTGAGCCTGGCTGGTCTGCGTCAAGAGGTTCTGGATGACGGGCGGTGCATCCAAGCCGTGATCGCCTCCATCTTGTGGCTGCATCATCCTTGTTGATGGCGGAAAGTGTATGCTCGTGATCGAAATTGCGCTCGGATGGACCTGAAGAAGAGACTGGCTGCGCCTTCACAAAAGTGCCCTTGTCTTGCTTCTGAGGATGATGTCGTGCAAGCTCGGATTAGCGCTTCAAAGCCAGACTATGTAAAGATTGCGATGATTGTTTTAAAGGTGGTGATGGACCAGATTGGCGCCAATCAATGTTCGACCTGCTCACGACTCACGACTACACTCACCACTGTGACTGCGTTCGGTCATTTGCTTTGCTCTGCTTGGCAGTCATCCATCCGTCGTGAGTGACTTTGTGCATGACGTGGTTTCGGAAGCTTTGGCGCGTTCGCTGCTGACAGGTCGCGGCGGCAACTGCGCTGCTGTGCATGCTGTGCCGTGCCGCGTGCTGCTGAGCGAGCGCGCGTGCGCATGCATGCGGCTGCTCCCCGAGAGGCGTGCGGGTGCTGTGTCGCGCGCGCCCACATCGGTCGGAAGATCTTGCACGCTGCACGTGAATAATCAAGAATGACGACCAAATCACGCATGGTCAACCTCACACGCGGTCGGTTGGGAGGCAGGAACCCAGTCCATTTCAAGTAGAGGCTCGCCCTTCGCTCATGAGGCTGACCATCGAACACTCACGCAAACGCTTTGCTGACCGTGTCAGCCTTTCAGGGGCGATGCTCAGGAACCCTGATTGAGGATGACGCGTTGCTCACTCGGCCACCTCGATCGCGGTCGTTGGGTTGCACATGTCGCGCAAGCCAAGCCTTTCAAACCGTCTCAGCAGTCCGCGTCTCAGTGTGAGCAACTGAGATGCTCAGTCTGGCGCATCCGTACTCGTGATAGTTGCGCACTTTATCCTAGCCCTGGCAAAAGTCGTCGAAGTGGGCGTCGTCCCATGGAAGTGTAAAGACGTGTGCGGAGATGCACAGCCCGGCCCAGAAGCAGAAAGCGTCTCGAGCTAGCGACTCTCCCTCCCCAAGGGCGGCTGCTGCTCTCATTGGCTTCAAGGCCAATCTTGAACGGCGTGATGCTGCTGTTGGATTGACTAATACATTTTTGCGATTACAAAGCAAGTTCAGGCGTGCAGTTGTGCCATCACCGCAAGCATTGCGACGAGCGAGGTCAGGGTAGGCTCGTCAATCACGCCTATTCCATACGAGCTTGTTTGCTGTCCGGCCCAGGCCCTCCTACACCGCCTCCTCCAAGCTCGTGGAAGTCCATCGGTCTCTCTCTCTTGTTTCCCGATTGTCGACCAGCATCATTCCTAAAGCTGTCCACATGATGGGAAAGAGACTGTGTCAGCGCAAGCGGGGCGCAATATTCCACGTTGCGAAACGGGCGACCGTGACGCTCACCCATTGACCGGCGCCCTCATGTATGCGCTGCCAGCACCTCCTATCGGCTGTTGTGCATATCCCTGTTGAGCATGTTGCTGCTGCTGCATCTGGTTGGCTTGCCAGAGATTCCCGACATTTCCTTGCACGTTCCCCATCCCCATTGGCATGCCCATCCCCGTGTGCATTCGCATCGCTGGATGATTGAATGCCATGTGGTTCATGTTGCCCATATGCATACCTACGCCCATCCCCATGCTCTGCATCTGCTGCATCGCTTGAGGGTTATTCATTCCGTTCATACCCATCATAGCGCCGAAGCCCATCGACATGCCGTTGTTGGCAGCAAAGCCGGGAGGGAAGCCATTCGCCCGCATCTGGTTCATGTTCATACCCATAATGTTTTGATTTGGCATGTGCTGCTGTAATTGTTGCGTCTGACTTTGCGCCTCCCCACCTCCTTTCAGAATCTTCATGAAATGCATCTGAAGAAGTTGTAGCTGCATTTGCAGTTGCATCCTCATCGGAGGGGGCAGTGCAGCATTAGTCAGCATCATCAATGTCTGCTGCACCGGCCGAGGGTTCCACTGGGCAGTGGTGGGAATGATGTCCTTGACAGGCTCTGGCTCTTCTAAAGCCACCACGTCTTCTCTCGGTGGGGAGTCATTGATGGACCTTGCCTTCTCTGCGTCATCGGCACCATGCGCATTCTCCGAAACCTGCTCCTTGACTTTCTCCTCTGAGCCTTCCTTCGTCTCCTCGGTGGTGGATTCCGCTGCATTTGCCTCGGGCACTTCGGCTGCCTCTACGCCCGCCTCATCACGCGCAGACGCACTAGCTCCAGTCTTGTTGGATCTGGCCGCCTTGAGCTCAGCGACTTGAGCTTGCGGCAAATTTTCCAAAGCATTGACGCCCTCAGCTCTCTCGCTCTCGCTTTTAGCAAGCTGAGCGGCGACATAGGCTTCCACTGCTTCCCTTTTCTCGTCGTCCGCAGCCAACCTCGTCAGATCCGCAATGCGCCTATCGCACTCCGCACATGCGAAATCGTGCTCGAGCAAATACGTCTGAATACAGTCCTCACAGTAGCGTGTGCTGCAGCAGGGTGTCTTGACTGCTCTCTTGAGAAGCTTGCTGCAGATCGGACACGCCAGACTCGCGTCCTGAGGTACACTGCTGAAGACGTCGCTTCTACCGAGTGGCTTTCTCTGCGCTCTAGCGCGCTCCCAAGTAGCACTGGGAATGCGAGTTTTTCAGCGGAGTATTACAACAATGTTGGAGTGGCCAATAGAGCTTCGGATGACTTACTTGTCTACCTGCGCGATGACGTAGTCACCATCTGCTGTCACCATCGGCACAGCACCGCCCTCAGCTGCAGAGGCTCCCTCCGGCACCTCGACTTTGCGAAGCATACTCCTCGGAATACCCGTGGTACGCTTAAACCTCGGCTTGTTATCCCATTCGCGATCATTATTGGTGGGACAATCATGAATCCAATGACCTTTCGTGCCGCACCGGAAGCAGATGTAGCCGATGGGCGGTGGCCGGTCTGGGCCAGCAATGTGAGAGCTGTTGGCGCTCGTGAAAGCCCGAGGAGGACCTCCTCTTCGTGGTGCGCCACCGCGTTCTCGATACGTTGCACTGTGAAATGAAGTGGAACCAAAGAACGTTGCAACGAGCAGGTGGTAAGAGCAAGACCCTAAGCACCGTGCACGAGCACACTACTGACTGTTGCATTCGTTCTTGTGTCTCGTCCCACGCTTCCGTGGAAGCTTGGAACATCGCGGCGATGTTGCGTGCTTCTTCGTCTCCGCCCTCGGCCAGAACGCCGAGCGACGACCCCCCGCCAACAGTGGGATCCTCAGATGTCTGACAGTGGTGCCGAACGCTTGTGTCAGTCGAGGCGCGATCATATAGTGCCCCTCAAGTGACAGCTACTCACGCTTTTGTCGTCCTTGCCATCAAACCTTTTGCTAAGCATGCCACCTACACCTCGGATGGGCTTGGACGCAACACCAGAAGCGTTGGGTTGAGAAAAGCGGTCATCCCTACCACCTTGACCTGGCGCTGCGGATGGACCAGCAGCGACGTCGGCGACGTACTGAGCAGCCGTGCCCTTGCCAGCTCTTGCGGGCGGAACACGTTTAGCGAGGACAGAGGTGGCTCTGGGCAAGATCACATCGTCTTTGTACTCTGCGAGGTGACGTGCCAAGGAGCACACAGATGCGTCAAGTGGAGCGCATAGCAAAATTTGGACTGCATACACTCACCCTCATCCGTTTCTGTACTGGCGATGACGAGATCAAAGTCTGTTCCCTTGCCCATTCGGTTCTGAAGCATGATCTCCCTCTTGAGGTCCCACACGCTCATTCCCACCCCATCAAAGGTGATCCGACTGGGCGCCCTTGCCGACTTGAACTTGTAGTAAATCGAAGCAGATGCCATCTTAAATCGAGAGTTGGGTTGCAGCTCTTCTTGCTAGAGTAAGTGAGAGCGGGCAGCAGATAGCGGTGGACCCCTGGCGGTCTCACACTCGAAACGTGGAAGCGTGACGCGATTAGCGACTGCTGATCTGGAGTACAGGCGTGCAGAGCGAACGGCACACTGCAGCGATGGGAAGTGCAACAAGGTCGTTGGTTGCCCTGATGCTCATCGAAAGGGACGTCGACAGGATGAATGGTGGTCGACTGGGCGAATCGGGCCGGCTGAGCATGCGAGGCGGTGTTCGTGATTGCACTCAGACTTCTGACTTCGAGCTGGTCATCCACAAGGTGCATCTGCATGGAAGCGTGCACAGACGAGACTCTCCACGTGACGAGGGAATTGCAGCAGACCTGCAACTTTTTTGGCGCTTCGCATGCACGCACGCGTCGACTTGACACCCATGCAAAAGCCCAACTTACCATCACGCCCACCACTGTTATCTCCGACTCAACTCTTTCTTCTCGTTTGCATCCATTTCGCGCTCTCAGGCGGACTCTGACCTCTGTAGCGCTCGTTTACGACAGAGGGCGCTTGTTCGCACCTCTTTGTGGTGCACTGCACTGCATCTGAGGATGCCATCGGCAGCTACGCGTACATGTGTGGAGTGCAACACCAACCCTTCACGCTACAACTGCCCGACGTGTCGACAGTCCACATGCGGTCTAGCATGCTCCAAGAGTCACAAAGCTGCCTGTGATGTGCGGCATGCAAGCACGTCCAAGACTACGCTGCTCGTCGCGCAGACTCGCGAAGATCCTACCGAACTGGAAAGAGCTCAAGCAATTGGTAGGATAGCCGGAAGGATCGCACCGCAGAGACCCAGAGATGTCAACGACCTCATGGCAGACTTTTCCTTCGTAAGCGCCATCGCTCAGCAGGCTCAGAATGCTGGGAGGTTGGCTGTGCAGCTGGGACTCACCAACTCCACCGACACCCAGCACGTGCGCGCAAAGGATGTCGCGAATGGTCGTGAGAATGAGGCAAAGCATGGGAAGCGCGGACAGGGACAGCAGACGCAGCAGCGTTTGCCGCCGCAAGAGGCGAAGGCGCAGGCATTGCAGAAGCAGATCTCGTACCGCAGGCTGCCCATCATGCTGCTTCCGGTGGGGATGCAGATGCGCAAGGAGAATGCCACCTCCTGGTCGGGTCGGTGAGTGCTACCAGAAGTAAGGCTTATTGTTTCTGGCCTCCAAGCGCGCAAATTCCTCACAGCTTTCTTCATACCCTCGCACTCTCAATCGTAGGGACCAGCGCCTCTCATTCACTATCGATCTACGTTTTCCGTTTGCGCCCAAAGCATTAGCGCGGGCGTCAGAGGTGCAAAGCGCCGGCAAAGGCAAAGGGAGACCCATGAGGGCCCTATTGCACCGCATTGATCCAGCAAAACGCGTGCATACCATCTTCGTGGACGAGCTAGACAGAATGGCGCGCCAGCAGGGCGTGCCGCAGCCTCCAAGCGTGACATCCAAGGCAGAGCATGGCCGCACATTGCCGCTGCATTCTGATGCCGAAAGCTGCGGGAGATATTCGTCAAAGGTGCTCGAGGCAGCTGGCCTTCGTACTGACTCCAAAGAAGAAGCGTGCCATGGGGACCACAAAGACGGCGAGACCCTACAAACAGTGCTGCCTCCAGGTACCGTAGTACTCTTGAATGTATACGCGGACCGTCTACGCAACGAGAGCACAGCAAAGTTCAGCAATTGGTGGCATGCGCAGGTGCGACGAGGTAATGTCGCTCCGAACAGCTTGGAAGGTCCCAGCAGTTCAGGGCCTCGTCCTGCAGCGGAGCCAATTGTCGCGACCTGCACCCCCACAGGTTCGAGAGCGGATAGCGAGCGTTCAGGTCCATTGATGCATCCAGCACCTGTGATGCCGGAGACGCAGATCGCATGCGGCAGCGAAGCCCCCAGTACATCCGCGCATCAAAGCGGCCCTGTCGATACGGCAATGCGGACAGTCGTAGCTCTGCGAAGCGCAGAGACAACGGTTCAAGACATGCTCAGCAGTCTTCCGCGCCGACTTGCAATCATAGAGTACCCGCAACTAGAAATTTGGCCGCTGCAGAAGGTCTTGCAGGCGGTCGAAGGCGGGACGTTGAAGGTGCACGAGCTGCGTGATCCGAACGAGCCAGAGGAGTCGCCGAAAGCAGAGGAAGTTCCCTTGGCCCCATCAATCGAGGCGGAGGGCTCACTTCAGATTATGCCTCCACCTGAGCGTATATTTGATGTACCAACGGGTCCCAAAGCAAAGCGGCTGAAGCCATCGGATCATGCACCAACGCGTCCCAACTCTAAGCGACCAAAGCTATCGGACCCTTCTCAAGTCTCGAGTTCTACAGTAGTCAATGAAGCGCCCGCGCCAACGTTCTCTGCTCAAGCGCCACCCTCTGGACTTGGCCTGGCGCTTAGCGCAGCCCAAGCAGCTTTGAAAAATCCCGCTGCACAAGCTGCCATGATGCGGGCTGCGCAGGCAAGGCAAGCTCCGCCTTCACTTCCAAGACCTGCAGTTGGGCTTTCGGGATTGGCGTCGTACGCTTCAGACTCTGAGTCGGATGAGAAGGACGAACAAGAACAAGATCAGGAAATCCCGGAAGCAAAGCCCTCCGGCTCTCGCTCTCCAGAAACGCAAAGGTTGGCCAGGCTAGAAATGCTCTCAGAGACCGGGGCACAAGCGGCTCTAGATGCTGTGTCTTCAGCAGGAGTCGGCCCCAACTCATCTTCCTCTACTTCAGGACTTGCAGAGCTTGCTAGATCTTTGGGCTGGGCACTGCCTAGAGCTCCTTCACCAGAATCCCTGCAATCGCCGGAGATTCATCTGCCTCACACGAGCCCGGAATCGGAAACACCTGCGCTGGGATTTGATGGGGAGGAGGAACACCTTGACTGGGGAGACGACGCTTAGGATGCTTGCTCCAGTCCTGCGAAGCATGGTAGTTGCGTCTGTACCGGGCATCACATGGCAGGCAATACTCTGCATCGACGGCGGTGCCGAAGCGCCTTGAGTCTCTTCAGTGCCATCACATTGCTCATTACTTGTACGTATCCTCAACTCGAAGGACATTGGCGTCACATCCACGTCTGACGAACAAGAAAGCCTGTCAAAGCATTCAGAGGTGCCCAAGTAACGATGCTGCATTCCGAATTTCCCTTCGCCTTTCTGACATCTTACGCCTTATCAGCGGCTGCCGCAAAGTCATCGACAAAAAGCCATCTAGTCTTGGCATCCAGATCATCTTTCCTCCAATCGTTGATCTTCTTGGGAAATAGTGGCAAGACGTCTTTGAGAAGCCTGTCGTGAGCTAGGATGATGAAGACACCATCCTGCGCATCTAGCTCGCCCAAACCAAGCAACGAGTCGAGCGCTTCTTGACGGTCGGAGCAAAAGTCGTCGGACGGCACGTAGTATGGCTTTGTTTTGCTCTGTTGAGGATTGATGCGCTCCAAAACTTCACAAGGGCATCCAGCTCCCTTGCTGTATTTCTGGCTCGAGTGGATGATTACGTTGGCGGGCAAAGGATGCCCGTCGTGCGGACGAATCTCGCCGGCATGATGAGCTGCATCGCCTCCGAACAAGACGAACGTGTCGGGCGAGACGCGTGCCAGGCCGCTGATGTGACCTGGTGCGTGTCCCGGCGTGTTTAGCAGATAGAAGGAAGCATCGCCAAAGTAATCGTACGCTTTGAATCGTCCGATATGCAGCGTGCGAGAGGAATCGTTGAAGTCTAGCTCTATGAGGTCGCGATCTTCCCACATTGCGGAAACTGTGGGCGACTCGGGATCCGCGGGATAGCCCGGTAGGATGGCCGACTTGAACCCTGGTCCTACGATGAGCGATACGTGAGGAGGGAAGAGATTGGGGTTGCCCGTGTGGTCGAAATGATGGTGGGACCAGATGATGCTTTCGATCTGATCGAGCGACGGCAGCGATGCGTCTCGCTTCGCAGCATCTTGCAAAATCTCAGCAATGTCACGTTCGACCTCTACCGAGCCACCTCTGCTCTTCAAGCCGTCCACAAAGAATTTTGGAAAGCCGGTCTCCCAGTCCTTGCGGATACCGAGGTCGAACAGGACATTCCTCTTGCCGCTCGAGTCCGTCACGAGGAAAGAGAAGGCAGGACAGTTGAGATCTTCGTGTCCTTCTATGGGCGTCTCAAAGAAATACTTGGCTGGGTAGTGAATTGTCGAGGTGGAGTCGATCACACGCACGGTCGAGACATTGTTGCTTGCAGGAAGCTTGCCGACAGGAGTGAAAGCGCTCATGCTGGAAAGTGCAGGTCGCAGGTGTGAAAGAACACCGAAGAGAGCAAAGTGGGGAAAATCAGCAGACGGTGCTTAGCCTCTCCAGTTCGCAGACACAGCAGGCGCGGAACTGTCGTCAACGAGGGTCCTGGTCTCTCGTCGCTCTTAAAGGCTTGAGTGGTCGAAGTTGAGCCTTCTTTGCTCACTCCACTCTCAACATGCACACGACACGCTGCTTTTGTGCGTAGGGTATGTGGAGGAAGTGCAGCTAGCTGCCTGCCGGCGGTTGACCCTTACGCCCGTCGGAGTTAGGCAATCGTACCGTTCCTCGGCTGACGGTTATATGCAAACAGATCACGTTTCACTTACGACAGAATGGCGTGCGTGCCAAGGAACGAGCTTCAATCGAATCGACAGACGCGCAATCGAACATGTCCTCAAGCATTGGCGCAGATGCTTTCCTGCTGCCGCTCACTGGCCCACTTCGCGTGGCCATTTGCTCGTCAAATTCATACATTGCAAACGGGCTCCAGAACAACAATGGACAACGAAACAGTGCGTGCGGGAAGGTTCCCGTACAACTCATCGAACAGCCGCGACGAATGATTGAGGAGTGTCGAGTCCAGTCGTGAGCTGAGACGCAGATGTGCGAGGCATCTTCATCGAGGCGGCAACGTGGTTCTGGGGCGCCACGACGACGTCGCCCATAGCAGTAGCCATCGCTCTTGCTTCTTCTTCAGCTTCCAGACCCAGCGGACCCGCATCGCCAGCAGCGGTGGCGCAGCCAAGTGGGTCTTGAAGAGGTGCCTCTCCCTTCAGAATACTGGCGCTGGTGGCCCACATTCGGGCTTGCGCCAAACCTTGCTCGATCATTGCCTCGACTCCACAGATGGGCGACCAAGCCGATGCAGACGGTTGACTGGCAGCATACGCCAGCAGCGGTGTCACGCGCGGCTTGTAGCACATCTCGAGGAATGGTCGAGCGGATGGAAGCGGGAAGCGCTGAATTGTCGAACTTGTCTCCACGTTCGCCTGGACGTTGGCGTGTGCGCCGAGGCCCGGGCGGTATTCGCTCTCGAAGAACATGTGTGCCAGATTGTAGACCATCTTCTCATCTGCTGACTGTGGCGCCATGCTGGGAATGGCGCCGATGGTGCAAGCTAGCTGGCCGGTCTCTCCAGTCTCCCTCCTGACGGCTTCCTCTTGCCAGGCTTGCTCGGAGCGTAGAGGTCTGAGATCCAAGTTCAATCCTCGCTGGTCGAAGTACTGCACGACGTTGGCAGTCTCTGCGGCATCTCGATTGAGCAGGTAGAGCGGCGACAAGCCAAGTTGATGCGCAGCCCACACAGCGGAGCGGCACGTACCGCCGCTTCCGATGATGAGGGCGCTGTGCTTCAGGCCTTCTCTGCGACCGTCCAGCGGAAATTGATAGGTGGCCGAAGCGCGCATGTAGAAGCTGGGATCGAGACCATGTTGCGTGGCGACGTTGCGAAGGATCGCGTGTCTAATGCCCAGGTAGTCGGTGTTTGTGCCGATCATTCTTCGATCTTCGAGGCGAGTGGAGCCAGACTGAGAAGGGTAGACGACGATCGTATTGACCGTACCAGTCGCTTGAGCAATGGCATCGAGCTCGTCCAGAATGTGCTCCTTGCCGAGTTGGGCAGCGACAGCCACCTTGAGAGGCATGGTGACGGCACTTCCGCCAAACCTCTCGTCTTCGCGCACGTAACGTCGCATGTGCTTCTCATCGATGCTGCGCGTCTCGCACAGGCTGTACGTTGGGAAAGGCCCTTCGTTGGAACAGTCACCCTTGCGTAGAGAGCTGCGCTGCATCAAAAGGTTTTGAAATGCAGGAGACGCTGAATGCGAGATCGGATAACCGAAAAGACGATGTCTTCTGGGAGAAGCTTCGATCTCTTGCAAGGTTGGATGAGCGGGAGGTGCGAGGGCCAAAGTGGAGGGGCCTGCTTGCTCAGTGCTCGACTCGACGGCGACGTCAAGCATGGTGCTGTTTGCTACGGGTGCCATGTTGAGAGAAGTCTTCGATGAAAGAATTGGAAATGGGAATGAGCTGGCTTGAATATGCGGCAGTGCGAAGGACAAGATCGAACTGGAATGGATTGCTGAGGTGTGAGCTACGACCAGCTGGCCTTTTTAGGGACGCAACCATCAATCACGAATGGCAAGAGGCTTCGTGGTGCGCTTTCACCGCACACGACCATTTCGGGGCCTGCTGCGTGCACGATCATGCAGGATGGCGACGCTAACTTGCGCGCACCTGTTGTGAAGCCCATTCTTCCGGCGCGCTGCCTACGTACCCCTTCCCTTTACACCGCCATTCCCCTCCATATTCACCATTCGCTGCGTTTCGATTCGTCAGGACGCAAGACCACACGTCAGCGATTTCGAACGTCTTCATCGCTCGCACTGGTCGCTCTGCCAAGGAATGTGGAGAACGGCACGTAAATGATCCTGAATGACGCTTCGCCTTGTCGTCACAGCCGTCAGCGATGACCGTTGGGAAGAGTGGTCTGGTGCTGGTCCTGGTAACGTTTACCCCTCCGGCTGATAGTTTCTCCGCTTTCCCAGCTTGGAGCTCTCCACGTGGCTCTGTCGATTCCATCTGCCCAGAATTGCATCCAACACCCTTGCAGCTGCAGTGCCACCCTTTCCCGCAGTCCAAATCGCGACCTCACACAACTCGACAAGCGTTGGCCAAGCACGGTGCTCGGATGAACGCTCACGGATTGTGACAACAGCACCGGCTGCTTGGCGAGTCATGGCCCTGGCCGAGACCTGCAGCATCGAATCCGGCGCAAATCGTGAATGTCTTGCAGCATGCGTAGCCAGCACAGTGTCGCTTGATGATTGCCGCAGACCTGGTCTTCATGCAGCTGCAGGCACTGCTGGGCTGCATGGCGTGCGCGCGAAACAAGTCGTGAGTGTGGGGTTGGTTCCGTTCGGCAAATTCAAGAAGTTTTGGTTCCTGGGCATCGCGCCTGTCTCAGTCACGAAGCTCCTTGCCGCCTTTGCCGTTTGGAACGGCGCCACAGGCAACCCGAGACTAGGAAAGTGGCTGCATGTTTCTGCGCTCACATTACCTGCACCAATTCCTTCGATTCCTCCGCAGTGGCTCCTGCCGCGGAGGCAGGCTGGTGCCTCAACACGCGCTGGGCTGCGCTGAATCGCCTAGCCCTTTGCTCACGACGGCCCTCTTCGCTTCCTCAGGCTTGCCGCCCTCGCCGCGCTCAACCGGAAGAATGGGACTGCAAACTGGCGCAAATCCCCTGGATTTTGACAGCCATCCCGCACTCAAGAGCGCTTTCTCTGGGACTGACGTAAAACCCAATGAAGCAGCCCCCAACGCGATCCAAGTAGAGAGGACATCTGAATGACTTCTGAAGTCCAAGCCACGGCTCACAGCAGACGCGGCAGCGCCACTCGATCGGCCCAACAGCGGCCGCTCGCTGCTCGACCCGCCCCGATTTTTGCAACGGCTCCGCTGCGCTGGTCTCGCAGGAACTGGCTGGAGCGACCGGAGCGAAGTTCTTCCCTTGCTTCTCTCACCACTCACAGTCACTGCCAACTGGCCTGATTCAGATTGGGGAGGAACGACATCGTACAGACCACTGTATCGACGTTTCACTGTATCCAATCAGGTGGCTCACTTACCCCGTGGGGAATACATTTGCAACCGCTGTCATCTTTAAGAAGGCAGTCCGGGGCTCCACATTCCGTTCTTCCCTCCTCATCAAGCAATTCGGCTTCCACTTCTCCACTTCTCTTCTCAGCCTTCTCCGGCCTCGACAATCTTCACCCACCCTCTTCGCCCACACCCCACGTCACAAGATGAAGATCGAGTACCCACCCGAGATCAACAATCTCCGAACATGGGGCCTCGCAACCGTTGCAGCCTTTGCTTCCGGCATGATCGGCTACGACAGCGCCTTTGTCGGTGGCACTTTGGCGCTGCCGGCTTTTCTTAGGGAGTTTGGCACCCTTGACAAGGAGTGAGTTGGATACGTGCGAGTGCCTCGTCGCAGGATGAAGACCACTATACTTACCACAATAACATCCTGCCCTCTCCCTCACAGCACCTCTTCGAACCTCGTGTCAACGTACCAAGCCGGTGCCTTCTTTGGTGCCTTCGCCGCTTACCCAACCGGCGTCTACCTCGGCCGCAAGTGGGGTCTCTTCGCTGCATCCCTCATCTTCACCGTCGGAAGCATCATCATGACCATCGCATCCAACAACACTGGCCTTGGACCCATCTACGGCGGCAGAGCCATTGCCGGTCTTGCCATCGGTATGGCTTCCAACCTCGCTCCCACCTACCTGTCCGAAATCGCACCTACCGCTATCCGTGGTCGCCTCATTGGTATGTGGGAAGTTGGTTGGCAAGTCGGAGCCATCATCGGTTTCTGGATCAACTACGGAGTCAAGCAGCACCAACCGGACACGAGCGACTCTCAGTGGCGCATCCCATACGGTTTCCAGCTTGTGCCCGGCGCGCTCCTCCTCTTCGGCACCCTCACCATGATCGAGAGTCCACGTTGGCTCCTCACCCGCGGCCGCGAAGAGGAAGCCGTCCGCAACTTGGAGAAGATCAGAAAGCTACCTGCATCCGACCCGTACCTCGTCGACGAGCTTGCGCTTTGCCGCGAGTCCATCCGCGCGGAACGCGAAGTCGTCGGCGCGTCATTCTGGGGTCCCATCCGCTACACTTTTGGACAGAGCAAGCTGCGCTACCGAATGCTCATCGCAAGCTCTCTATTCGCTTTCCAAAACGGAACTGGTATCAATGCGATCAACTACTACTCTCCTACCGTCTTCAGGGCTTTGGGTGTGAGTCGAAACATAAAGGAGACCGTCATGATTTTGGTGCTCTGGCTGACCAGTGTGCTCCTTTCGAACGCCGCAGTTGACCGGCACATCTACTGCACTGCTCACGACCGGTGTCTTCGGTATCATCAAGGGTCTCGGAAGTGTCATCTGGATCCTCTGGCTCATTGAGCAGCTCGGTAGACGCAAGATCCTGATGGGAGGTGCTTTTGGAGGATCGATCTGCATGTTCTGGATCGCCATCTACATTGCTGTCTCCAAGGTCGGCACTCCTGGTCACACTTCTGGCGAGCTATCTGCCGGTGGACGAAGCGCTCTTGCTGCCTTCTACCTCTGGACGCTATTCTACGGATCCACTTGGAACGGTACGCCTTGGTGCTAGTGAGTAGCTTGCGAAGAAAAATCTCGCGCGAGTCACGTGCAGACTTCCTACGCCTGCATGCGCGCGCGCGCGCATGCAGCCTGGTTTCGCCGGCACCGGAACGCGCATGAATCACCTTCGAACGCGATCACTTATTCTTAAACCATCTCTTTGCAACCTCAGCTCCGCCGAAATGTTCCCCACTGCCTCCAGGTCCGTTGGAATGACCATCGCTGCGGCATCAAACTGGCTGTACAACTTCGCCATCAGCAAGGCTACGCCAGCAGCTTTCGCCTGGTCTAATTACGGCTTCTTCCTGATCTTTGCCTGCTTGATGGTCGTCTCCATCCCATACGTCTTTTTCGTGTTGCCGGAGACCAGGCAAGTTCCCCTGGAGCGAATGGACGACCTCTTCGCCACTAGACCAGTGTGGAGAGCTGGTGAGATCATCCTCAACGACATTGCGCAAAGCGAGAAGCCTTCGGACAACCTGCCTAGAGCTCATCCCGACACCCTTGAGCGATCCGGTAACAACCGCGACGACGGCGTCTCTACACCCGAGCGCAAGGACGAAGGATCTCAGAAAGGACTCGATGTAGAGACGGGCGACGCTCGCAACTACTGATTTCGATAATGCGCAGTGTTCGCTCCATATGCACGCAATCACTCGACCAACGACTCATCCTGCACCATCTCATGACGAATTTGAACCCCCTCTTCCCGTTTCAAACTGCTGTACCGCACGTCGCTCGGTTTCCATACGTCACCGTCTCCTCCGAATCTCGATGCTCTTGAATGATTTCCACCGCTGGCCTGAGACTCTTTCGACCGAGTAGAGTTCGTTGCGAGCGCAATGCATCCCACCCACTCTCAAGTCGGTGCTTGAGGCTCTGAGCAGCACTTGAAAGAAATTCTTGTGGATCGCTGAGGGTCACATGGGCTGGATCGCAAGTTCAGATGAGCCAGACGCAAACAATGGTACCTCATGAGTCAAGAGTGACATGCTTGTACGCTCAATCCGGCAGTGGTATCTCACTGCACAAAGGCATACAAGCAAGGAAATGATGCAAAGGGAGCGATAGGCAGGTGAAGCAGTCAATGCGAGTCAAGAGCAGGACTACTGAAAAGCGTCTCGTCGGCATCTTCTACACTCGTGACTGCGTTTGCGAAGTTGCTTGCCACGATCCATTGCATCGAGCGAGCATTGTCATGATGATGCCTGCAAGTGCGAAAGCACTACCGAAGCAGCGTTCTGCGCCGGGGTGGTCCTCTGGATGGGCGTGGCATCGTCTTGCAAACCCTCAGATACTGGCGTATGGCGCGCGCGTCCTCGATCAAGGCCCACAAGACCCGCTTTGAGGATCGGGTCTAGCCAGTCCATCCCCCAAAATCTGATTTCTTCCTGTCGCCCTTCTTCACACCAACTTTGCTGCTCGAGATGTCTGCCATTCTTGCAGTTCGAGTGGGCAGCTGCCGACGTCCGACCGAGATGAGCCTGGTTAGATGCTCGACGGTGGGACGAGGCTTCCGGCACGCAGATTCAAAGGTGTGCCATCAGACCAAGTGCGCCCAAGGGTCTTCGATGAACGAGCGCCGAAAGTGTATCTCTAAGGTAGCGACAGGCTCTGTGTCAGCCCTGCTCGGTCTTCTAGCACGCATAACCATACAATGCTGCCGTGGCATCATTCTCCAGCCGTCAAGGCCATCAATCAATCGAACCATTCGCTCATGCGAAAGACTGTATCGAAAGAAGCGGCATTGTATGCCTTGCCTTTGGGTGCTCACCTACGAGATGTGCCGGAGTGGGCGGCCGCTGCCGCAGCACATCACAGAGAGGACAGATGATCAATCGCCGAGCAACCAGTCGTCTCGATACGAGCACTCACGATGTACCGACTGCCGATGTCACCGCCTCGAGAAGCAAGTCCTTTGTGGCCACCCCCCCTCGAATGGCCTCCCCTGCTAGCCCCCCCGCGACCACCACCCCCTCCTCCGCGACCACCACCTCGTTCCCTTCCACCTCGAGGCGCACCGCCGGGCGCATACGGAGAGTGACCGTGCTGGTAGCCACCCGATCCTGCGCCTGACGGACCTCCTCCTGCTATCCCTCCACCCCCACCCCCACCTCTGCCTCTGCCTCTGCCCCTCCCTCTCCATTCTCCTCTTGAGCCGTCGCCCCCACCCCTTCGAGATCCTGAAGGCACTGATCCTCCAAAGGACAGAGGCAGACCTGCAGCAGCTAGGTCAGAGTGTCCATCGTTTGAATCCGTCATTCTCGCGGATCCAGCAAGGTGGATAGAGTCGCAACGAGAGTGGTGGTGGCAACTGAAAATGCGATCGAGGCGCGAACCTTGAGAATTACGAAGCTGGGAAGAAGCAGAGCGATGTGACTGGCCAAGGATTCACGATTGTCGAGCCAGATGGGAAGGACTAGGTGAGCCGACGATCGAATGTGGGGAGGCTGGCAAGTGGGTGAGAGGAGGCAAGGATCGAGTACAAGCATCACAATGACCAAATCACACAAACAATCACGGATTTTGAATAATGATGATATTGCGACTCGCACGCGTGACCATGAAGCTGCAAAAGCCTGCGCGTCTTTTTCACGATCATCAACGCGTCGCCCCTTTTCTGATGGGAGAGACGACGAATACCCAGACCATGTGCACAACAACGAAGGACGCACTTTGAACGCTCCTAGGTGGTGTCTCGGAACAGACGTATAGAGAGAGAGAGCGACAGACAATAGTCATGAAGACCGGGCCTTCTCACGCCCAGTCCCTGTTCACAGCCTCGACTGGACTGTGCGCAGATAGTATAGCTGCTTATCCCTACGACACGAGAGAGGCTGGCGAGTCTGCAGACTGGTCGGGATTGTTTGCTCTTGGCACGTACGAAGTCGAGCAGTCCGAACCAAGCGCGACGAAACAACCGGCCTCACATTGGCGAGATGGCGGCGGTTCAGACGATGAAGAACAGCAGCCATCGTCCTCTTCGCCCGAATATACTCGACGGGGGCGTATACTGCTGTACCAGACGCAGACGTCCAATGCGATGTGCGAAGAAAGCGCTGCGGACAAGGATTGCGGAGCAGGCGTCCAGCTCGCTTACACGAGCGAGGATGCTGCAGCGATTCTGGACATGTGCTGGTATGTCTGGCATGGGCTGTGGTGTGTTGCTCAGCACGTGAATCGTCATTGACCAGCTGATGCTCGGATACGGCGCTTGCAAGGCTTCCATCGCCGGCTCTCTACCCATCGTCTCAAACGCCGGAAAGAGATATGGCTCCTCTGTGTCTGCTCTCGGCGCGAGCGAATTCGAGCTTGTCGCTCCACAGTCTGAGGTCTAATTCCAGTTTGCCGTCGCCTGGAAACAGTCGCGGGTGCTCTTATTCACTGCAGCAGGAAGCCACAATCCCTTTGAGCACGACGACGAGCGGTGTGCTGGCTCTCTCCATCGATCAATCTGCCAAGCGTACGGCAGCATCAGAGCTTGGTCAAGTCGATTCTAGCGTCGTCGTTTCTCAATCAGATGGCACGCTCGCCCTGATCCCATCTTTGGACTTCACCATACACGATTCAGCAGTCCACGAAATCACTTTTGGCGCTTCAATCGAGAACGCATCGTCAGCTTCAGGAAGCCTTGCGCACGACGAGACAGCAGGTCTCGCAGACGAGAGCGACGAGGAAGAAGAAGAAGAAGAAGAAGAAGAAGGCGAGAAGCCGGTAAGCCTACAGAAAGCTTCTTGCACCGCCAGACATCCCTCGATTCAGGTCTGGCGAGCTCATGATCACGAAGCCTGGATAGCAGCATTCGATCGATGGAGCGAGTGTAACGTTTGCTGGAGCGGTGAGTGGCGAAATTTTTGGGATGACGCAGAACTCGAAGCGAGCTCCAGGCTGTGAAGGTGTCCTGGACACCGCTCGGCACTGTAAGCTGATTGGTGGCCTGTCACGCCCTTGTAATGAAAATGCAGGCGGGGACGACCTGACGCTCAAAGGGTGGGACCTGCGCACACCATGTCACAGCGGTCGCCGAGAGAGCACTTTTGCGTGTCGCCGGTGAGTCGTGCTAAAGTCGACACACTAAAAATCATTCGCTGATTCTCGACGTTGATCATCATTATTGACTGCGTAGCTTTGAAGGCGGCGTCACGGCCATGCAGTCTTCTCACCTGAGGCAACACTTGTGGGCTGTCGGGAGGTGCGCACCCGTCCAGGAAGGATTTGCTTGCCTCGGTGCTGACTCTACCTTCACGACTCGCACGAACCGCAGCTATGATGGACAATTGCGCCTTTTCGACGCCAGACAACCCCAGAGGCCTTTCGAGCAGGTTGACATGGGAGGAGGCATTTGGCGAACAAAGTGGCACCCTACCGATCCGAACCGCTTGCTGATAGGAGCCATGCACGCTGGCTTCAGAATTGTTGCGCTCTCGCCGCCTACCACAAAATTCGCTTCGGAGACGATGTGGAAAGACGCCAGGTTGAGCCCGGAAATTCACACAACTTTCGAGGAACATCAGAGCTTGGCTTACGGATGCGATTGGATAAGCCGAAGCAAATTGGATCGGAAGGCGGACGACTTGGTGGCTTCTTGCTCGTTTTACGATAGGCGTTTGCACGTTTGGAGGGCTAGCTGACGCTGAAATGTCGAGATTCTAGCGATCAATGCCGCGACATGGTCCCCACATGCCGGACTGCCAACAAACAGCATATACTCATTACCCACGCATTGGATTGGAATTCGCAAGGTCCGTATGAGCACAGAAATGTCGGCAGCAGCGTGGTACGGTACAAATTGGTCGCTAGAAATGGCAGTACTGGAAAGTTGTGATGAGAACATTGGCCCGTGGCAGAGCTATCGCCAAGCGGAGCGGTCTGACCATCAGACCCAGTGATGGCGCTACCTTACGGCGTGCTGCGAGCATCGTTCTGCAGCACGCTCTTGGCGGGATTTCCCGCTGCTCGGTGGTATGCACCTCCGGCTCGGAGGTGGCACTGCGCGCTCGGAGCGGTGTTGACCAAGCAGGTACGTGCGTCCCGAATCTTAATGGTGATAAAGGGGTGGAAGCTGAGGTGGACCGGTAGCAGGGCGATCCGTCTGCAGCTGATTCTGAATGGCAGCATACGGGTCGACGCTGTTCCGCCTGTCGTTGGGCGCATATGAGTCCCTTCTGCCCGAACCTGGCAAGTTGACCTGGCTGGCATTCCCGTACGCGCCGTAATCATACGAAGGCCTAGCAGCTTGGACGTCTCCAAACGGGTTCTCGGCGCTGTAGCTGGGCCTGCCCACGGGTGCACCATACGAATCTCGGCCTGCCGCTCCTGAGCCGTAATCGTAACCAGCGCCACTGCCATACCTTCCGTCCCCACCATCTCCGTATCTACCACCCGAAGCACCTCCACCGTAATTCGAGTAAGGGTTGGCGTCTTGCTGATGAAGGTCTTCGTCATCTTCTCCTTGGATCGGCTCGAATGCGCTGTCGTCTGTAGGATGCACAAATGGCGGAATGCGAGGACCGTTCTTGCGTGACAGACGCCAGGCTCTCAAGAATAGTCCGAGCGCAAGTAGCCACGAAACTGCGCAAGAGGGTGGGTGCAACACGGCAGCATGAGCAAGGTGCGACATGCCTGTCCACGCAGCAAGGAGATCCTGCTAGCACTCGATATACTCACAGAACAAAAACCATGTGAATGCAGCTTGAGCTCGCTTCGTGTTGCAAAAGCCGGGCAGCACCTTCAAAAAGTCTTCCTCTTTGCCTTTACTCGATTTGGCGTGATCATCCGAAGCGGGGTCTTTGCAGCCCTTGACGTTAGCGCTGATTGTCTGTGTCAAGCTGCAAAGGGTCGCGGGAGGGAGTCAGTTGTTAGTACTTTTCGTACACCACAGCTACAATCAGCAAATACTCACGCGATCAACAAGCTGATGCCCACCCACACTCCGTTCAAGATGAATCCCACCCGAGCCTCACCAAGAGCTCTTGCTAGACTCTTCAGCCTGGTGAAATCCGACTGACTGTGAATTAGGGGTACCGCGACAAAGACGATTGACGTTATCAAGCTAAGGACGGATATGGCTATGAGCAGTCCCGTGAGCCCCGAGGGGCCGCCGATCCATTTCGACTGGAAGGACGACAGTATGATGGCAATGATCAAGACCACCCTGTCAAAGCGTTGCGAGAGAGGGAGAGAGAGAGGAGGGGGGGAAGGAAAGACAGACGTTTGGATGTCAGATGTGGCTGCGACACTTCAGATGGCAAGGAAAGCTCCGGTTGCGGTGCTCACGCTGCCAAGAAGATCTGTACGCCTCGCACAATCAGGCCGTACTTTGCGAACTTGTCCTGTGTGGGGTCGAAGCGGGAGAAATGGTCAGGCGAAGCCCCGCAGTAGCCGACGAGGACGTAAAAGAGCGAAGCGCAGCACACACCTCTGACAGCGGGATGGTATTGACTGGCCCATTGTTGGAAATGCCTCCTCCAAATCTGCCTCCCGATTTGCCTTCTGAAGTGTACCCTCCTTCTCCTCCTCCCACCTTGGCCACAAGTCGCTTGACAGATGTAAAGTCCACCATTCGGTTCTTGAAGAGCTTGATTAGAGATGTGCGTGCGGGCTGTGATAGCCGGGGGTCCAACCAAAGGATCAAGTGTCGTTGTGCACCTTCGATGCTGTCACCCGCTGGCTCGTCAAGATTACGCTATTGCCAAACACTTGCAGCCCGTGATCGATGACCGTGTGCTGAGCTTGGATACGGCGATGTGAGGACGGGCGATGGTGCTAAGATGATGGTGTGGTGGTGTATAGCGATGGCTCATCACAACGTGGTGAATCGATGGTAAGGCAGCAACAAGCGCGACCTCGACGCAGCTCAAGCCAAAAGTCCCCGCCCGCCTAGCTGCAACTCTTGAGTAAAGCTTTCTCGTGTCCACGCCATGCGGGCATCAGCGGCGAGCGATGAAGCTGCTGCCATCAAAGACACGCGTGGTAGCGCACAGCATTTTCGCAAGCTGCAGAATCAGCCCTGCTGTGCGTGTGCGTGTTGAGGCGGTGCACGCACGACGCGCCGCTCACGCGAATGCAACAGCTGCTGCTGCATGCATGCAAGCCAAACAGCACCGCCAAGCTGTCTGCCTGCATCGTCGCAGCAGTCACGAGTGCGGACTTCTGCTCAGCTAACAAGCAGAAAGAAGAGCGTGGATGAACGCTGGAGAAATTATATTTAGGGGCTTTGCGTGCCAAGCGCGCCGGGGCGCATATGTGTGTTGCTGCATGGTGCGCAGGATGAACATGAGACTCACACTCAAGACTCACGACTATCCTCCCGCGCTCTCCCTTGCGCATATCCTGACAACTAAACACGCGCACGCTCTCGCACATATGCGGCGGCGGCGGCATCACGCGTGGACTGCGCCGTGTAACTTCTACCGTCCATCACGAATCACGAATATAGGGTCTTGCTTGTGATGACTGCTTGGTCAAGCATCGATCAAGAGCAGTCTGCTGGACAGGATCATGAAGAGCCCCAACGTAAATTCCCGGACAGGCCATGCACAGGCAGACTGAGCTGTACAGCAGACTCACAGTCACGATTGTAAGCGACGGGCCTCTTGATCGGCATGATGATGACGAACGCCACCTAAAAATTTGTTTGACATCACACTGTCTCATGCACACAACGTCAATTCTCCACCTCGCAAAAGGGCGATCGAGTAACTCATTGGGGCCCTCATAGAGCCAAGGGTCTCATGATGATTGTACAAAGGTCTAGGTGTGATGGTACAACTCTAAAGCGCTGCTGGCGCTGATACGACGTCGTGATAATTTGTTTCTATCCGTACTGGCAAGCCGCTGCCTCAAGCAGGAACGTTCCACGATGGTGCAACCTTGATCTTCTTCTTCTCCGGCACAGGAGGCCATTCCGGCGACCCCAACAAGCGCCACAAGCCAACCTCAATGTCACCATGAGCGCCGTCCTTGACAAAGTCGGAGCCTTTTGAGGTGCCCGGCACGATGCCGGACCCTTTGCGGATCTGAGGTCCCTCAGCGGTGCCCCATGACTGAAGGTTTTGAGAGAACGCGTATGCTCTCAGAGCACTTCGCGTGTAGCACATTGTGGCGGCTGGGGTCAAATAGCCTTGATGAGCAGGGCCAGATAAGGCGTCGGTCAGACCTAGGCAGACACACTGATCAAGGCACTCGACACTCACGACCAGCCATGACGCGGTACTGATTGTCGGCAATAGTCCGAGCAGAGTTGTCCTGCAACGTCCTTTGTCGTCGTTCATCCTTGGGGTCCCACGAGACTGGTTTGCCGTCACTCTCCCACAGCTCGGCCATTGTCTGCTCAAGCCCCTCGAAATGCGGGCCTGGCAGTTGAATGAAATTCTGGTCAGGCGAGGTCGAATTGGGGTCCAAAGCAGGGTGGAAGTGCTGTGTCCACTCGAGCGGATGAGCGATGACGACAGAACGACAAGACAGCAGAAACTTGGACCTGCCGCTGTAGCTGTTGCCTTCCGTGTGAATGAGATATTTCTGCTGGCAATGATCGGCCGGGGCCACAATCGGAACGAAGTCGCCTCCAACTGCGTCGTGAAATGATGTCTGTTTGACATCCGCCCAAACCTCGCGGTCAGGCTTGGCCGTAATATTGGTACGTGCCAACAAATCGCGCCGAGTCGGGTACCAGTTGGCGAAGCCGCGCCAAAATGCCCGGTCCATCTTGCGTTCCCACGGCCATTTGCTTTCAACTTGTGACGCTTCAGCAAAGAATTCTTCGTACGAGGGTGCGCCCGCTTCCGGCCACCCAGCAAAGCCAAAGTCGGGCTGAGGTTGTAGCGGATACCAGGACCGCGATTCAGCAACGACACGCGACACTCATCCTGACGATGCCTTCACTCACCAATAACCACACGCCTTTCTGTCGTGGCGCATCGAGCCTCTTGGTGACTGCCCAAGTACCATCTTCCGGGCTGATGCCGTCTTTGTCGGCGGGCGTCATGATCAGATCGACGGGGGGCATCGATGGGTCGGCTGGTGCAGAGAGCATGGCGGTGTGGAAGAGGTGAACCAGCGCGCTAACGCGCGTCTCCGTGCCTTCCACAAAGGAGCGGATGAAGACTTGCCCATTCTTGATGACGAGACGGGCGTAGCCCCATCGCTCGTCTGTGCCAAGCTCGCTAGCATCTAGATGCTTCTGTTTGATGCCACCTCGCTTCCTCCAGACTTCCTTCAAGTCTTCCAGCTGAGGGTAGAGAGCTGGAAATTCTCGTTGGCAGCGAGCCTCATCGAACGTCCTATCGTTCCGCTCCGCTTCCGAGAGGGCCGCATTGCCTGCGCCATTGACACCAGAAAGGCCATAAGGCTCAGAAGCCGCCTCGAAGCGGTACCCTCGGAACGCAACATGAATGACGGTACCGCCAATGAGCGAGACTACAATGGCGAGAGCAATGATCTTGAAAAGCGAAAGGCGACTTCCTTTTGCAGCTGCGGAGCGCAGCAGCGTGAAAGCGGGGATGGAGTCTGCTCTCCGGTGATTTGCATGACCGCCTGGCGCATCGTGCGAAGGTAGCGAGTAGTATGCTTTGCTTGCAGTCCTACCGACTAGCCTCTGCCTGACCTCAAACCACGCAAGTTTGACGTCATCCCACCAAGCGCCGCTTTGTTTGGCCGCCACCTCATCGTCTACAGTGCTTATGCTCAATTTGTGCTGGTGATGGTGGCTGGGATTGAAAGAGATGACGGTAGCCTCGTCATCGTCCGTAGATGCTCCAGAGTGCGATGAGCCAAGTGTGGAGGAAAATTGACTCTCTGGACTAGCGTAGCCGAGGTCGTACGGTGCACTTGCAGAATGAGGAGCGTTGCCGCTGTGGTCGTTCATGTCTCTCGATGTGCTGCGCCCATGCTGCGCTGTGTGGCGGTCCAAGCTGATGTTAGTGAGTGGACTGGCAGAGGACGACGCCGCCGTAAGGCCCAGCTCCAATCCACGAGCGGAGACGTCCTCGTGGGATGATGCTGCCATGATGCTTCGGCAAGGCTCCGAGTGGGGCTGCCCCTGGAATACTGTCCTGATGAAGGTAGAAATATGTTCACCTTGCCCTACAAAATTGTGCACGTCGTGAGTGCAAAGAGCTGCTGGCAGCTTGCACCTGTGCTGATCAGTCTGTAGAACACTTTCGATGTGTGGCCACTGAAGGTTTCTGCTGTTGCATGAGCTTCAGTCACGAGTGCTGGTTGTGAATCAAAATGACTTTTCGGCACAGCTGACGGCAGGAGGTGATCGTGAGGGTGATAGACGATTTGATTGCTGGATATGGTTCGGGAAGCATTTGGACTGGGGCGCAATCACATTTGGGAAGTTTGAGTATATACAGCATACAGGAGAGGCGGCGACTCAGGGCTGGTCGTGATTGTGATAGCTGCACCGCCAACGCCCATCATCATCAAGTGCGAATCGCAATCGTGAAGCAGACTGCACGGTCTTCCATGCTGCTTTCGCGTCCTGGCGATGCAACTGACACTCACGTCACGACTCAGAGCGAATTTGTCCTGGCGAGGTATTGGGTACGGCAACAGTCCTTGAGCCTGAGTCAACGACATCGCTTTATCGAGCTTTGCCCTGGGCGGGCTGCTTCTAAGTTGGGAAACTCGCAATCGCGCGAATTCATTTAATTTTTCGTGCTGCCGCCGTGGCTCCGTGATGGCAGAACGACCAGATATGCAGGGTCATGATCGATCATCAGGCTGGCTGGCCATGTATAGCGGGCAACGCACGGGTGGTCTCCTGTCTACACAAGCTGTCCTGCCTTTTCGATCGATGCTGCTGTGTCGAGCGGCGCTGCATGTCCGTGCATTCAAGGTTCTATACATGTACATGCGATATGCACGCAGCCCGCGGTCTGACGGTGAGTCGGTCATGTCAACGCTGTGATGCCGAGCCATTATTCAGCCTGAAGTCACCGCGGGAGCATTCCGCGGCGACCATCACCGCGGCTCCCATGCAGCGCATACGCGAAGGAAAGCACGAATTGAATGCTAATGACGCACAAGGTGCAGCTAGATGACACCTTGCGCCGATGCATGCTGTGCATGCATGCATGCATGAGCTATAGTCGGCGCGGACCGCCCGCCCGCCGGGGCTGCACAGGCCACAGGCAGCACGCTCTGAAGAGCTCGCGGCGATGTGGATCATGAATTGAGATTACAACATATGCGTTTACTGATGAGATGCGACGGAGCTAGTCACAGGTACGCAGTCGCTCAACATCGCCATGCTGCAAGTCAAGAGTTGCATGCAGCTCAGCTCGGTCGGAGCAGCGCGGGAAAGCGGTGACGCGCCGCGACGCCCTGCTGTATATAGTGTCATTATGGTACCGGGTACAGTGTGAGTAAGCCACTTGCGAAGCAAGAAAATAAGCTGCACGCCACATGCTGTACACCGCGGTACTGTACCTAGGGGTGCGCGCGGTTCGGCTATGGGACCGGTCCGTCGCCTTACAAGGCACCCACCGCAATTGCTCCTCAGCACGATGGTCCTCGCAGACGGCGCATTCACAATCGTGAATCCAAATTGGTGGCCATCAAGCTCGAACGCTCCTATTGCACGTCGCCCATCCAAAGTCGAATGCTGGCTGTTTACGGTCGTGTATGCTTTCGACGGCATGGCCGGGGGGCCGAGCATGAGACCAAAAGCGGACGGGACCGCGGAAAAACGCCGACAGGGCCCTCTCTCTATGTTTATGCATCATTGCTGTGCTGAGCACTCGCGGAGTCGAAATTCATCGTTGCGTCGTTCAGGAGCAGCTAGGCTTTGATGCGTGATGGATAGTAGTAGTCTGGAGACTGAAAATGTGCTGGACAGTGATTGGTGATTGTAGTCTCAACTCCATCCATCGACCACGCGGTCGTCCAGCATCTGATTCAGACTCTTCCTTCGTGACTTTTGACTGCTGCGACCCTTGACTGCAGCCAGCACGAGCACGTCCACTACGGCGACGGGCCGCTGCAAGTGTTCAAGGCGCGAAGCATGACCGCGTCTGCAAGCCTCGCTCGCTGCTGGCAATCGTGAATCTTTATCTCGAAAGCGACCCTGTGATCACGGTGTGGATGTGCGTGGATGGCAATCTGGACCGCTGCCGGCCCGCAGAGAGATTGCGGGTTGAAACGCAACGATGGCCATGTATCAATCACATCATTCGACGGGAGCGCCATCACACAGCGCGGGCTCTTCACACGAACCGCATTCTGCCTCGCTCACTACAGCTAGGGCACCGGGTGAAAGCAGTCCTCGATCGGCACCCAGAGCAGTCAAGTGCAACGCGTATCGCTTGTTGACAAAAGTACACTCGAGACTGTTCCTGCATCGACGATGCAGACCGAAAGGGTCTTGGAGCGATTGATACGTGCTGGGGCGGGTAGTCCCTATCGCGCAGGACTCCGAGCCTTATCTATACCCTGACGCTCATGACCGAGCTGCACGATCGCGAAATCGCGAAGCTAGTCACACGCTCGGCGTTCAGCAAGCTCCTGTTGGTGCAAACGCGTGAAATCGTTCTGAATTCAACCAGACACTCGTGACTTCCGCAGAGACCTCCTACCTGCTCCTGCTCCTGCTCCCCCCAAGACAGCTAGCGAACATTCTAGCTTGACCAGAGTTGCGAATCAATTGGTTTCGCTTCTGAATCGCACCACGCGTTCCGCGCTCGCATCGACTTCGACCAATCATGTACATTGCGTTCTTCTGTGCAAGCATCTTTTCGCATTCACGAGCCATCCTTCCCGTGCAGAAGGCACGTTCAGACAGGTCAGCAGTGTCGCAACCCTACCATCGCCGTCCAGATTCTTTCCGAAGCTAGACACAGGTCCTGAGACCACTGCCAATTTTGCCGACTTCCGTGATGCCTGTAATTCTGCAGCGGCTGCCTTTGAACTCTGGATTGTACTTGGCGCCGGTGAGCGGATCTTCGATGGCTCCCAACCCTGCAGGAATGAGTGTGTGCGATCCGGCGCAGATAACAAAGGTTCTCTCATGAGGGTCGTAGTTGGGCACCGGCACTGCATCCCGCGGATTTCGATCGGCTGCTGCTACGATAGATTGGGCCTGTGGAAGCACAAGCAGCAAATCAATATACCTTCCTACCATCTCGCGTGGCGTCATTCATCGACTCACCGTCTGAGCCACCCTCGGCTGCAAGGGCTGCAACTCCAGCAGACGCTTTGCAAAAACGCTAGCCATTTTTGTGTTGCCTGCCTTTTGCGCCGACATCATGGCTGTCCTCAGAGCCAATTGCTGGTGCGGCGGCTGCATTTGAGCGTGCGTGAAGAGAGCCGCGAGTTCCAATTGTCGCACGAGATTGTCTGGTTCTTCCGCGGCGACCTTTCTTCGCTCAAGCTCAATGGAGAGACCAAGTAGATACTCGCGACACACCGTGATCAGGTCAAAGATCTGCCGTGGAGGTGGGTTGCAGTGGTCAGCGTCAAAGCCATTGCGAATTTGCATGTCCAACTTACCTCTTGGCCTTCACTCTCATTTCTACCGGCTGTCAGGACGAGGCGATGAAGAATCTGCCTAAAAAGCAATTCTCCCTCCTCCAACTTGTTGCCGGCGACTGCTTTGTACGCGGCCTGTAGCTCTGCAGCACTGATGTCGGCCACTGTTCTTGTTTGTGCAGGCAGGACCTTGGCGCGTTCTATCTCGTCTGGGTTGCGCCGAAGGTAGAGAACAATACTGGGAAGACTCGCTGCGCCAGGCAGGTACGCTCGTGCTGCCGCGTGGCATTGCAGAAAGTGCTCGCGCAGAGGCGCAAAGTCGACCACGCCAGCTTGGCGAGCCAGCAACTGCATCGCGGTGTCGAAACGGCCGGCGGCAGCATGGTCTGCAGCGATTGGTGAGTTGCGCAGCCAGTGCTCCGCTTCCGAGACGCCAGGATCAAGCGAATCCTCGTCAGGGCCGATCGTAGCAGAGAGAGGAGCAACGAGAGGTTCGTCCGCGTCGTCAACTCCGATCTCGGCGTCGTCCAAGTCCCAGGCTTCTTCTGCTTCAGCAACAGCAAATCCGCCAACCGCCTTGGGTTGCAGCACATCTCCCGCGAGCTCGTCTTCTTCGGCGTCAACAAAGTCGTCGCCGTCCAGCCAGTCGTTGGTGTCGTGCTTTCCAGCGCCGTTGACTGCATTATCTGAAAAGATCATGCCGCCTTCTTCGGCGTTCGCGACGAGAGCCTTGTCGAAGAAGCTCGCACTCTGGCCAATGATGGGCCAATTGTACTGATGGGTTGAGCTGACGACAGGAGGCGGCCGCAAAGGTGCAGCACCCGCCGCTCCCCCAAGCTTACCTGTGGCTTCCAACTCGGTCAGACCGGGCGTCATGCCTGCCTCTTCGGCGATTGCGGCAGCCACGTCAGCCAAGCCATTGCTCTTGGCGGTCGCGTACGCAAGCGCGTCCATGCCAGCTTCTCGAAGCACAGCGACGCGCTGAGCCGCATCTCCAATGTAGAGGGCATTGTGGAACCGACTCATTGCATCCCCGCGCTTCTCCGCAATGATGGCCATCTTGGCGAGCTTCTCTCGGTTGCCAGTGGTGAGGTAAAGGAAAGAGAGTCGCTCAAAGCTCTTTGTCTTTTGATAGGCGCGCTCCACGATCTTGTGATTGCCTTGCTTCAGAGCCGCAGTGCCGAGCCTTTCCCATACTTCGTTGGCACCGATCGCCTCTGCGGTCTCCAGAGCGACATCCAAATTACCGCACTCGACAGCAAGATCGAAACGAGTGCTCTTGTCCTGTACGAAGTGTAGTGCTATCTCGGGGTAGCCCTTCTGTTGCAGATATGCGATGATCGCCTGTCCAACCAGGTTGCTGGTTTTGATGATGCGCAACACGTCGTCATAATCACCGCGCACCAGGGCCAGCTTGAAGCGGTACTCTGTCGGGTCGATGGCGATAGTCTGGGGCCGGGCGGACCTGTCGAGTACAGAAACTTGCTTGCCCTTCACACGCGTCAGATACACCGGCGCCTCGAGTGTCTTGATGATACCGCTGTCACCTTGAGGCAGCGCGTATTTGATGTGATTGAGGGTGCTATACAGCAACACACCAGCATCGTCCCATGCAGCGCTCTTGATGCGGATCGTCTCGTGAATGAGATTACTTGTGGTGAGCGTCTTGTTCGAGATGGTGACGGTGTGCTTGGAAAGCAGGGCAACCATACTTCCATCGCCATTCCAAACCACGTACTTGACTGGAGGGCTCGCAATTTCGCGCAGCACCTTTTGTTGTTGAATGTCGTACAACGTGACACCCGTCGCAGTGCTCAGCAGTAGGCTGGCTGTTCCACCGAAGAAGATCTCGTTTGTGCGCGTGGGGCACGCAATGGTTTTCGTTACCCCGTTGCTTAGATCACGAATTTCGATTGCCTGCGCGGTCTTGTCGAGTACGGCGAACCTGTTACGCGCCACAAAGATGGCAGCGGCACCCGATCCACGCTTGCCGATCGTGCCCGACTCTTGCAGGTCGTTGGAGGCATCTCGGGGTAAGGGTGCCAGATCGAAGGTGCCAGTGGTGCCATCACTCTGCAAGCCGGGGATGAGGGCTGTCATCAGCATGCGAGCTGGTGCGAAAGACTTTCGGGTTTGCACTCACAGATGTCACGAGAACGGAGCGCTCGGCAGGGTTGAAGCTGAGCGTGCGCGGCTGCACGTACTGGTTGCCCAGACGCTTGACGCTGAGCACGGGCTGATCGCTCCCGCTCTGGAAGTCGAGCTGCCTGACTTGTTTGTCTCGAACGTAATAGAGACTGTTCTGATGCAGCGCAAAAGCCGGTCGCTCGCGCTCCAGTTTGAAGACGATGAGACCATTATCGTGACCGGCTGCAAAGAGGTTGAGGTTGGGGTGCGCTGTGAGTACCCAGAAGCGGTCGTGCTCTCTTCGAAACGTTTGTACGGCCGTGCGCTTGCCCATGTCCCACACGCGGATCGTCTTGTCCTCTCCGTCACTAATGATGAGCTCATGTCTCGGGTGGAACAGGGCGGAGGAAACGTTGTTGAAATGGCCACGGCACGTGTCCACCTCCCAAGCCTTCGTCTCGGACATGCGCCACAGCTTGACCTGTCGATCGTCTCCGGCTGAGACGATGAGTGGCAGTGTAGGATGAAATGCTGCCCAATTGACCCCCCTCTCGTGCCCCTCGAGCACGTACTTGACCATGGCGTCCGTGTTGCCGAAGAGATCTGCTTGGCCGCTATTGGCACGTGCAATCTGCTCCTCGATGCTCATGGGCTGCGCCGAAGTGTTTTTCTTTCTGAGTCCAGAAATATCCCACACGCGGACAGTCTGGTCCATAGAAGCGGACACCACCAAGTCCTCCTTTGGGTGGAATTGAGCGCTGTGGAACAAGGCAATGATCAGACACATTTCTTGTTTCGCTGAGCTTCTCTCACCGCGTCAGAGGCCGAATCGAGCACTCACCACATGATGTAGTGATTGTGGCCGGTCAAGATGGCAATGCAAGTTCTGCTCTGCCAATTCCAGATACGAATGGTCTGATCATCCGAAGCGGAGAGGATCCAAGGATGCGTGTGATGGAAGAAGACCGTTCGAACGTAATCCAGATGGCCGTTCAAAGTGAAGACACACCTCCTCGTCTTGTGGTTCCACACCTTGATGCGGTAGTCGTCTCCACCACTGACCAGCAGTGGCTGGGTGGGATGGAAGTCGACTCCTCGCACGGGACCATCATGCTCCTCCAACCTGTCGTAGATGGTGCCCGTTTGATAGTTCCACAGCTGGATGCTACCATTGTGTAAAGTTGAAGCCAGCAAGGGAAGGCGTGGATGGAACGCGATGCCTTTGACGCGGTTTGATTTGCTCTCGAACTGGCGTGGGCAAAGAAATGGATTTGTGAGCTACAAATGCCAAGCAGCTGTCGAGCTTGTTAGACGCACCTTTGTGAGCATCTTCATCTTGAAGACACAACGAGGCTCTGCAAGAAGCTGCAATGCCAGATGAGAATGGAGCAGGCCTCGCTCGGCCACAGATGGCGCCGCTTGGCTAGAGGAAAATGACTAGCCAAGCACCTTGGTCGTCGCGCTGCAGTGAAAGTAGCAGATAGGAAGGCTAGCGGACCCTGCCAGCTTCAAGGGCGATGGACGGGGGTACGAGAGAAGTAGAATGGCTACGTAGAGATGTTCGGAGGCACACGTCCTATGTCAGTCGCAGTGGTGGTAGATTGATGCGGTCAAGCTTGGTGCTCGAGAAGCTCTTTGTGGACGCACCATGCAGGAGGTGCGCGATCAGGCCCGCATCAATGCTCATGCTGTCACGCCCGTGCGCGCGCGCGCCACGTTGCGCTCATGCAGCAGCGAAGCCCTGAAGGTCCAGATCAGATCGTTTGGTCACGTGTTCTTGCAGCCACGCGCCGCGGCGCGCGCACAGGCAACCCGCGGACTTTCTGATGAACATCACACGCACACGCGCGCACACTCGTCATGACTGATGACACTCCCGACAATTGGACCAACCAACACCTGCCACAGGCCACACTCTGCACTCGATCGATCAATATACGACTCCAATCCATCGAGCACAGCTTCCCACTCACTAAACGTCAGCTGTGTATGCGCCGCATCGCTTCAACAAGGCACACTCGGCAGTACGCAGGAGCGAGAAGCCCAGACAAACCTTGCGCCTGTGTCTGTCTCTGCTTAGCACTGCTCGGCATCCTCACGAGCTATGCATGCTGTGACAGCCTTGGGCATTCCCTCACATGAGCGCCTGTCAAGCTTACATATCACATCGCTCTCCTCAAGAAGCTCGGGCCTTCAAGCGTCGTCTAGCAAGGATGCGCAAGACCGATCTCTCGTCGCCTCGCTGGGCGTGGCGGCACTTCACCACGTATTGTACGCAAGAGCCCAAATACCAGAACCCGTCGCTTTACTGCAGCGCCAGCATACGAGCATGACGTCCACAGATCACAGCACCGCAGCGCTCAAGAGTGCTAGAGCGAGGAAGAAAGCAAAGGTACGATGAAGTGCGGTGGCCAGATCACAGCCCCACGCTGACGGCTCCTCCTCGCCCAACATGGCGTCACAGCTGTTGGCTTCCTTGCTGCGCTTTTCGGATGCCCTGGCTGCCGCTCTGGACGCCTTCGCAGATCTTCCCTCGACTTCAGGTCGAGCACACGATGTGCCGTTGCTCATAGTCAATGGACCATCTCTGATGCTTCCCAGAGCCATCTCTCACGTCTACCTCAAAGATGCCGTCGCTGCCAGTGAGCCCGCCGATGGTGTCGCGGCGTCAGCTGAGCCTGGATCAGGCAAAGAGCACGTAATAAAAAGCTCGTCGAAGCTTCGAAGCGCTCTCGAGCGCCAGCTGGTGCGCTTTCTGGTGGAACTTGACAATGGTGATGACGAAGTGAATGGCGGCAAGCTCGGTATAGGTGCGCCTCTGCGTGAGTAGATGCGGAAGCATGCATCCGTACCTGTCTTTTAACTTTGTGTTCTCTGAACGCTCGCACTCTCACGTAGGCTCGCATAAGACGCAGGTGCTTCTGCGAGCTCCCAGCGAATTCTCTGCGCCTGGCTGGGCGCCCAAGAGGAATCTACGGCTAGATCTGCGCGGCTTCGAGGCGCGTACGCACGTAACTGTAGAGAGCGAGTCGATGGTTCGGGAAGGCCATGCTGTCGGGCTATCGCACTCCTCGATGAATGGCAGCGATGGGATCACAGACACTGTCAGGCAGCGTGGCGAGCAGAGCATGTCTCTATCGCATCATCTGGATCAGGCGGCTGCCGACACCAACGCGATGGACAATGAAGAGGCAGAGCTCGCGGCTTTAGCCCAGGCATTGAGCCCAGTCAAGCGAAGAGCGCATGTCGCGGGGAGCAACGTGCCTGCCGTTCCTCCCGGTAGTCGGCCGGTGCTTGGAAGGTTGGTCAGTCAAGGCTCGCACACCACAGACTACGCTTCCACTCTCTCGCCGTTGAGTAAGAAGCGGTGTCTGGCTCCGCCACTCAGCTGTGACGAGCCGCATCATCACCTCGTGGGTCCCCAGGCGCCGTTCTTGGACCTGTCAAATGCGCCGTACGTGGGACCCGATCGGGCAAGCTCGTCGCTGGACTCCTATAGTACAGATGCCTCTGCGAGTCCGACCGAAGAACGCTCTGCTAAGCAGCTGCTTGATGTGTCGACTGCGCTAGAAGGACTTAGCCTTGGTCAGAAACACCTATCAGCGACCGCTGGCGGGCATAGCGATACAGAGAAGACAGATCTCGTGCTTAGCGATGCCGACCGCACGTCTCTCTCCGACGAGCTGGCCGCATCGGCAGCATCTAGGCCATCCCGCATCATGCCCAAGAATATGCGGACGAACAGCCTGCTTGCTCGAGCTCGACTGTCAGCCAAATCCACTTCTTCCTCACGCGCCAGCACTCCCTCCGACGAGCACCGGAACACCTCAAAGCCTCCAAAAAGAGCACCTCCACTTGCCGGCGGCTTTATTGTAGATTGCGGACTTTCGTCCGGCATGATGTGCGATCCAGAGCAAGGCCGTTCAAGCGACCAGGCCAGGCATGGAGCTGCATCGAACAGCACAGGCGGCATGTGGTTCGTGTGCGAGACGGTCATTCCATCGTTCAGCTAAAGCATATCTCGAGACGCAGCACTTCAGCACCGCACATGTCTGCAAGTCTCACATCGATATCTTTGGAACTCGGTTGGAATACAATGATCGCGAGGACCGGTGGCGTCTCGCATCGGTTTTAGCGACCGCAATGGTGACTTTTACTACACGGCGTCATTCGCAGGTTGGGAACCACTTTGCGCCACACTGGCTATGAGAAGTTTGTAGCCGCGCATCAGTAGCTCGCGCAGTGCTTCCATGTGGAAGCGATGGGCTTGACGCTAAGGGACTCCAACGTGATGTCCTTGCTACTCAGTCCAACTTGCAAGCTGCTAGGGACCTCGTTGTTGTCCCAATACGTCAACGTTGACTGGCGCCCGGTGCGGGTCTATGATCAGCACTGGATGGTATAACGGAAACTCCGGATCACGAACGCAAAGACTCACTGCGCTGACGGTGCCATTCTGGGCAAATACCTCTGTCAAAGTGCGGTCGACGACGACGTGGAGGTCGATGAGCTGATCACTCTTGGCGTCTGCTGGGTCACGCCTCAAAGGCATGACTGCAACGCTAGCTCTGTCCGTGAAGAACGAATTGGTGTCCGCGAACGTCACACCGGCCTTGCGCCGATCTGTGTAGATGGTTGCTGGGTCCCCAGGCTTGACGAGGGCTCCAATGTCGAGGAAATCCCCTCCGCGCGTCTTGACTCGCAGTCGCGCGGTCTCGGCGTTCTTGGCGTCTGCCGGCACAGCAAAGGTTGCACGCACATCGAAAGCACCATCACCCTTCAATTGAACGGTGGTGTTGGATTTGGCCGGTCGCGCAAGCTCAGCTCCAGCCAATGTGCCGAATGGCAGAGGCTCCATCGAGAGCTGGTATCCGTTGTACATGGGATTCTGCGTCGAGAGGAGAGGTTCGGGCACTTCAGCATTGCTCAACCAAAACGCACATCCCGCACGACAGCACTCACGTATTGAGTCCACCTAGCAGTCATAGTTCTCGGCAGACTCTGCGCGCTCCGCCAGCCGCTGTCACCACGTGCAGTGGGCGCCACTTGGGTGTACTGCCAGTTGCTAGCCCAGCCCTGGATGATCGCCTGGCCTTGAGGAGCGTTAAAGTAGGTCTGGGCGGCGTAGAAGTCCTTTCCAAAGTCCGCAAAGCGAACGGCAGTGTCGTTTGCGGTGAATTTGCCGTTGGAAAAGTCTCCGAAGAAGTACTGCTGGACGCTGCCGCCGAGAGGAGCTCCGGGATTGATGGAGACTAGAAGCGTCCACATCTTCTCGCCATTTCTGGGTCCGCCCACAATAGGAATTTGCACTAAGCCTGGGCACTCAAACTGAGTGAAATTAGGACGTTCCGAGGTCAAATGACTGCGCACCACATTCGACTTCTTAGTCCAACGCACCTGGTATCCCCAAAGTCCGCCCGAGAAGCGCGAAGTCTCCTGCCATGACTTGAGGTCGGAGCTGGTGTAAAAGCCGACTTCGTAGGACTGAGGATGAGCCACAGCCATGACCCAGTGACTATTTTGCTCGTCCCAAAATACCTGTCGTCTCGAAATATGGTGCCATCAGTCACGTGATGTAAAGGCTCAACGAGCACGGAACAGCCTCAAAGCCGCCTCACCTTTGGGTCTCTGAATTGGGTCGTCTTGAGATCAATCACCGGATTCCTCTCGTATTTGGTAAAAGTGTATCCACCGTCCTTGCTGTAAGCAATGTCCTGCGTCTGGTTGTCTTCGGTGTTGAGGGTGTAGATGGCAATCACCCTGTCGCCGGGCTTGACGTCGTCTCCAAAGAAGCCGGACGTGTTGTTGCGGTCGACCACGATAGAGCCAGAGAAGATGCCCTCGCCTGCCTTTTCCGGCGCAAGTGCGATGGGATGATTGTCCCATGCATATCCGTCCTTGGACGTCGCGTGACCCCAATGTTGATTGCCAGCGACTGTTTGATTTGGGTTGTACTGAAAGTAGAGATGGAAGAGACCATCATCGTCGACGAATAGACCATTTGGGTCATTCATGAAGCCAGCGCTTGGGCTGTAATGAATTTGCGGTCGATCAGTCTCTTGATACATTCCCTCAAAGGGCGCAGCACCGTTGCTTGTAGCGCAAGCTGTCTGATTCTTGGTGCCCGCTTGCCCGAGCTTGCTGGAAGCTTCGCTACTGGCTGCCGGATGGGCAGTCACTGCCACTACCAGCGCTGCAACAGAAACTGCTGCTCCGAAAAGACTTGGAAGCATTTTTAAGTATTTGCTCGTGATGGGTGGCTGCTTCTGTGGTGCGTTCACTTCCGAGCCAGGAGACGAATGCAAGTCGCTCAGCTTTCGCGATGGATTCTGATGGGATCCTGCTTCGTTGTCAGAAGGTCGCCTGCTTATAAACACTTTCTTGTGTTTTTTGATGGCCCACGTCCACGCACAAGCAGTCTTCCAGAGGCCTGAAGGACGCGCGGTTCGTCTTTTGCCATGACTTGTGCCTGAGGGTAGGATCTGCGCGCTGAATCGTGTATGTGCACCGCGCTCCGCCGCAGATGTCTGCTATACGTACCGCCGCGCCATTTGCGGCGCATCTTCGGGCCTCTGCGCGACGACCATTCATCGATTCGTCACAGTGCAGCCAATTATACCCGTCACACGTAAGACCGGACGACCGACGTGGGCCCAGTCATGAGCTCAGTCAAGAGGGCAAAGCTTTGGCGACCAAGTGCCCTACCGCCACCGAGGGGCCCCGCTCTGCGACTCTTCAGAGGGTTTTGCACAAGTGCCAGGACCTGCATGACGCGGTGCCGTGAAGTCGACCGACTCGTTTGATGGATGGCATGACCGCTCCAGCAGAAGGTGCTGGCTGGAAGTACTGGGCTGGCTGCATGCGCCCCGGTCCAAAAGATCGTTTGGAAGATTCAAACACGCGGGGCAGCGCAACAAACCCCACCTGGCGTCCTAATCTCCGCGCAAACGGCAAGCGATTACAAAGCGGGGCACACGCATGCGATCTGCCAAGATGAACGACTTGGGCTACATTAGGCTCTCTACCGACAAGCTTGTCAGCTGTGGGCAGCTCTGAGCTCAGTAGCTCAAAGGGAGAGGAGGGCCGGCGCCAAGAAGGCTAGCTTGCGACGAGTCAAGAGATCTCATGCAGGGGAGAAGCTAGTGGCTCAGCATCGGTCAGCGGTCGGTGCGGCCCCCATGACACGGCGGCACGGTACGGCACGGCACGGCGCTCCGTGATCAATATCCGTGGATTGTGGTTGCTGCGATGCCGATGGCCAGCCGCCTCTCCCTTAAATGACCAAGTCCATCCTATTCAAGATTTTCAAATTGCCTCGGCTCGCCCAGCCCGCGTCCGATCGCAGTACCAGAGCATGCCGGGATTGGTCGTTCATTGCCATAAAGGCAACATGACAAAAGCAGAGCTGGCGCGCATGGCGAAGACACTGCTTGCGTAGACAGCGGCCGCGAGTGGGCGTGCACCACTTCCGACACAAGGGTGCCCAATCACATCTACGATTGGTGTCTTTGCAAATGTTGATCGCAACATCGACTGCGCTTGTCTGTCCCATCATTGCGCAGTCGTACCCCGACGACACATGATTTATTGCTCATCGGTAACGTGCGATCGGTGCTCGAGTGAGACGTTGCGGACTCATTGCCCACCTTTTGAGCGCAATGAACATCTAAAGGCGGTTGCTCGACCCCGTCTCACGCCCAACGTCGATGCGGTGGACGACCGACGTAAGACAGCACAATCCAATCAATTGGTTTGGCAGCATCGAGAGAAGATCAAATCGAAATCCCGTCCATGCAAGCGATGGTTGTTCGGAAGGGGCGAAGCCCGGCTAAGCGCTCCAGCATTTCGAAGCAGATACGAATGTGCAATTGCAGGGCTGATGCTAGAGTACACGCGGAGCAAAGAGAGCATGTGTGTCATTTGCAAGGACACTTCGAGACGGCTCGACGATCGCGCGGAAGATGAGCATCACCCGTAAGTTTTGCGATCCGCAGCTGCAAATCAACAGAGAGGGAAATTAATCGAAAGAGATTCCGCGGCAAGTGTGGGACCACGGCGGTCCGGTGTATCATCGCATCTTGCGCCGCTCGGCAGTGCGTCGACGGGCGGTCCGTTTCAGGTAGCGCACATAGAGTATGATGGTAGGCGGTACTAGCAGGATGCCACCGAGAACACCGCCCAGGACTTCGTACTTGAGTTGCTCTCCAGGCTGTAGCTTGTCTGGATGTGTGTTCGTCGGCACTGTGACGTTGGTGCCAAAGAGTGCTAGGATGACTTGCATGCTGATGATCGTGACTGTGATGGAGACGAGGATGACCAGGATCTCGTCCGTGCTGTGGCTGACTTGGGTATTGTTGATTCGGATGGCGTTGAGATAGGCTGTGTGAATTTCTGCAAGTCTGGCTTCCGCCGAAGCGAGGTGGGCCAGCTGAGTGATGATATGGTCGTGCACGTCGCCCATGTAGATCGACATCTCCGCCGCCGCAGTCGTACTGGTGCCGCGCAGTTCTACAAGGCGTTTGCGTAGACCGCGCACCACGTCATTCTTGGGCGTCAAAATGCGAGACAGACCAGTCACGATCTTCCGGTCCAAAGTGATGCGCCTCAACATCTCGCTTTGCTGCTGCGCCGTCTCTGATAAGAATTTGGTGATGCGGTCGCCCTTGGGTTTGTTGAGGCGAAAGATTCGTTGAACTACACTGCGCGGCGTTGCTTCCTCTCGAGATGCTAGATTGCTCTCATCGATAGCGCCGTACGGCAAAGCTGCTGAGCGAATTCGAGATACGCGCACTCTCTTTTCCGTCAGGGCGGCTGGCAAATTCCTTGCCACTCGGTCCGGCAATACGAGTCGGGGACATGCACGGAGGACGTATCGCTGTCGACGAACATGCGATTCATAGGCTCTTGGTAGCGCCGAGGAATCAGATTGGTCGAGGGTGTGACTTGACTTGGGCCGCGCGACATCTGTAACGCCTTGTGCGACTAGCGAGGCGCGACGTTTGGCCTCAATGCGACGGGCTACCCTCCGCTCTCGACGATTCATCGGGAAGGGCTCGCTCGTCAGCATCTCTACTTCCTCCACCTCTTGCTCAACAAACGCAAGCAAGGGAAAGAAGGTATCGACAGATGAGTCGTAAAGCCCGTGCGCTATCCAGTCAGAGGTGAGCTCTGCTGGTTGATCCACATCTAGGAGTCGTCGCTGCACGCGTCCCACATGCTTGCGAACGTTACCAAAATGAAACTGATAGCGTGCAGTGTGACGGCGGTGAGCAGCGAATAGCAAAAGGCTGAGTGACTTGCGGCACACTCACCGAGATGACTCCATGCGTGAAGACCACCAGATATAGAGCAGTGCCACCTACGCTCACACCTTCAAGGCCCTGTCTGCCGTCGAGACCCTCGATGATGTCAACGCGAGGACGCGAAGCTTCGGGCGAAGAGCCAGCTGACTCGTCCAGTGGCCTGGAGGATTGGGCTACTAAGCCCTGCGGCAGCTTTTCTTGATTCGCCTGACCGACTGCTGGACTCGCGTCCTTTGCAGAGTCACCTTTGAGCTCCTGCATCTCGATGGATTCGCTGGGCGACGCGTCGGTTTGCTTTCCGCCTTTGACCACGTTACTTGCGAAGGCATTGAGTGGGGTCGACTCGCTCGAGCTGCTCTGCGCCTTGTCACCGGCAAGCGTGCGACTGCTTAGCGAAGCCTCGCTGCCGGTCGTATACCGAAAGTATCGCTCATCGACGGTGCGCAAGACGACAAAGTAATAGCCTAACGTCTCGAACGATTCGATCTTCTCTCGCTGTTCTTCTTGCAGTATGTCCTCCACAGTAAGGGGGTGAAGCGGGAACATCTAACGGAGACGCAGCGTCCAGACGGTCAATGATACACGCGGCCGCGCAACTGAGGACGATTATGCGCTCACCTTGCTCAATTCTGTCATGTCAAGGTAAGTAGGACAGTCGATGTCCAGCCACCATGCGGCGTGACGCTTCAGTGAGTGCGAGGGAGGGCTGGCCCCTTTGGGACTTGGCTGCTTCCCAGCCGACCCTTCTCCTATTTGCGTTGTGCTGCTTTCTTCACCACTCGCCCGTCCCTGCACATCGATGGCAGCAGGTGGAGACTCTTCCAAAGGTAGAGCAGCCTCGGGAAGCGGCTCCCATCCCCCCGGATCCTCCGCCTCAAATCCTCTCGCAAACTCGCTTGTCAGTGCAGTGTGAGGTGTCAACGGCACGTCACTCATATGCCAACCTGTGTGTCTCTCGTCGGTAGCATGACGTCGTCTAGCTCGATGTGGGTTGGACTGGCTCGACTGCAGACGGACGTGAGGACTTTTTGGCCCGCGGCTTCGATCAGAGTGTATGCTACCCGACGAACTTTTCTGAGCGTTGTCGCCGCTCTGCGACGCTGACCTGACGGCTGGCTGTGCTGCGCTCTGGGCACTGGAACTAGATCCACCTTGATCAGGGAGTGTCAACTGCAGCGCCAAGTCGCCTTCCTCATTATGTTCTGCAGTGTCGACATACTGCGCCGCATCGGATTCTTCTTGTGTTTCTGTCGGAGCAAATGCAGCGCGACGTCGATGGCGTGGGCGCGATGCTCCTTCTTGCCGCATCGCGCTACGTTGATCAGTGCGATGAGAATGACGATGGTGTCGTGTCAACTCGGGCCTGCCCAGATCGCCTTCACGACCATCTGCTTGACGCCTCCACCTCCTGAGCGCGTGCAGTCGCTGTGTGATGCCATCCCGCCTCAAAGTATTGAATATCTTGCTCGCTGCAATATCCTCGCCCTCCATATCGGTCAGAGCACCCTCCGTCAGTGGTACTGGAGTGTAGAGCGAGTAGTGGGTGACGCCGCCAGCTTTCTCCTTTGCAGCCCTAGCCTTTCTCCGAGCGGCTCGAGAGGCGGCGCCGAGCTTCTTGGCGTCCCTCTGCCTCTCTTTCCGGAGCTGACGCCGCCTACGTCTTGCAGCTCGCTCGGCTCTACGTGTGTTGACCGCCCTCATGGCAGCTATCGGATGTAAAGCTGGGGTTCTCGGGGTGCCTGGCGGCGGTGAACCACCTCTTATAGACACAGATATGCTTGGCTTCCGCTGCCTTCTTCGAAAACGCGCCAGCGGTCCCGACGTCGCCGAAATCTGACTGTGGAAGGAGCGACTGGTGTGGCGGCTTGCAGCGCTGGAAGCGCTAGCTGCGCTTCGCCTCGATCGATTGCTTGACCGGCTGCGGCTCGAGGAGTCGCTCTGAGCAGATGGGCTTGCACGTCCACTGGACTCGCCTCGATGAAGTGTGGAGTGTCTGGAGCGCCGTGAGCCAGCGCTGCTTGATGAGCTGGTTGAGCTGGTGCTGCTGGAAGAAGAAGTGCTGCTTCCATCACTGCCATCACTGCTGCTGCTGCTACTACTACTATTACTACTGCTGCTGCTACTGCTACTACTGTCATCACCAAAGAAGGCTCGCAGACGAGCGAGAGTGAGTCGACCATCCCTCTCGCTGTTCGACGAGCTGCTTGAGCTGCTCCCGCTGCTGGAACTGCTACTGCTTGAGCTGGACGAGCTGCTGTTGCTACTGCTATTGCTATCGGAGTCTGCACTGCTAGCTCGGCTTCTGTTCCGACTTCTTCTGCGCCGAGAGGGGCCCTCCATGCGTCTTCCACTGCGTCGTGCGGCCCTTCTTCGGGCGCGAGAAGCATTCACGTAATCATCAAGACCCCGATACACTTCCTCATCGTTGTACCCTTCCGGCAAATCGTAGCGCCTGATACGTCGATTCTCCGGAGCAAAATGTAGCACAGCGCCCTTGCGCTTGTTGGACTCGATGGTGGCGTGGTCTGCCAAGGCCGAGGTGGAAGGCGGCAGCTGGGCTTGGATCGGTGGTCTCACAGCTCTCCGTTTGCTTGCAGGCATGCCAGAGACGAATGCCTGATGCAAAGCTTCTGTTGTCAGCTCATCTGGCGCAGGCGGAGCGGCCACACTTTCTTGAGGCAGCATAGGAGCAGTTGTGACACTTCTCCGCCTTGAAGGGCCAGCCTGTTGAGAGACGGACAGAGGGTCGGCCATGCTGGGATCCAGCATTCGGGAGAAACGGGATTGGTGGTGGTGTCAGAGCTACGGGCTGACAGAGCTCTGAGCTGCCCTCATCGTTCGCTAAGCGAGGATGACTGAGGAGCAGATCAAGGGTTCATGAAGGTTGGGAGACGGTGAGCAAGGTCTAGGCGCAGCAGGGTACAGCAGAGCAAGCCCTCAATCGCGTCTGTCTGGGCGAGCGCGTGACCTCAAAGTCGTGAGTTGGAAATTGCGCGCCGAGGGTGGATACGAGACGCTGCAGCGGATATCAGCAAGCATCGGCGCAAAGAGTGGGAGTGGGAGAGGGAGAGATGACAGGGGCCTTTGGTTGCCTGGGGAAGGGCAAGCAAGAGTCGAAAGAAAGATGAGTGAACCTCTCCTGACACTCACAGTATACATGCGAGATCTCGCCTTTTGTGTGGCTTGAACAAGCACGCGCACCTCGTCAAGCGCGGCGGGCTATTTTCATCCACGGCACACACAAGCCTCCATGATCGCGCGCGCGTCCTCCAAGCCGGCCGCGTGCATGCCGTGCCGAAGTTTGTCGTATCGCGCGCTCCCGCTTCTCCATATGCTGTATCACGTGCTGAAACTTGGATCACGTGCGCAGCAGCGACCACATCCGAACTCAAGACCTCATGACTTCAAGATTCGACTCTCTTCTTCTAGATCTGACTTTTTGACTTGACTCATAACTCGTGGCTCGTCAAACGCTTTTCCCCGCCTTGATGACCCTTGACCCTTACGTGTGTAGCAAGCCAGGTAGCTCTCTCTCGCGGAAATAGAGCTACAATGCTATGGGTGCACGTCTGAGGTTCGGCTGGGCTCCAAAAAGCCAACCCCTTTCCGGTTCCGGCATTCAAGATTGCGATTGAGGAATCTGACTTCAAGGGCGAGCAGAGTCGATTGCAGGTACAGCCAGCCGTCGTGAAAGCGTCACGCCTGATTCGGAGCGCCTTGCGGTGCTCAAGACGGTCAGACGTTGTGACCGTCTCAAAGGTTCGTGAACAATCGTGGGCATGCCCTCGTTCCACAATTAAGAGATCTTTCAAGACGAGCCCACGAGCGGATACCTGCGCTCGGGCTCCGAAATGGGCGACCTTCTATACTTCGGCAGCAGCGGCGGATGCGGGGGCCCATCGGCGGTGTGTCGGTGTCCAAACACGCTAAGGCGCGCGCAATGTCAGCACGCATATGCGCAGCAGCAGCGGCAACTTGAATCGCAGGCAGCGCAACATCCGACGAGTTTCGCCGACGGCCCCGTGGGGTTGTGTGCTGCATGTCAGTAGCAGACACGATCGAGTCGCAATTCAGATTGACTCCGAGCCTTAGGTGTGATTCTTCACTCCTCTCTGACACGACGGTGAATTCATCCCGCTTCAGTGCACCTCAGATTGCCTAGTCCTGTACATATCTACTGGGGGCTGGAGAGATGCATGCAATTTCTTGCCCTAACGCAAGCTTGGCACATGTGGGGTTTTCTTCTCACTCTGGGGTAGGATGAGCGCAGGGACTGACTCCCTAGCCTACTGTAGCTTACCTTGTTCCTGATATCATGACTGATCAGCAGCTCGACACTCTCTTGTGCTTGTTAGAATTTTTGCCCTTGTTGTCTAGGCGCAGCTTCGCCTATAAGAGCAAAGCCGATCTTCCCCATTGAGTCTCGCACCTTCACATTTCGGTTCCTCACTCTCGTCACTCTCGAGACCTCTGTCCAACATGCTGTCCTCTCTCGTGCTTCTTCTGAGCTCCGCAGCAGGATCTGCTCTAGCGCTCAACAATGGCCTGGCAACAACTCCGCAGATGGGCTGGGTGAGTCGACAGCGAAGGCGGCCTCGATTGCGCAGACAAAGTTGACATTTGTCCTGGTTCATCTCTATTCCTCGTCCAACTTTAGAATACGGTGAGTGATGAAGAGAGGGTGGTGCCATGCGGGGATCAGACGCTTTAACGCACCCATACGCCGCCCTGCTGCTTCAGTGGAACTATCATGCTTGCGAAATTAACTCGAGCGTGATCTTGGATGCTGCCAGCGCAATCAAGCAGCGTGGACTTGATCAGCTTGGGTACAAATACGTAAGTCTGTGAGCCGCACCCGAGGATTTGAAAAGTTGGCAGGGAAGCTGACGCGCTGGGTCGATGATTTGTAGGTCGTCATTGATGACTGCTGGCAGGCCGCTGAGCGTGACAGCCAAGGCCGCATCCCAGCAGACCCTCAGAAGTGGCCAGGAGGCCTGAAGAACGTTACGGATGCCGTTCACCAGATGGGTCTGCTGGCAGGCATCTACAGCTCTGCTGGAGTCCTCACGTGCGGCCGCAGGCTTGGCTCGCTGGATCACGAAGAGGTCGATGCGAATTCGTGGGCAGAGGCAGGTTTCGACTATCTCAAGTACGACAATTGTGGGTGGACTGCAGCCTCAGTGTTGTGCTATTGTGCTTCGGTCGCGTGTCTTGCTCACACGGCACCTACGCTCTATCAGGCTTCAATCAAGGTCGAGCAGGCACACCCAAGCTCAGCTTCGATCGTTACAATGCCATGGGTGAAGCGCTGAACAAGACTGGCAGAGCGATTCTGTACTCGGCGTGCAACTGGGGAGAAGATGGACCTTGGAACTTTGGAAGCGAAATCTTCAACAGGTGAGAGATCGCGTTGCTCTGACACTGATAGGCGCAAGGAACGATATCCCCTCTGACGTGCTGCGGTTTATTCTTAGCTGGCGCATGAGCGGTGATGTGGCCAATTCGTTCGACAGAGCATCCGACTACTGCCCGTGCGAAAGCACCATCGGCTGCCAACTTGCAGGCTTCCACTGCAACATTCGCAAGATCATCAACATGGCCGCACCATTGGGTCAAAAGGCTGGTCCTGGACGATGGAACGACCTCGACATGCTTCAAGTCGGCAATGGCGCTTTGAACCGAGATGAAAGCATCACTCATTTCTCTCTCTGGTCTGCTCTCAAATCTCCACTCATCCTCGGCAACGATGTATCCACCGACTTGACTCGTTTCTCAAACGAAAGTCTGGCCATCGTCGCCAACGAGCATGTCATCGCAGTGAACCAGGACCCTCTTGGAACGCCAGCCGAGCGAATTCTCAACTTGGACAGCGGCACCCACCAAATTTGGACCGGGCCTCTGACCAACGGCTCCTACGTCGTGGCCATGGTCAACTTTGCCGAGGAGCCTTGGACAAGAACATTGACTCTGGCCGACATCTTCTACGATGCTGGCAAGGAGGATCAGCAGGCCCGCTCTGCTGCGTGGAATGTCTATGACTTGTGGGCGGGCGTCGATTACGAGGCGCCTGCGAGGCGCGAACTCACTCTGATGGAAGGCAGTCCCTTTAGAGAATCGCTCGCAGAGAGCACCATCCCTCCGCACGGCACTGTGATGCTCAGACTCACGCCTGCTGAGCAGTAAGCACTAGAAGAAAGTTGTCGGCGGGGCAATTGAGCCCATCAGCCATATCACGCTTCCTGCAAAACCCAATGGATGACTTGATGAGAGCATTCTGGCAGCAATGTTGCGCTGCGAATCTTGTGGTGTCCTGGGCGTGCTACGCACACGCGCTAATCCGCCTACGCTCGAAGAGCGACATCGCCAGCAGCTGTTCACGATCGCAGAGCCCTGAAGCGAAGCTGCGATCGGAGCGCTGGCTCTTCGCGCGTGTGCTCTTGGACGATTACATGGACGCGCCGTTCACCGAGCTGACCTATGATGGTTGGCTCCCTCGTCATCGAATCACTCGGAGCCTAGAGCCTTCTTCAACCTCGAGGTCAACCTTCGAGATTTGTATGACCACGAGGTCGCGGCATATACTCACACTGTATACAGCACCACGCTAGCAGCACCTGCTGCATCCATGCATGCATGCGCTTCGGCGCCAATAAGGGCGTCCCGACCCACGCCATCCACGATTCGACGAGCGTATTTTTTGTCCGCGAGAGGCGCCATCTTCGGCTGAGATATGTTTTGGGCCCAAATGATCGGGGGATTCGGTCTGACCATGATCGAGCGATGTGCATGTTATGCTGATGCATGGTGGAAAGCGTGAGCTCGTTCTTGCCTGCTCTTGCCTGAAGATGGTCCTCGCGCTGAGCAGTCTGAAGAGTCAAGAGTATGACAGACGGAGCAGCCGCTCCGGTCTGCCTCAAAGACCAGCAGAACGTTCCTTCGCAGGACCAGCAAGTCTTGAGTGCAAGGCGTGGAAGGGGGGGGTCCCACCAACGGCCAGCCGGCTAGCCAGCAAGCCTTGGCGCGCGCGCTGCTGCTCCGCCGTTGGGCGGAGGCGTGTTCTCCACGCAGCAGGGTGCACCGCATGGTGCGGATGCAATCACGAGTGCGAGTGCGTGAGTCATTTGTGAGTGCTGGATGCATGATGGCGATCGACCATCCTGAGCGATAGACCTAGCGCATATGGAGCGAGGGCCACCACAGAGAAGAGTCAGCTGAAAAATGCATTCAATTTGAATCGACGCTATCAGCCACAAATCAATCATAATGTGCCGGCACTCGGCTTGAAAACTCCGACCCGCGCAGTCAAAGTCGAAGTTTTCTTCTTGGGATTCGTGGACTGGACTTCAAGGAACCGCGCGCACTCAGACTCGACATTCAATTGCTGCTCCGATCGATGATGATGCATGGGGCTCGAGCTCCGCCGCTGACAGCTGCAGTTCTGGGGAAAGGCGCTTCGAGCTTTCAAAGACTCACGACTTCACGACCCTTCTTGTCCGTGTGTGCCTGGAGCGTCGAGATGAGGACCGTGCGTGTGGTCCTTGGCGCAAGCTGGTCCGCCGACCGCGTGATCGTCTCTTTAGCGCAGGGCAGATCCGAGCCGCTGCTGCAACGATTGCGATTCAAGATTCTTGATTTGAGCCGACTTGCGGACGTCTGAGCGCGGCTCGAGGGGTAGATAGATGCTCACGCAGGGCTTGCCCAGCCTATAAAGCTGACCTCGATTGCAATCTCCCTCCCGCTCGTGTTGGTTTGCAGACTGTGACCCGCTTCGCGACTCGTTCCAGGAAAAGTCAAGCAAACATGTCGGTGCAGACCATCGCCTTCAAGCAAGCTTTCGGCAGCGACATCTCGCTGGACTACTATCCTCCTCCACCTGGCGCTGCTTTGCCCGCTCCAGTCCTCTTCTCGGTCCACGGAGGTGGTGGGTCTGGCGGCGATAGAAAGGATGTCAGATTGTGGTCCTTTGCGCTAGCACGCGCTCGAGGCTACGCCATTGTATCTCCCGATTACAGGCTCATACCCGAATGCGATGCTCCCGCCATTGCCGAAGACGTCTCTGACGCGTGGAACTTTGTCACTGGCGGGGAACTCAACAAGAAGCTCGGCAAGGAGGAAGTGGATGTGAAGCGTGCCGTCTTGCTTGGCATCAGTGCAGGTGAGGGTCCATGTCGGTGTAGCGAAGTGAGCTGCGCTCCTTACGCAGCGCAGTCAGAAGTCGCCTCTCTGACTTCGAGTTCCTCTGCCTTCGCGTGCCCCTTCTCTCCTGTCATCTTCGCTCAGGTGGTTGGAGCTCTACCCTCGTCGCCGCCAGAGCGCCAGTGCGCCCAGCTGCCTACATCAACTTGTACGGCACCTGGTCCCTGCTTGCTGGCGACTGGGGCAAGCCAGCCGTGAAGCCGATGGTCCTCCCAGGCATCGACCAAGCCACTCCATTTTTGCTGCACATCATGAGCGAGGCCAAGGCGGGCAGGGGCAAGCCCAATTTCGGATCTTATCTGAACATCTTTCAAATGCTTCAAACACCGCGCGAACAAGTAGAGGCGTTGGTGCAAGCCAACGGAATCAGCTTGGAGGAGTTCAAAGCGTACGGCCTGGACGGCGTCATGACGCAGGAAGAGATCATCCGAAACCTCTTGTGCCCTTACTCGGTCAACACGGGCGTCTTGGAGGCTATTTGTGAAGGCCCGGGTGCGTGGCTGGGATGCAGTCATCTTGCGGGATGCTGGCCCCCCCATCAAGTGACTGACGCATTGTCCCCCTTGCCCGCAGATGGAAGCACGCCAAATTGGGCAGGGCACCCCAAAGATCCCACACCGCTCATCGACGCAAAGTTTCCTCCCACACTGACCTTGCATGGCACGGGAGACAGCTTGGTGCCATTCCACGTCTCCGAGACATTTGACAGCATCTTGAAATCTCACGGAGTCAAAAGCGAGCTTGTGAGTTCACGCGAGCGAGATGCCGAGACAGTATGCGCGACGGAATTTGAGCGACATTGACATTCCCGATGCTCTCCATCGCTCCTTTTCCGAACAATCAGGTACCCTATGCAGACCAAGATCACATGTTTGACCTTGCGTGGCACCCTCACCTCCCAGACTTTGCCAAGATCACGGGCTTCCTAGACTCAGTAGGCGCCTGAGCAGAACAGTACGAGGTTCCCAGTGTCGATTCCTGTACGCTCTTGTCGCCCCGATCCCTTCTCACTGCAAGCGGTCTGTCCGCCTGCAATCCTAGTGCGCGAGGGGCGAGCATGATTGGCCTTGCAGGGAAGCGCGTTGATGGTCCATCTTGACCGCGAGCTGATGCATCACTGATGCCTCATGGCGAGCCACGCCTGACTGGCTGTGAACAGCGAAATTCTATGCGACGATCGCTGTACCTTTACTTTGCTTTGCCGCTTGCGAGCTCGAAAGTGATGTCGACTGCAGCCCCATTCATGCGCCACTCCAGCTGGCCCTTTTGCTGAACGTGAGCCTCCTGCACCAATTCGGGGCGACCAATCTCATTTGGTTCCGGAGGTGCACAAAGTAAGTCTGTAATTTCTTCGATCAGCTTGAGCCGACTTTCTGGTGTGGATCCGCCTGCTGGACCTTTGCCCTTCTTGCTGGTGATCGCCACCACTACTCGAGCGCCTACACGCTTCCTCCACAAGTGCGTCTTGCCGCCCAAAAGCTTGTGCTTCACGTCGTGCGGCGTAGAGCTCCAAGTGATCTGTACCGTCTTTTCCAGAGTCTCGGACCTGGCAGCTGCGCCCGGGTCGGACTTTTTGAGCGCCTTCTTCTCCTTCGCCCTTTCGTAAATTTGTTTGCGATTGACAAGCTTGACGATGGGCGTATCCTCATCCGCCACTTGCAAACGTGCCCCCGTCTTGTCCTCTTCAGGAGCACCTTCCGTCACCTGCACCAGCCACCAATTCTCCCTGTCGATTCGCTGCAGCAGCGATTTCGTCGACTCGGCTGTCTCGTTCAGCTTGCCCGTCTCTGGATCGACCAAGCGCACTTGTTTGGCCCGGATGGCTTCGTCTCGACGCTCGTACTTGCTGCTCGAAGCATCATTGCTGGCGTGCCTTGCAGAAGAGCGACCGCTCTGCAATGGTGGGAGACGAGACGAGCTCGCGATCGTGTGTAGCTGGTGGGTGTCGTGGCTTGGCGCAGCTTTGGAGGGCCCAGGTGCTTCCCGGGAGCAGGCAGAAGGCGGAGGTGGAGCAGCAAATGCTGTAAGTGAATTGCGAGCTCGCAGTCCAGCTGAGAGCGCTCTTGGAGCTGCCAAGCACGTGTGCCGAATCGTCATTGTCGGTGATCTTTGCCAGTCCGGGTTGGGAATTAGAGTTTGGTGGAGGCGGCCCCACAAGAGATGGTTCTCAAGAAGGAGAAGCACTGCGCAAGGGGCGAAATGCGCAGCAACTCTGGAGACTGTGCCCAGGGCTCAAGGACGACAAAGCCTGCGTTGATGTTGTCGAGAATGTGTACTCATCTGAATGCGAATTTGCCCTTGCCGGAGACTGTGACACTCGATCGCGACTTGACAATGCATCGGGCGATCACGATGTCGCCGGGGCTCGAGTCAAGAAAGAAGAGTCTTTGGAGTCTGGAGTCTAATGTCCGACCGCGTCTTGGTGGAAAAGCGCAAGAATTCTTGCACCTTGGCTTCCTGCAGCACGCGTATTCGCAGGTCGCTTGCCTGGTGCGTATACAAACGCGCGCAAAGCAAGAAGACTCAAGATTCAAAATACAAGGTGCAACCTCAAACTCACAAGATCCTTTGGTCAGGTGTTCAACTCAAGGACTTCAATTCAGTGGCTGTTCATTTGTGACCCAAATCAAAATGTTACAGGCCACTCACTGACTGGCTCGCATCTTATTCGCGCCACTACAAATATGCATGCTGGTATACCTTTTCGTGCACACCGCGGCAACTCGCGACCGCATGTGCTCAGTAATCAAGAATTAAAGAATTGTGGGCGCTCATATGCAGGAAGGTCCTGAATTAAATCTTGAATTATCAATCAGCCTTGCTGGTCATTTCGAAGAATCAGAGCACGGACGGACATTTTTGAGCACAAATTTGTCAACGCTTGGTCGGAGCAAGACCCTTGACGACGATTTGCGGCCTCTCTTGAGCATTCGAGTTGCTGCATACTCGAAGAGCGGAGTTAAAGGCTCAGGACCGACTCGGACTCACGACTTGAGGAATCAGCTCTTGGCATGTTAAACACACTCAAACTCGTGACTCAAGACTCACGACTCTGACTGCGCGATGTTCTGCATCTGAGATTTCCGGCGCTAAGGACAGTCAGACTCAGACTGCTGATGAGTTGAGCCGCGTCATGCTGCAGCACCAAGGTGAGCTCCATCCCTGCTGCCCTTGCCCCTTGCTCATCCATCCGCACTCCACAATCAAGAATCACTATGAATGGTCGTCAAGACTACAGAATCAGTACCCACGACTCGCTTGCCAAAATCCCTGCGGCTCGGCTTGATGTCCACCATCTCCGCGTCCGACGGCGGCGGGGGCGGTCTCGGCGGGAAGCAAAGTGAACGGCAGATTGGCACTCCACGCCTTGGAATCGAAGTTTCTGCGCCCTCGCCGTGGAATGTGCGCAGCCCATGTGAGAGTCGGGATTGATGAATGTTTGTTTCGAAGCTTCCATCTCAGCTTTGACCATCCGCGTGACAAGCATCACCCATTCAACAGTGACGGGCCGACGCACCTCAGCGGTAGCGATCCGATGGTGTCGTGAAAGCCCGCCAGTCAAAGCCAGGGCGTTCGGATCACTTTTTGTGAAGTGTTGGATGGGCATCGTCAAGATCTCCGGCGCTAAGTCCACCTCAAATAGCAAGCCGGGCAGCCGGAGCGCGCCCTCGAGGTTCGTCCGACAGACGCTGCCCTGCCCCACATTGACGACCACGTGCAGATCAGCATCATCTTCCCCGCATTCCCACGCAGGCTCTGCTGACAGAGCTCAGGAAAAGCAGCGCCAGACGAAGGCGGCTTGCCCTCGACCATGAGCTTGAAGAGATGTCCGAGACGCTAGTGAACTCAAAACGTCCGTGGATCTCGCACGCACGTACGCTACTCAGCCTTCACCACCTGCTTCTACAGCCTCTCAAGTGTCTGCCCAGGAACGCGGGGAAGGAATAAGCGCGCCAGACTGATCATTTTGATTCACTGATGCGCACGGTGTCCCGAACCCGGCGCAGATCCTGGAGAAATCGGTGTTGCGCTAGCGTCACCACCTTCAATTGCCCGTCCTGCGTTGTGCGTGCAGGGTCGCGCCGAGAATTTCAGCGTCAAGACACAGCACTTGCGCTAGAAGGCTCGTAGCGATTTGTCCCTCTCCTTCGGCATTCTGCTACTTCCTGGATTGTAGCCGCACAGGTCACCGCCCTGGCTAACCGTCTCAGTACGAAGGGAAGGGATGGCTATGTGTCCGTTCCTGAACCGCGCCAGAGTCATGAGGGGCGATCATTCAGGTGTGGCCAGATCCCATGCTGGCCTTGCTTCGACGTGTTGGACGCTCTCGTCCGCGGCTGCCCTATGTCTATAAGAGGCGACGTCCTGGCGATCAAGGAAGCATTACTTCACCATACTCTCACACCTCCCCTCTCGCTCTCCGACAAAGAACCGGTCAACAGGTTCTCACAATTTCCTGTCCGCCCTTCTCCCCATACTTCACCCATTCATTGGTCCTCTCACCTATAACACGCCAAGCTACGGCATTGTTACAGCCCCTGGACTTTCTTCTAGCTTTCGCCCATCTCCACGATGAAGGTGTCTCTCACCATTCCTCTCACGGTGGCGTCAGTAGTCGCTCTTGCTGCCGCCGCGCCAAACTCACTGGTCAACTCTCGACGAGCCACGTCTGTTGATCTGACCGTAGCGCGCCAGACCAGCAGCAAGGTGGACTTCGGTGTCACTGCTTTCATAGAGGTGATTTGACGTAGAAGCCCCTACCAGTCATAGTTGCTGCGCTAATTCCGATATCTACTCATCCTTACCACGCAGAACAACATCAACAGCGGATCCGATGGTGGCCTGTATGCTGAACTCATCAAGAGCCGAGCTCTCCAAAGTGAAGGCGACGGTCTGACCAACAGCTGGACGGGTAACAACGCGGACATCTCTGTCATCACGTCCGATGCCATTAGCAACGTCCTTCCTCGCTCTCTTCGTATCGCCAAGAAGGGGAGCCCGAGCAGCTTTGGCGTTAGAAACGTCGGCTGGGCTGGCATCGCTGCCAAGCCTGGCAAATACAGTCTCACTCTCAGCGCCCGGTGCAACGCCGCCACATCCACCACTGCCACTGCCGGTCTGTATGACGCGCAAAGGAAAGCACTTGGCTCTGCCCAGGTTCCATTGGCGCTGACCAATTCCTGGAAAGAGTTCAAGGCCACGATCCAGGTCGCAGGTGGCAACAATGTCGCCTCCAACCAGTTTGGTCTGGACTTCCCTGGCAACTTCGCGAGCGAACAATGCCAATTCAACCTCATCAGCTTGTTCCCCGAGACTTTCAAAGGCACGACTGCACGTCAGGATCTGGCGCAGCTGTTGGCCGACCTTAAGCCCAAGTACTGGCGCGTCATCGGTGGTAATGCTCTCGAAGGCAACAATCTGGCATCACGTTTCCAGTGGCAGCAGGCAATTGGACCGCTCAAAAATCGCCCAGGACGTGCGGGCACCTGGATCGACTGGGACACGGATGGCTATGGTCTGGATGAAGCCCACAGACTTGGCGAAGCGGTCGGAGCCAAGGCCATTCCTGGGTGAGTGGAGCGAAAGACGGTCGACCGTGCCAATGAGTGCTGACGTAACGTGGATCTCCTCTCGCCGGGTCAGAGTCTTCGCTGGCTACACTCTCAACCAGCAATCCGTTCCCGACGATCAGCTTCAACCATACATCGACTCGGCCGTGAACGAACTGCACTACCTGCTTGACCCTCAAGGCTCTTCCACGTGGGCGAAGCAGCGTGAAGCCAACGGACACGCGGCCCCTTACAATCTGGCTGCCGTCCAGGTCGGCAATGAAGACTGGATCAGTGAGGCTGCCATCAAGACGTACCAGACCCGATACCCTCGTTTTGCCAACGCTATCAAAGCCGCATTCCCCAACCTTCTGGTTATGTCCAGTAGTCCTTACCCTACCCCCAAGACTCAGCTGGCAGCCATTGATCAGCAGTGAGTACGAGGCAAAAGCGTTGCGGCATTCGCGATCGAATCTCACCGCGCACTCATGTGCTTCCCCAGCGACTACAACACGCCCAATTTCTTCTTGGGAGCTTACGACCGTTACGACACATGGGCACGCAACGCCACCACCATCTGGAACCTCGAAATGGCTGTCACAAACAGTGGCAAGGTGAGCCCACGGAGTTCGCTGCCCGCAATCGCAATCCTTGTGCTGATCCAATCGTCCCTGACAATTGTAGTGTGGGGAGACACCCCAAATTGACGCTTTGAGCGGTCCCTGTCGTCTGACCTACCCTATCCAAGTGAGTTACTACCCGCGAACTTCTGCCTGTGAGCGCCACTCACACGGTCAGCCCGTCTGCTCTCAGCTGGGCGCTGTTGCTGAGTTCACTGCTATGATGGGTATGGAGCGGAATAGCGATGTCGTAAAGACCTTCGCCTATGCGCCGCTGCTGAACAAGATTGGCAATGGTCTGAGCCAGTGGCACCCGGACCTCATCAGCTTCGACGCTGTTGACTCGTGGCCTTCGGCATCGTACTGGGCACAATACGCCTTTGGACAATATGGCATCGACTCCCTGTACAAGATTACAAGCTCTGTAGCATATAAGCCGGTCTACTGGAGCGCTGGCAAACAGGGCAACTTGGACGTCATCAAGCTCAGCAACAGCGGTGCAGACCCTGTCACCGTCACCGTCAAGGCGGACGGAGCGCAGTACAATCCCAACGCTGCCGGATCTCTGATACTCTCTGCTCACAATGATGCTTACGCCTCGAACACTCCAGAGAACCGTCAGGTAAGTCGAATTTTTTTTTTTTCCCTGCCTTTGGATGAACATACGCTCGTTTCGAGACTGACCACATCGATGCACCGTGTTCGCACAGAACATCAAGCCCACTCGACGCAACACCTCTGCGAAGGACTTTGTGAATGGCGCTTTCCGCATCACTCTGCCGGCCTACTCGCTCGCTGCGGTGAAGCTCGCCAGGGCTTAGTCGTGCAGTGCAAATGCAAATGCTTTGATTGCTGCGAGACACTATCCTTGACTCGAACTCCTCTGTAAAGATTTCGAAATACCAACTGCATGCTCATTCTCGTTGCAGCATTGCTCGATCGCGATGCACGGTTCCGGAAAGGGGTAGGAGACTTGACAGGTCAAAAAAAAAAAAAAAAAAAAAAAAAAAAAAAAAAAAAAAAAAAAAAAAAAAAAAAAAATTCATGCCTAGCACGCAATTGAGCGAGGTGGGTGAATGTGAATGAAGCGGATGCCAGATGAAACCACTTTCGACTCGAGACTATATGGAGTGCTCTGCCAACGCCATCAGCTGTGCGCGGACCAATCGCCCGCCTGAACGTGTTCTGCCTGCCTTACCCCACGTTCCCTTGGTGGCTGAGCGAGCGTGGGATCAATTAAGAAGCTCGTCGCGGCGCGCGCTTGCCCGCATGCTTGAGACACGTCAAATTGAAATGCGAGGACGACGGGCAAACAAATACGCGCGATTGCCTATAGCTGCTAGCGGCTGCTGCTGCTGCTGCTGCTGCTGCCAGCTGCTGCTGCCGCTTGTCATGAATCTTGCACGTCACAAGTTGCTTCGACAGACTCTTGCTGTCGACGACACCTTGTTTGGCTTCTTGGCAGAGGCTCCAATTCAGCCTTTAGCCTTCATGTCAGGGTCTCGAGACGATCTTTATCGTCGCTGCTCTGCTGCTATGGCCATCGCTATCATCAACGAGTTCTGAGTTCTACGAGTCGATCGAGCTGGTCCCCACGCAAGGAGCGCACGTGACGATTCAAAACGAGACATACCATCGCGGGCCGCGCGCCCGCGCGTGGTGGAGCGATCGCGAGGCCGCGGAGATCTGAGCAGCCCCCACGCAGTCAAAAGTGACTGCGAGTAAGTGCCCCCTCCTTGCTGCGCGCACCAGGCCGCTGCGTGCCGTGGCGCGGGAGCTTGCTCAATCGCATTGCGCGATCGATCGATCAAGCGAGCGGGCGGGCGTGAGTGCTGGTACGGTAATTAACAAGCAGAACAACTGCATGGGCTTGAAAGGCTGATCAGTCCAGCCATCACTTCACCTTCGCGACCACTGTTCGTACGTTCACCGACCCTCTCTCTCGCCTCGACATTGGTCGTATCAGCTCATCAGCGCTGTACATTCTTCTTTCGGGTGGACTTGCTTAGCTGCTGATCTTTGGGCTGTAGCGTCACTCAGCCATCCTTGACATCCAAAAGTCCCGGCGGCCGCATTCCACATCAATCTCATCGACCTGTACTTCACCCCATTCTTCATCCTTGGCGCACAGGTTCACACTGTCGTTGCTGTCGCTGTGTGCATGACATACTACAGCGTCAAGAGAAGCGTCCCGTCCAGCTAGTGAGTACATCATCTCGACAGCCTTCCGGGCTTACGCTTTGCCCGCGCACGATTTCGAAGGACACGCATGGCCGTTCGAAAAAGTGTCGATTGGCTCACTGACCACGTCGCCCCCAGCAGGAGAAGCACAGAGAGCGAGCGCGCAGCAGCATCATTTCCATGGATGGAAGCGCGATCTCAGAGGCACACCCTCAAAGACGGTACCATGATGCGCAATACGCCCCTGCTCAGTCAAAGGGGGACTGCCGCTCTTCCCCGTCCGGCGAGGTGACACGCGGGATTGAAGCCGAGTCAGGGAAGATGGCGACCCCATCGGCTTCACTTGGAGCTTCCTCCGTCCAAGCACCAATCCAGTCGCCACGCCCGATAGGACCTGCATCTTCGTCCCAGGCCGAATCTGGCGCCGGTCTTCACATCAGTCTTCCCCCTGGTGTGCCTGTGCCCCACTCCAGCGTCTTTTCTCCGCCCGCTCATCGCTCGGCAAGTCTAGCCACAAGACGGTCCTACATGAACAGTGGCGCCGATTCGAGCACAGCATCTGGCCTTCGCAGTCCTTCGCCAACGGCTGCCTCGAATGCCACGAAGGCTGCTGGTGCACCGCAGCGAGCCGCAAATGAAGCCCAGTCGCGCGTCCAGTCTTCTTCAGTTCAAGCGGCGAATCCATCGCCTGACATTTTAGCTGGCGCCGCAAATGGAGGTGTGGCCCCAACGTTTGCGAATCCGTTCGCAAATCCCGTAGGAACGTCTTCTACCTCTGCCAATACATTAGGCATTGGTGAAGTCAAGGCGGACAGCTATCAGCCTCGCGAGCCGCGCGAGCCTAGACATGCCCTGGCGCGAGCACGTAGCGTGGCGGGAGATCTCCGAGGCGGAAACATCGGCACTGAGGCGGACAACGCCACGAAGCCACCGCCAAGCGATTCGCCCAGCTCTTTCGTACTAGCGCCCAGCGCCAAAAGTACGCCCGGAAGAGCCTTGGGGTCTATGGCGCAAGACGATGATGGAAGCGAAGAGAGGGATTCGTTTCCGACCAGTAGCACAGCTGTGATCGATGGGAAGGAGTTCGACTTTACTCTCCCTCCTGCCGTTATGAGCAGTGGCAGAAAGGCAAGCGTGAGCCTTCAGCTTTTCAAAGAGACAGGCTCAAGCAGCAACGTGCCGCATGTAGGGACATCGAGCGACGACTCGCCCGACACTCTCAGCAGAAGTCTTCGCAAGACCACGCACAGCCCAAAGTATAAGGCCGGGGAGCGCACAGCACGTAGGCGGAGCGTGACTCCAGCAAAGGTGTCGAGATTGGGCGGCAGCGCAATACAGCCTGCATCAGAGTCAACGGCCACAGAAGACGAGGAGGACAGTTCTAGCCCCTTGTCCACCCGTCTATCTCGGCACATCACAGTCTCTCCACGAGCCGCACTTTTGGATCTGCCGCCCGCAGCTAGTCCTTATGGCAGCTTTCAGACGCAAGGCAACCTAGTCCTGCAGCCAGCGACTCCATTGACTCTTTTGGCAAAGTCGAGACTGAACGAGGATGGTACTGTTAGCAGCCAACTTCGGAGGGCCTCGTCAGTCAAAAGCGCCGACAGAACATCTCGACCTCGTAGAATGTCTCGTGGAAGCTCTATTGCGGACGGGGCAGCCGTAGATGAGAGCGAAGAACTAACCTCTTCTGATGAAGATGAGGTGGTCGAAGATAACCTGGACGAGAGCGATGAGGACGAGGAGCTGTTTGATGATTCTGAGAGCTCCGAACAGTCTTACGACAGGGAGGAAGGAGAGCACGCGGATGGCCGTGCGTCGTATTTGGATCTACGCACTGGTCAACGGCGCAACAGTGAAGTCTCGCAGCAACGAGACGACTCCAAATTTGCTCAGAAGGAATTGAGCGGCGCGATCGCGATACCGTCGAGATCCATATCTCGCGCCGCTTCACGTCGAGAGGCGCGCAGTGAGGACCGAAGTGGTCGCTATCGCAGGGAAGGTCTTGTGCAGCCACCAGCCGTGGTGCAGCTCCAGCCGTTCTCGAATCAGGTCGGCGGCCATAGCTCCATTTTCCAGTTCTCCCGACGAGCAGTGTGCAAGCCTCTGGTCAGTCGCGAAAATCAATTCTATGAAGCTGTGGAAAGGGATCATCCTCGTCTGCTCTCCTTCATTCCTCAGTATCTCGGTGTACTCAACGTGACCTATCGCCACGTGGAGAAGTCACACGATCCTGCCAAAAATGACCGAGCTTCTTCTGCCCAAGCAGTAGCAGCCGAGCCCAGCGGTACCACCGAGCCTTCTGATCCTAGCAGTCTCTCACGCCCTGCAACAGCGCGGCGGCGCGTCTTCGAAGGTCAAAACGAGCACGAAGATGAAGTGCCCGAAGTTGCTTTGAGCATGAATAGGCACATCATACCAGACTGGATGCTTGGCGGCACGAGCGGGGCCCGACAGACGTCTCACTCACCCGGCCGGAATCGAAAAAGGGCCTCTGGCCTTAATTCAGCGCGTACCAGTCGCTCTGCAGAGCGAACGCTCAGCACGCTTCCCCTGAGTTCGAGCGCCGAAGCCCCCTCGGACGGTCCCCACAATTTCTCACCTGCACTGAGACCGTCATTGAATCACGCCTCTACAATCGGCTCGCCGTCTGTCAGTCCCATTACCTCCGCAGGCGCATGGTCAGAAAGGTCGCAGCATCAATTCGCCTCGAAGGGCTTGTCGAGTGAAGAAAGAGAAAGCTCGCGCAGACCTCCAAACTCCGCTCATGGCGATGCAGCATCTGAAGACCAGCGTCCACACTTTGGACGACGGGCCAGTGCGGGTGCATTTGGACCTTGTAACCTGTTCGCAGGCCGTGGCTGCACGTCGGTCAATCGGCGATTACAGGAGCAAGTCTTGCGCGAGGTCTTCAGTGGTCCAACACCCCGAGACGACGATGGTGCGGCAGGCCCTGGATGGGGCCGAACGAAGCGCAACGCGCGAAAACACCGCAGGAGGCTAGAAAAGGCTTGGCAAGAGAGCGAGGAAGGCGCCAGTCGAAGCGCGGTGTCAAGGCCGGAGCAGGCAGAGCCTGCGTCGAAGAGAGCCTCGGGAAGCGCTGTAGTAGCGAGCCTTGCGCTTCGTGAAGCCGGAAAGCCAAGTCTTCCGAGCTCTAAGCCATTGTCTCGCCCGGGCAGGATGCCATCCACTCCTCCACGATCTCCTCCTTTACCTCCTTCGATCGCAAACAGCCCACTCTCAGTCAGGTCTTCGGATGCAAAGGTACGACAGCCGCGCTTTCATGCACCTGGCGAGCTTTTGAGTCTCGACGATCCCGTGTCGACGAAAGGCAACCCTGCGCCACAAGCATCCGAAATGGAAGCAGCTGTGCCGCGCCGTTTCCGTCGTGTTCACAGTGACGCCGCCTTGTCTTTCAAAAGTGCTGCTACCTTTGGCTTCACGCCGACAGAATCCTCTGTGGGCACCCCAGATGAAGCTCGTAGCGGCTGGACCTCCACTAGCCGCGAATCGGCCACTGTGGCAACGTCGGAGAACGTAGAGACATGCTCCGGCTCGCCACCTCAGCCCCATGGTCGAAGGGCGTCCACGGACAGCAGACTCTTCTCGATGGAGGATCTGGGTCTTGACAGCGATCAATTAAGGGCGCAGAAAGCAGAGGCGTCGTCTGAGCATACAGGTCTAGCATTGGATGATGCTCGCCAAAAGACGCCGCGGCCATTCCAGGGAACGAATGGGATCTCATCCAATGATAGTCGTGCAGGACTGCCTGGCAGCTCCGAGGTGCCCGCGACCACGCTCGGCGAGCCCGCGCTCCAGGCAGCGGCCAACGCAGCAGCAGCAGCGGCTGCTGATGTCGGGGATGCTGTCGACCCGTCATCTGCGCGGCAGGAGCAATTTTTGCTCATGGAGGACTTGACTGGGCGATTGCGGTCGCCTTGTGTTCTCGATTTGAAGATGGGCACGCGCCAGTATGGCCTTGACGCAACCGAAGCCAAGAAGCGAAGTCAAACGAAAAAGTGTGACAAGACTACTAGCCGAACGCATGGCGTACGCATCTGCGGTATGCAGGCCTACGACGCCAAGAACGATACCTTCATCTTCCAGGACAAGTACTATGGTCGCAAAATTGCGCCATCCGACTTTGCGCATGCACTAGGGCGCTTTTTCGACGATGGACGTCACCTGCTCCTGCACCATGTGCCCGTGATTCTGGAGAAGCTTTATCGACTAGCGCGCATCATCAATGGGCTGAGCGGCTATCGCTTTTATGCAAGCAGTCTGCTCTTCATATATGATGGAGATCAAGAGACCCAATTTAGGTTGGAAAAGGAGTTTGAGAGTCGCACCAAACGTGGCATAGCCGGAGTCTCGCCAGGTCTAGCCGACAGTATCGATTGCAGTCCTCTGGTAATGCCGGCTGACACCTCGGCTGAAGGTGCTTCGCTTCCCGGGGTTTGGTCCTCACACAGCCTGGATCGCGCAGACGGCGTTGCGCCAGGTTCCTTCGGTCCGACCACGCAACTGTCCACCTCAAGCTCTCTCAACGCCGAGAGCCCCTTTGCGAAGGAGGAACATGCGTTGCACGCATCTGTGACTTCGGTGCCCAGCTCTATGCCGCCCGCACGTCGCCGGCGACGTCGCGGAGAAATCAACATTAGGATCATCGACTTTGCCCATTGCACCACAGGGTCCGACTTTTTCTATCCGGCTCACGAGGGCGACGAGCCGCCTTTGCCAGGGATGCCAGAGGCTAGATATCCTCCCGGTCTGCGCGATGGTCCCGATAGCGGCTACCTGTACGGACTGCAGCATCTGGCGGCGTCGTTCGAAGAGATTTGGGAATTCGAACGCCAACTTCGTCGAGAGACGGCCCGTCAGTCTGCGCGCGATGCTGGCGGCGATGAAGGGCAGATTCTGCTTGCGGCCAATGAGGCTGATGTCGGCCCCTTGCGCATAGACGGCGCAGGTATCTTTGGCGAGATTTTCGGGCCACAAGGTCTGAATGGCTACGTCTCTACGTGACGCTCCTTTTGCTCCTGGTAGAGCAACAGAACAACATGTACGCCAAAATCATCGATCCTCACCTGGAACACCACACGCCGCGCTCGCTTTAAAATTTCTCTCGTGTACCTTTCCCCACCCATATGCATTTCTTGCTGCAATGTCACTCGCATCATCCCGAATCATTCTTCGCTCCGTCTGTGCCTTGCAGCTTGCTCGCCTTCCCACCTGAGACGCTTCACGGTAGGTCGATAGGCGAGGCGAAAGTTTCACTCGTGACCGAAGATGGCTCCAAGCCAAGCCGCAGACCCGCCGCGCCACGTCGGTGCTGTGGCGTGCGGAAGCCTGTTGATGTAGGACAAGCGTCCCTGCGAAGTTCTTGATCAGCAGCCAACAAAGCAGGTGTCAAGAAGCGTCAAGCATGCCTTTGCGATTTCGCGCCGTACGTGCAAGAGACGTCGTTTCCACACCTAAATTTTCACGATTGTCTGCCGCCTCTCAGCCCTTCCCCCTCCCTCCTTCTCTTCTTCGTGACGAGTGCAAAGAGCGAGCGAGCGTACGCGGCGAGCCTTGCGTTACCTCACCGCGGCGGTACATTGCTTAATCTTAGTCAGCACACAGACCCGCCGCGCGCAGACGCTACTGGGCGCGAAACAATTACATGTAACCGCTCCCGGTTGCCCAAGTCGAGCACGAAAATGGCCCACGGTCCCTGATTGTCTCGGTCAGCACACTTCCGACCTCGATTGACGGTCTTCTTGATCTGCCTTTACCGATGATCAGGCCAGGCCAGGCCAAAGTCCCGAAGCGGCAGCCGAGTCCAACGCCACACTCTAAACGCGCATGGTCCATTTGTGTGTGCAGTACTTACTTGCATGGTGTTTGATTGTCAGCGCGACCGTCGCGCATATTGCCGACATGATGGCAATGCTCGAGAGTGCATCCGCTGTGTGAGTTTTGTACGCCTGGATGACTGCACAGAAGGCCCGCGAGAGGAACAAGAAGCGAGTGCCGCATAGCGGACAGGTGGCTTGGCAGCGCGAGGCAATCGTGAGACCTTAGGCGATCCTGATCCGGACCTTGATGATTAATTGCAAGTTTGTGCTCATGTCAGCCGGCAAAAGCCATGGTCCCCGCAAATCGGGGGGCCCCTCAACGACAGGTAATATAAATACATAGCAGAGCTCGCGGTACGGCATTCATCATTTCATTCAAATTGTAATTTAATCGTGATTTACATGCACCGCCATCATATGCGGCGGCTATAGGGTATCGCGACAGCTATTCAAGATTATTATAGGTTTCATGCAACTCGTTAACACAAATCACCGCTAAAGAGCACGACGCAGCTCAGCCAGCCCGCAGAGCCCTGATCGGCCATGCATCTATGTATGCGCACGCATGCGAGTTAGAGCTGGTGCAGACAAATTGTGCTTATGAATTCAAAAACATGAGCGCGGGGAGCTGTCGTTGGACGCGCGGTGCCGCTACGCTGGCCCGGCAGATTGAGCGCATGCATCGATGCGGCAGGTATGGGCGCGGGGATCTGGTCATCCCATGCAGTCACGATGAGTCTGAGTCATGCATCAGACAGTCAAGTCGCGGTCGCGCAGTGGCGCGTGCACAGGCCTATACGCGTGATGGCGCCGCGCGAGGCTGATGCATGCGCAGAGATTCTCGATCTTCATCACCTTGCCCGGCGCATCGCGCGGATTACTTGAGCGCGCCACAGCAGCAGCATGCAGCGCGCAGCGGCGAGGTGAGCGGCCGCCCTTTGACCTCAGCGATCCATATTATTTCCATGTGATTTGAACCTCATCGTCGTGCATCAAGGCTTGCTGCACTGTGACTGTGACTTAGTCACACAAATCGCACCGTCGGCTCCCTGCTTGGTCCCTTGGTCGCCGCTACGCTCTGCTGTGGACCGTCATCAGAGTCTCTGTTCTGGAAGCGCACAGCGGTGAGTGTGCGCCATCCACTCACTGTGCACCCAACTCACGATTCTTCATACACAGCGCTCGGCTCTTCTAGCGCTTGCACACCGCGATATAGGGCTGCTGCTGCTGCTGCTGCTGCTGCTGCTGCTGCTGCTGCCTAAGCACGCACGCGCACCACCTGCTGGAATCCTTTGCCTTGCCCATGTCTCACTCACATCGTACAGCGCGAGACCCACATAGATCTCGTCTTGGCGATGTGCTAAGCTTGACTCGCTCGCTCTATAGGCGAGCCAAGATTTCAATGTTTTTGATTTGCAAGCATTTCGAGATTCCACGCGCGAGAGCAAACAAGCCTTCAAAGGTGTGTGTGGTCTGCTGCATATATGCAAGAGACCGCCATCAACAGCCTATGCAAAGGCGCGTGAATTTGAGCTAATCTCACCTAAGAACCTTTGTAATCATCCTTGTAGCAATCCGAGATCTTGCAGCCCAGCTAGAACTCATTCGATTTTTGGCGCGCAAAGCCTCAGGCCTGGCGGAAACGCATGGACTTTATTTGACTGTCCAACGGCCTGCTTACTTGATCCTCCTTCCGCGTTGGTGCGGCCTTGACTCAGCGAGCGGCCCGAGTCGTCACTAAGGAACCGACTGGTTAGCAAGCTTTGTGGTTCTTCCACTTACTCAAAGGCTTTGCCCTGATGCTCCCCCATTCTCACCACCAGATCGCTCTGTTAGCCACGCTTCCACCACGTATTTGTCAACGCCACCATCATACATCGCGTCCCTACGTATTCGACGACTCAAGACACTGCGTGGCGACCGAATATCGGCGTTCTCTTTACCAATTACCAGCCTTCTCCTTTTCGACCACCACTGCAGAATCCATCGAGCCCAGACACAGCAAGCCTGAAAAGGCTTTTGGTGTCTGAACATCAGCACGGCATCATAAGGCTCCTTTAAGATGTCGGTAGCGAACGCGGAAGCTGTAAGCCGCAGGGATTTGGCAGTATCGGATGAACCACTGTCTGTGTCAGAAGCCACAGCCATTGCTGGCGACCACCACGACGGCTCGCCACCTTCGTCCTCGCAGAGCAACTGCGGCAGCTCTGAAGGTGCTTCGAGCGACGCCACGACTAGGAAAGAGGCGCGCTTTACGACTTCTCGCAGCAACGCTACTCCTGCGAGCGAGCGCGACACTGTTGCCGCCGCTGGCAGCATCTCAACACCTACAGGAATGGTGGAGGCACCGGGCTTGGGTAGGACAGTGACACTGGAAGGTGAGTCAGCGCTCCAATTTCAGTGTATCGGGCAGTGATGCAGGCGCGCTGTGCGATTGCGTGAATCGGGTGTGTCCGCACGGCTGCTGGAAGTGGTCTCACAATGTCGGGCCCTATGCATACGTGCTGACTGCTGACCACTGCGTCGCCACCTTCAGATGCCAAGCGGACGCTGCAGGGCCGCGCCTCTGGCCGAACAGAGTCAACTGGCTTCGTGAATCCGCGCAAGGCCCGCCAGACACTGGAGGATGCTGGAGGCACCGGCTCATCTAGCGCTTCTGGTAGCATTGCGACGCAACGTCACGCGGCTCTTCAAGCAAGAGAGGCTGCTGCTCGCCTCCTCGACATGATCAAGTGTGCAGCTTGTGGTCAAACTTTCCGCGATCCGGTCACTCTACCGTGTGGCCACAGCACCTGCATGGGCTGCGTTTTGGAGCGCGTGAACGAGGACCGCACCATGACCACCATGCCTTGCTCAAGTCATGTGCCGCCGCGTTTGCCTCTCTGCGCAACTGCAGTGCCCTGCTCGGTCTCTGGATGTCAACGTTCTGCCATCGGCCGAGGTTTGGGGGTTTGGGCGGGGCATCAAGCACGTTGGGGCCCGCCCTCCGCATCGCAGTCTGCATCGGAAGCAGGTCTCTCAGCTCGCGTGACCAGCGAGGGTCCAGGCTTCGTGCCCCTGGACGGCTTCGTCATCGCTCAGCCCGACCAGTCCGTCGGTCTCACCGTTGTGCCACCTCAGAGGAAGGGTGACGAAGCATCATACACTACGTCGCCCTTTACACTCGCGAGCGGCGGTCGGTCGTCCGGAGACAGCCTTCGTCTTGATGTCACCTTGTCGAAAGCCATCGATGCTCTGCGGCGCTATGCACATATGCCTCTCGCGCCCGATCCTTCCTCAGAAGCTCCGACCACGTCTTTGCACGGCCTGCGGTCACTGGCGTCTGGCAGCAGATCAGTTCGGCAATATACAGGCACTCAAGGGTCTACTGCATTCCTTCGCTCGGGAAGTGAGACAGGCAGCGCATTTTCCCGCGCTCGCCGACGCGGTGTTCGCGGTCACCATGTCCGCTCTCTCCGCTCTTCAGCACTTCCAGGTCGACGAACATCTCGCCTGACGGATCACCATGCTGATGACGATCGCGTCGCCATAGCGCCAAATTTTCTGCCCATGCTTGGTGGTAGCGAAGAGGGCAGGGAATCGGGCTCCGTCGGCGGAGTGCACGCCACCTCCGAGACTGACGACGACGATCAAGACGTGCTTGAAGCCGATCATCACGAATTTGACGCGGACGGATCTTCAAGCTCGCACTTGTCATGGTATTCGACCCGCGAAGAACCTTACGATCGCGGCGATCACGCAGACTTTGAGGATCACTACTCAGTGCCCGAGGAGGGTGACGATCCGGACTTCGGGGGCGCTTACTCCAGACCTTCCGCCGCTTACGTAGCGCGGCATCATCGCTTCAATCCAGATGCCTCTGCCTCCGGCTGGGCTTCCCGACCCAGCGCATCCGACACCACAGTCTCAAAACGACACCGCAGACGCTCTCTCTTTGGCTCAAAGTTGCCAACGTCAGATCGCGCCATCGAGGCTGACTCAGAATGGGACACCGAGACCTCCTCACGAGGTTCGCTCAGTGCGAAACCCGCCCTGATCAGCCAATCTGACGACACTGCTCGTTCCTCTGCAACACTGGACGAGCTCCACTCTGAACTGGTCGACGTCTTGGAATGTCAGTTGTGCTATCTGCTGCTGCACGAGCCTCTCACGACGCCTTGCGGCCATACCTTCTGTCGGACTTGCTTTGCGCGAAGTCTGGACCACAGCAGCAATTGTCCGCTCTGTCGCGCTTCGCTTCCGGCCATTTCATTCTTCCAGGATCACCCGCCCAATCACACTCTGCTCACGCTTCTGACTTCGTCGTACGCCAACGACGGAGATTTGACGAGACACAGCAAGCTTCTAGAGCCCGCAGCAAACGCCACAATGGATGTGAAGCTGCAAGCTGCTGTTGATTGGGCCTCGCTTCCACCAGACATTCGCGGTCTTCAGCGCCTGTACACTGAGCGAAAGACAGCTCTGGAGCAAGAAGAGCGTGAAGCTCGCCTCTCCACCCCCATCTTTGTCTGCACCGTGGGCTTCCCAGAGATGCCCACTATACTGCACATTTTCGAACCACGGTACCGTTTGATGATCAGACGCTGCGTCGAGAGCGGTAATCCGAGGTTCGGGATGGTTTTGCATTCACGCGACTCGCCGGGAGGGATGAGCGAATATGGTACCATGCTGGACATTAAGAGCGTCCAGATGCTGCCCGACGGTCGCTCGATGATCGAGACGGTGGGCTCGGATCGCTTCCGCCTTCACGAGATGGGATCGTTAGACGGCTACATCGTTGGCCGAATAGAGACCGTCAGCGATTTTGGCGCCTCGCAAGAACAACAACTTGAGCAAGCAGCCATGGCTCGCAATGCTGCCAAAGACCGCGCGGAAGCCGCGCATGGCGCGCAAGAGGCCACCTCTTCGTCTCGACAGGAACGATCAAGCGTCCCACCAGAGGTTCCTGAAGCAACTCAAGCCGAGGACTTTATCGTTCAGCCCGATTACGAGGCGACCGAGTTGGCTCAGGTCGGACTGCCTCCGCTCGAAGCGCATCAACACGAGCCTTCCACGGCGGAGATGATCGCGACGTGCATGACTTTCATCTCTGAACTGAGATCAGGCACCGCGCCTTGGCTAGTCACGCGCATCAACCACACCTACGGCCCCATGCCAGATGTGCACGAAGTAGCGAAGCTCAGCTTTTGGATGGCTTTGGTCATGCCCATAGACGAACACGAAAAGGCTAGGCTCTTGCCCATCCGCAGTCCACGCATCCGTATGCGAGTCGTAGTCTACTGGATCGAGCAGCTCAGAAGCACGTGGTGGTATTCGAGCGGTTGTTCGGTGTCATGATGTCTTGCGCTGCTCGTACCTACTCCTCTCCATTCTTTGACTTTTCAACTTTACTTTCTGCTGCTCTCTTTTCCTCGATCTCCCCTGCGCGTCCAACTCCTCGGTCACGTTGCCGCGGCGGAGTCTCTGTATCAACGCTCATTAATATGCCACCTCCACATCGCCCTTTTCGGACTCGTCACCTTGGCTGCCCAGCAGCACCTCTCGCGCGCAGCGTGCCCTTCAACCCCCCTTGTCGCTTTCTTCACACTCTTCCGCATCTGTATTCTTCATTCCAACGGAAGCCTTTCATCCAATGACAAGACCGTTGAGTTCTATGCAGGTTCATTTGTTTGCCCTGGGGGTATCTATTGCGTCTTTCCAGGGGTTGGGATCGAACAAAAATGACCCTGCATTGCTCTACCCGACTGGGTACAGGCCAACGCAGCTGCCGTCCATGCCCAAGCTCCACCACGGCGATCCGATGATGAGCACACAGATGGCGATTCCAGCTATGTAGCTGACAGCTGCGTACCAGACCGCAGATCTACCCTTGGCTGCCCTGAGCTCGGCTGCAAAGGTGCTGATGGTGCTCAGACAACCGCAAAAGCCTTCTTCTAAACCATAGGCGGCTGCGCAGCCCGTCATGGAGTACGCGCCGCCTCCCGCCGACCCGGCTGCTCGACCTACGTGTTGCAGGACGAAAGCGGCACCGACGAACAGCGTGGCTACGAGATTGGCAGCCAGCGTGCCTAGGCTGAGCTTGGAAGAACGCGATGCTGGGAGAGGGTTGAGGAAGCTGAGATACCAACGCAGCACGCATCCTGGTGGAGACATGACCAGACTGAAGGTGATGCGTCGCCAAGGAGCGTAAAAAGCGCACAGAAGAGCCGAACCGACCCAGAAAGCTAGGCCGAGGACGAAACAGGAAAAATCTAGCACTCTGCTCTGATCACCCACGACTCGGGGGCCTTCGCGTGATTCGAAGGCTCGCGCTGAAGCGCCGTGGGTGAAGGGTGCCTCGCGCAGCACATCCTCCGACTCCTGTTCGGGTACGCCTTTGTGTTCTTGTGGTTGCCCGGACGACGCATTGCGGTCTTGCGTCTGGGTGCCACTCGATGCCTCTGCGCTGCGAAATTCAGTCGAGGCATTCTGCCTGACTGTGTCCAACTGTACTTCTGATGATGTATGCGCACCTCTACGAGGGCCGAGTACGCGGAGCAAGAGGCTGAAAGGTAAGAACTCGGCAAAGTGGTGGCCTGCTGATAGACAGGCCAAGGAGACGGCGAGCGTAGCAATAGTCTGCGTCAATCCGTCCATCGCCTGTGCGTTTGGGAAAGGGGGCAGGCACATTTCTCAGCAAAGCAGACTTGACTTGGTGAGAGCGAAGTCCGGCCCGTATTGGCTCACATTGTAAAAGCCGCTCCTGCCATGATGATACTGATCGCCATACGCTCTAAAGCATTCCAGCACCCAAACGCTAAACGTGGTGATGCAGCCGCATAGTCCAGTGGTGATGGCGGTATAGAGCGGCGGATAAAGATCGTCGATGGATTTCTTGTTGGACATTGCCCAACCCATGATGAAGCAGCCTAAACCTTGCGCCCAGATGACGGGCGCGATGGATTGACCTGGATAAGTGTTGATGGCTACCAAACCCAGACGGGCTAGAGTGCCCCACAAAGAGGAGAATGTGAGAAGACCGAGGATGGATAGGTGTCGACTGAGAGGTGGCAGGACTATAAGCGGCGCACTGCTACCGTCGCTGCCGGCCTGTTTGCGACCCGTGGAAGGCACCATGTTTGAATCGGGTGCTGCTCCATGCGCCGCTGACACGTTGCCGTTGTGAGGTGAGTGCGAAGCGAGCCACGAGCGCTATTCTCAGAAGCGCTTGAAGGAAGCAAGTCGGTTGAATGCGTCATCTGTTAGACATGGCAGACGAGGTGGACTCGCAGCACAAGTTTTGGTGAGGTGAAGGCGTCTGGTGATGTTGACGGGGCGTGTAGGAAGGGCGTAGGACTTCGGGGCTGAGAAGAAGATGCCGCTGTAGTCACGAGTACGTGTTGCTGGGATACACTACTGATTGGAAGGGAGAGCGTGAGCGGGCATGGCAAGGGTCCAAGCCCAGTCACAGTAGCTACAGTGTATAGCTACCTGCGCTGTGCGCGCGGCAAGCATCGTCGTTGCTGACGCCCGTGATGCACGCACGATTCATGAATCGCTGCGCGCTAAGCTGCTGCCGCGCTTGCGATATGAAGTCACGCAGCTCGACGCGGCCTCGCCCGTTCCTTCCCTCCATCAACCTGCTGCGGCTCTGTCACCAGTCCAACACGCGACGATCTGATCTTTTTCAGGCGAAAGCTTTCATTCGGATTGGCCGTTGGATGTGACAAGACCCTCTCGAGGCCTGCATTGTGTGGAAAAGCATGTCTTCCACATGGTCCGATCAAGCAGCATCCTACAGCACAGCAGGAGCCAAGAGCGAGCTGTCAAGAGACTACGATGGCGCGTTCACCAACTATGTACGAGCAGCGGAAATCTACATGAGATTGGCACGGTCGGGTGAGAGTGCAGATGTTCGTGAGAGGGCTAGAAATGCTGCTGGAAGAGTGATGCAGAGGGCAGAAAAGGTGAGACCTTTGAGAAGGGACAAGGGATTGTTGGATCCAGGTGAGCTCTGCGCGTCGTGGGATTTCCAGGCGGTGGGGTGCGCATGTGCGCTGATGAATGCCATCCCTTCTGTCATGTGCACGCTCAAGCACTGCAGCACAGCAAAGTCGCACGTTGTCAGCTTCTGCTCTCATCGCTGGGCTCAGGTACGAGCAGTGGGATCGACCGGGCGGACCTTCGAACCTCAAGCCGTGAGTCGCTCAATGTCGCATCATCGCGAGGCTCATCTGCTGAGGCATCACAGCCTTCGTGCCGCCTCCAGGCTGCCGCTTTCGCCCTTCTCGCCCGCTCAACAGGCGCTAGGTGCGCAGTACAGAAGTTCGAATGGCACCATCAAGGGCAAAGAACCATTGCGAGGCGAGGATATACGTCAGGATGTTGTGACCGACTGTAGCGTAGTGGCAGCGTTGGAGGCAGCTGCGGAGCACGACATGGTTTGGGGCACGAAAGTGAGGCACCTTGATACAAGACGTGCTGGACTATGATACTGACTCGAACTGACACTGCAATCTCACCCTAGCTGGCTTCTTCAGCCCTCTTCCCTCAAGACGCCAATGGACGGCCCTGCGAGTCGCCAACAGGCGAGCACAAAGTGCGACTTCACCTGAACGGTACCACACGATGTGTACCCATCAATGACGAGCTGCCCTGCTACGCAGACGGAACGCCCATGTGCGCTCGAGGGCAACAAAGCGCAGACGAGGCATCGCCATCAGCCTCAAGCTTCGTTTTGTGGCCCAGCTTGATTGAAAAGGCTTATCTGAGAGTGATGGGCGGCTATGACTTCCGAGGATCCAACAGCGCGGCGGATCTGTACGCCCTGACTGGCTGGATACCGGAGCAGGTGGGACTCGGAAGCCACGCTGGTTTTCAAAGAGAAAAAACGTGGGAAAGGCTGTCGGGTGCCTGGAAGAAGGGAGATGTGATCATCACCGCGGGTACTGGTGCGGGTGCAAATGCAGTCTCTAGCACAGACGCAAACGAGTCTCTGGATCTGTTGGTCGACTCGCACGATTATGCGGTGCTTCAGCTTAGCGAAAAGGACGGCAGCAGGTCTGTGCTCTGTCTCAATCCGTGGAGCAGTCAGCGAGGACGCGATCAGGAGGGTCGATTGCATCTGGACAGCGTGCAGTCGCCCGCGACTTCCAACGACGCTTTGCGCTCAAAGCCATTCTGGATGAGCTGGGATGAGGTGTGCGAACGTTTTGACGCTCTGTACGTCAATTGGAACCCATCCTTGATGAAGCACAGCGTCGAAGCCCACTTCACGCTTCGCAAGCAAGGCACCGCAGCTCCAGATTTGGGGGAGAGCATGCGTCAGAATCCGCAGCTGAAGCTCGACATTTCGAAATCGGATGGAGCTTGCGAAGGCGAAGAAGTGTGGCTGCATCTAGCACGACATTTTGGGCCAACGAAGGAGAATTTGACGGGGTCGGGGGATTATGTCGCCCTGCACGTCTTTGAGAATGCGGGCAATAAGCGCATGTACAGGCAGCGAGTGGACGGCAAAATGGTGAGCTGCAAAAGGTGTAGATCGCGCGTGTACACATCGTTGATATTCTGTGCTTTGCGGCTCAGGGCACCTACATCGATGGGATGCACAATCTCGTCCGATTCACAGTGCCAGCCTCGACGAGCGGCTCCTACACTTTGGTGGTCTCTAGACATGGCGGTGCAGATGATGCCTCCTTCACCCTTCGTGCTCACGGCACGCACGAAATGACACTCAGCGAGCTGCCTAGAGCTCATCCTCACGAGATCAGTGTGAGTGTGGCGGTCACTTTGTGAGGCGTCGCCGTCCTGACACGCTGCTGCGCTGCTCTTCGCAGCTACCTGGCGCATGGAAAGCACGCTCAGCGGGAGGAAACAGCACTTTTGCCACATTCGTACACAATCCCCAATTTCGGCTGATCGTCCCTTCCACCTCGTCCAACGCCGATATACTGCTCACGTTGGAAGCGAGCAAGGACCTGCCTGTTCAAGCCCTTGTGCTCTGGTCTAGCGGTCGACGTATTTCGCACTGCATCAGCTCAGACGTGGCGGCATCCAGCGGCGACTTTTCCTACGGTCTCGCCGTCCTGCAAGCCTCTGTGCAAGCTGGAAACTACACGCTTGTGCTGCAGACTTTTGAGCCGGGTCAAGAAGGCAGCTTCATGTTGAATGTGCAGAGCTCCGTTCCAGACTTGGTGCTGGAACAGATTCCTCCCGAAGGAGCAGGCATGTACACGCGTTGCTGCAGAGGATCTTGGAACGTGTCATCGTCTCCGCCCAAGTTTAAGCTGGAGGTGAAGCAGCCAAGCTGCAAATTTGTTGTGCGGCTTCAAAGTCGAGAAGTTTCTAGCTCAGGTCGACCAGCCGTACAGCTCAGCATTATGGACGCTGCTACTGGTCGTCAAGTTGAGACCAGTGGACCCTTTGTCGACCACGTATGCGGCGTCCTGATCGACGATCTCAGACTTTCTCAGGGCGAGTACTTCTTGCTGCCCAGGCATCACGGCGGAGGCATCCAAACAGGCTTCTTCATCGACGTTCACTCGGATGCTCCCATCGTTTGCACGCCTGCCTAAGTGAAGCCGCAGCTTTTGCTGGGCGTCACCTCTACACCTTTGCAGTCAAATCGAGCATGCATGCATTGCTACAAGTCTTTTACCGCGCGCCGACGATCAGTTGAAAAGTTTTGGTGTGAAATGTTCTTTGCGATAATGGCGCAACTCTGCAAAACGGGCACCAGGTGCTTAGCGAATCGAACTTCGAGAGGGAGCGCGAAGGCGTACGCACCGGCTATGGAGCCTCTGATGTCTTCCAAAGCTCTGTGCTCGCCTTTGCCGGCTTGCCATCTGCTCTGCGGGCCGTACCAACGCGACACGAGCTCTTTGATGGAGGATACCTTTTGCGAGTGAAAAGTGCGCATTCAGCGGCAAGGCGAGCGAGACGTAGAGATGTGAGGAAGACTCACATCGACAATGCGGTAGTGCAGGTGTTGCATGAGCTGCGTGAAGCGAAGGCGAATAAGATCCAGGATGAGCTCAGGGAGCGCTTCGCCGGGCTTTTGCACGGCTGGTCAGACGGCTTGAGAGGCAGCAACGCACCTCTGGCATTTCGCCCTTCAGAAAAGCGGCATCTGCGTGCACCGTATTTCCGGCCAGACAAGCCACGCGAGCTTGTGGGATGCGCTCCTTGACGTAGGTCAGTATTGCCGCTCTCACATCGGCGTGCGCCAGAGCTTGGGCAGAGAGGCAAGCTGCTGTGAGACCGGACTGGATTGAATTTTTGGCACGAGCGAGCTTGTCAGTCGGACTGCACGAGCTAGCAAAGGCAGCTTTGCACGACGAGCATGGTCTTGCATGGTTTTGCTTACTTGACCATGTTGACGAGTCTGAGAGAGGTCGAGGCGTGGAAGGGAAAGATGAGCGAGTGCTATTCGATTGGACTAGGTGGCGGGAGCCTGTTCAACGATCTGCAGGCTACTCACGCACCACTCTCCCATGGCGTCCAGAACGGCCTTGTCTTGCTTGATCACATAAGTTACGCCTTCGTCCAGCTCATTGAGCTGCCCGTCCGTGATGATGCAGGCAATCTCTATTATCCTCTCTGTGCGCGGATCGAGGCCGGTCATCCTAAATCAAGCCAAGACGAGTCAATTTTGAGCTCGTAGGCTTCGTGCTATGCTGCAGCCAATGCAGGGTGGAAGCGCGACTGCAGGCGCGACCTGTGCACTACTCACTCGCAGTCGATCCAGACCAGGGGACCCTCGTTGGCCTTCAGTGTGCGCGTTGGAGGAGGAGGGGGAAGTGGGGAGATGGGATGCCCAGCACTCTGTCCCTGCTGATCGCCCATCTTCGCTTGCTCGACAGTACGCCTCGACCGACCAAGTGCAGAGAGAATATCGCGAAAGGAGAAGAAAGATCGATTGGCCTGCTGTTCCCTGCTTGCCCAGGACCTTTGGGCTGCAATCCTCCCCAAGGCTCCGTGCGATGTGGTGCACCGAACACAACTGTGCGTGGGTGTACGGAGCAGTCTCGATCCTACGCTCCTTGCTTGAAGCGCCTGCATGCCTCGCCTAGTGCGTCCCTTGATCTTGCCAACATGTCTTTCGGTGAATGAGCGGGAAGAAGAGCGAAGTAGGTCTGCGCGCTATGGATAGGATGCTGCTGATGTTCAAAGTCCTCCCTTGATTACGCAGCGATCGTGCGTCTACGAGATGCTGCTGCATGCGCGTGCACAGCACCCTTCTACATTCGCGATTCTTCTCCGCGGAGTTCCAGGCAGAGGACTATAATCACGAGTACGCTCGGACCTCGTCGGCGTCGGCATCGACTCCTGGCGCGTGTCGGCCACGCAGCATTCGGCGCGCTCGCCTCGAGATCGTGACATTTAGCTGCGAGCTGCGAGCAGTGGTGAGTGGTGTGACTCCTACACCACAATCGTAAGCCATCACCTTCATCCACCTCGACCCCGGACCCCGGACGCGAGTCCCCGCCAAGATGCAGTCGAAGATGTTCGGATGGCTGAGCTGTCTCTCCTGTTCGTCGGGCATGGATGAGAACAAATCGACGACGATCAAAGGCGGCGTACAAGAAGGGTGCATCTTTTGTCCTCCCAATCTCACACCCGACTCGCCCAAATTCAGAGTGGTGCACACCTCGGATCGATTCATCGCCTTTCACGATCGATCGTAAGTTTGACAAAGCAGTCCCGAGCGATCAAGAGAATCAGATTCTTCGTTTGGTGGGGCCAGGAGGCCGACGCGCGCGTAGTTCGTGGGCGCTAATGTGATGATGTCTCGTGTTGGTGTTGTTGCGCACGTGGATACAGCCCGGCAGCCAGCATCCACCTCTTGGCTGTACCTCGACAGCACATTGACGATGTGACGGTGCTGAAGGGAGGAAAAGGAGCAAAGCTGAGTGCGTGCTTCGGCCATCAGTGGCAAATGACAACATTATCGGCCTTGCAATTCTGACTCGATTCACCAAAACCGCTTCACTGCAACACCAACGTCAGTCCTGGATCTGCAAGCGTTCGGTAATGAAGCGATCGATCTTGTCGAGTCAGAGCGGAGTCCCTCGCGCGACAAGCTCACCAGCACCAGCACCACCAGCAGCAGCAAGCCGCGCTCCTCATCAGATGCAGAAAGAAGATTCGGTTTTCACATTCCGCCCTTTAGAAGCGTATCTCACCTGCATCTGCACTGCCAAGTCTTGCCCTACAATTCGCCCATGTTGGCGCTGAAATATCGCATCAGCGGTGATGCCAATGCTCCACGAAAGGGTTGGGGCTGGTTCGTCACAGCTGCTCAAGCTGCCGGCATCATCCAAGCCGGTCACAAAGTCACCGTCAAACCGTGCGGAGATTCTCAAAAAGCCAGCCATACGCACTCTAGCCTCGCATAACGACCGACGCACATCAGAACACTCCTCTCCTCTCCCCATCCCCAGTTGCGCTCAATGTGTTGCAAAGCAGTGCATTGTGATGCGTGACTTGGCGCAAATTTCTACAATACGCCTTGAGAGTGGTATTGGTACGTATCATATAATCGCGTAAACACGCTGTTTGCAGAAGACTCGACGAGACGCTCAGCAAAAGCATCGCACTGAGAAGAGCTCAGCGCAAGCTGGAATCTATCTCGCAGGTTGGATGCAGTGAGCTCTCCCAGGGAGAAGCAGGGCAATTTGGAGCCTGTGCATGTCGATGGCGATCTAGCATCAGCTGCCGGTCGTGCGCATGTGGCACCAGATCGGAGAACTCACCTCGCTGCATGAGCTGCACCATCATAATGATACGTTCTGCATGCTTGCGCACATCCCGGAAACCAGCTTGGAAGAGCGCTTTGAACTCGACAAATTTTGGTGAATCCAAACCGCCGATAATGTCGATGTAATCCTGCGACAATTTGAAAGGAGCTGCTTCAAATCCGACGCCCCCGGGAGATATTCCAAGCATGAACCCGAAATCGATGTCTGCGCGGTGTATCGATCGGCTTTCTGAGCTCAACGTCGAACGGAACGAGATACAAGGCCGCTCTACTCACGAATCACGTGGCCTTCGCCATCGATGAGAATATTTCCATTGTGGCGATCCTTGATCTGCAAGAGGTACGAGATGATGGAATAGGCAGCAAGCGATTCCATGAATCGTTCACGCGCTTTGCCGAACTTGCTGGAAGACGGGTCGCCGAATGTCTACAAAGACAAGCGCGTTATCAGCGCCTCACAACCCGGCTCGACAAATGTTGCAGCGCCTCTTTACCCACCTCAACGAAATGATCATACAGCGAATAATTGCCCAGCTTTCCCTCGTTGACGCGTCGAGTGTAAGCTTCTTTGCGGATAGAGTGCACAGAGACCGCGTCGGTGACGGTCTCCATTAATCCGGAGTTCTCGCTCGTGACGAGAATGCGAAAGTACCGCACCCAGCAACGCGAGCCCGTCTCCTTCCATATCCTGCCAAACTCTGCGATCAGCTGCACTGCGAGCTGCTCTTGCCGCAAGTCGGCACCAGTCTTGACAATGACCGAAAAGACGTCCCACGAATCCAAGTGGCCATACGGACTAGACGCTCTGATTCTGGACCTTTTCGCCGCCCAACTCTCCCGAAATATCGCAGCGGACGGGTCATCTTTGTTGACCGCTCGCATGACTGTCGCTTCGTCCTCGTCAGCTCTTCCAGCACCGCCTCGCTTGCCTCGACCTGTGCGACCCATGTTGCGAGGCGCCACCTTCATTCGTTCCATACGCTCCTCTTCTAGCGCCATCATCTCCTGCATGATGCGACGTCGAATAGCTTCTGTATCCGTGTGCATCACCTTGGCAGAAGTTGCGGCGGCATTCGATGTGCCCGTGCTGGCAGTCCCGATGGAGAGGGCTTGTTGCAGACCCTCCGTCACGGAGCCTGCAGTGGAAGCTCGAGGTGCGGCAGGAGCTGTACTACCGTTGACGGGTGCTTTGATGCCAGCGCTACCCTGGCCCGCTTCGCTCGGGCTGCCGGAAGAGTTGCTGGAGGCCCAACTGGTGCCAATCAACCAGCTCGACCAACCACCTTGAGCGGTCGCGCTCACGTGAGGATTGTGTACTACAATCGGCTGCGCCGCCGCATTTGTGCTGCGATTGAGCTGCGCCAGCATGACAGCCGCTGTCTTCATTCTTTCAGAGTATTCGTCGAGAGAAAAGGCGCGGTTATTACCCGACGAACCACTCGTCGCGTGTTTTGTACTGCTTTCCTTGCCACTGTGCTCCTTGTCTGGTGTTGAGGTCCATGCTGCAGTGTCGTGGACGCGATTCATCGTGGTCAAGTCCTCCTCCTCCTCGCTTTCCGGATCACGCACCTCTCCGAACGCTGCCAAGTCAGAGCCATACGCCTGTTCGGTCAAGTCGATCTCTTCGCCGTCGTCCTCAGGCATCGGGGTTCTGACACGAGTCGGCGGCGGCGGAGTCTTTCCGCGCGTGATGGCTGCATCAGGGGCAAGTGTTCGCGGCTCTACATGAGGGGTTCCCGGCGGTCCCGCCGACGGCGTGGTGGGCTGACTGGACGAATTTGCCGTGCCTTCCGTAGTATCCCTGCGACTGCCGATGGTTTCCTTGCTAGAGTCTGCATGGGAGAAGCTCCTCGACAGAGCGAACTTTCGCCTGCGAGCGTCCTCTTGAAGCACCAGCTTTTTCAGACTCTCGCGATTTTGTCTGCGCTGCGGGTCGAAGTCGAGATCATCATGAAGGATTTCGACATGCAGCAAGAAGGGCGCTCGATCTGCCGAATTGAGCACGACTGCTTCCGAAGGATTGATGCGGACCACGCGGTGATGTCGGTCTCCGGGTGCGTGGTCGGGAGCGACTACAGCGGCCCCAGTCTCTGCGGCGATACTTGCGGCACTGGTCAAACGCCCATCTTGCACATCTGCACGACACCAGAGAGGGAAACACACCTCACTTGGCAGCCTGTGATTCAGCTGCGTTAGTTCCGCGCGCAACGCCGACACTCTTGCAGGCTTTGGAATCAGCAAAAGTCTAGCAGAGATGTCTTGGAGCGTGAGGAGGAATTGTGTCTGCTCGCGGCAGTAATTCGACCTAAGTAAGCGTCTCCGCGCTTCTTCGTCGTACTGCGTGAGGATCGTGTCCGCTGACTGAGGATTGTCTTCGACAGATGGCAGCGCGGCGGTAGAAGCGAAGGGAGACATGCTTCCATCACCTGCTTCCGGCGCAAGATTGGGTACCGAGCGGAAACGCGACGCCTGCCTTTGCAGAGACGGTCGTGGCCGCCTTTGAGGATGCCAAGCGGGAGGTGGTTTTGGCGCTCGAGCTGCTGGTGTTGGTCCAGGGACAAACTCGACCCCTAGTGTTTGTCCCAACGCATCTCCAACAGCAGCGGCTGCCTTGCCACGGAACTCGTTGAAGCCGGCATCGAAACGAGAGGCAAAGGTCGCAAAAGGATTTGATGATGATGCTTTGCCGTTAATTGGCGTCTTCAGAATGCCTCCGGAGGATGCACTGGACGCAGGCGGTGCAGTGGCTGTCCGTGCCGGGCCGACAGGCTGGCGTCCCGAGACGGCTGTGTCAGCTGTGGGCTGCCCTGAAGCCGCTACAGTTTTCGAGGTACTCGTCGCTGACGTTGGAGCTGAGTTTTCCCCAGGTTGTGACTCCTCAGCTTCTTCCACATCTGAGAATTCCGCTTCGTCTGAAGAGTCGCATTGTGGGCCAGCATCACCTTCCAGTCCTGCCCTGTCCAGGCCCAGCGGTCTCCTGCGTCCCTGCTCGATAGCTATCGTGCCCGCGACATGAGCCAACTCGGGCATGCCAGGTACACTAGCGAGCACAGCGCCAATGCCGACCGCGCTGGCCTTTGGGTTGCTCGGAAGAACCTTGGCTACAACTCGTTTCCCCGCTGCCACAATCATCCGTCTTCGGCGACCAGAGCCCACCGCAGAAGATGACGAGGACGAGGTAACGACCAGAGATGCCGAGGAGAGGGGATCGTCGAATAGGATTCTCTGACAAGCATTGAAGATGCGCTGGCACACGGCGAAGGATGGGGATTGAGGTGTCGCGCTGAGATCCGAGAGCGCAGCCTGAAAATGCCATAGTGTCTGTGGGCACGAAGAGAGCATAGTCAATCATAGCTTTCACATAGCGAGCGCAAACAGATACGTACCAGCAACGCGACGTGAACCGACTCATCGCACCGCTGCAGCACGAAGCATTCGAGAGCGCGAGACTCTGACGGTCGTGTGATGAGCAAGTAGCTGCGATTGATCATTCGGGCAGTATCAGATCAGCTGTATGCGTCCGTACAGATAGCCAGTTTCGATGCCACGCACCAGATCTGCGGCCAATAAAAATCCACCGAATCGCCACCCTTCTTCCTCAACCAATCAACCAGGTAGTAGGTGATGCCAACATTCTCCGCATATGTGTCCAAACTGCCGAAGGTGTGCGAGCGATCAGCAGCCTCCTCTTGAATTGCTTACAGCTGCGCTACTCACTAGGATACGGCCAGCTGAGGTGTAAAGTATGCGGACTCAAAGAGCCGCAATAGCAAAGACATGCGATGCTGTTTTCTGGGTGATTTGTGCGTGTGATGGATGCGTGCTGAGGAAGCAGCCGTTTGATTGCGATGTCACCAACTTATCTTCCTTCGTCGCGCAAAGGGACCTCGGAGACGTGCAGGGACAGGTCGGTCTGAATGTTTCAGGGCGCAGGGGCCTCCGCTGAAGTTGATGGCTCCGAGTCGGCTTGCGGTGCCTGTGGAAGTGTCAGTCGGGAGTGTGGGTGATGTTTAGCAGCACACTACATGTTTCCAGCGCGGGGTACAGTTTGCAGTTCGCGCTACACAGCGCACCAAACAAAAGGAAGGGCTATGGGGCGTAGTGTCCAAGTCACGTGATAGCTGGCTTTTGGAATACCCTCGCCTTCTCGAGCTGCTCCCCCGCGAACGCGGCAAAATGAACTGTTCGGGCGTTTCCTCTCCAGAAGAACGCGTGCATGGTCCGGGGTCACGTTCACCATCCTCCATCCACCTCGCAGTCGGCTTGGCCAACATTACACCCATCGTTGGCCACACAGTCTCAGGGCGTCTCCACGGCTTCACTACTTTTGTGGCCTATGCCTTCCTCATAATCCTCATTTCGGGCTTCACCACGGGCCTCACCGGGTGAAGATGGCATCCGCCGGACCCTCCACCGACAGCCCAGCGCTCAAGGCCAGCGCGGCAGGCACCCCAGATGGCGCGCCAACACCCACAGCTGGTCCATCGGGGAAGTCTGCAGGCCCCGACATTCGGCAATTAGCAGCTCGGCTGACCGACACCAAGAATGGTACGTCCACACCGTGACTTGACGGAGTTGAGGCTTGTTTGTCGTTAGCAGCTGACGCGTCCGTTCCCCACATCCGCCCTTTGCAGAGACCAAAGCGAGACTGCAGGCTGCCATAGAGCTCAAGGAGGCAACGGAATCAGCAGCAGCCGCAGATGCAGTAGCTTTTTTGGAAGCATTCATTCCTGCGACTATCTCAGCTCTGGCCAGCGTACCATGCTCTTTGCAGCCAGACAGTCATGAGCAGGTGAGGGCTTGCCTTGGTCCAACAGTGCATCTCTTCCTCTTCTTTGTTGATGCTCACATCGCCACCATGATAATACCGCGCAGAGGCTACGGCACCTGCTTTTGGAAACGCTTCATCGTCTGCCGGGCATCGAACGAGCGAGGGCTCAATGCAAACCTCTACTCCGCTGCATGATGGCAGTCATGCAGGACGACAACGAAGAAAATGCAGGTCTCGCGCTCAAGGTGATCATTGATCTGTACAGAGCCTTGAAGACTGAACTCGAGTCAGAGGTCGCACCTTTCCTCAAAGTCGTCGCCGAGTTGTACAAGTGCATGAAGTCGACGGTTGCTCAGGCGTTCGATCCAGAGTCGTCTGCGAGCGATAGCACTGGTGGATCAATGAACAAGCAAGAAGGTGTAAGTGGAGATGGTTGCCGTACTGAAATTTGCACCATCTTTGATGCATGACGCGTTCTTTCCCTATCCAGCCTGCGGTAGACTCCCCAATGGGTGCGCCTTCTCCTGCAGCAGAATCGCAGGCTGCCAGCATGACAGGCAGCGAATTTGGTCCAGGCACCGGCACATCTAGCGCTCACGCCAACGCTCAGCCCAAAATGCTCGTCAAAAGCAGCAGCAGCTTCAAAGTGCTCACGGAGTGTCCAATCGCCATCGTTCTCATCCTTCAAACATTTCGGTCAACTGTCGCTAGCGCAATTCGGCTCTTCGTTCCACTCATTATCGAGGACTGCTTGCGGCTAGAGGCGCCACAGCAGCGAGATGCTAGGCTAGCTGCCAAAGCCAAAGGTGAAGTGCTCGTAGGTGCTGTGCCAGGCATTCAAAATCCTGCCCTGTATGCAGATTTCATGAGCACGCAGGTCAAGATGATGTCGTTCTTGGCATACGTGACAAAAGGAACTGCCGATGCCATGAGACCGTACGCCGAGGAGTTCCCGATCATTGCGGTACGACTCTTGCAAGATCTGCCTCCGGACGCCAGCCAGTCGCGCAAGGAATTGCTCGTCGCTACACGTCACATTCTGTCCACCGAGCTTCGCAGCGCGTTCATCTCTCAGGTGGATGTTCTGCTGGACGAACGAGTGATGACTGGTACTGGCATCACCTCGCGGGAGACTCTGAGACCTCTAGCAATCAGCATGTTGGCAGATCTGGTGCACCATGTCCGGCCGCAACTGAATGCAAGTCAGATAGCGCGAATAGTCAAGATACACATCCGCTTCTTGCACGATCCGACATTAGCGCCGAGTATCCAGACAATGTGCGTCAAATTGCTCTTGAATTTGTCGGACCCAAGCGTCATGCGCCACCCCGAGGAGATCGGGCCCGTCCTCTCGACTATTCTCGAGGCGCTCTTCGAAAAACTCGCCTCGCTGCCTCGTCTACGAGAGGATCTTGATCTCGCACGTCAATACAAGGCAGAAGCGAATGCGACGTCCACTGGTGCGAATGATGCCTCAGAAGACGCGCATGGTCAGAGTGTCCATGCGCAGCCGCCCATCATCGCGATTGAGCGAGCAAAAGTCATTGGAGCGGGCGTCATGCTGCCCGACATTGCTGGCGTCGAGGCCATCAAAGACGCAAGATTCCTCTTCCGTAATCTTCTCATGGGGTTCAAGTCACTGCTCCCAGCTCTCAGGAGGCGCAAGCTACCAGAACCGAGCGGGGAGATGATGGGTCGGCTCTTTGTCGATGGAGTCAAATGCTGGACCTTGTACGAGCAAACAGAAGGCATGCCAGATAAAGAGGTGATGGAGCTTTTCACCAACATCTTTCTAGATCTGGACCCCGCCACCTTTCATGAGGTGTTTTCGACGCATATGCCTTTCCTCTTTGAGCGCATTCTGCTCAGCCCAAATCTACTTGGGGTACCGCAAAGCCTCATGTCGAACGATGCTGTTTCAAAGCGCTTCGTAGCGATTCTCTTCCAATACCTCGTAAATCGCCTCAGCGAGCTTGGTGACGCCGACAAGAAGACGGCCTCCGTGACGCTCCGGCTCTTCAAAATGGCATTCATGGCGGTCACCATATTCCCAGAAGACAACGAAGCAGTCTTGCAACCTCATCTTAGCCACATCATCATGACCTCGATGAAGCTGGCAAGCCAAGCTGTGGAGCCCGCGAACTACTTTCTGCTTCTGAGAGCGCTGTTCCGCAGCATCGGCGGAGGGCGTTTTGAGCTGCTGTACAAGGACGTGCTGCCCTTGCTGCCAGTCCTTCTCGAAAATCTGAACAACTTGCTCACAGCGGCCGAGCCGTCTCGAAGGGAGCTCTTTGTGGACTTGTGCTTAACTGTGCCGGTCCGTCTGAGCGTATTGCTGCCCTACTTGGGTTACTTGATGCGACCTCTGGTACTGGCGCTTCAGTCTTCCACCGAGCTCGTCAGTCAGGGTCTTCGAACCTTGGAGCTCTGCATAGATAACCTCACGCAGGAATTCTTGGATCCTATCATGGCGCCTTACCTGCAGGACATCATGGGCGCGCTGTGGAAGCACTTGCAACCGTTGCCGCACAACCATCAGCACTCCCATACTACAATGCGCATACTCGGAAAGATGGGCGGCAGAAATCGACGCTTGCTCCAACAGCCTCCGCGTCTGAACTACAAGGATCACCAGCAAATGACTTTCGCGGTCTGTTTCGACGACAAAGCGCAGAGCATGGAGCTCGTGCCTCTTGTCGAACTCGCTCTCGCTGGGATGGCTCGGACGGAACATTATTACCGCAAGCACGCTTTTGAGCTGCTTCGGCATGCTGCGGCTCTGTTCATAGACGGTGTGCTATCCAATGCTGGTGGCGAGCGAGAGAAGTGCTTCGAGAGCATTGTCAAGGCTTTATTTCAGGCTACGTACTGCGAGCCTGACCGGCAGGAGCTGGAAGGTGCCACAAACTACTTGCTTGGCCTTTCGAAACACATCTTTGCACTGGAGACACGACGCGACACGTCTGTCACAAGACAACCGAGCTCGTTGATGGTCTGCTTCATGCAAGGAGTTGCTCAAGCTCTGGCTGCGAACGACAATGAAGCGGCTGATAGGACCGCGATCGCCAACTTGGAGCTCCAAATTATTGCAACGGGCCGGCAGGCGTGCATCGCAGCTTCGCGTCAAGAGCAATGGACCACACTGATGCACAGTCTTGCTTCCAAGCACTGCACGCTCTGCTACGATCCGCTCTGGCAACGAAAGACGGGAGGCTGGCTCGCTATTGATATGATGGTCAGACGCGCCGATCTAGGGACGCACTGGCTCCGTGAGCATCAGCTTGAGATCATGCGAGCACTGCTGTACATGCTCAAAGATATGCCTAGCGACCCGCCTGGCAACGTGGATGCGGTCGGCGAGACGATCCTCTTCGTCCTCAGAATTGCGCATGCTCGTGGAGCGACCGTCCGCGACGGCGCTGCAGCTGAGTCTGGCGCGAAGAACGCCAACGAGGCCAGCGCGGGAGATGCGACGTCCGCGAAAGGCGACTTGACGGAGCCCAAAGACGCAACTGTACCAGCATCCACTGAAATTGGTGATAAGGTCGACGAGAAGCCTCAGAACGTCTCTCTTGGCAAAGGAACGGACGTGTCGGGAGACAAGGCGCAGAGCACCGACGTACCTAAGATCTCTTCGCGCTCCGCGGAAGAAGATGCGATGCAAGAGAGGCAATTCACCTACTTGGTAGGAGTGCTGGTTCAAGAGCTTTCTAGCGCTAACAGTAAGGTCCGAGCCATCGCGCGGGCTTCCTTCGAGCTGCTAGCAGAGCTTCGAGGTGCAAGTGTGACCTCAATCCTTATGCCAATCAAGGATCGCTTGTTGGTGCCAATTTTCACCAAGCCCCTGCGCGCACTTCCTTTCGGCATGCAGATTGGGCACATTGATGCGATTACCTTCTGCTTGAAACTCACTCCACCGCTGCCAGAGCCGAATGAAGAGCTCTTCCGAGTTCTGACCGAAGCACTGGCGCTTGCAGATGCAGAAGATCAAGCGCTCGTTGGACGGGTAGCCCAATACAAGAATATGCTTGCGGTCACTGAGCTGCGCGTCGTAGCCATCCGTCTCCTGGCCTCGGCTATGGCTTGTAACGACTTCCTGACAGCCAAACACAACCAGATGCGCATTCGCATCATCGCCGTGTACTTCAAAAGCCTCTACTCGCGCTCTCAAGCTGTCATCGATGAGGCTTATCATAGCCTGCAGGTCACCCTCGCGACGCAACCAAAGCTTCCTAAGGATGTTTTGCAGAGCGGACTTCGTCCCATCTTGATGACACTTGCAGATGCTTCTCGCTTGACAGTGGCTGGTCTCGATGGGCTGGCTAGGCTACTCGAACTTCTCACGTCGTACTTCAAAGTGGAGATCGGTTCTAAGCTGCTCGTCCACATGGAGGGTTTGGCAGACCGCGAGGCTGTTGAACGTGCAAGTCGAGGCGCTCTTGAAGGTCCAAAGTATGCAGACGCTCATCATTTGCTGCAGCCACCCGTGAGTTGCAGGCTGAATGCAAATGTTCGGCGCTTTGCTGACCCTTGTCAATTGCAGCAACCGCGCGAGAGCGAGCGTATCAGCGTACTTGCTGCCATCGTTCGCATCTTTCATTTGTTACCGTCAGCAGCTAGTCAATTCATGGAGCAGCTGGTGCGACAAGTCTGCAGCATCGAGGCGCTACTCCGACGATCGGGACCCACGCCTTTCACGAAGCCGCTCGCTCAGTATTTTGAGCGATACCCTGCCCAAGCGTGCGACTGCATGTTCAGCCGTCTTGAGGACGCAGCTTACGCCCGCTGCTTGCGGTTGGCGCTAGCAGAGGAGTGTGCTCCGGCACTGCGTCAGCAAATCGAGACGGACAAAGCGACACGTTTGCTACCCCTTCTGAAACCAGACTCTGACCCACGACGCACTCTGGCCGCGTTGCACATCGTTCGCGAGTTGGAGAAACAGTCAGAGGGCTGGATCTGCGCCAACGATGATCTGATAGCAGCCCTGCAAACGTATTGGGCCTCTTCCCAACACGAGCAGCGTCGCAGCGAGGAAACAGGACCTCGTGACGACCGCATATCCGTTCAAATTCTGGAAATATTCACGAAGTACCTGCGTCGCAAGCACAACACGGATCTCTACTTCGCGATTGCAAGCATGCACACGCTCCAGGGTGCGGTTGACCTAAGCGACATCACGCGCTTCGTGTATGATGCATTGGCCGTCAAAGCGAGCGTCGCTGACAAGCGCGCGGTTCTGTCACGCTGCATCGACGTCGCGGAGAAGCAAGACGCTCCGACGGCGTACAAGGTCGAGGTCATGCGGCTTCTGGCCAACCCAATTCTGGTCGTCGCAAGACGGTCCATAGATACGGAGTATTCACCGGCCACTAGCGAAGCTGGTAGCGAGCCGTTTGAGCCGCTTTTCGATGCCGCGCTGTTCACTCAGGTGGTGAATCGCATTTGGAAGCCTTTTCAACACAAGGGTGGTCCCAGCTTTTGCCCTGAGGATGTTGTGAGGATAGAGTTGATACTTTTTTCTACCATGGTCCTGGAGCACTCAGCAGGTCTCATGTCCTCTCAACAAGGCGCTCGCAAGGACGCCATCATGTTTGGGTGGGCAAATCTAGCCACCGATGACGTGACAGTCAAGACCACGACCTACGTGTTCATTTCCCGATTTTTGGAGCTGTTTGACGCGCCAATCAAGATTGTCGCTCGAGTCTACTCGGGGCTGCTAAGCTTGCATCACTCTGAAGGACGAGCGATGGTTCGCAAGGCTCTCGACATACTGCTACCTGCGTTGCCGAAGCGCGTGCCCAGTGCCGAACCCTCTCACTGGGCTAAATGGACCAAGCGTCAGCTCGTTGAGGAAGGTAACAACGTCTCTCAGGCTTACCTCATTTTCCAATTGATCATCCGACATTCCGATCTTTTCTACGAGAACCGTGAAATGTTCTTACCGCATATCGTTGGCAACCTCAACAAGCTCGGTCTTTCTCCCTCAGCTAACACCGAGACCCGAACTCTAGCCGTCGAGCTCGTGGACGTGGTCGCTCGATGGGAACAAAAGAGGATTGAGGCAGCCTCCTCAGTGAGGGAGAAAGCCCTGGACCCCGGTTCTTCCGAAAACGCGGCACCCTCCAAGCGATCCGCTGACTTGCAGCTCTCCGAAGAAGCTTCAAGCCTGCCGGTCAAGCGTGCTCGCATTGATGACGCCGGGAAAGCCATCGTCACGTCATCTCCTGAACGGGACAGTTCCACCACACAAGAAGGAGTAGGCGTGCACGCATACGTGCCTGCGCAAAGTATGCGCGAGGCTATCATGGGCTTCCTGGTGCGCTTTGTGAGCCTGTCTCAGGAGGCAATTGCCACGCGAGCGCCGACATCCAAGGCCTTCGCGACTTTGAAGTCTTTGATGGAACTGGATATTTGGTCAAGTTTGCCTGTGCGGCTCAGCCTGTTCCAGCGGTCTTTAGCTACAACGGAGGTCAAGGAGTCTACCGTCCCTATCTTTGTCAACACCCTGCAAACGCTTCGTTTGGTCACGAAGCGCAGGGACAGAGATTGGGTCATCAGCAACCTAGCTATGCTGCATCGTCTGCTTGAGCGCAGTATTGCCTCGGATGACGTTAGTATCCACGAAAATTGTCGTGATCTGCTGGAACAAATATTCGCGGTCTTGCCAGAGCCTGTCGCGGGGGATGAGGACGCGGAAGGAGATGAAGAGGACGATGTCATGGTGGATGCTCCATCATCGCCAGAACAGGACAAGAAAAAGGGGGCGCTACCAGGTCAGCCAGATGAGGCGGCGTTGGATTTCCGGAAATACGCCGAGACCACAATTTCAGAAGGGCTGCGGAACCAGACCAGTCTGTGCGCCGCTTTGACTATGCTCTCCGCTTGGTCGAGCGTCGCGGTTGAGAAGGTGAGAACCCGATCAGTGTTAACGTCCGCGTCGACCTTTTTGCTGATCAGTCCAATGTTGGCTTCGCCTACTGCCTCCATCTGTAAAGATCGATGATTTCCTAGCGCCTCTGACAAAGGCACTCACAAAGCTGACCAAAGATCACTTGGGTCTGGCAACTTCACAGCAACCAGCAGGCACTTCTTCGCAAACGAGTCCTCCATCCGAAAGCGATCCGAAGCTTTTGATGATGGTCCTAGACCTGTTGAAGTTACGGATCTCGAATCTTGGCGAACAGCGGCGCTGGTTCCTTTCCGCCGTCGTGCAGCTGATAGAGAAGTCATCAAGCTTAGATTTGTGCCGCTTCCTGCTCGCTATGATGCGACGCTGGATTCTCGAGCAGAACGAAGGATTCCCTACTGTCAAAGAAAAAGCCGGCATTTTGGTCAAGATGATGAGCTTCGAGCAACGAGACGAGGCACTGCTTCGCGACTTCTTGGATCTCATCCACGCTATCTACACCAAACCATCTTTTGCTCGTACGGAACTTACTGTTCGACTCGAGAATGCATTCCTCATGGGATGCCGTCAACGGGATCCGATTCTACGTCAAAAATTCATTGACATCTTCGACTCGACGCTCGTGAGGTCCCTAGCTGGCCGGCTCACTTACTTGCTTGGCACTCAAAGCTGGGAGTATTTGGCCGATCAGTACTGGATTCAGCAGGTGCTCGATCTATCGCTGGGTGCCATCGCCGCGGACAAATCTCTGATCAGGCAGCGCATCGTCGGTGGCAACCCAGATTTCACGCCTACTTTGCGAGCCATGACCACCGGCGGCTTAATGCAAGCGGTCAGGCCTCTGCTGTACATCGACTCCGAATGCACGCACAGGATTTGGGTAGCTTTCTTTGGAACCGCTTGGCAGGCACTGGCGCGCAAATCACAGGAAGATTTGACCAGAAGTCTCGTAGGCACACTGACTCGCGAGCACAATCTGCGCCAGGTGAGCAGGCGTCCCAATGTGATACAGACTCTATTAAATGGCGCTGTTGTCTGCACTCCAAGGCCAGAGCTACCACCACAAGTGGTGAAGTATTTGGGGAAGACTTTTGCAGCCTGGCACACCGCGATGGAGCTTCTTCAGGACCTGCTGGCATCTTTGCCGCGTGAAGATGACTCGATACGAGAAGCCTGCCAGGATGCTTTGTCCGAGCTCTACGCCGAACTTTCCGAAGACGATCTCTTTTACGGCCTTTGGCGCAGGCGCTGCGTCTACGCAGAAACGAACGCAGCCATCTCGTACGAGCAGACTGGCATGTGGGCCCAAGCCCAAATCATGTACGAGACAGCACAAGCAAAGGCGCGGACCGGCGTACTAACATTCACTGAAGCGGAGTACAGTCTCTGGGAGGACCATTGGGTCATCTGCGCTCAGAAGCTTCAACAGTGGGACATCTTGACGGACTTGGCCAAGCTAGAGGGCAACAACGACTTGTTACTCGAGTGCGCGTGGCGCCTTTCCGATTGGGTCAACGATCGCGAAGTGTTGGAACAAGCCTTAGACAACTTGAGTGCGACCTCGACGCCAAGAAGACGAGTCTTTGCAGCGTACATGGCGCTTCTGAAGTCGCAAGGTAGCTCGGAAAAGCCTACAGAATTTGGTCGTATCTGCGACGAGGCGATCCAGCTCACCTTGCGGAAATGGCATTCGCTGCCGACTTCGGTAACACAAGCTCACGTACCACTGCTTCAAATCTTCCAGCAGCTAGTCGAATTGCAGGAAGCAAGTTCAATTTTCAATTCGCTCTCAGGCACCAATGCGGGCAACCTAGACCCAAAATCACAAGAGCTCAAACAACTGATGCAGACTTGGCGCGAACGCTTGCCAAATCGATGGGACGACATCAATGCCTGGTCTGATCTGGTGGCATGGCGTCAACATGTCTTCAGTGCCGTCAACAAGGCGTACTTACCGCTTGTACCGCAGCTCCAGCAGAATGGTGCAGCAAGCTCAAGCACCAATTCTTACGCCTATCGAGGCTATCACGAGACCGCCTGGATCGTGAACCGCTTCGCCCACGTGGCGCGCAAGCATCAGCTCAATGACGTCTGCATTTCAAGCTTGACCAAGATCTACCAACTCCCAAACATTGAAATCCAGGAGGCGTTCCTGAAACTACGAGAGCAAGCCAAGTGTCATTATCGCAATCCGGCAGAACTGCACCAAGGCTTGGAGGTCATCAACAACACCAATCTGATGTTCTTCGCGGCTCCACAGAAAGCCGAGTTTTTCACTCTAAAAGGAATGTTCATGGCGAAGCTCAATTTGCTGGACGACGCGAACCACGCGTTTGCGACCGCCATCCAAATGGATTTGAATCTCGCGAAGGCTTGGACAGAGTGGGGCAGATACAATGACCGCATGTTCCGCGACAAGCCGCAGCATATGGGCCCCGCCAGCAGCGCTGTCAGCTGCTACCTACAAGCAGCTGGCCTTTACAAAAGCGCGAAAGTTCGGAAAATCCTCATTCGCATCCTTTGGCTACTCAGTTGTGACGACAGTACGGGCAGCGTTGCTCAAGCCTTTGAGGGCTACCGAGGAGAAGCTCCTGTGTGGTATTGGATCACGTTCATTCCGCAGCTGCTGCAAGGGTTGCAACACCGCGAGGCCAAGTACGCAAGACGCCTTCTCATGCAGATCGCCAAGACCTTCCCACAGGTGAGACGTTTGGTGGTCATGAGCTCTGACTCGCAATCGCACCTTGCTGACTCTCTCCAACATCTCTTCCCACGATAGTCGCTTTACTTCTTCCTGAGGACTGCGCGTGAAGACTATGCGCCGGTCAAGCGGCAGGTGCTTGTGGCTGCCCAACGCGCCGCTCAAGCACAGCAACTCCGCGTGTCCCAACAGCAGCAGCAGGGTGCAAGAGGTCCTGAAACCGCTTCTGGCTCTGCTGAGTCAGCAAATGCACTCCCGCTCGACGGTGGTTCGAGCTCTCAGGCTGAAAGGAAGGATGGTGGGAAGCCCGAAAATGTCGACGTTGGTCCCAAAGATGGCGTCGCACAAGACAGGGTCGATCCAAAGACAGGAAGCCCTACATCGTCAGCGCCAATGGCGACTTCCTTGGGCGATGAATCCGGCAAGATCACGGCAGCGAAGCCAGAAGGACAGTCAGCCGCAGACGGAGCTGGACCTTCGGCATCAGCCGCTCCCAGCGCCCCAGGACACACATCCGACACGAATGGCGCGCCCGATCAAGCAGTCAAAGTAGCCACCACGGGCGCAGATGCGCCAAACAAACCTCAATCCGGTGCCCAGGGCGATGACACTTCCGCGACCTCCCATCCAGTCGGTGGCAACGATGCCAAGACGAATTCAAAACAAACATCTGGAAATGATGGTCCTTCGTCGTCATCGGCTCAGAGCCCTAACGGCCACGGCTCGCCTCCGGGACCTCAAAATGGGTTGGCATCTTCAGGCACGCCGGGCGCCGCCGCCGCCGCTCGTCAGCCATGGGACTACATTGATGAGATTCTGCAGATTCTCAAGACCGGTTTCCCACTCCTCGCGCTGACGTTGGAAAATACCGCAGAGCAAATTGGTCAACGCTTCAAGCCAGGCACTGAAGAGGACATTTATCGGCTGATCAACGCCCTATTGAACGATGCATTGCAACAATATGTTGGTCGGGCAAGCATTCCTAGCGATCCAGGTCTGCTACCGCAGGCTTCCATGGCAAACGTCATGCGCTTTGCCGACAGCCTACCTCAAGGTCCTCTGAAAAATGAGTTTGAGGAAGACTTCGTGCGAAGCAAGCCAAATTTGCGTCAATACGTCCAGCGTCTCCAGCGATGGCGTGACAATTACGAAGTGCGCTTGGATCGTCGCACTTCGCTTCAGCATCTCGAACATTGCTCACATTATCTCGTCGAGTTCCAACATCAGCGATTTGATGAAGTTGAGATGCCTGGGCAATATTTGCGTTTGGAAGACAATAATTCCGATTTTGCGAAGATCACCCGCTTTGTACCCACCTTCGAGCTCACCAGGTCGTCGGGTATCTGCACGAGGCGCATTTCAATCTTCAGCAACAAAGGCAATACGCATTCCTTTGCAGTACAATTGCCATCGGCCCGGTACTGCAGACGCGAAGAGCGAATACTGCAGCTCCTTCGATTGCTCAACCGTGTGCTAGAACGCCGCATCGAGAGCCGCAAACGCGGCTTGACCTTCACGACCCCAGTCGCGATCCCGCTTTCGCCACAATTGCGGTTGGTCGAGAGCGACGCCAGCTTCGTCAGCTTGCAAGATGTGTTCGAGAGACACTGCGAAGAGGTAGGAATCAGCAAGGAAGACCCGATCACCATGTGGGTGGAGAAGATGCGAAGTGTGTCCGATGCCAACAGACACCTGGTCCATCTCTCCAACCTTCGCATGGACTTACTGGACGAGATTAGTACCAAAATGGTGCCCGACACGGTCTTGACCCGCTTCATCACGCGGTCAATGTCGTCGCCCTCGGATTTGTGGCTATTGCGCAAGCAATTCACTCTTCAAATGGCTTCGACGATGTTTTTGACGTATGCACTTTTTATCTCGGCGCGTGGACCCCCGCGAATTTCCTTCTCTCGAAATTCCGGCGTGGTGTCCATGTCCGATGTGGTTCCGACTTTCAGCCCAACGCAGCCGCAATTCAAATCCAATGACCCTACGCCCTTCCGATTGACGCCAAATCTACAAAACTTCATCACGCCAACTGGAGTTGAGGGAATTCTGGCGTCGTCCCTGACCGCCATTGGCAGGTGCTTGTCGGAGCCGGAACGCGACCTCGAGGAATATCTCAGCATCTTTGTTCGTGACGAGATCACTTTCTGGTTGCAAACCTCGCAGCGCAATCCTCCTGGAGTCTTTGTTGAAGCGCCTCGAGACATCATCTACCCCAATATCCTGGACATGGTGAAGCGGGCACGACTCATGTCTTGTGATTACGAAGCGAGCAAGGTGAGCATTTATCAGCACAGGAATTTTCGCGATCCTCCAAGAGCTGACTGTTTCATGGCCCCACAACGCGCTCTGTTCGTCTTGTCACAGCCCCATCCCTCGACCGTGCCAGTCTCTCAGACCGTTCTCGACCTCATCAACTCTGCCACCAACAGTGGCAAACTCGCTTTGCAAGAGCCGACTTGGCACCCATGGCTCTAGATGTGCGATTTCCAATCGGAAAGAATATGCGCCCTTCAAATCTTGCCTTTGTATACGTACTGTAGACTCCGCTGGCTTGGTGAATGTCATAGCATCGCATGAGTGCTTGTCTGCGAGCTGAGGATGGTGTACATGTGGATGCTCGGGCAGACTTCATTGTCACGATTCGAAGGATCTTGGCACAATGTCTTCTGGACCTCGGTGCGGTCAGCACCAGTCCACGAGTGGCCACTTGCGGACCTTAGAGCTGGGCCGTCGATTCAAGCACGACGATCTGACGTGTGACCTTTTCTTCGCCTGCATGCTTCTTATTGCTGCAGCGCCGTTTGAGCGTGACGTCACCCTCCATCGCCTTACATGCACCGCTAGCAATCTGGATAACAGTCACGAATCGCGAATGTGAATCGCTACACGCCTGCACTCTGCAGGTTACTGACCCCTCAGCGGGGGCTTGAGAGCTGCGCAAAGTCGTTTGTTGTGACCGTTCTAGTCCACAACACTCACGACTCGGACCCTGGATTCGTGAGGCATGAGGAATTGATTCTTGATTGGATGAGCGAGATTCGTCTCTTCGCGCTTCCGGCGTTCCAAAGATTCGCGTTCAAAATTTTTCGAATCGTGAAAATGTCGGGCGGGAAAGGTGGGCGGACCGAGATCTGGCCGTTCTGCCGTCAAGCTCCCCATGCAAGGACCAAGCTCGATAGACGAGGCTGGGCCCGCCTCCCGGCCACATCCTCGACGCTCGATTGCTTGATGATTCACATTCCGCAGATTCGTGATTCGCGATTCTTGATTCAGGGTTCTTTGCAGCTCTTGGCTCGGGCCTCTCACAATTCGATGCGTGCCTGCCTGCACGTGTATACGAAGCGCACGCGCACCGACCCAGCTAGGCCTGGCCATCAAGAGCGCGCATCATCGCGATCTGAGCTCAGCTCAGCTCAGCTCAACGTCACGTCCGCAATCACGAATCTGCCGCAGGATGCCATGAGTGCAGAGGCGATCGAGATACTGAGGCGGGCACAGGCTGACAGTTCCGCACAGGGGTGCAGTGCTATAGTGAACAGCAGCAGTCACGAACGTGAGTGCATGCTGCTGCACCACGCGCGCGTGCAATATGCATGTTGATCGTCTTTGCACGCGTTGCCGCGCGCCCGCCGCGTTTGGGCCAGGCGCGCACGTCGTACTCGCGCGCTCGCGAGCGACAAGGAAACTTTTTTTCACCCCGTCGCTTGATTTCTCTCTCCTCGAATGCCCAAGCGCTCTGTCCTGACCCACGCGCTTCCCTCCAGCGATTCATGCAAGCCAGGACGTTCGAGGGTCCAGCTGTGCCCATCATGCATCGATCGTGCAGGGCTCCACCAGCAGCAGCAGCAGCAGCAGCAGCAGGTAGTGCTTGGGTGCGAATTGCCAGTCACGAGTGTTGGACGGACGAGGTGCCTATAGACAGCTCTACCGATGGCCAGCGGCCTCGCCCCCGCCGCAGGTGAGCGGGCAGACAACTCTACCTCCTTGCAGCAGACGAGGCGACGAGGCAACGCGCGAACAGGCGGCCGGTCGGCGCGCATCGCGCCACGTTGCGGCGGCGCTCACCTCACGACCAACAGCAGCGATCGAGCGCCCGAGATGGGTAGGATAGCCAATAAGGTGCAACTCAGACTGCATGGGGCCTGGCCCATGCGCCAACAATATCTTCCTGCTACAGTAGCTGCTGCTGCTGCTGCTGCTGCTGCTGCTGTGCATCGCAAATGGTCTGCTGATGTCATGGTGTGTCGCGCCTGCACATACCACTTTTGCGCGCTCAACGCCTCTTACCGCTTCAGCAAGGACACATGCATGCAGCAGCGAGGCAGCAGGACCCCATTGTTGGGCAGAGATCAGAGCCTGGCCGATCTGAGCGCCAGCAGCAGCGGAAACGGACAGACACACAACAGTTCTTTGAGTGAAGAGTAAAGGTAGATCTCGCTGGCCTGCCGCCACAATTCGCCTTGGAGTGGTAGAGTCTGCGTGGCGAGGGGGGTTATACAAGTATGAATCTTCTCACGCATCCTCGCTCCCGTCCCCTTCTTCTCCTCACCATCACATCATCTGCTTCGGTACTCTTGGTCCTTCAGACTCGTACCTGCAACCCTCACTCTTGCTATTACAAAGCACCCTTGCACTCTCACACATTCCCACAAGCACTCAAAATGCCCGTAAGTCGCGCATCGATTCCTTGCCCCCGCTCATGGAGCATGCGTGCGCGCCTTGCGAGTCGCCATGCTGATTGCTTCTCTGACGCTCATGTATGTTCCTGACCACATGTAGGCTCAAGGTGCCGATGCTGCTGGAATCGCCTCTGGCGAGATCTCCGTCGCTGACAGTGAGTAGCAAAGCAGCCTTACTCAAGTCGCCCTCAGGGCTTGGTTTGCGTATCTGCTTGATCACCTCTTGTGAGCTGTTCTGACTCGTGTACGCTTTTGCCTGTCTGCCCTTCCTCCTCTTGTAGTGAAGGCTCGTGCAGCTGAGAAGACCACTGGAGCTCAGGCCGGAGAGCGCCGCCGCTCTTCCGTCGCGACCGAGAAAGTCAAGCTGAACAGGTGCGTGTGCGGGCGAATGGCGGGGATCCGAGAGAGAGGCGAGAGGACTGCGAAGGGGGATGCACTCCAGAGGCGCTGACCATTTCTGCCTTTCTTGGTCTTCTTTGTGCGCACTTCTACTGTGCTATTTGGACACGACCTGCAGTGGTCACTACATTCCCCAAGTCGCGCTTGGTGTCTACAAAGCCCCCAATGACGGAACCAGTGAGTGCAGAGTAGCGATCGGGCGCGAGTTCTGACTCATATTGACTTTGGCTCTTCACTCTTCTCCACTGTTAGCCGAGGACGCTGTCAAGTGGGCTTTCGAGGCTGGTTACCGCCACGTCGACTCTGGTGAGTGCATCAGAGCTGACTGGCGGGGCAAGGGAGAGATCCGCAGGAGAGCGATCTTGCGAGATCATTGAAACGCTTTGCGAATCAGGGTTGTGGGGTCAAGTCATCTGACATGCTACTGTCTTTTCCGTACAGCTGCACGATACATGAACGAGGAGGCTGTTGGCCGTGCCATCAAGGAGTTTGTCGAGAAGAGCGGCGTTAAGCGCGAGGAGCTCTTCATCACCTCCAAGCTGTGGGACGCTGACCACGAGCGCGCAGCTGAGGCCATTGAGGACTCCCTCAAGAAGCTGCAGCTCGATTACATTGACCTATACCTCATTCACTCTCCCGGAAACCTTGGCCCTGACGCCCGTCTCAAGGCCTGGAAAGATCTCGAGGCTGCCGTCGATGCCGGAAAGATCAAGTCTATTGGTGTGTCCAACTTCGACGTCGAGGAGCTCGACCATCTCTTGGCTGTTGCCCGCATCAAGCCTGCCGTGAACCAGATCGAGTCTCACCCCTTCTTCCAACACGAGGAGCTCCGCGAGGCCACCATTGCTCGTGGTATCCACGTTCAGGCTTACTCGCCCATGGCCCAGGGCGCTGCTCTCGAGCGCGAGGAGATCAAGGCGATTGCGACCAAGCACGGCAAGTCCCCCGCCCAAGGTGAGTAGAAGCGTGAAGCGCGTGGCAAAGCACCTCTTTCGGATTCATCGGTGTAGAGCTCCCGCGTCATGGTGTAGTGCTCTCAAGACTGATCAATTCGCATCTCGCATTTTCTCCTTGCAGTCTTGTTGCGTTGGGGTCTGCAAATTGGCAACATCATCTTGCCCAAGTCCTTGACCCAATCTCGTATCGAGGCGAACGCCGAGCTCTTCGACTTTACCCTTGACGAGGATGACATGGCCATCTTGAACAACTTGGACGAGGGTATGAAGATGGGCAAGCTGGGCCCCGCAGGAACCTCTGCTCCTGGCTCTCGTCGTTCTTCCAACTCTGGCGGCGTCGCCGGTGGCAAGCTGCAGATGACTTCCAGCTAGGTCGTCGCCCCTTTCAAGGCTCGCATCTGAGAGAGGATTGTGCCCGGACCACTCGTCAAGCCATAGAGCGAGATGGCAGCGTGCGACACTCGCCTTCTCCCTTTAGAAAGCTCAGGCGCAAGGGTTGTGGCTCTTCTGACAAAACACACTCACACATCATCATCGCTTCTTTCTCTCCCCTCTCCACCGCCTTGCGGGGCTTTCCGTTCCACGGCTCTTCACGGCCCAAGTCATTACACATCGCTGTGGTGTACGATTAAAGCGACTCTTTCGAATCGAAATAAAGTAATGCGAGCGCTGGAAATGTGCCTCCTTGTCATTTGACTGTAATTTACTCATCCTTGACAAGAATCGAGGCGCTCTTGCAAGTTGCTGTGGACGCGCACTGGATCCTGATGCGCGTATCAGGACCAAATTATCAAACGGTCAAACATGCTCATTGATTGGCAAATCTTACCACTCTGATGCGCTCACGCAAGCGAAAGTCGAGCATCATTGAGCCTGTGATAATAGCCTTTGAGGTTGAAGAGGACGCATGTGTACACTCGCTCGTGAGCTCGATTGATCGACTCAAGACTGCTGCATGGTTTCTCTTCGCGGCTAGAAGCGGGCGCAAAGCGGGGGGCCTCCGGCCTTATCGCGCCGCCGTCCGTGCGTCGCTATGCGAGCTCGGCGAGCTGATTGATGAGCGCGTGTTTTGATTCGTGATTATGTCGGCTTAATTGATCTGCTGGCTCGCACAGTCACGCGTTCAACTAAGTCGTGAGTCGAGGGGAGCTTGGTGCGTAGCCACGCAAGTCACACCTTACGTGGTATACATCGTGCTTTTCGGATCGGCTAGGTAAGACAATCAAGAGTCGTGAGATCAAGGAATCGCTCGAATTGGCGCGCATCGGCGACCGCATCACCAAGATCATCTTAATTGAGAAGAGCTTGTTGAAGACGTGGTTGTATAGCTAGCTGCTTGGGAGCAGATAGACCACCGAGGGATTTGGGACTTCGAGCAGGAAGCCACGTGAGAAGGTACCACGAGAAAAGTGCAAGACCACGAGAAGATGTCAGCCTCCTCATCGTGCTCCAAGCTGAGCTACAAGCTGAATAAACACTTGGACCAGGACTGTCCAGCACCTCCAGTCTCGCTGGGACGGGCTTGGGCCGAAGCTTATCCGAGTGAGCAGTCGCCTTACAAGACCTCGACGCACGAAGCGCAGCAGTCCGTCCCAGGCTTGTTGAACCTGGCACAAGGCGTGCCGGGCCACCTACCCTCGTCTGGATTGTTAGAACGGGTAAAGCTGGAGCTGGGAAAGGATTGCATGGCTGCTGCGAGCTATGGACCTGTTTTTGGAGCTCCTGAACTTCGAGCGGCGCTGGCTGAGGATATGAACCAGAGGTACGCTGTGCAGGCAGAGCAGTGTCGCATCAACGTGCAAAACGTCGCCATCACAGCTGGTGCGAATATGGCTGCTGCTGTGGCTTTTCAGGCCGTCGCCGGTCCTGGAGATGCTGTCGTTCTACCGACTCCATGGGTGAGAGAGATGGATGTGCAGACGGCTTGTTGCCTCCTCGCAGCTCGATTGCTTGCTGATGACCTGGCTTGTCTTTTGCAATTCCGCGACAGTACTTCAAGTGAGTGAATCCTACTCGCTCGTGCAAGAAGATGTGAACCCATTCATTGACCTTTGTTATTGTCGTTTGCTACCACCTCGCAGTCATCAGATGACCCTCGCTTCTCTGGGAGTGGATGTGATAGCACTGCCTACCAGCGCACCTTCCTTTGAACCGGATCCTTCTTCATTTTCGACCTTGCTGAAAGACGAAGCAACCAGCAAGCGCATCAAGGCACTCGTGCTGGTCACACCTAACAATCCGACTGGCGCCATCTACTCTGAGGAGGTGCTTCACCGATTCGCAGATCTGTGCAAAGACAGCGGCGTCGCTTTGATATTGGACGAGACGTGAGCTTATCTGCGTACGATCCCTTTCACCCTCTCACGTAGTGAGACCCTGCTGAGCTGACATTTCCTCACGTTGCTGCTCGATGATCAGCTACCGAGATTTCCTGCTCGACGAATCTGGCGCACGTGAAGGTCAGGAGGTATTCAAGCGACCTCACTCTCTCTTCAGCAGACCTGACTGGCAAGCTAGTGAGTTGAGCGTAAGGGGACCCTGCTGGCACAGCAGGCTGACATCCTCCGATCGGCGTCTGAATTTTTCTTTTCACTGGTCCCCACGTCCTGACCAACCTCAGCAATCATTCACATCTACTCTTTCTCCAAATCTTATGCGATCCCGGGGTGGAGGCTGGGCGCACTCGTCGCTCACGAGGCCTTGCTGGCTGGAGCGATTTCTTCGCAGTCCTTCGGACCCGTAGCCAAAGCGCTAGACAATTATCAGATTTGTCCAGCTCGCATAGACGCTCAGCGTGCTGTAGCTTGGGCTATTCACGATAGCAACGAGAAGACTTGGAGGCTGCAAAATGCAAAACTTCTTTTGGCTCGGCGCACAGCCTTTCTTGAGCTCATGACGGCTGTGGAAAAGAGTGGATGGAAAGTGGAATGCACTGGCGCTTACTACGCCTACGTCAGCCATCCGTGGGCACGCGTCAGCTCTGAGACCGTAGCAAAAGAATTGGCACAGAGGGTAGGCGTCGTCGTCCTTCCAGGTGAGTGTGCTTCGCATCTCTGGAAGACATGGCCTTCGACACAATGGCCGCCTGACTTGGCCCCCTTCGCATCTTCAGGTGCTTTCTTCACGCCTGCGCAAAGCCGAGAGAGCGCTGCGCAGCGACTTAGATTTTCCATCGCAAATGTGTGCATCGACCGACTGCAAGAGTTGCCTGCGAGACTGGAGCTGATATCTCAAATGGAGCTCGCGTAATGCATTGCTGTTGCTTTATCGAATCCAAGAGCAAATCACTCAATGCTCGCGCTCCAGCAGTGCGGCTTGAGCATGTCCAGTATCGGAAGCAGCGGAAGTGGCTGGGTAGCTCGGCGAACGCGACGTGTTCCCCGGTAGGTATCGCACCACTTGCGCATCAGAGGCCTTTCGTAAGCTCTCCGCCGCCTGCGCAGGATGATCAAGAGTCCATGATGCTTCAAGTCGTTCACAAAAGGCCTTCGAGCAAGCTGACAGCCACCCACGCGACACTCAATCACGAATGAGAGACTGCAACGTGACCAACAGACCAAAAATCGAGTTTGAGTGACATGATCGCGCGCAAGCATTTACACCTGTCGCCGCGCAAACAAACGGGACGCGCTTGTACGTCATCTCAGAGCCTTCGCCTCTGTCACGAGTCTGCTAGCCATGGCGTACTGCTTGACTCGTGACCTTGTTCGCCTTCGTAATGGTGAATGGTGACGTACACATTGCTGAAGCGCTTGATCCGCAGTGATGCTGCTGCAGCTAGGCGGAGCATCTGATGTGGGTCCTCAGGATTTGTGGCGGACCGAGACGGCTCCGAGAAGCACCGAGGCTCCGGCCATGGTGGGCTGCACGCGTTCGCTGCTTTGCCCGCGACTATCAGTGTGAGTATGCCTGTGTACAGAGATGTGGGGAACATTCACGATTCATGGCCGGGGAGCTTGGCTTGTGTGTGGCTTTTGGAAGCGTCGTAAGGAGGAGCTTTTGAGCAGTGCTTCAACGTTGCGCCTTTGTGTCCGACCCTTGATCGCGACATATACTGATGACGAGGTGGCAGGCTCGTTGACGGATTTTGCTGACGGTGAAGAAAGAGGCCCTCAGCAGACAGGTCCACACTCCTTGTTTGTGCGCACGCACTCTGCTTGCTCGCCTGCGCAAGCATCAGCTGGCGGGCCCGGCAGTCGGGGAAACAACAGTCCGGTCCCGGGTGCGTGCGGACCAGTATATAGATGATGAACACGTGCTGCTGGGCAGTGTGCGAGAAGTGGTGCCGCGGCTTCCGATTGCTGCGCGGGAGAGATAGATAATGGAAGCCTTAATTCGTGATTGGGATGCATCATCGGCAGCTGCTGCACGCCAGCTGCTTTCACCGCCGAGACATCCTTACATGCAAAGAATCTTGAATGCAACTATGTGTCTTGTCATGCGCTGCTGTAAGGCCATGCGTTCTGCCGGCATCTCGGTGACTGCAGAGAGAGTCCAGAGCGCTCATGTCTCGGGGTCGCACGACAACTTGCTGCTCGATCACAAAGGCCCAGAACCACCAGCACTTGCTTCGAAGGGAAGCGCAAGATTAGGCTTTTGCGTTGGACAATCACGAATGTGTGCCTGCGGTGATTGTGACTTGCTTTTCGCGAGTTCGCACGCATTTTGGACGAATCTGAAAATGTCGAATGTACCGCGCGTGAAAGACCGCAGTGTAATCGCGCCGCCACAAAGCGCGGGGCAAGTGCCTTTATCTAGGCGTCTCGGTCTCACCGCGGGCTCTAGTGCGGAGAGGCGTGTCTGGGTGTTCAGCTGGGTGCTCCAACTGAGCTTGAAATGCCTACTCATCGATTAATTTCTCTCAACGTGTCTTGCACCGTCAACTCCGCTCTTCGTCGCTCGACGCGAAGCGATGTCGGCGAATATACAGCACGTTCCAAGTGGCTGACTTGCAGCACGCGCGTTTCTCTCGATCACGGACCATGAAAGCGACTCATTGACTTGATCATCATCGGCAGGTGAAATGATCATTGATTTCACCTGCCGACGATGACGAGAAGAGAAAGGAAATACGCTTGTAATTGCGTCAATTGGAATGCTTCGAACCGAAAGGCGCTTGCAAAGGTGTCGAGGGCGCATCTCACGTACGCTTGCGACCCTGCTCGAAAGAGGTCCCCTCATTTCGACCTCGCCTCAGCTACCCAAGCCTCGGGCTCTGGGTCGTGTGACAGATCTATACGAAGGTGTGAGAGTTGATCTACTATTCGAGGTCCCCGGCTCCCGGAAATGAGGCCCATATAAGTCTCATCTCATGGGTGCCTGACATCCGCGACGAGCGAGCCGGTGCCGGCGGCTATAGTCTTCGAACAATCTTGAGAATCTTGAACCTTGCGCCGTAAGGCTGGCATGGCCCGGCGCGTCAAAAGCTATGCAAAGGAGAGCAGCAAGCCGAAGCAGCCTTCATCCTCGTCAGGAGAATGTTGCGGCGACGCCGCGCGTCGATAAGCTACATGAATGTAATCACAATTCAATGAAGCGTGTTCATCCCGGAAGTCCGTTCGAGATCTGACAACAGCGTGATCGCGCTTCCGGTGTTAATAGCCCGTACTTTCTTGACTCGAGACTCACAGACTTTGGACTCATCACCAGGGCTGCGCCCATACGTGCATTCCTGATGAGGTACTTTCTGGTACACGAAGTACAGAGTCAGTCGATGACAATTACGAGGCACGAATGTCTGCCTGCTGCGTGCGACTCACGACTGATTCAAGATCGCATGCACCTCCCGGCCGCGCTCGTGCCATGTATCGAGCTGCATTCAAATTCACGATTCGTGTTTAAAATGGTCATTATAGTTGAGAATCAGAATCAAATTTGATGAATTCTCCGCCTCAGCGCGCGCAGCTTCGTTTTGCCTTCATGATAGTCGTGAGTCAGTGACTCTGACTGGAGCCTCGGTCGCGGACTTCCCCACAATCCATCGAACATATATTTGCGAGGAGAGCAAGATTGCGCTCACAAACGTCTCATAAGGACATGACTGCCCACGCAGCATCGCGCAGCGCCGCAGGGTGTATGGCCGAACATGCAACGCCATCGTCTCAACTTGACTCAGACTCAAATTGAGACGAGACGCAAAATGAGGGGTTGCTGTTGGTTTGACGAGTCGCGCGGCAATAAGAGTCGTGCGTATGTGGAAGCGCACGCACAACAACATTCACGATTGCCTGAATACAATTCTTATGCACGCTATGCATCATTGCTGAAGGAACCAAAACGCGCCCAAGGGCGGTGCAAGCTATATAGGGCGACATGTACGCACGCGGCACAACAAGCATGCAGCGACTGCCTAAAGTGGTCCGGGGCACCACACGCGGACCTACAGCATTATTCGACGCTTGGGCCACGAAGTACATCTTCAAGAGGATCTCACCCTACTCCAAGTTCAGCGGTATGGGCTTATTTAGATTCGCATTCTACGTGAGCATTGTGGACGAGATGAATTGTCTTGACAAACGAGAACAAGTGGTGGCAGCAACGCGCGCGCGTGCCTGCCAGTCTCCTTTTCCTGTCGGACCTTGCTTGGCCGTTGGTCATTCCGCACTTTGCATCGGCTGCGATAAATGTGGCGCTTCTTGCATGAAATGACACCATCCAAGCATCGAACGCGTTGACCTCGCGAGGCGTCCGCGGACCTCCAATTCCTGCAATTGACAAATCAAGTCGCCGTGCCAGCCAATTGCCCCAAGAATCACGAATGCACCGCCCGGCAACAATGAAGCGGCTGTGCGGCAGACTGCTGGGCACAGATTAGTCGATCGGCGCCAGACACAACCGTACAACTCCGGCTTTTGGAACTTCATCCCACACCGCTCAGGCCCGAAGCAAGAAGCATACCGAGGCTTGGCCTGTGCAGCCACACTACTCGATCTCCGTGTATATAGGCAGCACCGAGCAGCATATACACCCAACAAGCTATGTAGGAGCGAGCCATCACGCAAAGAGCCGCACTACCGTAACAGCTATCGATCACAATGAGGGCCATCGAGGTGAAAAGATGCTGCGAGAATTGTAAATGATGTCGAATATATATGATGCCTATCGCTTACACCTAGGGGCGGAGACGAGCGATAGCAAGTCGGGCTCGGCGTCTCTTAGCGCGTGCGAGACACCTGCTTTCATGTCAACCCTTTTTCGGCACCCTTGCCCCAAAATGAACCCTGGAATGATGGCGGGCTCATATCGTCGCTGATGATGGAAGACCGCTGTGCATGAATGCTCTGCTCTTTATCAGTTCGTTGCGCCCAATTCTATGGCTGAGCCCGCGCTTGCGGAGGATCTCAAAATGATTCCTGACGAAGCCTGAGCAAGGGGTAGCGGTCGCCTTCGCCTCGACGATCGGGAGCGAGCAAAGAATCATAATATTGGGCTGCACGCGGCATCATCTCACGGCAGAGGGATCAGCCGGGCCCCTCACAAACGCGTCGTGCGCGCGGGGTTGGGCGCGCTCATCGAGAAAGTGAAACACCGCTGAGGGGTGGTTGCCGTTCCCGGCAGCGCAGTCATTGCAGTCACGCAGAAGACGACCCACAAGCGTGCATATGCAGCCTTTGTATACATCCGCCGTCGCCTAATGTGGTGGGTGCACTGCCTTTTGCAGAAGCGGCATGCATGGAATTCCAGCTCCGGTCCAGGCACGACGGGATTGATTAGACCGATGTGATGCGCTGCTGCTGCTGGCTATTATTACATGTTCGACTATTTGACCGACCGGATCTACGAGCCACCCGACCGCGTACAAGCACACTCGCACTGCGCCGATCGCTGCGTCCAAACGCAAAAGAGGTCGGACGCATCAGATGAGCATAAGCGCGCATTTTGCTTGGATCTCTTCGACTCGTCTCTTGAGTGCATTCGGTCAAGATTGCTCGCGCGATTGATGAGCTGTGTAGGTAGCAGCTGATGTGTGAGTCAATAATTTGCATTTGAGCCCGCTCGCTCCGCGCTTGCGCCTTTCGGCGTGCGCAGACACATCGGATTCGTATACCGTATGCCTCTTCGCGCCGCTCTTCAGGCTCCACCGGCAATCTGCGCTGCGCTGCTCTGCTGCTTGCAGGCTGCCGCATCAGCGCGTCAATCAGAATAGCACCACTTTGGCTCGGCAGCACCGCGCGTCGAAGCTCTTTCAATCGCGCTCGCGCTGCCTCTTCAACCCATCAACACACCGTCGGGGAGTACGAGAGAGAAGTGGCAAGCAATCTGACCTACTCTACCTCGATCGAGCATCCTATATACTTCCTTCATTCGCCACGCGTACTCTCGTCTCTACTTCTCTTCCAACCCCCACACATCGACTAGACGCCGACACCATCTTTGCGCCATTCATTGCCATCCATCGCAACTCTCCGACGCGCGTACCTTCTCAGTCAGGCATTTGTCTACTTCGGTCCCCTTTACGAGACAAATTTGCTTCGTCCTGGTCTCGGGCAACCTCTGATTTAGCTTTTGCCTATCTCGCCACGGCGTGGCGACCGTAACGTGCTTCTAAACGATTACCCGAAGCGAGCCGCAGCGACCAAGTCGAGCGCCGACTCCCCCTGACTTGCTACGTCTCCTAAAGCCCATCTGAGCACCACCAGCTTCCTGTCGCGACGCGAGGCAGCCGGTCCTCGTCCTTTTCCACTTTCCAGTTCGTGAGAAAGGGTACTCGAGACCCCTCGGCACGCGATCAACGGGATTGGCTACCTCTTCGTTCCACTGGTAAGTAAGTCTGCCCGCCTGCGGTACCTCCCTTCTTCACACGCTACAGTGCTGACTTTACAAACCGCTCTCTGGCAGGGTGTCCTACCGGCATACCACTTGCTCCTCGTATGAGGTGTTAGAGTCAACATAGGGCTTGTCACGATGCCCACTCTCGCCCAAAGGCAGAGAGCCGCGCATCACGGCATGGTGGCGCCTGGACGTCCACAGTCCTCCTCCTCATCGACAAAGGTAGCCACGACAGGCAAGACTCAAGCGCAGTTCACCACCACGGCACCCGGAGACGATGATGCCTCGTCTTCAGACGACAGCGATGAGGACCTCGCCTTTGAGATGGACGGCCAGGAACTCTGGGCGCAAAACTTTTGCGCGACCTGCGATTGTCTCATCGAGCCCGGTGCCGGCGTTGGCGCCAAGCCATCTGTACCCGACGGCGACGCATCCAAGTCTACTGCTGCAATGACGCGCTCTAACAGCAGCGCATCGACGTCTTCGACAATTGACCGCGAAGACCATGTCAATCACGCAGCCGGCCTCAAGAGCAAGAATGGCACCATTAAAGGACGGCCTTTGTCCAGCGAAGTCGCCAAGGCGGCCAAAGACTCCAAAAGCACCGCAAACGGTCTCAGCAACGTGAAGCGAACATCCTCAGCCGGTCGTCTACACGCTGTCGGCGGCGGTGCAGGCATGGGCACGCACAAACGGACCGGTAGCGCTGCTAGCAGGCTGAATGCTCTTAGCGACTTGAAGCCCACTACCAAGCTCAATGCGCACGAAAAGTCGAAGGGCGTCGAGAGCGAAGGCAAGAGGAGTCCAGCACTATCGCGTCGGAGCTCAAACGTCAGCACGACCTCTGGGGACAGCGGTCGAGACAAGAGTGCGCGCAGCGGCGAGTCATCCCCAGCAAGCTCGTCGACTGGCCTCCCTCGCACCAAAAAGGGCGGGTTGCTTGGGCCGCTCTCACCCGCCATCCTCAAACAGGAAGCGGAAGCGTCGAAGGCACCTAAGGCGCCACCTGCTTTGTTCTGCTCTGAGAGATGTCGGCTTATTGATGCCGACCGTGCTTCTGGTCTGGGCGAGCTGGTGCAATACCTTTCGCAACCTTACGAGCCTTCCGCGCCCCACGCATGGGCGACTTCGGGCTGGGGTGCAGCGGAGGTCACTCCTGAAGGCACCACAGTTTTCCCTACGCGACCTTCTAGTCTTGCCAGCGCTCCAATGATGGCTTACAGTGCCGGATACGGTGGATACGTCTGCACTCCAGAGAGCGAGTGTTGCACATGTGCAGAATGCCTAGACAAGCTGAGCTCGGGTGGTGGAACGGTGCCCAGCGGCGCCAGCGACACTACAGAAAGTTCCGCATCCGCCTCCACTGGCTACATGTATGGTCAGCCTGGTCGACAGAAACAGCGCACGAAAAGTGGAAGAATCATGACACCCCACGGACTGCAGGGTCACGCCGACTCCTACTTCTCCATGGTACCGACCAGCGCTGCGCGACCACTCGACGCACGTCGATATTCTCCATCTCAGACAGGCATCATTGACGCAATCGGGAGTCGCAGCACTGCTGAGGATCCAGAAGGAATGAGTGCCACTATTGGCAAGCAAACGAATCGTGTTACCACAGCGCCAAGCGATCCACGCAGTCGGCCCTCTACTACCTCTGAGGATGCTCCAGGGACGGCGACCACCGGCACTGTCACGCCCGCTACTACTATTGTAGCGCGCAGGAGCCCCACACATGGCCTCGATTCGCTTCGCTGGAGCACCGCGCTCGATGGCTCGGATACCAAGCGCCACGGCAACGGCACTGGGTCGTATGCCGAGTCCAGTCCGATGAGACTTCTTCGTCACGGACAGCACCACTCCCAACCTTCGGTCGAGCACTCCAGTGAGCTTGCGCACAGCCCATTCGCGTCCGTCGCTCTAGGCACCAGTCAAGCAAGCAACGGCGCGGCTACAGAACTCGGCTCGAGCGTGACGACGCTGAATCATAGACTGCAAGGCACGACGATCTCGCGTCGACGAGCTGCCGGTGGCCGCGATGTCCCCTCTTCGCTCGTTCTCGCAGAGGGGGACACCGAGCACTCAAATAGCGCTTTTACGATCACAGATAGCACAGACTCAGCGGTCGAGAGTAAGCAGGCCTCTACTCAGCGGAACAAGCACGCGTCGGGAGATCGCTTGAGCAGTAGTCTGGGTACACCGTCTGCACTCAGCGCCCTCAAGCAAGCCGCTGCTCGCACTGCTGCCATTGCTCCAACGCTGGCCGACCTGCGCGAGGGACACGCTGAGCACCACAGCGGCATCAATGGCTTCACGTCAGCAGATCGGGCTCATAGTCAGGCTCTCGCTGCTAGGCGAGCCTCAAGCAGCAGCAACTCTAGCTCCTCGACGAGTGGATGGCTTAAATCCCTTAGCTCGGCCTGGGCTACCATCCGAGGCGCTCCCTCAAGTAGCAGTCTCGAGACCGATGTTGACCAGGGGACAGTCCCTTCGTCAGAAGCACAAAGAGCGAAATCCGCCTTGTCATCCCGTCGAGGCAGCTCTAGCAGTTACAAGCGCGGCGAGCTTCTCTCTCCTGCAGTCGGCAGCTTAACAGCTCTCTCGAGTCTGGATGCTCAATCTAGAGGCGAAGAGCCCACGCCTACTCAAAGCCTCATCTCGCGGCCTGCACCGCATCGGGGTACTGTGCCAGCCTTTGCAAAGGACCTTGCGCACAGCGCCAACGATAGCGTGGTCGATGACCTCGCTACATCCGCCTCTTCGGGTCGTAGCGGCGGACGTCTTGGTGGCACTCACGAATCTTCAGCGTCCATGCAAACCACGTCCACGGACGCCACAAGGCTTTCTGCTGACGAGGAGGCTCGAAGGAGACGACGTGCGGAGCATCGATACCAGCGCAGCAAGGAGATCACCATGCTTCCTCCCCTCCTTGGGCATGGCCGCTCCGCCAGCAATTCAACGCCGGCAAATGGACGGCCACGTTCTGTGCGCGCCATGTCTGGAGCGGGAAGCGTTGGTGTTGTCGACCAAGCTGGACGCTCGCGGGCGGGCAGCCAAAGTCAGCTTCATATTGGCAGTGCAGGTTCTCAAATCGCGCCTCAGTTCTCTGGCCTTTCGCGTCCAACCACGCCTGCCTTCCGTCGCAGCCCGTATGGGTCCAACGGCGCCGATTTCCCTCCGGCGGTCAGCTTCAGCAATCCCTCTAGCCTTGGTACTTCGCCAAGACGAGCCGGACTCGGTTGGGGACCGATGACTGCAATCCTGCCTGCGCCTGACAGCCAGCATCCCGTGACGCATGGCCACAGCTCAAGCATTAGTCTTGGGCACGCTTTGCGACCTGGTGCAGTGCATCCTACATCCGCTCGACAGCACTCTCATCACCAGCCAATGCATCGCCACCAAACTCACCAGCAGCACTCTCATGTTCATGGACATGGTGGCAAATACGCGCACCATCGCGGTGCTGGACCAGTTCCGCTGGGTCACGTTGGGCTTCTCGGCGCGCACCCGCATGGGCAGGGGCCAGTGTACGGTCGACACGCCACCACGCCGGTGCGCAGCTCGACGCCGCGCGTGCCAGAGGACGGGGGCGAAATGAGCAGCGCTGCCTTTGCTGGAGCGGACGAAGGTCCCGCCACCACTAGACCGCCAAGCGTGATCGGCTACAGGGGCTCACAAAGTTCGCTGGCTCCACCTCGCCCACGCAGTGTTCTGGCCATGCGAGCCATCAATGGTGGCTCCATGACACCGCTGGTGGCAAGTCCAACGGGAGCTCCCCCCATGTCACCTGGTGGACCTCGAGCTGGCTCCGCCACTCAGAACACTCGCTCGAGCTCCGGTCAGCAAGGACGGACCTGGAGCTACGAAGCACTACCGGGCATGAAGACGTATCCCGTCCTCAACCTGCCAGGCCGCGTCACCCACGATCGCTACGACGAAGGCTGGAACTTGGGTGAAGGTGATCTGGAAGAGTTGATGACGGGTCGCCGCACACCAGCCCCAGCCTCCTCTGCGGAGCCAATCGCAGCGGAATCCGCCACGCACACGACACCTCATTCCTCGAGACGCAAGACTTTGTTCTACTTTGACGCTTGATACGCTTGCCATCCGCAACGAGCATATCACTAGGCATATCGAAGCCTTGATGACTATATTATTCGAGTCCAGCTCTTGGACATCAGTTTCTACTCTGTTTTGAACAGTTGTTGCGACTCTCCAGATATCATCCGCGACACACACTTATGACTCTTCCTTTCCCCTTCGCACCAGTCGTCGTGTACCAGCCACGGCACATCTTGGCCGCTCCGAGAGTCTCATCGCGCAAATGATGCGACGTCTCGCAAACCTTATTGACAATCAAGCTTCCCAGCACCATGCGCTCCGATCTCTTCCACATCCAAAACTCGCACTTACGGTTACCCATCCATCACACAAAGTCACGCAATCTCATGTCTCTCCCAACGAATGCCGGGCCACCTGCATTTGCTGCTCGATGCTTGCTCACAAGATCTACGTTTTGAGTTGAAACTTTTTGCTGTCTGGGTGAGATGAGCTACTTAAAAAGTAGTGGTGGTAGTGGAAGCGATGTGCATGGCGGTACATAATGGCATGGCTTAGCGCCTTCGAACGAGTCTTGCCTAGCTGAAGTCACAGTGTGAGTGTGGCTTGCTGCAGAGATAAGGTTGCGGACGTGCATTAGCGTGCTTGGCTGCCATGGCCTTCCGACGCGAAGCTTTTTGTTGCTGGCCATGCAGCAATGCAGCAATGCAGCAGCTCCTGGAGCATTTTCTGCGGTCAGATGGCTGCGCTCAGCAGCTTTCGTTTGGTCTGCATCCACTCCTTCTGATCGAATCGAAGTTTGTGCGTTGGCCGAGTCACACGACAGGCCTCGTTGATGATGTCACCTTGGTGACGCTGATTGGACGGCGACCATCCATCTCAATTGGAGAGTTAGCAAAACAACGTACGTAGACCAGAAGCGAGCCTTGGATGATCACGATGAAGAGACATTTGCAGAGCTGGAGGAAGAAGCTCAGCCTCGATCCGCCAAACTTTACCCTCACACTCTTTGGTCGCTCTTTGTTGCTCGGCTTGGTGCTCTTTGCCATCAATGCTTTGCTCTGGATCGTATGCGCCATTCTCTTTACTCGCAGACCCGCCGGTCGGCCTGAGACGGATGCAGCAAACGGCAGCGTTTTGAGCCTGGCTTTGGTAGCTTGGACGACAGGTTTGAGGCACGGGCTGGATGCAGATCATATCTCGTGAGTGGGAGAGTAGATGCATTCCATTCCTGGACCAGCGTTCTCTGACTACTCGTTCGAACCCGCCGTGTCTCTGCCTATTCGCTTGGTCCGCCCAAAGACTGATCGATAATGCTTGCCGTCGCATCATGGCCTCTCCAGTCCGGCCCAATCGACCACCTCGTCGACCAGTGACTGTAGGCTTCTTCTTCGCCTGCGGTCACTCTACCGTCGTCTTTGTGACGACCGTTGTCATCGCCATTAGCGTGCAGGTCGCAGACCATCTGGACACGTTTGGAGACGTGGGTGGCATTATCGGTGCTAGCGTGAGCGGCAGTACCCTGCTCTTGATCGCCATCATCAACAGCTTCATCCTGCGAAAGACCTGGATCAAGCGCAAAGCCGCCCTGACCGAGCAGCATGAGAAGCGACGTGACAATGAGGCGTCGACTCAGAACAAGGAAAGGACCAGTATGGACGAAGAAGCAGCAAAGCTGCATGCTCCTAAAGATGCCGCACATGATTCCGCCACTCATTTCAATGGCGTCCTCACCAGGCTCTTCAAGCCTTTCTTGCATCTGCTTGACAGGCCATGGAAGTGCTACTTTATCGGTCTCGCTTTCGGCATAGGATTCGATACAGCCAGCACCATTGCTTTGCTGAGCGTAGCGCTCGTCGCCAGTCAGCGCTCTGGAGGTGTTGCGGGCTCGAGCGGAAATGTAGTCCTGCTCGCTCTACTCTTCACCAGCGGCATGGCCGCTGTGGACAGTGCAGACAGTGAGTGAAGAGCTGCGATCCGATTGTGAGCAGAGAAGCTCCCGCAGGCTGACAGGCTTCTGACTCGCGCTCCTTGAAATGGTGCACTAGACATTCTCATGGTCCATGCCTACTCGCCGGCGCAAAAAAGGCCGGGCCAAAGCAGATGGGCTCTCCTTGAGCGATCAAAAGTCCTCAGTACGGCATCAGATGAGGAGAATGGGGTCGAAGCGCCCAAGGCACAGGATCAGATCGTTGCGGAGACAGACACAGCGGTGGTGCCAAGCCCGAATGGCAGGCATGACGCACAGCAGTCTGAGCGAAGAGACGCGGCCGAATCGTCCGATGCCGGTCAGCAGCGAGCTGGCGCTTTGCAGGCGAGCAGCACAGCTACAACGCTGAGCATGATCCTCACGCTTCTCTCCATCTGCGTGGCTGTGAGTCTCGTTCGGCGTGGATAGAGGATGGCACGATGCTGATGTGCTTTTCTGCTTTTCTTTCCCTCAGGCTGCAATTTCCATCATCGTGCTGGTCGGTCTGATCGGTGACGAGTGTGCGAGATGCTCACGAGCTGCGGACAAGCAGGAAGAGACGGGAGACGCAGGTCTAGAGGGCAGATGGTGGCTGTGAGTTTCGCGAGTTTGCGTGCGCTTTACGATCGCACGAATCAGGATGCTGATGATGTCTACTGTCAATTCGTGAACACGTATCGCCTCTGCACAGTGCCTGGAGAAGAGCTAATGATAATTCAGGCTACATTGGTGCTGGCATCGTGGGTGTATTCGCATCATGCGTTGTAGCCTACTACGTCACGCGAAGATTGCTCCGGTCACGCAGAAGGGAGGTCGGCGCGGATCGTGCACAGGCGAAAGGCTCTCCAGCTCCCAACGCGTAGCTCCTCTGTAAATTTTATGCCATTCTATTCAAACGTGTAGCAGGCAGTGCATCGCACGAGGTGAGGCACTTTTTCAAGCCGATTTCGAAGGAGCAACATTGTTCGATTGTTCAGAACGCCACATTCGTGATTATCGCATCGCGCATGGAATGGGAGCGTTGATGAGCCGAGATTGGCATGAGGGACGAGAATGAAGAGCTATTGCACGTCTAGTCACGCGCATAGAAGACGCGGCCCTGCAACAGATCGTCGTCGTTTTCGTCGTCGCCGAAACTGCGCTGGCTGGGCTGACCAGGAATAGCCTCTGAAAGAACGCGCAAGAGGTTCAAAGTGCTGGCTGTCAGCTCGCGCGGCTCTTATTCATGCAATCTGCGCAAGACCAAAGACGACTCACTGGCCGGCTTGCCGTAGCCGAGAGTCGTCTTTCGGCGACAATTGTAGACGGCTGGTGCTGGATGAGGATCGGGTGTGCTAATGCCGGATTCGCGGCGCCACTTGACTCCGTCATACACCTGAGGCAAGGCGACAAAGTTAGTATGCAGCAAGACTTCCTGTCCGATATCGCCAACTCACTCCAGGTCTGAGTGGAATGGACAGGCAGGAGAAATTCAGGACGTCAGAGATTCAATGACACGAGCTGCGGTGGCGGCGGCGCAATGGCGCTACTCACAGCTCTCCCTCATCACCCTCGCACTGTTCGAATTTGCCGGTTTCGTAGCCATTGATGGACGGCATGTTCCAAGCACATCCCTCAAGGTCGTAAATGTGCTCGCAGTATTGAGCTCTTTGAGGACCGTGGCAAGCGCGGAAGCAGAACTCCTTGTCCGAAACGAATTGCGTCCACTCCTTGGCGTGACGCCACGTTCCATCGAAAGAGCGGGTGAACACGAGGCCACCGACTGGGTTTCCGATTTCTAGGGCTCCGTGGGGGTCCAATTCGCCGCCGTCATCGCCTGCTAGGATGTTGATCTTGGTGAGATCCCCAACACCGACTACTTGGAGGAAGCTTTTGGTCTTGACGAATTGGGCTCCCTGGATGGTGCCCCGGGGCATCAGCCTGGTTCCATAGCCAGACTTGATGCAATACGAAACTACTTCGCCCTCGACGTCGCCGATCGTCGGTCCCGTGTTGGCGGGGCCGAACAGGCAGAAGCTGTGAGAGGGTGGAGCGAGTGAGCTGTTGCGATCACACGCGATAAATGCAGGTGTTCGTTACTGATCTGGAGAAGCACTTACTCCTGTCACAACATAGAGCCAAAAGGAAGAGAAGGAGACACTGCGAAGGCTCAGCGCCCGCGCCTTCTGGAACCATGGGTGCTGAAATCAGTCGTCACGCACCTTGATGGAATTGATGTAAGAATTGGCGCAGAGAGCATCAGGACTCGAGGCACCGTACCTGCTTTGACACTGAGCGGACGAGAATGATCAGCCTAAATTTATGTCCGCTCTCGATTTTGACGAGATGCTTACATCGTTGAAGCCCGTCATATTGTCCTTGGTCTTTGCTGGAAGCGATGGAATATCGATGGCGTTGACTGATACGATGAGAGTCGAGACCGTCATGGCTGCCAGGACGGTCGAGGCTTTGATGAGTGGGCGCAACATGTTGAGGACAGGAGCTAGAGCAGGTCAAGTACGGTGATGGAAGATGTGGAGAGGAGTGAAGCTCGTCGTTAGACCGTAAAGAGTGTGAGGGCGCGTAATGCGTAAGGGTAGGAATAAAGGTTGAGGGGGGGTAAGAGGAGGGTGTTGAGTGAGGGGATAGTGAGAGGTGACAGAATATAGGTGGCACAAGACGAGGTTGATGCTCAGGTACCCTTCTGACTTATGAAGGGCCCGCGTATTACCTGGTCGAGGGCAAACGTCCATGCAGGTACGCGAGCGAGCGGGGGGCCGCTATTGTAAAGAAATGACGGAAGGCGTATACACCAGCCTCGGCCCGCTTATTGCTGCTGCTGAGCGCCTCGATGGATGGATGGCTGCAAATGTTCCAGAAATGCGTTCGTCGACTCGCGCAGACGGATATCGCTGCTGGCTCTTAAAGTGCGGTGCAGCACAGAGAGAGTGTTGGTATGTTTGCCAATCTGCGAGGAAGATCAGCGGCACCGAGCGATTTGCGATATGAACATTGACGGAGCTGATGGTGGGAGCGTGGCTGCATCGTGCGCGTCAGAAGGAGCGAGTTAAAGTGAAGCGAGCTCTGAGACACCGCTACCTCAATCTCCTCGAAAGCCGCGCGCGCAGGGAGAGGTCAAATAATGGCTATAGCTGATGTTGCCACGCTCTCTCGCCCTGTCCCGTGCAAGACCTGGAGCAGCGATACCGGAATCCCAAAGCGGCAGCTAGGATTGTGTAGCAATGCTCCAGGCGCATGCATGTATGCATGCTAGACAGATTATGACGCTGATCGTTTAATCTGTGCCCCTGCCAGCATGGTTGATTCTGATTGATATGTGCGCACGTAGCCTTCACTCACTTTGGTGTTGCTTTGGGCGCAATCATCTCGCGGTAATTGCAGGCTTCAGCTTGGAAACGTCAAGCCTTGCGCATCAAAAATAGAAGCCCGCGGATCGACTTCTTGATTGCCAGCAGCGATCATGAATGCCTATATCGCTGCTGTCGGGTTGAGATCAAGCCGCGAAATGAGCGCTCAAAGTGGGAGTGTGATGGGGCTGCTATATCGATCAAGTCTCGGCGTCCACATCGACGAACGTACCCTGGTCCGAGGAGTATGATTTCGGTCCTTTCTTCGCAGGATGGTTTCAAGTCAAGAGTGCTGCGAGGCATGCATGCACGTGCACCGTTGCGTACCGCTGCGTGTGTCTTTTTTCTTATTTTTGTCTGAATCCTCCAAGTCAGCAGAATATGCGACGGAACAACTTGGACTTGGGACCAATTGAGCGTCAAATTTAAGTGCGTGCTATCTCGTATATATAGCTGCTGAGCACTCGATCATGCTGATCCCTCGCACGGTTGCATGGTGCCGAACCGCGGTTGCATGCATATGCGAATGCTGGTGCTTCGTTATTCTGATTCAAAGTTTGCTGCGTCCAGCAGCCAGCAGATTAAGCGATCGGATGAGTCACGATCGAATGAGGCGCCAGCAGCAGCATGTGTATGCATTCGCCAGCACATATATATGCAATCCACATTGGTTATTCTTGAGCAAGACTCCGGCGGCGGCGCAAGAAGAGATCTCCAATGCGCCTTCTCGCAGGACGGGTCGGTGATCGTCATGGTATAGCACGTCGCAGAGTTGCGGACCTGCCAAACGTCGCACATGACTTCTGGCATGGCTCGATCACGCAAGGGTGATCTTCATGGATAGCCGTCGAAGATGTCATGCTGATGAGTGACATTGAGGCTTGTAGGGTGTCTGCTGGCAGCCGCAAAGGTACTGCTGGAGTCGTTTTGAATCTGCAGATCGCTTTGGCTTCGCTGTCTCGGCAAGAGCTGCATGATGGTGGGACCCTCTTCGATCTGCGACCACGATGGATGCCTGCGCATGCTGCATCATGCACATTCTCGATTCGTGACTGCAAGGCGCAAGGTGCGATCCTACTTTCAGGATCTGAGACCTATATGCCATGTCCAAATCAATCTGCGCCTCTTGTGCAGATTTGATGGACTCACGGCGAGGCCAGGAAGGAAGCTAATGCTGATTGGCATGCGCGTGGATGCCTTGACAAATTTTCCAGTCCCAACGAGGAGGAAAGCGGAATTCCTATTCGACGCTGTCGTTGTTGCAGAGTCGAAGAGTGGACAGCGCTCGGGATGCGCTGGGGTCACGGAAGGCAGTCATCAGAGTCGGAGTGCTGCATCCCACCGCATCAGATGCGATCGAGTGAGGAGTCGTCGCTCAAGCTTCATAAATGCTGCAGAAGCTTCGTCATCGCGAGTCATAGCTAGGCGACGCTTTCCGGGACTTTCTTTCGGCGATTCTTGATAATCGTCGCATTTGCCTGGATCGCCTTCTTCCCGAGATATCCGTCTAATCTTTTGTGTCAGGCCCGCTCAACTTCGAGCTCGAGCGTGCTCAATTACCACTGTTGTTCTCGCGTTCATCACGTGGCGTGAACATTGAAGTGAAGCCTTGCTCCTTTCACTTGCTATATCTGATGCACGACTTTGAAGTGCTGCTTTCTGATTTCTCGACCTCATACAATCCAGCGTCATGGGTAAGTCCATTTGGCCAGCCAACCTCGACGATGCTCTGCCACGGCAAGGCACTACAGGCCCAAGTCTGTAGTGCTCACACTAGCCTTCCTGACTTCCATTCGCAAAGCGGGATGTATCCAGCACGCGTGAATCCTTGTTCGAGCCAGCATATGTGATGAGGCCGCTACTTCATGTGTTGTGCGTCCTTCAGGGATGGTCAGGTCGTGATGTGATGAGTCTCGAGGAAGGAGAGACACCATCACGGCACCCGAATCAAAAAGAAAGGTTTCAAGTCACGGAGTCTTGAGTTGGGGAGCCGGCCAACGTGTCACGTGAATAGACAATAAGCGCGACTTCCCGCACACGCCAGACGTTGGCGCAGGGGCCAATTCGCGGCGGTGTGCTGGTCGGTCCACGCGCACCAAGCATGCAGCGTTCAAGGGGCTCTCGCTCGATCCTCCGGTGTGAATCATCGCGTGCGGTCGATCACAGCAGACGCGCTCCCCCCACCTACTTACTCACACTTTGACTTGCTCACGGGATTTTGCTCTGGATAGAGCGCCTTTGACCCTGGCACGCAATCGTCGCTTGCGCAAGCCTATCTGGACTGCCAACCTCCCTCGCTCGATCTCACCAACCTCAAAGGCTAGCGACTCGTGCCAGACGATTCACTCTGTGCTTCTCCTGCCCAGACCCATTGCTGAACAAGATCAGCATATAAAGCTGCACTTCTCTCCCATCTCATCACTCGCACTTCCATCCAGACATTCAGCATTCATCATAGCGGAAGAGCACAACGCTGCATTTTCCCAGTCGGAGACGTACAAGCAATCTGCTCAGGTCCTCGAATTGCACCTTCTTGATGCAGTACTTCTCTTCTTCATCGAACGATAACCTCTTCGCATTTCTAGAGACGATAAGCGCATCAGAACGCTCCCGTTACGACACCGCCCTTTACGACACCGCCCTTCACGACACCGCCCTTTACGACACCACCCTTTACGACATCCCGCAAACGACGACTCCTTCCGCAAATCTGTTCAAGCCACTGGCACGAGGTGCAGGATGGCAATGCGAGGTCCGCAAAGCGTCTCTGCTCGTTCCATGGGAGCAGGAGGTGGGATGATGTCGCCGCCAAATGGAGCAGGCATGTCGACCCCACCTCACAAGGGGACATTACCGCCAGGCACCAAAGTTCAGGTTGGCCAAATCACAGTGACTGTTCAAAAGTACCTCTCCGAAGGCGGCTTCGCTCACGTCTACCTGGTCAAGACCAACCAGCCCATCCCTTTGCCCGCTGCAGCTGGCGCTCAACCTGGCGCCGAGTACACGCACGTGCTCAAGAGGATGGCAGTGCCGGATAAGGACATGTTGGCTCATGTGCGGGGAGAAGTCGAAATTCACGTGAGTCCGCTCGCAGCCGTTGACCAGCAAACGTGCTTCCCCGGCTATGCGAGCAACGAGTAGAAGACTGATGGCTTCACGCCTCCACAGCGCGCTCTTCGATCGCACCCAAATCTAGTGCACTTTATCGAAGCGTGTGCGACAGCGCTTCCTGGCGGGGGCTACGAAGTTTTTATCCTCATGGAATTCTGTTCGGGAGGAGGTCTTATAGACATGATGAATGCGCACCTCCGCACGCGGTTATCGGAGCCGGATGTGCTGCGAATCTTTTGCGACGTCGCTTCCGGCCTCTCAGCGATGCATCACTCTTCGCCGCCGTTGATGCATCGAGATCTCAAGGTGGAAAACGTCCTGTTATCCCCCGCACCGGGTCGAACTGGAGGTGTGACCTACAAGCTCTGCGACTTTGGCTCTGCGAAGCAGATCCTCTCGCGCAGAGCTCCTCGAAGCGTGGATGAGGTTCGCAAGCTGGAAGAGGAGCTCAACCGGACTACTACGCTGCAGTACCGTGCACCCGAGATGGTCGACGTGGGGCAAAGGCGCGTCATTGATGAGAAGGCAGATGTCTGGGCAATGGGAGTGCTGCTGTACAAGCTTTGCTACTACACCACTCCATTCGAGGAAAATGGCGGCGGACCTTTGGCGATCTTGAATGCGAGATATCGCTTCCCTTCTGCACCTAGCTACAGTCAAGGTGTCAAGGCTTTGATCGGTGAGTAGTTGGACTCGGTCTCACCAAAGCGCCCTGTTCGCGTAGCTGATTCGTTTGTCCGTTTCGTAAATTCAGCTTCTATGCTACAGGAACAATCTTCTTCGAGACCGAGCATTGATGAGCTCATCGTGAGAGCGCACAAGCTTCTCGGCACTCCTCCACCAGCGAGCGTGGTCCATTACGCTCAATTGGTCGCCAATGGCAAAGTTGTATCCGAACTACCTTCCGTCAAGACTGCGAGCGGTAGAGAGCTGGACGCGGATGCTGCTGCTCGAGCGTTGAGACCAGGCAAAGCGCAGGTCTCTGCGGCTGCAGAAGTCACATCGTTGATAGACATGGCGCCCTCCAAAGAAGAGCTCGCGAGGCTGGAGCAACAGGAAAGAGAGAAGCGGGCAGAAGCTATCACTCCTATGCGGCGCGGCCGGCCTGGGAAGACTGCGCCAACAGCGGGAAATGTTGCTCCTGTAGCGTCAACGCCCCAGAACGAATTCCCAGACTTTTCGTCCAAAGATCTCCCGCTGGCAGCTACATCAGCTGGTGGCTTCTCGGACACTTTCGTTCCCTCACCTTCGCTTGGCTTCGGTGACTCTTTTGCTCCGAGCCCTGCGCAAACTCCAGCCATTATGTCTAAGGGTGCCCAAATTGATCGTCTTCAGGTAGAAGATGCCGATTCAGGAGCGCGAACAACTCCTCTTTCTCATAGCCCTGCTTTGCCGGGCTTTTCAGCGAGTCCCCCATCTCGCATTAGCCCTGTGCCCAGTCCACTGCCACTAGCATCCACATCAGATGTCCAGGTGTTGAAGCGGAAGGAAGCAAACAACGAAGCTACATCCCGCTTCCCAAGCGTGGAGGAGCTTGATGCGCGCTATGCGCCTGCTCCGTCAGATCAGGGTATCAAGAAGAAAGAGTTGCCCGGCATCTCCTCGCGACCGACAGTAGGCACTGTGGCGAGTCGTTTCGGGGCCCAGAGCAAGATGACGCCTTCGAGCACTTCCACTCAACCCGCTCCGAACACTGGTGCATCGCTCTCCTCGAGATGGCCACCTCTGGCAGGAGAAAACGACTCGACTTCGCCGTCTGCGCCATCTGGCAGTACTGTGCAGCGGAGTCAGACTGCAATCGAAAATCGGCACTCGGTTGCGGACTTTGCACGCAAGCGTCCAACGTGGGAGCAAAGTGGGAGCGCGCGTAGTCCAAAAGATCTGCCGGCGGCTCCGAGCTTGCCGGCTCGAAAGCCGATGCCGAAAGATTGGCTTGCTGACGCCACGAACGAGGACCGGTCGTCTGCTCCCAGTAGCTACGAGTCTACAGCAGCTGCTGCCAAAAGCAAGCTTTCAGCCCCCGTGGAAATTGCTGAACCTGCGTCTTATCGCTCACCGGCACGGTTCGGCAAGGGCATCGCGGTTGAGATTCCGTCTAAGGGACGTACCAGCGACGACTCGAGCGGAGAAGATGAAGGTCCGGAGGACGCAGCACCGGCAAGAAGACCCGTCAGCATGTTGTCTCCACCATCTGTTCAAGCCACGCCTGTCTCGAGGCATGCGCCAGGTCGTGTGCAAGCTCCATCGTGGCTGGTCAGCGATACGGATACGTCCAGATTGAGAGGTGACGCTGGAGCAAAGTTGCACGCACCGACATCGGCATCGTCTTCACCGAGACCGACCGCAATCTCGCCGACCGCAGAAGCTCCTCCTTCTCCGCGTCCTGAAGGCCAAGAGGAGCGAGTGCCCGCAGCAGGTACAACGGCTGTGGCACGAGCGCCGGCGTGGGACGAAGATGACGAGGAACAGCGAGCCATGCCGTTTGACAAGTCTGAGGGGACATCACGCCTGGCCGATGCGACGGCTGCAGCCAAGTCCACTGTCAGCGCTGCAGTTGGCAAGCTCATAGACTTTGGGAGCAATAGCAGGCACACCTCGGCCGAGTACCCTTCCACGGACCTGCCGACAACTACGATCGACCACGGCATCAGCCCGTACAGTCCATCCGTCGCCAAATTTGGTAATCTCAGCATCTCGGACGTTTCTAGCCAGGCAGCTGCCGTCACTGAAAAGACCAGGGCTTCAGCCAGCCCACTTCGCCAGTCTGAAGACAATGGAAGCTCGCGAAATAGCCAGAGTGCAATGGAAGTGAATGGCAATAGCGATGCGAAGAGCACAAGCTCCGTCGATGCGACGGGGTCAGCAGCAAGGAACGCCGACCCAGATCCCAGCTCGGCCAGCAGCGAGGATTTCATGAAACGATTCCCTGCCATGGACGTCGAGACTGCTGAGCGTGAGATACGTGCGAGAGCATCACCGCTTCCCGCCCAGAGGAGTGACTCGAGGCCTATCAGTGAAGTGGGACCGAAAGCAAGTGCGAAGGTGATGGAAACTCGTGGAGAGAAAAGCCCCTTGACGGGCTCGAAAGCCTTGGCGTCTAGAACGCCCGAGCCGCGCATCATCAAGCCCCAGGCTCGTCCCGCGCCAAAAGTCACGCCTGGGTTCGTTAGGGAGCGACAAAAGTCCCTGACTGGAGGATCGCAGCGTCCCGCTTCTGTGGACCTCGCGCCGCCCCTGCCACACACACGTGGCCCGCGGCTACCAGGCTTCGCAGGGCGACAGGACGATGAGCAGCGTCATCTGGCACCCGCGCCCGCGTCGAAAGCCCCCGTCAAGACTGGACCTCTCAAGCCGTGGGAGCGAGAGGCAGTGGAGAGGGAGGCTGCTGACCGATCGTCGGTTGTTCGAAATCAAGCTGGCGCATCTTCAGGCGCCTCTTCACCTGCCTCTCATCCTGGCGAACCCGGTCAATCAGACGCAGCTCCAGAAGCGTACAGCGGCGTCTCGAAGCTCGTCTCTCAGTGGCAACAGAACGCGAGCAGAGGAGCGCCTGGTTGGGGAAGGGTCGGCGCTACTGCGGATCCTAGAAGGGCAAACGAGGCGAAGCTCTTCCACGATGCCGCTCGTCACATTGCTGCTCGTGATGTCGATGGCCTAACACCTAGCCAGGTCACATCTCATGAGAGAGGAGCGGTCACGGGTGGGATTGTAAGATCGGCTACTGTTGCAGAAGGCATCGTTGGCAATGCAAGTCGTCGAGCTGGTAGAGATGTCTAGAGCATCACCTCATCACGGCTGTCGTGTTTTTCTAATAGCACATATACGGGGCTCACGGGATTGTGAGGCTTGCATGTTCCTCGTACAATCTATGCGAATGCAATTTGCCATTTTCCTTTGACAGATCCGCCCGTATGGGCCAGCGGACGAGACTTGCCTGGCGTGAACTCGCGGAGACTCTTCCCCACAAGCACAAACGTGAATTTGGCCTTGAGGGTTTGATGGATACGTTGGTCCGGTGCATGACATTTGTGATTGCGAATTTCGGCAAAAGCGCGACCACGCGGCGCGATCCCCGCGTTGTGGCTTGGCGCGCTGCGCTGGCTGACTGATGATCTCATATCTCCATGACGATTTTTTGATCCAGCGGCCGAGTTTGCAACTCCAAGATGAAGCGATCACATATATGACGACCGTGGCTTTTCTTTTTCTTCGAGCTGATGACAGAAGATCGACGTGTGACGATTGGCATCAAGCGAAGCCTTTCTCGTCCTCAGCTTCGAGCGAGAAGATTTTGGGCTTGTTGGACCCTGACTGTTGTCTTTGGCTCACTCTGCCCAGAGCGTTCGTCTGCTTGCTGCTGGTCGTGACCAAGCGTAAGTGAATGGAGCGTGCGTAGAAGTCGTTTCTGGATCACTCGATCTCGACGCATGTATTGTTCTGCCGTGCAAGTCGGAAAGGTGCATGGCATATTTCGAATAATTTTCAGCTTCGGGGAGGGCGGGAGGCAGCTATAGGGTCGTCGGCCGGGACAGCTTGAGTGTGGGTAGTAGTCAAGGTGTTGCTGCCCTTACGTCCGAGCCCTGCCTCAACTAAGATCCTGGCCGCCGCCGCTGCAGCAGCCATGCATGCGCGGCTTCGGGCGAGTCGATGCATGCATGGCCCCATCAGCTAGTCGATCGAGAGAATCGTAAATCTACAGCGCATGCATGCATGCATGCAGCAGCAGCAGCGCCCGCAATGAGGCCGCGGGCGGAAAGTCCCATCCGGGCGTAAAGAAACGCACGCGCGCGCATATGCTGCCTGCTTATTCTCGACGTCGTCGTCGTCGCCGCGCGCGTGATGCGCATACGTGTTGAGGCCGCGGTGATATGCTCACGCGCGTCCCCGGCCGGCATGCACATACGCGGTGAGGGGACTGTCTTCGTTCGGGCGATTCAATTCACATTCGTGATGGGTCATGCATGCGCGTGCTCTGCTGGCTTTGCATGCTGGGCGGATGCAGCTTTCCATGAGCTCCCGGATATGCTGCTGATGTGTATAGCGACCAGGCCGTGACTGATGGCTGCATGCATGCATGGCCACGGCTGAGAGAGTCCGCGGTACAGTCACGAGTGTGCAAGCAGCTGCATTGCTTCCAAGACGAGATGCATGCAACGCTCGCGCGTGCGCCTGCTGCATCGGAACCGTTCCGTTCTGCGCGCGTGTTTGCGCTGCATTTGCGCTCCTGCCATCGGCCAGCAGCAGCAGCAGCAGCAGCTATAGCTATGCGGTGTGGTAAGCTAAGATCCACTCTTCTGACTGTTTGATTTAAAAGCTTCGCGAGCAGCAAGCAGGCAGGCTTTCCTTCTCGGGCGAGGCACCGCCAGGATCCCAACCTAACATTATTCCTCGCTTCCATCCACATCCTCTCCACTCTCACATCTTGACGTGCGCAGACGCTTGCGTGCTGTGCAACTGAGCAAGGTCATCTCGATCGCCGCTTCGGGTCGCATTGAAGCGGTCCGAACTCAGCCTACGGAGTGTCTGCGCGGTTGCCTAGCTGTCTGTAGATGTTACCGAGCAGCATGCTGGCAACAAGCACACACACCGCCAACACCACCACCACCACCATGGCGTCGTCATCTCGACATAATCTTTCGCCGACCGCGTCCTCATCCAAGCTCACAATGAACTTTAGCAATGCTCCAACCAGCGTCAGAAGCCCCTCCGGAGCATCTTCGTCATCTCCCACCCGGATAACGAGAACGGCAGCGAGCAGCAGCAGCAGCAGCAGCAGCGGCAGCAGCGGCAGCTCCCATGGAAAGCCTCGATCGCTGATGGCGCACGCCGCCTTCAGCCTCAATGCGCTGAGCTTTTTCCTCGCATTCCTCATCGTCGACACCTTGACCTTTCCCGATAGACCCAAGAGCGCCAAGGCCTCCTCCCTAGCGTCATCGGCGCCATCTCGAAGAAGTTCCTTCTCCTTTCTGAGCAGGAGGCCCAAATTCTTTCAGCCTAGACGATCGGCTTCCGAGGAGGGCAGATATCTTGCCGTTCCCACAAAGTCCATGTCCACAGGCCGAGAAAACTCCTCTTCACGTCGTCGATCCAGCTCGGCATCATCCACATTTCGCTCGTCTTCCATTCTGGCGAGCGCTGCGCCGAGCCTATCATCGTGGGCCTCTTCGCTCGGCATCGCGCAGGCGTACGAGACACGCACCTCGTCGGAAGCGGAGATCAAAGAGTTGGCCAAGTTCAGAGAAGAGCAGGAGCGCAACAACAAGGGCACGCTGAAACATTACCAGAAGAAAATCTTCGAGATGCAGGTGAGGAATCGAACCAAATGAAATCCATTCGGCACGTCAGAGCGCGAGCTGCCTTGACTGACAAGAGCGCTGTCTTCACGCTACGCAAACAGGTCGCAAAGGCTCTCTCCTTGCAGCCTCTCATCAAATTCATCCTGGTGCTCCTGCTTGTAGGCTTGATAGCAACCATGCTGCTTTTCGCCTTTACTGGGGCCGACTTGCGTTCATGGATAGCAGAGACTCTGATCGCCGATCCAGCGCGCATCACCGTCTCCAACCTGCGTTCATGCTTTTCTCAACTCGCTTCCAAAGCGGGCTTTCTGCAACAGCACCATGAGCGCACGAATCCCACAACGGCCACTTCATCCTCGGCGCACACGCTGGGCTCTTTTCATCTCCATCCCTTCTCTTCGTGGAACGTCGGAAGGTTGACAGCACGGCTCTTGCCTCGAGCTTCTCCACCCAAACCTTCCGGACTCGCGGCACCCGTGGCAGCTGCAGTCGACGCAGTCAGGCCTGGTACCAAAGCCGTTCTCAAAGCTTGGTCCGTGGTCAAGGATTCCCTCTCGATATGAGAAAGAGTGTGGATCGAACCTATCAGGACAGCCCGGCTTGTCCTGCTTTTGCTCTTGCCCATCTGCTATCCCTGCAATGTACTTTTAACGGATCTCGCAACGATCAGCAATGACAGTCACGACTCATCTTGTGCATGGATGCAAACCATCTATTCCTGTGACTTCTATTGGTTATCAAGTAGCATATGGGCGACACGTCGCTTGCAGTGAATCAAGGTATGCAAGTCGGTCTCGTAGTCTCCGCCATGTTTAGGACAGGGCGAGACGCGCGCCACATGGCTCGTGAGACCCGTCTCCTGCTTTGTATGCTAAGCTCCACCGACCTCGGCCTTTGGCTTTGGATCTTGCCCCTGCGGAATGAGCCACAGTGCCTAGATTGACGACCCGCAACAGACCGATTTGGAATCAGCTTCAGCATCTCGTCTGTGTCCGAGCAGCACGCTGCCAAAACTCACAGCGAGAACCAGCTTGAAGCCGGCGGCGATGGCCATGCCCCCCCTAAGGCCTGCATCGGAGTACAGCAGCATCTCTGCGACGCCCGCTCCAGTGCAGAGGGCAAAGATGGCCAGCAATCGTCGATCTCGACCCGTTGTAGCTGGTGCCTTTGGCGCTCCTGAGGATGCCCCGTTGGCGGAAGCTGATCCGGGATCGTTCTTGGCGCGCTGTCTATGCGCTTCGAACGGTGAGAGGGTGAGGGCAAAGAGGTAGGGATCGCTGGCTATTTGGGTCAGGGTGGCTGTAAAGGCCACTGTGGTCGCAAATGCTGGGCTGACGAGCTTTTGAGCAGAGATGGATTGCAGACCCATGCTAAAGGCTGTCAAGACTATCACACCGGGATAGTACCTGAATGAGGGCGCTTCGTCTTCCGGACGCGAGAGCAGAATGCCTGCTGCACCCCACAGGGAGATGGACTGAATCAGCGCAGTGGTCACTTGCCAAGCGCGCCTCCTGTCCCCGAAGCGTCGGCCGCCCAATGCGCCCAGAAATGAGCCCAGCAGGAAGGAAAGGATGGACAGCACTCGCTCGAGCGTCAGGAGAGGAAACTTTTCTGCTTGAGGCAGCATCCACTGGGCGCTGCACCGAAAGTCGGCGTGTGAAGGACAAGCGGTTAGCATGGATGTGCCTCCGCCGGAGCCAATCGGTGGGGACGCACATGTTTTGAGAGAATTGCACCATATTTCCTGTCTGGAAGCCTGTCCAGACCTGGCTCCTACTGTACACTAGCGCATCCACCATTCCGGTCAGCAATGCCATCCAAGCGAGTGGGACGGATGCAGCATCGTGGGAGATCTGCTGGTTGAGTCTACGATGCAAGCCATGAGAAATGGATGGCGACCAGTATCAGTGCGCTGCGCCCAATCTTCTTCCGGACACGATGCTCTCTCTCTCTCTCTCTCTCTCTCTCTCTCTCTCTCTCTCTCTCTCTCTCTCTCTCTCTCTCTCTCTCTCTCTCTCCTCTGCTCACAATCTCGTCATCCTCCTGGTGAGATTGCCTGCACCGCCTCTTCCCACCGCTTGCCCAGGCTCCTGCACTGGCCCGCTATCAGCCCCTTCTTTGCCGACCTCGGGCGAATCAGCTCCTGTCCTCGGCCCATTGTTCAGTAGCGTATTGGGACTTTGATGTCCATCTTTGCTGCTGGAAGCCTTTGAAGCAGGACCAACAGCTTCGAGCGTATTGCTAGATCCTCGAATCTGGTCCTTGATCGCCTGAGGCGTCTCTTGAACCTCGCCATGGGCTCCTCGCACCGGGTCCGATGGGATGGCTGTGGGATTGGGCGCTGCGGACGGCATGATGGCGAGACTGGAATGCTTGTAGGATGCGGATCAGGGGGGAAATGCAATGTTGTGGCGCACTGTCAAGCTCGGCGGCGGCGCATGCGACATTCGGCGTGACTAGAAATAAGCGCTGCTTTTTATAGGAATGGGAACGACGACTCGAAGGCACAGTCGCGGTGAAGTGGGGCCAAAGAAAAGGATGCTGTGAGAGCGAGAAGGGGCGGTGCTGGTCCAGACGTCTCCCTGCATTCGTGATTCACATTGTACTCGTGACTGATCGTCCTGGCTGTCATCCAACAAGTCACGAATGCGGACTTGTGACTCTCAAGCACCATCTTGGGGGGAAATGATTTCGTCATTTTTGCTCCGCTGCTGATCGCTGCAAGTCTGCAAGCACACAATTCAACAAACGGCGGTCCATCAGCTGGTGCTGCAGCAGCAGAGCAGAGGAGATGTCACGCGACGAGGGAGGATCGATCCAACGCTAAGCGTTTTCCCGCATGATGTGATGCGATGCGGCGGCAAGCATCAGAGAGAGGCTGTCTCCCCCTCCTTGGACGATGACTGCCAAAGTGCTGCTGCCAAAGGAATAAAAGAGGACCTTTGAGAATCTCGAATCAAAAGAAGACCAAAAGGAGAAGAATGGTAGTCTGATGAGTCCTGCTTGCCCATGCCATGCCATGGGGGTGCCATGCCAGGTGCGGTGATCCAGTCACAGTCCAGCAGCGCGATCTCCATGCATAGATGTAGCCAGCAGCGCCAATTAAGATATAGCAACGCCTGCCTCAACGTGGGCGCAGCCACACCTGTCGAGGCCCGCTAAAGCCGAACACTCGCGATCGAGAGTCACCGACGATGCAGCGAGCCTCTGGCGTGAACCTGCATGTCTCGATGCGTGAATGTGAATGTTGTGTGTGGGCGGGCGGCCACGCGCGACTGTACCTACTCACTCAAGCGGCTGTATAGCGCACGCAATCTGACGAGGCGTCAGGCGCGCTCAAGACATGCTCTGGCCTCAGACACCTCATCACATTCATGATTCTATAGCTCGCGGGCAGAAGAGCAAGTCACATTCGTGAGAGCTAGGCAAGACCGCCCGCGTCCGCCTCATCGCAACAGTGTTCCAGTCCAAGCACGCGTTTGCATCATCGCAGCAGCAGTCACAAAGTCATGACGAGTGCATGGCAGTGTTTCCTGACTAGCAAACCTGGTCGAGAAGTGGCGATCAGGGGGGGTAGTGCCCGTGCACCTTATTCAGTGGAGAAGCAATCGCAAGCCTCAAGTCTTGGCGGTGCATGTAGAGATCGTTATAAGCAGAATCAAGAGTTGGTCTTGGCGTGTTCGACCGGAGGGGAATGAGAGGAGAATTCTCACGATTTCATGAGCACCGATCAATCGTCACAGCAAGGCGAGACAGCGAGTCTGGCTCGCTCGATGCATGCTCAGCAGCTATGTGAGGCTTGCGTGCCATGGCAGCTAGGGGACATCTCTGCAATCGCCGCGAATAAGGCAAAGGTCTGAAGTGCCAGTTCGATCAGTTCAGCAAGCTGGATCAGAAGTTGCAAATGTTTGCAAGGCTCGAGTCTCTGCATCAGGGGCCGAGCAGGCGGCATACTAGAGTAGATGCTGTAGCTGCACTCGTTGCTCCCTTCTCAACGCGGCAGGCCGGACTGGATCGCTCTGAACATTTTGGTCAACAATGTCGGAGGACCGAGAATGTGCTTCGGCTCAAAGCACGTGGCAAGACAGTCTACGAGTCCAGAAGACCACATCAAAGACCCTTGTGATTCGAATGACGGTGCTCGTGAAATCGACACAAATACAGTGTTCACCAAGGCGGCGGCTCGTGCATTCAAGAAAGAAAGGCTTCGGTCGTCGCCGCGCTGAGAGAGGACCCCTGCTTCACCTCGGAGCCTGGTGACTGCCGTATTGCCTCAATGTCCCTTGGAGTCAGAATCGCGTGTGAGTACGCAAGCATGGGCATTCGAGCTGAACGCGAGGTCAGCGATCTCTATCTAGCATCGTGTCGGGATGCCGTCCCATGCGAATGAGAAGTGAATGGCTCATCTGCGGCGACAGAAGAACTTCAGGTCTTCTTGATCCACCTCTCCCTCATGACGGTTTTGACCGCTGAAGGTGAGAATGTTCGAGGGCTAGTAGGAAGCGTGGCGCTCGATGCTCTAGCTCTGCCTCTCAAGAATTTGGACGCTCCTGTCAAGGTGTCGTCGCTGCTGTCGTCGCTCCAGTACGAGCTCGATTCTTCTGCGATGACCAAATCGGCAAATGGAGAGATGATTTCCGCTCCGTCGTAGAGACCATCACGGATGCAGTGACCGCCAACGAGGGAACAGGTGCTGGAAGAGGTTGCCGTAGAGGGCGAGACGCTGCCAAGTCGTCCGCTCGATGAAGGCCATCTTCTGGTGGGTGAGCTGGCGCTTCTGATGCGGTTGGAGGAGTGACTGGAGATGGTCGATTGACTGCTATGCGATCGCCTGGCGGTGTCCATTTGGGGCGCAGTGAGCAACACAGGCGCAAACGTAGGCAGAGGCGGAGGAGGCAGAGGCAATGTCTTGTGCTGCAGCCCTGCTGGCGAAGTGGAAAGTTTTGCTTTCTCACGCGGCCTTGCGGAAAGCGGGCCACGTTGCAGGCGAGCAGGCGGAGATGCCGACAATCCTTCCATCAGCTGCCAGCTGCTGCTCGTGTCATCGCTCAACGGAAGCTCTAGAGGTGGTGGCGGGATCCTTGGCGCTGGGTGACCTTGGACCCATTCTTTGACGGCATCTTGCTTGTCACTGGTCTTGATTGCGGGTTGCCCTTCGAGGCAGTCGAGGTCGTAACGATCTTAAGCGAAGAGCGCGAGCGCATTCGTCTTGCACGATTCGAACGACTCACTCAGCTTCTCCGGGTCATTGCGCGATTCTACAGATGGGCTCGCCGGTGGAGTTAGAGGTGCGCGGTTGGCAAAGACCATCATGTCAGATGGTGCTGTCAGCAAAGCCAAATGCATGGTGGTAGCAGCGCGAGATGCGAGGAAGGACTGTAGCAGTGGCGCGCCGAGGATCTTTCTGTGGAGATGGTGCGGGAATGGAGGGAGGGATGGAGTTGGGACATAGCTCGGCGATACTTATGATGTCCGTTGCGACTTGTTGGAGACTGCTGGTCATGGGCGTGCGAAGAAGGCAATCGGCGAAGTTCTGGGAGATGAACGGGGCTCAAGGAGAATGTTTCATACAGAAGAGACTCGTCATCCCAAGTCTGGCGCTGCTGCCCAGTCAAGACTTCTGAGTGAGCGTCGCATCAAACACACGAATCGGAAGGAACAGCGGTCACAATCGTGAATGGCCCACGACCCACGACTCATGGCAAGTGATCAGCAGCAATCGTGGATGGTAGCATTCCACCAGAGTCAAACGCACGGCTGGGACTGGCTCACCATGCGGCCACGATGAACAGAGCAACACGGCGCCCGCGATTCACGATTGCAAGAGAGAAGAGGAGGTGCACCGTGCACGCATCGATCACGGGTCGATCGATCGTCAGGTATGTTCGTGATTCGACCGGTGATCTTGCGTTGCAGTTGACTCACGCGACTGCAAGGACAGATTATACCCTGTCCGAGCCAAATTGAGGGGATGTCGTCCGCGCATGGGTGGTGACTCAGAAGAAAAGAGGCGGTGTTTCATACAGGTCAGCCTTCGGAAGGCACGCACCCTCGTCTGAGCTAGAGGAGTTCTGCTTGGCAACGCAAGCGCTCTGTAAGCCGATCGCATACGTGTGTGCCGCACCATCATCAGACAGCAGAAGATTGCAGAGCAGAGATCAGGCTTACGCGCACGCACGCGGACATCTATATAGCGAAGCTGCGCTGCTGCTGCATGCGAACCAGATGGCGGCTGATGGAGCTGCAAGGGCTCGGCATATCACGCCAAGACATATTCACGATGAGCCATCGGTATGATGGCTCAGCTCACCTTATTGCGATCGCAATTAACATTCTCATTGGCAAGGGTCGAGTCGCAAACACGCGCCCATGCAGGCACGAGACATGTGCAAGCAATCACTAAGCGAATCCGCACGCAAGTGCAACAGTTTATGCTGGTGCTTATTGTGCGGTCTACAGCTGTTGGATGCCGCAGTGTAGCGGCTTCCGTTACGGCTCACTCGCTTCTGATTGCTGTGGTCATGCAGGCTCGGTCTATTAGCAATCATGCACTATTGTGAACCGACGGATCGATCGCGATCGCCTCAAGTCAGGGTCATCCCATCATCAGGATCGCTAGTCCAGCTTCGACAAGATCGCCGCTCAAATAAAGACCTTTGGAAGAAGGATCAGTCGCAGTAGCAGGTTCAAGATTGAGCTTGCTGCACGCTTGCAGCACTATTTCAGCTATAGGTAATCATAGCCTGAGCGCAGGTCGCGCAACCACGAATACCGCAAATCGCGGCAACTGGGTGCGGCGTCTCAGCCCCTTGCAATCATGTCTCGCTAAAGTCGACATCTCTCACACTTGGGCACGGACATCTTGATTAATCGGTGTGAATGGTCAGCAGCAGCAGCATGCTTTGCACAATGCGTATTATACAGCATGTGCTGATGGCGCCACCTCTCTGCATGCATATGCGATACAAATTGTGCGAACACAGCCCTTATAGCCATGCATGACCGTCTTTCTTAGATTCCATGCAACGGAACCGACATTGGTGAGTGGATGTCGCCGACTCGTCGTACAGCCGCGAGTGCGATTCAGCTATGCGCATCCGAGAGGCGCTCGACGCACGGGCATCAATAATCACGAATTTGTTCAATCAAATCTCAAGTGTCACCGGGACTGCAAGGAACTATACAAGGCGATTCTCGATGTAGCTCTTGCACAGTTGCTTGGGCCGACGCGGTGCGCGACTCGCTGCAGCACCTTCTCTTACACTTGGACCATACTGACTACTTTTTTTTGCGATCACGAAGCAGGAAACATCATGAGCAAGCAGCGACACATCAGAAGCGCGACTTGCGGTATCGCCGAAACAAATATCTCAGCGGGTACAAATTCCTCGCGTCTGGCACGTTCGCACGATCACTGCTGCTGCTGCTGCTGTATGATGTGAGTTGCCACTCGCGAGCGATACCCCACGACTCACCGCTGCCGAACATCGCGGCGACCCTATTCGGAGAGTTGTGTCGACTCGCGCAGTCGACTACTTTTGACTCCTAAAAGGCAAGTTTTGAGTGTCGCCCGTGTATGAAGCTGCTCTCACCTGAGTCATGAGTCGCGACGCATTCAGACTCTGTCCACACGTCCTTCTGACTCTCGCGAAAGGATTTGCAGCACATCCTCAAGACGCTCGCTCAGACTGGATACATTTGTGAGTCTATTCTGATCTTCTGTATATGGTCGCTTGTCAGCAGAGTGGCGCATGGTCCTGCTGCTGATAAGTGACGTTCTGCCTCTCAGCTAGACGGCTTTAACGGAATGGAAGTTCTCCGGGAGTCAAGGCCCATCACTCTTTGACTTCAGGTGTAGATGACTGTCACACAGCGGTCACTAGGCACTGAATCAGCGCGGCTATCATGTTTTCCGAATTGTGAGTGCTAGCATACATTCTGACACACGCAGCAGTCACGAGCATGCAAAATATGCGCGGTCAAGCACCACCTGGTTCCGCCTTCATACAGCTAAAGTGTCGTACGTCGGTGTCTCGACGACTTCAAACGAGCGTTCGTTCACGAAACAATCGTGAATGCTGATTTGATTGCTCTGTCACGGCCTGGATGGCACCGCGAGTTGCCTTGCTCGATCGAGTGTCGATTCGGATCGCATGGCTTCTTCGGGCTTTTTCATCTGAATGTGATGGCGCAGCTATATAGATTGGTAAGCGAGCTCGGAGGACCGTGCGCGGATGCGTCTCCGTCTGCCCGCCGTATCTGCTGTCGGTCCATACATGAAGACGGATGCAAGGGATCGAGCCACTCACGACTCTGACTGTTGTGACTGTGACTTCCAGCGTCACGCAAACCCGTCCGTCGCCTCTGCTAGCTGCTGCTGCTGCTGCTGCTGGCTGACAACCGCGCCGTTCGTGGCGCAGCACCGTAGCTTTATTGCTGTCGCGGCTGTCCTGAATGAGACTCATCGAATCAAAATAAAACAACCGTGATTGGACAACAATCGTGAATCGGTCATCGTAGCTGACCGAATGATCGTCGCCTACGGTCGACTTTTGCGATGCTTAGACGGATAGATGAAGCGCATCAAGCATTCACCATTGAAGCGCGTCCGAGCGCAGACAGATGATGGGCTTTAGCAGGCAATCAAGAATCTCTCACGTCTGTTGATGAACATACGTGCAGCCTCGATCGCCATGCGATTTCAACATTGTGATTTTTGCAGGTGCGACTGCACGGCGCCGCTACTCTTGTGCTGAGCCATGTCGGCATGAATTCGAGGTAAGCGCGAATCGATGCTCGCAGATCGAAGTGGCCAGCCATGCACGCGGGGAGGGATCGAGGTGAAGCGGAATTTCCATTTCGCCGCCCAATTGGGCGCTCTTCATGTAAAGCGGCAATCACATCAGCAGCAGGGTGGAGGCGGGTCGCTATAGGCAGACATGATGGCGATATGCTGCGCAAGACGAATGTTGGAGAGGTAAAAGTGGCGCAGAGAGAAAGATTTGGTGCGGCATTCGCATATTCAGCAGCGCTGCATGGCATGGCATGGATCAGTGAAGTAGAGGCAAGCTACGGCCGAGCACTTGGCAGGACAATACCGCCTCCATCGAGCCGATCCATGAGCAGCATGGTACATACCCTGAAGCCATCATTCCTCCTGGACTTTACCGCACTCCATCTCGCCACCCCTTTCCAAAGAGAATCGTGATCGTCTTCAACGATTCTGCATCTTCTTCATCTCCCATCAAGAGGAAGCCTACGCCATGCCAATCGCAGCAGAAGTCTCACTGGACGAAGTGCGACGCCACGTCGATGCCATCTTCGAGCTTGCTCAGGAGCAAGACGATCGACAGCGCATGATCTTTGCACCGCGCGGCTCCCCATCCCCCTCCCCCACGCCTGCTCCGACATTGTCGTGCTGTGAGGTGTCTCGCACTCCTGACGCATCGGAGGCGAAGGAGTTTGGTAATGCGAATGGACCTTTAGTCGGATGCCACCCTGCGCCAGGCGCATCGGCTTGTAACGCTAAAACGGAGAACGGCAGCCAGACGCAGCGTCAGACACCAGCCGGCATGAGAGGCTATGTCGATACTCGAAAACTCAGGTAAGTTCTCTGGTCGAACTCGCAGAGCTCCACTCATCGCCTCTCTCTCCTCGCAGAGCTTTCCTCAGACGAAATGAGTTGAGGGCAGAATACATTGGCGTTCGGTGAGGAGTTCTGGTAGGCGCCTTGCGTTGGTTGGTACGCTAAAGGACGTGGGCGTCTGTAGATATTCCGCAGCAGAAGTCGGGAGCGTCGACGCCCGTCGCGTGAACCGCGCTTATATGAGGCGTTGCATTCACCGCTTGGCAGCTCAACTCGCCGAGGATCACTCTGGCGCAGCCGATGCACGAAAGGTAGGTCTCTCAAAGTGCGATGTTGGTTGGGGGCAGATCGGTAAATGATGGCGGCGCACTGAACCTTCTTAACCTCGTCCCTCGAGGATAGGAGAAAGCAGCGACAGGGGACGAGATTGCGGTGGAGGAGGTCGATCTACTCGATCCGCAAGAAATTTGGCACAAGCGCTGCGGAAACGTCAGCTTGACGTGTTGGCACTACGGAGAGGATGGGCCTGTTGCGCAGCTTACGCATGTCGAGCGCGGTGAGTGTGCGCAAGAGACGTGCGTGCATGTCCAAGGCTTTCAAACCTTTACATGGCGTCGCGGCGCCTGCTTAGCCAGCTTCGCGATGTTCGAGATGGAAGTCATGGCCAATGGATGGAGCCTTCGCTTATCTGTGAGACGCCGTTGGGAATCTATTGCAGCCGCATCAAGCGCTGACGTCGTGTGATTCTGCAGGGCCCCGCCATGGAACATTGTCGTTTGACCATTCAAAGACCAGATGGCAGAGAAGGTATGTCGACATTGCGAAGCGAGCGAGCGTCTGCCCGAGCGAGTCCAGCTTCTGACACGGCAAGTCGGTGACAACTTCATGTGCACGCAGAATATCTCGAGCAAGACGCAGTAGAGGGCTGAAGCTTGTCGATGCTTTTGGCTATCGCTCATGGCTTGCGCGAGGTGCTAACATGCCAGCGCTTAAATTGACCGATCTTCGATCATTACATCCAGTGTTTCTGCAATGTGAGCGTCTTGCCCGCGTCTTGCACTGACATTGGCTGTATAGCCCCATTTTGAAGAAGCATCGATATGAGCAAGCAGTCTTCAGAAGCAGCGCGTAGCTGTCAGATTAGACGACCTGGACATCCTTGTTCTCCTTCCACACACCCGGCGGCGTGACTTGGTCGGAATCCAAACTAGCTCCGTACACTTCCCTCTTCCAGACCTGCACATCCTTCTTTACTTGCTCCAATGCCCACTCTGCAACCTCAAAGGCGCGTCTCCTATGCGGCGCGGAAGCACAAACAAGGATGCTCGGCTCTCCCACGGGTACGTGACCCAATCTATGAGCTATAAAGATGCGCGTAACCTGCTGCGATGCTGGGATGGGCTGGTCGGGAGCTTGTGTGCGGCTAGTGGATGCGAGAGAGCGGGAGGAAGAAGAGTTCGTGAGAGGAGCGGGAGGCGGCCATTCCATGCTGCGTGAGCGTCGAAGAATGCTCTCGAGCGTCTTGATGGCAAGCTTGCTGTACGCTTCGTACTCGAGTCGAAGGACTCGTTTGCCTATGGATGTGGAGGAAGGATCAAGTAGCTATCTCCCACGTCAGATCACGCGTGCGCTCCAATGAACACCTTCATGACTACCGTGTCTTCCTTCTCGGTGGCTTCTGATCACCTCGCACTTGTGCAGCGGCAGCCGGCATTCGTGAACGTGCGCCTGCTCGAGATGAACCAGCTCACCTTGAAAAGTATCGCGCGTGGTGCCTACAAAGAGCACCGTGCCACCAGCAGAGGCATCCCTCACATGTCGCAGTGCTGCAGACTCGTCCAACGCATCGTACGTCAGCTCCGCAACGTCGTTCGTGTCTTGCAGAGCGATCTTCACTGGCGTACAGTGCGACGTCGGCTCGGGAGAGGCAGCAGGACTCGTGTACGTGGGAAGCATGTTTTGCGCTTCGTGTCCCTCTCCTCGTCTTGCGATGAGCGCCGATGCTTGTCGAGCAGTCAATCTTCGAGCCTGTAAGTGGGTGACGAGAAGCTTGGGTGGGGGAGTACATGCGGACGTGCAAGTCTTGCAGAGACCTTCGGCTGTAGTCGTGGCCGGTTTGCAGTCGTGAGTGCGATATCGAGCGGGACACGATGTCGCGTCTACTGCTGTTGACGCTGCTGCTGCCGCTGCTGACGATGATGATGATGATGATGATGATGATGATGATGATGCTGCCGCCTGCTGCTGCAAGCGTCGACCCAAAGGAGTCGGCTTCAGACGCGTACAGCAGGAACAGGTATGCCTTCCCCTGCCATGCATGCCCGCACGCGCCTCTGCGTCTTCCATCACCTCCACATGCAACACCCACGCTCAGCGCTGCATCAAACCAACCCACACACCACACCCTCCCTTAAAAAGCACATCTTCTTTGACAGCTTCACACACTCACGTCACATTCGCTGATTCAACCCCACCGGTCGCTGTCATTGTCCGTCCGGATAGTCTTGCGTAGCAAGCGAGCCGTCTTTGGCGATCGAACTTTCTTGGCCGAGTCTCGATCTGGCCGAGGTGTCGCCACGATGCCGCATGGACACGATCACGGGCATGGGCATGGGCACGCTTGCGGTTGCGAGCACGATGACGATGATCATCTAAAGCAAGGAGAGGTGAGCAGAGTGAAGGTCCATCATGCTATCAGGACAGATTTCAACTGACTCGACGAAGCTGATGCGCTACGCCCCTGCCACGCACCAAAGGGTCAACAAGATTCGCTCTTTCTCTCCATCGACATTCCCCGCGTGACGTGCCTCAACGAAGCTCGCCCGTCATCTTGTCAGCGGATCTTCAAGCCATGGGATAAGAGGAACGAAGAGTCCTTGGAGAGTTGTCTTGAGAGCGATGCGGATGACCAGATCTTGCTGCGCATCCCCTTCACTTCTAGCGTCAAACTCAGAGCTCTTTTGCTCAAAGCTGGACCGGCAGGTCAGACGCCTGGTGAGTAGCTGCTTTGCAAGGGGCCCGAACAAAGAGCGAGCTTGCAGCCCAAGTAGAAGCGACACGAGTGCGTCGCTATGGCTGCCTTGCGTGACGGCGAGCTTGCCAAGAGGCCGCGCTGACAGTGTCTGGCCCGTCTGGGCTCCCCGACGCACAGCCAAGCTGCACTTGTATTCCAACGCACCCGCCACCCTGGACTTCGACGATGCCAATGCAGGAGTGCCCAAGCCGACGCAGAGCATCGAAAGTGTAGCCTTAGCTCGAGACGTTGTCGAGGTGGGTAGTTCATCCGCTTTTCACGCATCCACCTTTCCTCCTCTGACTTTCGTCCGCGCTCTTCTTGCACGCGACGCACAGTATCCCCTCAGAGCACCAAAGTTTCCTGCAGTTTCGGAGCTTTTGATCTTTATCCCTGCCGGCTCGGGAGACGAGACGGTGCGCATCGACTACATTGGATTCCGAGGAGAGTCTCTCGGACCACGTGGAGAAGCTCCTACGAACATAGTCTACGAGTCTGCCCCACAGGTCAAGGATCACGCCAAGGCTGGTACGGAGAATACCAATAGGCTCGGGTGACGTGACATCAAAGCTTGGAGCGTACCGCGCAGCGCGCATTTTGTACCAACATTACACGTCTCCGCTCTCAATGAAGTCATCGATTGGTGTGATCAAGCTTCAATGAAGAAGGGAGCGAGTGCGGAGGAATGTGATATGGTACAGAGAGATGAGAGACGACAGAAATGTCGAGCAGATCATTCGTCGGTCGTCAAGGACCAACGCCAAACTTTTGCTGGTCCCACACTTTGTCGGCAGGCCCATAAGGCTTTGGCTTGTGGTGGAAAGCGAGCGCGTCTCGTGCAAAACTTGGATGATCAGCGCTCAAGTCCTTGCGCGAAATTGGAAAAACAATTCCCAGCTCGTGATTCAGCAGGCCAGTCATCTGCGATTTGCGAGCTTTTTGTCAGCAAACAATCTTAGTGACGAGGCGAAGCAACGAGAGGTGCGCACCGTTGGGTTAGCAGCGTCTTTCGGCTTGCTAATGTGACCCCAGGCTGCAGCTGTCAAGTTCGCACTACCCATGTACAGCCAGCCGACGAATTCTGCCTTCCTCCTCTTCTCTAGCACTCGCTGTTTGGCTTGCTCTCGTGCTGATTCTGCATCAAGTGGCATGCAAACAGCCTCTGAGCCCGTGGAGGCGCTGCTGCTACCACCCAGGGTGCGACCTGCTGAGGACCAACTTGATGACGCACTTTGTCCTTTGCGTGACGGTGATGGAGAAGGTTCCCAAGTAACCCCAGGCTGAAGGGCAAAGATGATCTTCAAATGCATGAGCATTGTGCCCCGCTGACTGGCAGGCTGATGCATCACCTGTCGATTCCTGAAACAACATCGCAACGATACTGATGCTCTGTCAGCGTCAATTTGAATCTTGACTCGAAATATTACGACAGACCCACTTGTCAATCTCGGCCGTCTTGGCAAAGAATGTTCCGGCCGATGATCTTCCTCCAGGAGCCTCATCTACTTGAGCGAGAGTGGGAAACTGAATGCGGACCGGAGGCCAATCACCAAAATCCACAACTTCTTCAGTGTCGTAGTCTTCTGGGACCGCTGCTGAGCTCAGAGCAGCTTTATGTGCTCCTTTTGCTTGGCTTGTGCCAGCTGGCAGAGGCACTAGTCGGCCAAGACCCGATGCAATCAAGTGCAGGTGATGTAGCCACAAGACGTTGCTACGTCCACCCAACGAAGAGCCCTAACGGGATAAGATCTGCGTGAGCGCTTTGGCAAAATTGAGCGAATCGTCCTTGTCACACACCTGCGTCAAAAGCTGCATCCCGCCTCGACGCGGAGTAATCTTGAAATCGTCGATGATCCGTTTCAAACGGCCTAATCCACGGGTCTCGATCGACTTCCATCCCCAGACTGATACTAGGCCTGGCTCAGGGAAGCTGGCACACAAGCGCGCACCCGAGCTTCCCCCGAATGCTGAGAGATCATACTCCTCCAGAGCTTTCACGCAAGGGTGCTCCTGAGACTTCATATTCCAAGAGTTGAACAAGGTGGCAAGCTGCTTGAAAGCATCCGAAGCCCTGCTGACAGCTTCCTGGCCCTCTGACAACCTGCGAAAATCTTGTACATATGCCAGCTGCGATTGAGGGCTCAGTTTCGGCGTCATGCTGGGCACGGCGCGAGCATGCGAGTGCTCATACTCACATTTTCGACTTGATACCAGTCGTATTCGATCAAGTTGCCGGTCAAGATACAGATGCGCAATCGATCAGGGTACTTCAACATCACTATCTTGACGTGCTGCACGCCCCATGCTCCTTCTTTGGGCCGCTTGGGAGCAACATAAGTCCAGCTTGCCGGCCACAATCTCTTGATCTCCGCAGTGCTCTGCGGCTTACAAGGAGAGAGAATGTTGAGCAACAGCACCAACATGTACCCGAACGTCAGACTACTGACCGCCTTCTGCATGTCGTCGACAAGGGTCACACGAGGTGCCCTCGAGCCGCTGGGCACCAAAGTTGGTAGCCAAGTAGGATCAGCGCAGAAGCTGCTGAAAAGGATGTGGGTGCAGCCGGCCGAGTCATTCGCAGTGGTGGGGAGGAGCATGTCCTCAAAGCGCATTCCGTTAGGCGCTGGAGTGGCGTAATGGTTGTAGGATCGCTACAAGCAGCGCAGAGCCCTGGCCTTGTGTCAGCAAGCCTTGGACACGTGAGCATGGTGGTCAAGCTGGCGAGGACTCACCCTCACTGTTCCGTCCCAAAAGCGATCTCTAGACTGTATGCGCTCAAGAGAGCTGCTGACAGTATGCTTATAAGTACCCGACTCATTCGCTACAGATCTACGGGCCTGGCCAGCATCTGTCAGGCTGTGAACGGAAGCTCCGTCTTGAGACGGACCTGTCATGCGAGAGCGTTGGGCTGGCGGCTGTGAAGGGCCGGCCTCTTCCATAGCACGTTTTGCAGCTCGTTCTTTCCTCTCAGTCTCCAGCTGAGCTCTATCCAGCAGACTCAGGCCACCGACCGACCCTCCTGCTGCGGTTCCATGCCTGACCTCGTTCTGAGTCGGTCTTGAAATATCCTCGCCCCAGCCGCCCCTTTTTGGCGCCTCATCTTCGTCCTCTGTCTCCGAATCGTCCACAATGATCGGGTCTTGAAATCCAGCTCCTTGTTTTGGTGGCATTTCGCATAGCTAGACAATGAGGCAGAGTGAACATTTGCCAAGCTATGATTTCGCGGCTGTGCTGGTATCAGGAAGCTCAGAGTCATTCACGATTGGCTGAAAGCAGCGCAGCGCTACGGTGCTGCTGGTTTTGCGCGGCGTGATGCGCGTCCGAAATAAAGAGAGTCACGAGTCTGTGCGCGGCCGGCACAGGCGCGTATGCGCGCTTTGCAGTCACGAGTCAAGCGAGGGCCTCATGACGATGACGAGGCGATGATCCATGTGTCCAACATCCTTCAGCAAGAACACCATCCAACCTGACGCGGACGCAGTGACGTCTCGGCGTCATCACACGTCCGAATCACGCCTATTGACTGACGCGCTTAGCAACAATCCGCTCGACATGTCCACTCCTCGAGGAGGCGGAAGAGGGAGCAATCGGGCGTCCGGCACGCCTCAACCCGTCGAAGGCTCACGAGGATTGAGATCCGGCACCCCCTCTCACTCGACAGCGGGAGCCTCAGCCGGACCTTCTGCAGATGTGGCGGCCGACAGGAAGAGGGAGAGGTCTCCGGAACCTAATGAAGAGCTGGACATGACGGACGCGGCAACCAATGCTTGGCTCGTTAGAGTCCCCCGTTTTCTAAAGGAGGCGTGGGCCGGTGTGGATCAGGACGACGTCAACCTGGGCTTTGTCAGAGTGTACGAGTGAGTTCATGCGCACTCACGAAGCTTCCTTGACTCTGCGCGTGCCATGAAGTTGCGCTGGCCTTTTAATAAGCCGCTTGCTCATTGTGCCCTTGCGCCGCTTCGCCTTCAAAGTGCCGATCATCGTGGACATCAACGCATGGAACTGCATCTGCCAGAGACAAAAGGGCCTTCGGTCCCAGGCGTGCCAGCATCATCAGACTTTCCGAGGCGCTTTGATTTGCGAATGGCTGTCGATCATGCCACTGGTCAGGTGCGAAGCACTCGAAATACGTGGGCTTTCAAGGAGTGGGAAGAGGAAGGAGATGCGTATGACAGCGATGAGGATATCCTAGACAGTCATGGAGATTTAGTGCAGCTCACAGGAGAAGGGAGGAGGACACGCAGTGAGCAAATGGCATTGTGGTGTATGGGCGGCTCGATCCTCTACTGATAGCATGTTTGCGCTTCTTCAGGGCGCACAGCTGTCACGGGCACGGTAACGAATGAGGTCCACGCGACGCCTCAAGCCAGAGCAGCACCAGCTGCCTCTAGCTCAAAGTACAATACTGCATCCAGCGGCATGACTCCCGAGTATCGAGCGCTGCTCAAAAAACGAAAGGAGGCGAGCAAGACCCAAGACAGGACGCAAATGCTTGACGAGACCGACACGGCTCGGAACAACATGCTGGCCGCGGGTGTGCAAGGCTTTGGCACACGCAATCCCGCTAACTTTGTGGTGAGGAATGTCATGATCAAGGCTCCCTTGACAACGTCGAAAGCTGATAAGGGAACCTTTCACTTGCGACGCAGACTGTCGCTGCAAAGCCGACATCGACGGACAAATTCGCTCGTCTGCCGCGCAACGAGCTGCTGGATATGCTCATGCAAGCGTTCGAAAAGTACAAGTACTGGTCCACAAAGGGATTGCGAGAGCACACGAAGCAGCCCGAGATCTACCTCAAGGAAGTCTTGTCTACCGTTGCCGACTTTCACAAGCGTGGACCTTACGCCAAGAATTGGTCTCTGAAGCCCGAGTATGCGAATGTCAGACCACAGACCACTGCTCAAGCGTCTTCGAGCACTGCTGCTGCCGCTGTTACATCTGGTGGATGGGGTCTTTCGCCGGGCGATTTGGCTGCTCAGACATCCCACAATAATGAGCCGGGTGGACTGAGCGGCGAAGAAGGCAACAATGATTCGGAGGACGACGGTGAAGACTTCGAGGACATCGTTTGAGAGAAAGCCGTGTCATCAAACGCAATGCCGACTACATGTCCTGTGAATCGACTCGTGAAGGGCTGCCAATTGCTGTGCGATGATGGTTGCTGTGTTGTTACAAGATGATTGGAATGCTCGGGATTGTCTGGGAAATGTCTGAATCGTCGTGAAGAATAGAAGCTCGTGGGAAGCGCCGAGCACATTAATTTATGACCAGCCTTGCCACGTCGTCGGCGAGCGTCTGCTCAGGTTCCGAGCCTGCGTCGGCTGCTCCACTAGCGACTGTATTAGACAGCGACTTTGCTTGAGCATCGAGCCAAGCAAAGCCTTGCGCGGTAGCGCCTAGCACGTCGTCAGCTTCGTCTTTCCAAGGTGCCGCAAGAGGAAGGTCGTCGTCGTCTGCTGCTGCATGGCCCACCGGCCACTCTTCGTAGCGAGCCTTTCCAGATCCAGTCGCTCCAACTGTGCTCGTCGTGGAATGCAGATGCCCAGACGCGGCAAGCTCAAACATGACTTGTCGTCTGCTCCGCACAGCGTTTGCTTGATGCTCTTTGAGCAAGTCGAGTGGGCCCGATTCGTCTGCCACGTCCACCTTGCGTTGCGACGAGGCTTTGCCGATCACGCGGAAGCGGAGCCTCTCATCGTCGATGGGTCTCAATTCATCAGCGATGGCAGCGAGCGAGGAAACATCAGCTCGTACGATGAGCTTTTGAAGAGCCGGTGCTGTGGAGGAACCGCTTCGTTGGCCTGGGTCATCTGGACTGACAGTCGCCGAAAGCAGGGCCATGACAACCCCACGCCCAATGATTGGGAACATGAAGCCCGTTGGGCCGAGCGGAGGTAGTTGTGGGTACGTGAGCACCAGATGAGTCAAGGACCTTGCGGTGAACAAGCCAGGCAGGCAGTCCTTGTGAAAGTGTGTGAGCTAATGGTGGCGCGGGACAGAAGTGAGCTTCCAGCGGGCTGTACGTGCGATTCAGCTGCCTCGCAATGTCACTCACGTGCAGCCTCCGCACCCCTTCATGTGTAGGAATCTCTCCCGGCCTGGGAACCGGGACCACATCACGCCTACATCCATGCATTCCCACAAACAGATGGGAGCCTTCTACATTAAGCAGAGTCATTTCCCTCGCCCGCCTGAGGGCGTACAGTCCCGGACTCCAGTCCCAACAGAAGCGCCTATCGATGCTCAGTGTCCGAACGTTGGGACACAATTGCAATATCCTGTCAGCTGTAGGCGATCCCATGGTCCCAAAGCAGCCAGACCTGGATGAAGCAGTGTAGTCATGAATAGCCATCCTGTATCGAGGATTGTTGGGAGCAGGGTCATCCTCGAAGAGACGAGCGATGGGTGCGGCCGGACAAGCATCCCCGAGGACGAGCAAAGCTACGATCAACCTGCCCAGATCAGGTCGAGAAGCCAAAGTCTGCCTGAGCATCCCAACGGATTCAGCTTCACGAAGCTCTGGAGCGCGATAGAGAATGGGTGTGTAGCGAAGTTGATGGAGCTTGCTCAGTTGACACAGCATAGCGCAAGTATCGCTCGATTGCTGAGCTGCTGCATCGAGTATGTCCAGCATCAGTTCCCAAGGTACTTTTGACCCTGCTCCTGGAATCAGATCAGGTGCATTGTCACCTTTGGCGCGCCTTCTGAGCGTGTGCAGACGTGACGGTGGCGAGTAAGAGGTTGTGCTACTCGAATGCGTGTGAGCATTGTCGATAGAGGCCGACGCCATATCAGTACCGTGCGGAGACGGCTCGCTGCTTCGCCATGATCCCAACAAGGACACGCCAGGTATCAGCGAGAGCATGACTCGCAGAGGATGTCGGCAATCAGGCAAGAAGATGCGCGTTGGAGATGCTCTTGACAGGCTCAGTGAAAGGTGGGCGGAGAAGGGTCGAGGTTCGCCCGTTCGCCGTAAAGCGGAAAAGGGAGCAGGGCCTTGCCTTGGCTCCTTTCCTGGGTGCTCCGACGTTCGCGTCTGATCAGCTGCTCAAGTCGCTACACTATACTTGGCGAGTCGGAGCATGGTCTGCGCGCAGTGTCGGCAATCAGAATGTGGATGCTGTAGCTGCTCAAAGCGAGCATCGATGAAGAGCCAAAGGTATCATCCAAGGTCAAATTGTGCGAACATACAAGCTCCCTCAATTGCTCCGCGTGCTCTGGGAGATCGCGCATGTCAGCCGGCCCGATCGAGCGGCTTTGCGCGGCGTCATGCATCATTGTTGCCTGGGCGCATCATCCATCTGCATGTGGAGTGGTGAATGCGCTTCTGCGTAGATGTGCGTGTGCAAGACCTCTTGTGTGCCCAGCAGGACGTGCGCAGTCTTTTCTCATCTCATCTCGAACTGCTTCTTTTCCCGGGCCGCTAGCATTCACGAGCAACATCAGTCGGCACGAGTCGCTTGCAACATCAGCGTCTGAGGTCTGTCACCATAGAAGAAAGCAAGCGCACAAAGGGCCCACATGCAGCTTCTCTATCGATCATGTTATTAATCGTTATTGCAACTACATCAACATCCTTGCCTTCTGGGTCATCTCAGACGTATCTTTCCTCCATGACGATGCCCTCCTTGGCCAGCTCCAGACGGATAGGGTCGCAAGTGTCGACCGTGTAGGGAGCGACGATCTTGCCTTTCTTCTGCACGCCTGGATTGCCCTCCAGCAGGAGCCTTGTGGCGATTGCGCACGGAACACCGACCAGCCTTGCCATGCTGGTGTGTCCAGCAGGGTGTCCATAGTCGAGCAAGGTGCTGGTGAGCGTCTTTGCTTCGCCAGAAGCAGTCTCGATTTCGAATCGGTGCTGCAGCATGACCATGTCGCGCTCGCCCTTTTCGTAAGCACACTTGACTTCCAAAGTAGCGCAGAGCGTGTCCAAAAGGTTCCCGTAGCCTGCTTTGTTCTGAGGTGCGGTACCTCGCACAGTGGCGGAAGCAGCGGCGTCGAACAAGCCCAGCCACCTGAATCCACTGATGACCCTAGTCCTATCCGCGTCGCTCTTCCACGAGCCGATCTTCTGGTCGATGGCCTTGAGCAGTGTCTCCGGCTTGCTGTCTGATGCTCCAGTCATGCGCTGCGTGACGTCAGCCCAAGACAGCTTGGCATCTGGCTTCAGCCATGAAGAGGCGTCGTCGGAGTCGTCCAAGAAGCCGAGCTTGACAAGAGCGAGCACAAACTCAGGGAAGCCTTGGTATCTCAGGGTACCGCGGATCACTGTCTTTGCTTCTGGAATGTTATAGGCCTCGCGGAAAGGCTTCGAATCTCTGTTTGGGTACGCGACAAAAGCAAATGCTGGGCTGATGTAGTAAGGCTGAGCGGATGCCATGAGGTCGACACCAGACACGGTCTTCGCCTCTCCGCCCTCGTACCAGTGTGCAGTGTTGCGAAGCGCCAGCAAGACTCCACGAGATGACCAAGAAAATTTGTAACCAAGAGGGTTGTCTGCTGCCTCGGGTGCAGGAAGGCCTCCACAGTAAGAGAGGAAAGATGTAACCTTTCCGCCCTCCTTGTGCACGTCATCGATGGCCTTCACCGCGTACAGATGGTCGATTCCTGGGTCGAGACCAATCTCGTTCATGACAGTAATGCCGGCCTTCTCGATCTCAGGAGCGAGCTCCTTGATGGCATCTGAGACGTAGCTGGTAGTGACGACGTCTGTTTTGTGCTGGCAAGCCGCCTTGATGACTGCTGCGTGGTACGTGTAAGGGATCAGAGAAATGACAACATCGTGTTGCGCAATCGCTTCGCCCAGGGCAGCCTCGTTGTTGACATCGACCGATACCGCATTGGTCCTTGCCAGACCCTCTGCGAGGCGCTGCGCGTTCTCAAGACGAGACGAGGCTGCAAATGCAGATTAGTGGGTCAGTGGCTGCGATCGAAGCTCAGCCCGTCCACACAGCACTCACCAACCGTGAGCGAGTACTCTGGGTATCGCAGAACGTATTCCGCGAATGGCCGAGCAACGTAGCCCGAACCCAGCAACAGGATCTTCTTGGCTGCACGCTTCGCGACGCCCTGGCCGTCACCAGTGGCAGCGACGGGAGGCGGTGCCTGTGCGCCGTCCTCAATGACGCGTCTGGCGAACTCTGGCGTAACAAAAGCAGCGCTGTGGACCTTCTCGTTATAGTAGTTGCAGCCCTCTACCTTCCTCAAAGGCGTCCTGACATCGCGTCCAGCCTCGAGAGAGCAGACCACAAAGCCGATCTGGCCGGCAGGATAGGTCGGAATGGTGGTGTATGCGTACTCTGCGACGGGGAAGAGCTCCTTGGTACTGGTGCGCAGCTCGCGGATGAGAGGCAAGTGCAGCCAAAGGCATTCAGCTTGGGTCGAGATGTGACCTCCAGGCTTGAGAGCTCCCTTGAGCAGCTTGAAGAATGGGGGCTGGAAAAGCGAAGCCGCGGGTCCGACTGGATCAGAAGAGTCGGTGATAATCACGTCGAAGGATGCGAGGTTCTCCTTCTCTTGCAGGAAAGCGAAGCCGTCTCCGATGTGAACCTTGACCTTGGGGTGGGTCAAGCTGGCAGCCATGTGGGGCAGGTAGGTCTTTGACACGCGGGGCACTGCCTGTATGCACCGACAGGAAAAGCTTTGGCTGATCAGATCTGCACCGACTGCTGCTCCTAATTTTACAGCTACCCACCTCATCGATGTCGCACAGGACCGCCTCTTGAACACTAGGATGCTTGACGACCTCGCGCAACACCCCTCCGTCTCCACCACCAATGACCAGAACGCGCTTCGGATCAGGGTGAGATGCAAGAGGAAGGTGGGCGATCATCTCCTGGTAGGAGAATTCGTCACGCTCGGTGCATTGAATGACACCATCAAGGACGAGGACGTTTCCCTGCACGCGGCGAGAAAACCCGGCATCAGCTACGAGCTTGGCGACAGCTGCAGATCCAATGTTCGGCTCACGTAAGTGGTGGACTGAAAGACGAGTACATCTTGAAACTTGGACTGTTCTGTGTGGAGAATGCGCTGCACCTGCAAGCTCATTGCTTGGCCAGGCCATTGTGGGTTGGCTACCAGGTGGAGGAGCAAGCAGCAGGAGAGAGCAAGGGCCAGGGCGGGAGCGGAAGCGTGGGCAAAGGCAAAGGCAAGATCGGCATAGTGTCAGCATACTGTGCGAGTCCGCGATTGACGTGCAGCGATTGCTCTATGCCAGGTTACGGGAACGCACTGTCTCCACTCCATGGTCGTCACCTCTAGCACTCACCCTCGTGGAACCAGCCATCGCGGATTTGTGGGTGAGTCAGGGTCGCCATCTTTGCTACCAGTATTCGTGACTGAGAACTTCTGAGAGCGACGCGAGAAAGGGGATGGTGGTGGAGGTTGAGTCTCCAGCCAAATCTCATACCCTTGTGAGCTCGTTATTCGGCCTCAGGTACATCACGTACGTATGACTCGAAGCAACCTTGGGTTCGAATCACGAGTGCTGCGCTGTATAGAACCGTCTCGAGAAGAAAGGTTGGGCGCGCGCGCGCGGGCTGTGGAGAATCGCACGCAAGAAAGATTTTGATTTTGAGCCGTCGTCCGTGCGCGCGGCGCATCAATTAAGGCATATATCGGTAACGGCCACGTGGGCAAGGCTGATCGGGACCTACTGGGCACGATGGTGGGAAATCGAAGATTCATCAATCACGGTCAGTCACTCGTCTGAACACCTCCTTCCCCCACAGTCGATTTTTCTGGTTCCAAGAGACCATGCTATTTTTCATACGCGCATCGAAGACGCTAGTCCACGTCTTCTCCAGCTCCAACATCAGAGTCACAGTCAAGAGTGCAGAGGTATGGTTGCAGAGGAAACAGCGCGCACTTTGACTGTTCATTCTGATTTTCGAATCGTGTCTCAAGATTCAAATTCTTGATCCACGTGATTGACGCTTTTGTGATCCTTGGGGTGGATGACTATGCAGTCACGTGTCAGTTCTCGAGCAGAGGTGAAAGTCAAAAGTCAGAAAAGGTCCAATTATAAGAGTCGAGTCGAGGTGGAGGTTGCAGCTCGGCGCCTCGGCGGGCACGCCTGCTGGTGCGTCGTCTCTTTCTGACCAAGCGCATCATGCCACAGCAACTCACGACTAGCTTCGATCAAACCATCCAAAGGCTCACTCGATTGGTATCTATTACATCAACATGAGCAAAGTTCCAGTTTGTTGATGTCAGGCGACGGGTGATCGGGGCTTCATCAAGCTCAGCTCAGCTCAGCTCAGCTCAGAGCTGTGGGCAAAGTGCGAAAGTCATGCGCGTGTACCATGATCGATGCTGCTACGACAAAAAAGAGTGGATCCACACTCGCGCACGTACACATCGCGCCGGTAGGTACGTCACTGCTGGTAGACGCGGTGCCGTTGGTCGAGACTGTTGGACCCTTTTTCCCTCCCTGCTGCTGCTGCTGCTGCTGCTGCTGCTGCTGCTGAAAAGCACAGACGACACGCCTGTCAAACAAGTGTGCGCTGACCTTTGTAGGTACAGTAAGAGCACCACTGCTATGTGATTCGGATCGTCAGCGCACCCAGCAGGCACCCAGTCGCGGGGCCGAGCGGCCGTCAGGATCCTTCCTTACCATCGATGATGTCGTGTGCGAGATCGTGACGCGCACGACCGAGGTCGGATGCACACCTCTTCCTCCGAAACACACGCTTCCATCTTCTTGTTGGGTGGTGTGGCGCTTGCTAAGCGCTCTGGTGGCACTCGCATTCGAGCGTTTGCTGTCGTCAATGGCAGCTCAGCTGGCTTACAGGTACTAGCAATGCCATCCTTATATAACAGCTCGCAGTCCGAATCCTCTTTGTATCCCCTCCGTCTCGTTTGGAAACCATTCTCGCGTCACTACTCTCACACTTGTGCCTCCTTGCGCAGAACAGCAGCTCTATCTCAGTCAGCCATCATGGACGCAATCAAACAAACAGCCGAGAGCGTCGGAGACGTCATTCACAACTCTACCTTTCAAGGCAATGGACAGCAGCCCAGCCAAGATGCGCTCCCAAGCAAGATGAAGGCCGGCATCATCGAAAAATTCAACTCTTCCGTCGCATTTCAAGAAGGGCGAGAAGTGCCGAGCGATTTGAAGGGGCACGATATCCTGGTGCAGATCAAAGCTGCGGGCATGTGTCACACCGACTTGCAAGTCCTGCAGGGCGTCTATGCCTCGCAAGGTTCGCACGAGGGCATGATTGGCTCTCACGAACCAGCAGGCATCGTGGTCGCGCTCGGTCCCGATGCGATGTCCGCGGGCAAGGTCAAGGTTGGAAGTCGCGTAGGCAGCATCAACACTTTTGGCTTTTGCGGCAAGTGCAAGGCTTGCAAAGCCAATGGACCTCAATTGTGCGAAAATGTCAAGGGTCTCTTGGGTCTCACCATCGATGGCGGATTTGCGCAGTACGCCAAGATGGACGCTAGAGTCGTCGGCTTGATCCCAGAGAGCATTCCCTTCGATCAGGCAGCGCCACTGTTCTGCGCAGGCGCTACCATCTACGGTGCTCTCAAGGCCGTCGGTATCGAGAAGGGCAAGTGGCTCGCCATCGTCGGTCTAGGCGGTCTTGGTCACCTGGGCGTTCAGTACGCCAAAGCGCTCGGCTTCAAAGTCGTCGCGCTGGACAATCGTCAAGAAGCGCTTGATCTGTTGAAAGAAGCGCCGGCCAATCTGCGTCCGGATCAGAGCTACCTGATGCACGACGATGAGAAGAAGAATGAGCAAATCATCCAGCAGCTCGGTTCAGGCTTCTACGACTCTGATCCTGGAGTGGACAAGGCCATCATTTGCGCGGAAGCGAGACATTTGCCTCGTGTGACGCAGCAATTCTTGAGAAAAGGCGGCATCATTTGCGATGTGGGACTACCTGCTGATGGGCCCCTAGAAGTCGACGCTTTCGCACTCAGCTTCAAAGAGCAGACGATCCGCGGACGATTGATCTGCACGCCCAAGGAAGCTCAAGATTTGGTGGATCTTCACGCACAAGAAGGTTGCAGGACCCACATTGAGAAGACATACCCCATCGAAGAGATCAAGGACGTGTACAAGCACTACGAGTCCAAAGACCTCAAGGGTCGCATCGTCGTGACGTTTGACTAGTCTTTCTGTACCACCGCAGCGGTGTCGTATGCCCATCCATAGGTCACTTGTTCATCCATACCTCGCAGTAACGAACGTTGAGTGCGGCATTTGGCGCGCTAGTCGAACTAATCGTGTGGGCTAATGAAGCGATTTGCTCGCTGATTGCGTGACTGAGGCTTTGTCATTCCAAAGCTATGCCCGCTGTGGCTTGAAGCCTAGTAAAAGAGGGTCCTTCGCATCCGCACCAATACCTATAGCATCCGAGACCGTGAGAAGAACCGGTGGCTGGGGATCGCCGTGTTCAATCTTTGACGATGAGGTTGCAGCTAAGCGTAAGTTACGCAGGTGGGAATGAGCATGCGGCACGTCGATGCAATTGTCCGGGCTGCTAGAATCACAAATGCCAGTCGGAGTGGGGCAAGCATGATGAGCAGTGTGGTGAACGTGTGCAGTCACGAGTGCGCGTCGACGTTCGGAGGCTTGCTGTGCCTGGCTATTCTGATTGTCATTCGTGATCGTCGTGATTGCTGCATCTGCACTCACCACTCATACTACTTGTGACTTGCATTTGCATCTGCATCTGCGTTTGCACAGCTAGCCTGCTGACTCTAGACGCATCAAAGCGCCACGCCGAAATCCCGAACGCATAAAGGACCGCCCCAGACAGCAGCAGCCTTAGCGTCAAAACTAGTTGCTATGTAGGTGCCTCCTGCTGCTGCATCGACTTTCCAAGCAAGAGGTACATGGACCCCCTCGACAGCCTAAAGACATCGAGCAGACGACCTTCTGTTCCCAGACGATCATCTACTCGTGACACACACACACTCTCTCTCTGCTTCCTTACAGCCGACCTCTCAGTTGTACCTCGATCTCACATCCAATCCAACCAACAAAGACGCATCCGAATTCGTGCATCAACACCACAAAAAGATGCGTGCGGTCTCTGTGGCTCTGCTGACGAGTCTCGCAGCGCTGCTGAGCACTCAAGTCGTCGAAGTTCGCTGCCTGGACATGGTCATCGACAACGATTTCAGTTGTGAGCGCTGCATGGTGGGCCCAGTCTGTCGCTCGTCGTACGCACGTCCCTCATCAGATCGCTGACCACAGCAGCTCTCGCGTTGCGCTGCTGCCACAGCGAACAGCGTCACGCCCCTCTTTCCAGCTTTAGCGAATGCAAATGTCAGCCTGCTGGCCGTCACGTCGGTCACTGGCAACACGTGGAATGCGCAATCCGTAGGGCATCTCCGACGCTATCTGCAAGCAGTCGGCACAGCCAACAATTCCGACTCGCAGCGCGCTGCCCAGGTCAAGGCAGTCTCGGGCGCGAATCGAGCGCTGGTCCGGACGCCAGACAGCTACGAGGCTGATGCGGCCCTCACGGGGCGATTGCGCTTCGCTGGAGCTTATCGACCTTTCAACGCTACAGCAGAAGCGGAGGGAGCAGATCCGTCCGGCGACTTGCAAAACAATGCGCGAGTCACACTTCAAGGGCAAGAGGTACGTAGGCCGCCGCCTATTGTGCTGGCGTCCAAGGGCGCTCTCATGCGCCCTCGTCACACGATGCTCACGCATCACCTACCTCTTGCCTGACAGAGACCCGGACCTCTCTCTGGAGCGCTGCAGGAGTCTGCCAATCTCTACGCTCCCAACTTTCTCGTCGAGAAGTCGAGGGAAGCACGAGCAAAGAATGCGACTTTTAGCATAGCCGCCATCGGCCCATTGACCAATCTGGCTCTGGCGCAAGCTCAAGATCCAGAATTTCCCAAAGGCGTGGAGCTGTGGTATCAAGGCGGCTACCTAGGCACAGGCCTCGAAGCTGTTCTCTCCGTCATCAACAGCGATTACTACGTGGACCTCAACACCGCCATCGACCCAGAGGCGGCCAAAGCAGTGCTGAGAGCTCCATACGCCCGAATCGTCTGCGTGGCCGACTTCACCAGCAAGATCATCGCCTCCAACGACACCTTGTCCCGCGCTGCCGCACTGTCGGACTCTGCAAGCGATGATCAGCGATACCTCGCCCGTCAAATTTCCGATCCTGTCGAAGTTGGCCTGCCTGCGTGGGACGACATTGGCGTCGCTCTGCCCATCTATCCTGAACTCATCACCAAGAGCATCAAAGTGCGTCTGGATGTGGATGCCAGAGCAGGTGGACCGGCGTATGGCAAAGCTTTTGCGTGGCTGGACGATCTGTAAGTGGTTACGAAACGATGGGAAACCTCACAACCGAGCTCACCAGCGACTGACACTTCATCCCATGTCGCTGCAGAGCACCTTCTGGTCTGCAGGAGGTCGAGTTTCCTTTGTCCATCAATGAGACTCGCTTCTTTGAAATCTACGTTTCAGCTGCGCAGGCGTTCATCAATCCCAAGTAGAGAAGCTGATGAGACTGTACCCCTGCCTTGAAACCCCGAGGCAGTCCACTCAGACTTGTGCACCTTTCAAATTCGGTTCTGCTTGTCTGCCATCCATGCTTCTAAAAGGTCACGCGCCATCATGCTCGCCCATGCATACTACTCGGCTCGCTCTCAATGCACTGAATGACTTGACCATCACATTTGTTGAAGTTTCACCTTTGCCTGGCTTGTTACACTTTAGCGTCCTCCATGAGTAGCCCCAGCGCTCGCCTGGAATGCGCCAGACTTTCCATCGTTGGTGGAGGAAAAGCCGTCCTTGGCGGAGGCGGCTTGCAGGTCGCCCTTTTGAAGGATCTGCAAGACGACGTCGGTATCGTTGTGCGTACCGAAAAAGTTGTCCAACTGCGTGCGAGAGATGGGAGAAAAGAAGGGAAAAGCGGTGAGCCATGGACAGTGAATGAGCCTTTTTGTTGGAGGGTATGCGCACGTCTTGCTTGCTAGGCTTGCCCATGATTCCTTGAGCGCCTTGTCCAGTGTGGAAAATTTGGAATGCTGTGTCGCAAAGGAGACCGGGCTGATCAGCTGTGTGAAAGCAAAGTGACTTGTGCACAGAGCGCAAGACTCACAGTCTACGACATCGGCAAGAGGAATGGTGCTGCATAAAGATGAGACGGGGGCAGGCATCAGCTCTGCCGTCTTGGGTGGAACAAGATCAGAATGCAAGCAGCTTTCATGGGGCGCTCACGTGTCTGTGAAGATGGACATGTGAGGAAACTGATAAGCAAGAGGGTAAGCGCTTACGACTGGCCAGCCTCTGCTCACCTCCAGCTTTCCACTTCTTGTACTGCAGGAACATGGAAAGGACGAAGGGGCAACATGGGCGTCAGCACAGAGCACGAGCACGAGCACGCCCACACCCTGCTCGCCAGCAGACAGGCGTTTGCGCAACCTTCTGAGCCCTCCGCGTAGCTCACCTCTTCGCCATTGACGATGACCTGGAAGAGGTCGTTGGCGTTATGCTCGGGGTGGTAGACGACCTTGTGGAAAGACTTGGGCATTTTGTCTTGTAGTATGAGAGGCTTGCTGTTGGGTTTGATCGTTTGAGTACGACGTTGATTTGACCTCTCAAAAGGATCTTGCTGCTCTCTTGTGTTGATGCTGAGTGGATCGAGAAATTCGGCAATGAATGGTGGTCGTGTTGGTGAACGCTGTACGTGTACTTCACCCCTCCTCGAGAGCGTCTATGCTGCTGCGTTATAAGATCTCCTTTGCTGCTGTAGGTGTGAACTGGCCGCCGCCGAGCGCATGCGGCAGAGGCGCGCCGCGGTGATCCTCGCTCAACACCTCATCACGCGACTGCGCGTTGGAGTCCGTGCGCGCTTGCGTGGGGCCGCCGCTGATGTGCACCAAGTGAGAGGGCCGCATGACGTCAAACGTGATTCACCAGCCACAGCTGCTGCACAGCCCATGCCCATGCATATATACAGTATAGCGCCCGAAGCTTCTCGGCGCTTGCGACCACGCACGCGTGCACGCATCCATCAAGGCACGAGTCGTGCGTGAGTCATGATCCACAAAAGTCACGAGTCTTGGGCACAACACAGCCCACACACACCTTCAGAATGGCTCGTGACTCGTCCCATCGCCTCTTGGAGAATCGTGCACCACGAAGTCCATCACCGACGGGAATAGATCGCTCCTCGCTTCATTGAGGTGATGCCCATTCACGTCTATGAATCGCGATTGGATGACTCGGAAGGCGTGATCCATGGAACGATACTGTAGGTGCACCCATCGTCATGCGCCGAGTCAGATCGCCGGGTGCATCGACTCGTAACTGCGCTCACTATTTCATGACACGGAACAGTACGCGGAGGCGCGTACCTTGAACCCAAATTTGGCCCGTGCCACGGCCAGTCATGGTAAACCGAAGCGAATTGCGCAGCTTTGCGAAATTATGAGCATTGACACGCGTCGAAGGGTGATGAGGGTGACGATACGAATGCTGAAAATTGCTTGGGTGGAGGCGGGAAACAGGGAGGTCTTGAGAGTCGCGCCTACGACCCGAGAGGACCAACGAGTGCTTTCGAAGGTGCGAAGTGCCCCTAACGAGCTTGACTGGCCTGAAGGAGGAGTAGAGCGCCTACGCGGCACGGTTCAATACACAACGTTGTGCTTTACTCATCTTTTTCTGCGCTTGCTAGGCTTTTCTTCGCCTTGATGGCGCTTGTGCTGGACTTCGCGTTCTTCCAACAGTGCCAGGGTAGGCAGGTCTGGGATGACGCCCTTGAACTTCAAATGATCGGCAATATCCCAAGCACCGGCCTGGACGGCCTCGTGGAGCTCGCGTGAGCTAGCTACACTTGCATCCTGGGGCCACTTTTCGCTCAGCACCATTTGTTGAGCTTCATCGAAGCCGAAGCTCATCGCGTCCTCGGGATCTGGTGCAGTCTTGCGGGACTTTGGAGCTTCGCATGCCTTTCGAAAGTGCTCTGCTAGCCGCTCTAGAGATTCTGGTATCGGCACCCTGATCTCTAGCACACCGTCGTGCTCCTCGCCTACGTGCTTCGGAATAACGCCTTCGCTCCACAGTGTGCTGGGTCGGTACTCTCTGAGGAAATCAGTCTTGCTAGACACGATCTTGATGGTAAACATTGACACTTCTTGGCGAGCGACTGATTGCAGATAGTGAAGTGTTGTATCAATGGCGATTTGGAACTCGCCAAAGTCGTCGAAGGACATCCTCCCAGTCTCTTGAGCATCTTTGAGAGCGAACCAGCAAGCTATGATTTTAAAAGCTTTATGCATGCGAACCACCCATTCAAGTCGGGGCCTCTTCTCCAATATTTTCAGGCCCTGCAGCCACTTGCCAGAGAGGCACGTCGCTCTCGGTAGGCTCAGCCCAAACTTCTTGCCAGGAGGTGCACAGACGTTTGCCAGCAGTAGGCGCATCAAGGGTGCATTCTTTGAGAAGCACGCTCGCGAAAGGCCATAGTCGCTAGGCGAGTTGAGGTGTACGTGGATGGTCAGCAGGCGAAGTAGGAATCGCAGAGACTTGAAAGGCAGGGGTAGCTCGTTACCGACTCCAAAAGGATAGAGCACATTGCAAAAGAACTGTCGCTCCTTTTCCGGGTCGGGTTCGCTGCCCTCGAAAGGTTTCGATGGGGATGATCTGAACAGATGCTTAGGCAATCGATGGAGACGCAAATATATGCTCTTCTTGACCGCGGCGTGTCCCTTCGTACCAGTCCTTCTAGCGCTGCGCTGAAGCCGTATCCGCTCTTGCAGGGACGCAAGAACTCCTTCATCGCAAGCGGAGCAAGCCACGCTAAAATCGATGAGCGACGCAAAGCGAGGATCGAGGCGTCGAGGAGGATCCCCGCAGCTCAGGACCATGTCGTACATCCCATCTGACGTTTCGTACGCCCCATTCCCCACCCTAGAGTGGGATGTTGAGGAGGAGTCGCTTGAATCGGAGCTGCAAGGCTCGCAAAGACGTGAAAGCCAGAAGTCGGTCTGGAAGAGATGCACCGTCGGAGCAGAGCGGTAGTGCCCGGGCATCGTCTTGGGCACAAGAGCTCCAGCCCAGCGCTCTGTGTCCTGCTCATCGAGCCACGGATCGAGGAAGATTGCGGCGTATCTCCTCAGGAGAAATCCTGCCTTGACATCACTCGGCGCGGATGCAAAGGTGTGACGCAGAGCGCACGACGTCTGTGGAAGCTGAGGCGATTCACTAAGCTCGAATATTTGCCACAGAATCTGATGCAGACACACAGTGTGAAGGTCATCGAAGCATCAGCGTCTCCGTTGCTGAGCGGATGTTGTCAAGGCGGAGATTTGAGCTGCTCACCTCTATGGGCAAATCTGTGAGGTTGATGGAAGGCGCAACAGGCTCCTCGGTGGTCTGCTTGGAGCTCTTCGATGATCTGCTGGCTTCGCGCAGCGAGTCTTCGGAGCGATGGCGATGCTTGCGCTTCTTGCTGTGGTGGCGAGTGGAGACAGGCGACTTGTTGTCCATGATTTTGCGAACGCCCCCTTTCGGCCTGTCTCTCCTTGCTGCTCGTCGATGCAATCCACCGAGTGAGCCCATCCACACTTGTCCTATCTGGTAATGAGACTCTACCACTTCACCATCTGACTCTATAAGCCAAGTCTATGTTGGAAGGAGGAATGAATAAGTAGCATCGACTCCTCTCATACTCAAGACTGTAGCTCGCTCCAGCGACTGATTGGCAGGCTTTGCAGCTGCTGACTCTGGTCGCGGTGCTGATTTTGATTGTGACTGTGACTCGTGACTGCAACACATATCCAGCATAAGCATTAGCGGCCGCAACACCGCGCGCCACCAAAATTCGCAATTTTTTTGGTTTTGGCCCGCCGTGGGAGGGGCACATATAGATGCTTGCGTGTGCGCAACGTCAACTCCGCGGAAGTCCGCAGCTTGGATCAATCACGAATTAAGCTGCAGCTGGGTCCAGAGGCCACGCATGCATGCAGCAGCAGCTAGCTGCACTCACACTCACGAACACTCACCACTCACCACTCACACAGAAGAGACTCCCTCCAACGGCGACGAATCGTGACATTGACAGCCACGAGTGCGACTACTAGCAGGCGTATGCACGATCTTCACAGCTCCTGTGGGTCGAAGTGAGATTTGTGAAAGCTGGACCGTGCTCCGCAAGGTTTGAGCCAAGCGTCTATACACCTGCACACCTGCAATCACGAATGTCGCGTCAAGCCTTGATACGCTCCTTCTACGCCAAGCTGGACGAGGGCCTGCAAGGAGGAGAGTTGGAACAAGCGGAGAGACGAACAACGTCGCTTATTGCAGCCTTGGAAGCTGACAGCGGTGCCCGAGCAGCGCGTCACCAAGCCGGCACCGGTCTCATTTCTCTGAGCGCACGCTTAACATGCGAATCGTGAGTCGAGACTTCGGAGGACCTGTCAAGGCTGACTCGCTGACTGTATGCTGCCTTTGCCTCCCGAAGGCTGTCCCTCTCCGTAGATCCGACAGCCTTTGAGAAGGCGTCCGGATTGCGACCTGCGGTGTTCAAAAGCTGTCTCTCGGAGCTGCGACCACTAGTGAAGAAGATCTTGAGCGCCTCAACCGCCTCACCTCGTTCGTCGGGCAGAGTGGGCAATGTCTCTGCTCAGAGCTCGCTGGTGAATGCGTCAGGTCAACTGGGTGATCGGAGTCCGGAAGCTCTCAAGGCCAGAGCAGCAGCGATCCAAAGCGGTGCAGCTTTCGGCAGAGGATCCTCCCTCGACCAATCAAGCGCTCCTTCCACGCCATCTAAGAGAAGCGCTGCTCTTGCGTCATCACCTTCCGCTCGAGTCGCTCAGGCCAAATCTGCAACTCCGCCCAAGTCGTCCAAGGGACATCCGATCGTGCAACCCGAAGCGTCTGGCTCTGCATCAAAAGCTTCACCAAATAGCGATCAGGACAGTCCAAGATCGGTCCGCTTTGAAGAGGCGCTGTCAGGCCCGAGCATCAACGACGAGCCAGACACGCCCTCTCATCGACGCGGCTCAAGCGCAGTGCAAGCGCATCCTGCCTCTTCACAGCCTCACACGCCTTCCAGAGGATCGAGACTCAGGAACATCCTGCCGGTCGAGGTGGATGATGACGAAGCAGAGAGCGAGCCAGATCATGCGGTCGAGCGTTTCGTCCTGCCTGGCCAGACACGAAAGCGCAGGCGAGCTGCGCCCGAGACTCGCAGACAAGATGACCGTGCCGAGGCACCCCGAACGGCTCCCAGCTCATTCCTCGGTGATGACGACGAGAAGATACCTATTCGTTTGAGACATGAGCAATCACAGCTCGAGGAATGGTTGGAGAAGAACGCTGGATGGCTGGGCGCAATAGGAGATGAGGACGAGGGCGAAGGTGGGCATTGGGATGAGGGAGGGTGGGGTCGTTTGCACACGAAAAAAGCAAGATGACGCAAGGTTTGCAGCGAAATCAGGGATCGCACGTCTTGCGGCCACTGCGCGCGTTCAGTGCTCACACACCCCCAATCAGCGTCGCAAAGTTCGCACAAGCTGTACCGTACCCGTATGAACAAGTCAATGTAAAGAGTATGGATGCGGTGTTAGCGCGAGAGAAAGAGTGTGTCCTGATTAGTACGTCGACGGTGGTCTCAAAGAATGTCTGCGTGTCTGAATTAAGGATGAAGCCAAGGATGAAGACCTGCTCAGGCAACTTTCAGTGGTGGCGGATGCGCTGGAAGGACTGTGTAAAACGATGGATGGAGGCGAGCGGGGAGACTTTGAAGTTGAGACTGATCGGTAGCGAGGCTCCGAACCAAACGGGTCGCAAGAACGGCTGCAAGTTACAGCGGGAGTGGCCGCCTGATCATCGGGCTGACAAGCGAAAAGGCTAGACGATGGACTGTTCAGTTGCTCGCGCAGGTGCTGTTCGGCAACCGGTGAAAGATGGCGCCAGCGCTTCGGCGTATCCAGGATGGAGTTCGAGTGCATGTCCCCTACAGTCACAATCTTTTGCTCGGCGAGAGGACGAAAGCGTGCTTGAGACTCTATCAAGAAGACCCCTAGCCCGTGCGTGTCGGTGGGAGGTTTGAAGGCTATGCAATGAGCAAGAGACGAGGCAGATGTCAGCGGAGTTGCGAGCTGGTTTGGAACAGCGAGGGTGCATTTTCTCACAAGCGAGCAAGCTATTGCTGAAGGGTGTGCAAGCCCAGGCCAATTTTGAGCGTGCAACCTCCTCAACAATCGCGTGACAAGAGGTATGCCAGTCGCTAGACAGGGCAGACAACCACTGGCGCGCTTTCTCGAAAGGCGTAGGGGCCGCACCGGGGCAATCATCAGCATCTGGTCGCAGAGTGCATGAAGTGGGCGGGCGCGTCGGACCTTCGCTTGTGGTTTTGCATGGGGGGGACGATTGGAAGACGTCGTGGATGGAGGGGGCGGTGTCAATGGTCAGGTCCCCTTCAAAGGTTTCGGTAAGATCGGTCAAGCCGGTCGATGTCGAGGACATCCGTCTGAGAGACCACAGAGGCGATGCGCTCACGCTGAACGAGGAGGGTGTGGAGTTGAGAGACGAGACAGATGTTGAGAACATCGGCGAGGCGAGCAGATTACCGTTCATCGCGGACGTGGAATCATCTGCGACTTCTCCGCGATCCTGTACTGCATTCGTGCATGATGGGAAACAAGAGAGCTCCGAGCGGGGTCCTGCCTTTGCCAGTTCGCGTCCATCCTCTGGTGCCGGGTCAGTCTCAGCATAGCACTCGCCGTCAATCGAGAAGCAGTATGACTCACCGTTCTCGGAAGGTTTCTCCCAAGGTTTGGTACCACGGCTCACCCCTTGCATCGAGCTGTCATCGGTGACAGAGGCTCCTTTGCGCCCACCGCTGGCTTTGCTCTTCTTGCATTCTTCTTGCAGACTGCTTGATTGTGAGATCCAATCACCTCGATTCACGCCGTGGCAGCGCGAAGGGGGGCAGGGCGAGTCCGTCATAGCACGTCCTGCATGGGCTTCGTCAGCAATGCTATCAAGACTGCTTGCGATCGAGATTGTGCTGTCAGCCCTTTGCCGGGGATCGTCAGGCTGCAAGACGTCTTCCGGCGGAGCAGACAGCAGAATATCTGGTGCGCACATGTACAATTTGGAGGTGTCGATCTTTTTTGTATGACCTAGCTGGGTCATTGACTTGGACGTCACGAGCATCCGAGATCTCGGCGGCCACTGAAAGCCCGAAGACGCGCTTGACAGACTTGTATCTTCTTCCCTGGGGATGCGCTTGATAAGGCTCTTCATCGTCGCTCTGCGCGCCAAGACTCGAAATCACAGACTGCCGCCTGTTCCCATCCTCGACTTCCTCGTCTGACGAAGCCATCAAATCTTCGATGAGGCGCTGTTCATCTTCGGCCTCCGTGCCTGCAAGGCTAGCACTGTAGACCGTCGACTCATAAGTAAGGACCGTAATGGCGCTGTCGCACCGTCCAGCTCGCCTTGCAAGCCCCCAATTCTCTGGAGTGATCCGAGATTGGACTTTGCAACTTGCTCGTCGGCGTAATGGTGTCTTCAGTGCAGGCGAATCGAGGAAGTCTTCGCATAAGGCGACAAGATCCAGAGTCGCCTCTCCCGCTCTTCTTCTCGTGTCCCGGCCAGGCGTGGGTACCGAAGCTCTGCGAGGCGTGGCAGAAAGCAATCTTTCACGGCGCGCGCACGGTTCGCTGAGAGGTCTATTCGTGACGTAGTCAGAGGTCGCCTGCTGCGAAGTTCGCGTGATGCTGGTGCGGCGACTAGCTGCTGTAGTGTTCGAAGTCGAAGATGACGCAGGTGCAGGTCTGATCGTGAATGTCGACTCGGCCGCCGACACTGGAGGAGCGGGAAGAGGCTCTTTAGGTGGGATTCGGAGGCAGGGCCAAGGTCTTTTCGTGCTTCCAAATTCTGCGTTTGCAGCTTGCTCGGCATTTTCATGTTGATGGGAAGGCAGACTACGCAGCGCAGCGTCGGCGAACAGAATCGAAGACGACACAGTCTGCACGCTGACCATCGTGTCATTTGTACCACCGACTGGTGCTAGAGCGACGGTCAGAGAGCGATCCCGGTCATCGTATGAGCTGACCGTGCTAGCCCTACTTCTGTGACTGCGAGGAGGAATGGGCAGAGAAGAAGAAGCAAAGAAGTTTTCCGCGTTCGTAGATCTGCCGCTAGAGAGCGGTGGTGTCACAATTAAGGGGGTGGAAACGGCCTGAGAAAGCGCTGAGCTCTTTGGCGATGTCGTGGGGCTAAGACCAGCCGATTGAGGCAAACGTAGAGGTCTTAGCCAAGGCCGATCTTCGCTTTTCCGCTTACTGTTCCTGCTTTGGTCCCCGCGGTCACGCGTCCCTTGCGGTTCTACGGCCTGTTCGACGGTCGGACGGGTATGAGACATTGTCGCCCAGAGTTGGAGATCTGGAAGCGCAGGTCGCATCCTTGGGGCTGGCTTGAACGGCAACTCCGTTCTGATGGGCTGATAAGGTCGGACTGCAGCAGTTCTGATCAGTCACGGTCATGACGAATGCTAAGTGTCCGTCAAGGTACTCACGTAAGTCGACGCTGTGAGAGCCCCGCCCGGTGAGATGAGGGAGGTCATCAAATAAGGAGGATCTTCGCAAAATGTCATCGCTCCTTCGGAGATACGGTATTGAGCTAGCTACGTCTATCGTCTCTCCTGTGAGTGCGACGGGTTCATCGATGGAAGGACCGTCTTTGCTAATGGTGCCAAGGTCTTTGCCTCTCCGAATCATGCTCCACCACGAAGGCTTCACGATGGCGGCTTTATCATTGGTCCAAGCGGACGTCGATCGCAGTTTCCACATTTCGGCATGTCGGTCGAGAGGGGGCTGAAAATCTGCAACGTCTATCCAAGAATCACGAATAGATCTTCTAACAGATCCGCGTGCGTCGAACCGCTGGGCGGCGTTACGTTGGGCGACACGGGTGGTCGAAAGCAAACGAAGTCGGCGCGGTGCGCTGCGGCCTCGGGCGGGAGATCTGGCGGAAGAAGCTCCGAGCTTACGTGAAGCACTCGAAGGAACTCTCAGGCGCTGAGTGGAACTCTTGCGAGATCTTGTAGAAACCTTGCGAGACCTTGACGAGTTCTTGGAGGTGGTAACAGAGACGCGATCTTGCGAAGAAGCGGAGGCTCGCTTGTCCTGGGGCCAAAGCATACCCGAGCGTGTGGGAACAGAAGCTATGGTCTCCAAATCTTGACCGAATTTACTACGCCCGAAAGGCCACCTAAGACTGCTCGTCTGAGCGTGACCGTCATCGGAAAGCTCTGGCCTATTGCCTTTTGCTTGAAGAAGGTCGAATTGGCCATCTTCCCTTGCGCACAGCTCTCCGTTCTGCGTGAACAGCGCGAGTGGTGCTCTTCTGGCCGCGACGAAGAGAGGAAAAGAATCAGCTCTGGGAGCTGGTCACAACACCACCACCCTCAAACTCACGACAGCTTCGTGCGAATGCCCGTGAAGGTCGAAGTCAGTCGCGAGCCGCGAGCATTTGAGGCGTCATCTAGAGGAGTCGTCGGTCTCAGCATAGGGAACTTTGTTTGCAACGCAGCATGCGGTGTCAGCGCGACCACGTCATCGTTCGCTTTACCGGTCCGGGGAGCTCGTTTGTGACTCGCAGCACTGGCTTTCCGTGTCCTTGCAAATCTTCGGAGCAGCTTGCCTCGTGCGGTCGAGTCAGGGCTAGCGCTGAACTTGCTTCGCGCCTGCACGTAATTGGAAGCGTGCGAACCTGCGCTTTCAGCCTCTTGCATCCATTCGGGTGGAGGTGCCCATGGTATCGAGGGCAACGCTTTGGTTTCGGTAGCGGTGGACCGCTGACTTTGAGCATGCGCTCGCCAAGAGCTGCTCGACAGGTCAGCTTGTGATCTCACAGCTTCGTCGCGATCTTCCTCGATCGAAGTCAGGCGCAGCGAGCTTTGTCTTGGCGTGACAATGGGAGCGCCGCTGATGAAACATGAAGGCGGTGTAGGAGGAAGCGGTCTTGCCGACAAGTTGTCCATCGATGGCCGACCGGTTCCAGGAAAGCCTCCGGGCATTTGCTGCATGTCGAGCGATGGGCGCTCGCGGCTCCTGCTTTGAGCTGGAGACTCCATCGACTGCCGATCCGAAGACCTGCTGATCGAGAGAGAGCGCTCGACTGCGCTGGATATGGTGGGATCAGCGCTGTGACATATCTTGACAGAATGCTCTTTGCGAGAGTCTAGCGAAACGTGCCCCCAGTGCGCGCTTATGCGCGAAGGACTTAGTGGTCGGGTGCTTCTTGCTGTGAGCAGGGTCAGACGAGATGCTGTGGTGATGTGCGCGCCGGGACACGACGAGGAGGAATGCGAGGAAGTCGTTGCGTTGGAATGGCTGGAGAGCGGCCTCATAAATGCACATAGATCAAGAAGTGACTGTGTGGGGAGCAATTATGCTGAGAGGATATGCTGAGAGGAAGAAGAGAAACTGCAAGCTTACTGGTGGAGAAGTTGGCAAATGCTGTAAGCCAGAGGCGAGGGAACGCGAGCTGTTGACGTCGAAAAGAGGTCGGGAGAGAAGTGAGGCTGGTGAGAGTGCGCAGAGATGAGGCAAAGACTGACTGTAGGTAGAGGAGATCAAGCTTAGCCTTGGTCTCTTGGTTACTGGTGTATAATTGCCGACATGCTCAACGATGAAGACTCGTGTAGCACAAGCGCCCCCATCGCGTCTGCCTGTGGTCGATCGTGTTGTTCTCTACACTATAGCTCCCAAGTGTTGGTCCCATGAGTCTCGGTACAATTTGTTATGCCATCAATCCTCTATAGATTGGCTGCGCAGATGTCGCCGAGGTGAGGACTTATTCCGCGCAATATAGATGCATTCGAGCAGTCAAAAGTCGTGGCTGCAGTCGCATGCTTAGTACGTGCTGGTTTGGGATCGACCTTCGCGGCGTCTCTTGGCCGATCTTCGCGTGCGAAGAAGGTCTAGACAGAACGAGCTTGACTGGTGCTGCTGAGCCTTTACAATCGCTCAGCGCTCGAAGCGGGACAGCGTTACGTTCGACGCGCCCTTTACTCTCGACTCAAGACAGCTTGCAACCTCTTGATAGCTCCTGAAATGAGGCCCTCACGCTGTCGTGACACACTCATCAGAGTATGAGGTGTGATCTTTGCGAGTCTGAATCGCGAGTCAAGTATGATCTGAGGGATGATGCCGCGTGATCTGTACTTGATGTGGTCACAGAATGTTTGAATGTGTCGCGATGAGGCTCCCCGGTCCAGTAGCTGCGCAAAATGATGGTGGTTTATGCAAGCGTGAGCGCAGCCAAAAGAGTTGCTTCCCGGCTCAAAGTGGATGGATTGATGGGGTGCTGCATGTCTCGTTGCGTGTGCGCACTCACCCGTGCACCGACTCGCTCCCAATCACGAATGACTTGCACCGCTGTCTGCTCGAAATGACTTTGCTCGAGAGAGGTGTGATCCCCTCTGCCAATCTGTGATGGTCGAAGACTTACGACTGTGCCGAGCGTGCTGTCATACATGATGTACGGATGGCGCTGATTCCGCCACATACTCTGAATTACACGCCATCCCTTCTATATGCTGCGCGTGTCCGCTTCATTGCGAGTCGCAGCAGCCATCGACGACGATCTTTGGTGATGGTGTGCACGGGCGCCCTCCCTGTATGCTCGGCACTTCAGGAGGACGGGTCTTCAGTCTAAGTAGTAGAAGTTCCTGTAGTAGCGCTCAGGCCCTTTCATGTGCGCGTACACGTATCTATATGTACGCAAATCTCTCTGCCAGCCCGATTCAGCTCGACTACCCACCACGTAAGGAATCCATCTTCCCTTCACAACAGACTGCTGCAAGGCCCAGCCGACGCACACATTCACGCTGTCAGCCTCAGCATTGCATGCCGGTGCTGTCGAAGAATATGAGATACTCCACAATTTGAAGCTTGACCAGGCGGCGTGCGGAAAAGTGCTGCAGCCCAGAAGAGCAGCGGGAGGAAGAGGAGAGTTGTGGTGACCGAGGCCGTCAAGAGTCGTGAGTCTGATGATGAGTGTGAGCTTGACGGTCGGTTCATCCGATCACTCGTGGCTTCCTTCTATAACTATAGCAAACACTCGCCCTGCTGCTGATTGACGCGAAGGCCAACACCTCCCGCGAGTTTGGCCGCTGCACGCGCGCAGATGCGAAGGTGGGTCGCTCGCTTGTTTGCGTCTCACGGTCGCCTCGCTATACAGCAGCAGCGCACGCGGAGAATAGCGCGCGGAGAATAGCGCACGGAGAGAATCACTACTGATGAATATATGCCGCCCTACTTCCCTTCGGTCTTAAGACGAAGGTGTGCTTGACGGTGCAAGTTAAGATGCCTTGCAGCAGCACTCACAGTTCTGCTGATGATTGTGCAGCTTAACAGCGAACAAGCCACATCAGCCAGCAGCAGCAGCACAGACCATGCACAGCACTTGCGCGAGACTGGAGGCGGTTCTCGGGGCCGTTCAGCAGACCTCGCATCGTATATAAGAGAGGGGCCAGCGAGCAATCGCAACACATCCTTCCTTGTCACACCTCCTTCCACACATTTCGGCACACCTCGCCGCACAACAACGCATCACGATCAACACATAGCGCACACAAATCAATCCACGTAACCATGTCCGCCAAAGTAGCAGTTCTGGTCTACAGCCTGTACGGCCACCAGGTCACCCTGTCCAAGCAGGTCGAGGCAGGTCTCAAGGCCGCCGGCGTCGAGTACACGACTTTCCAGGTATGTTGCTCCAGACTTGTCAAGCCGGTACATCTTGTCACATTTCCTCACTCGGTCCACGCACCCCTCCGCGTCCAATCGTGCAGATCGAAGAGATCCTTTCCGAAGAAGTCCTCACCAAGATGCACGCAAACAAGGTGCGAGCGTGATCAATGCTCAGGCTTAGCAGCACTTGATCAAACTGACGCATGACCTTGCTGACCTCCGCTGCGTCAGAGTCTGACTTCGGATTTGCCCAAGATTGACCCTGAAACCCTGACCCAATTCGATGGCTTCGTCATCTGCACCGGTAGTGAGTACATGTGCACAGGAGTGCTCGTCATCGCTTGCATGGCTTTGCTCATCCGCCACTTTTTTCCACACGCCTCTCCCAAGCTCGTTATGGGTGAGTGGTGATCGAAGCGAGCTGCGATCTCATGCGTGTCTTGCTGAATATTTTGAGCAACCGCTACATGATCGTCCTTCAGACGCGTCCCCGCTAGCGTCAGCGCTTTCTTCGACAAGACCGGCGGGCTGTGGGCGTCGGGCCGTTTGGTCGGAAAGCTGGCCACCTTGGTCACATCGACCGCCAGCCAGCATGGCGGTGCTGAAAGTGAGTTCCCCTCAGAAGAGATTCGTACATGCGCTCCAGTCGTGGAGAGTATAGGAACAGGTGCTCATTCTGTGATCGTCTTGCATTTGCTGCTCGCACCTGCAGCCACCGCCTTGACCACTGTGCCATTTTTTGCGCACCACGGCATCATCTTTGTGCCTCTGGGCTTCACTACACCCGAACTCGGCAAGGTGGATGAAATCATTGGCGGCAGCGCGTACGGTGCTGCCACCATTGCTGGTGCCGATGGCAGTCTGTGAGTCTTTCGAGGCCTTGCTCACCCACTAACGCTACTTTGCTTATGCCCTACGCCTGCACCATGCCCATCCAGTCAACCCAACGAGGCCGACCTGAAGGTTGCCCACCATCACGGGTCGCACTTTGGCAAGACTGTCGCTCAGTTCGTCGCTGGACGTAAGTAAGCCCGTGTGTGGCACCCGATCATCAAGGTGTGCGCAGCAAGTTTGAAAGCGTAGCCCATAAAGGTGGTCTGACAAAGCGAATGGCATCAACGATGGATGTTGGAGGGTGTGTCACTCTGCATTCGTGCAACTGAATGCTGCCGGCTTTTTACTCAATCGCGATGTCTGCTCGCCCGTTTTACTTGCTGCTGGCTGTGGCATTCGTGATTGTGGTGGCGCTGGACGGCGCGCGTGGAAGGCAAACGTCATCAGCTAGTCTGACGAGAGAGTCTTGAGTGCATGGTCTCGGTACGGTGATTCACTCACACTGTACAACACGCACGTGATGGGTCTTTCAGCGTCGGAATGCGGGTCTCAATTCGGCAGGCCTTGTTTTGGGGAGGGGGCGCGGGAGAGTCCCGCTCGAGTCGAGCGTCGCGTGCGTGCTGCGTGCGCCCATGCAGCCCTCCCATGCACATCGTGATCGATCGAGGCGCCGCGAGGCGGGGTGCGTGAACGCACTCGCGAGTCGCGACTGATGCTGCAGCAGCATATGCAAGCAGCAGAAGAACATCACTCGCGTGCCTTTGCGCGGGTTCTGACCGCTGTTCTCTGATGGCGGCACAGCTGCTAGCAACCTAGCTGTCTCCCACACAACAACCTTCAATTTGGCGCTCGAATCTGAATCGTGGATGAGGCCCCGCATTTCTTCAAAAGTTGGGAGCCATTGCGAGCCTCAACCACACCGCGTCAGCTCACGACCATCTGTGCAAGGAGCTTGGCCACAGCGCATCAGAGGCGAGTCAGACGAAGACGAAGTCGCGTTCAGCAGATCGACCTCATTTAGACTCGCCCAGCACTCGTGATCGTGAGGCTACTCCCATCCAAGCTCCTTACCATCGGCACTCGCATGTCCCGCACGCGATGCCGTCGCTGACACGATAGCAAGCCCAAGAGCACGCAAACTAAACGAGCGCATTACAACGATGCACCCTCGCCTGATTCGATTGGCCTATTCAAGATGTAGGAGGCGAACGCGCGGCCTGGGCAAGGCTTTCGGCTCGAGTGGAGCTTTTGCTCTGCTGCATAGCGCTGGTGGTGCCAAAGCTACCCAGACATCCCCCGTGCAGTCTCCAAGCAAGACAATGAAGGTGGAGGTGGAGTCCAAGACGCAAGTGACACGCGCTGCTGAAGCCATCGACGAGATGGCTTTGCCGCTCTACACGCTAGCTTCGCCGTCCCAGGGAACTGCCGACTTTTTGAAGTGGTGGTACGCTACACGACTAGGCGGTTCGTTTGCCGGCTCAGAAGAAGCCGACGGAAGCGCATCGCAGAATTTGGAGAGTACGCAAATCCAGCGAACATTGTCTGATCAAGCTTTGCTGAACGGCAGCGAAACCAGCCGGCACAAGACTCATGCCAAGGCTCCTGCATCGGCAACACCGCAAGACGATTCGAACACACGCGCTGGCCCTTCAACGGCTGGTGCTACGCACAAAGACATGAAGCTCAAGGAGACAGAGCCGCCAGCGAAGCCAACCGAGAATCACATCAACGAACTCATGAGCTTGGGATCATTGTACGAGCCAATCCGAAGGCCGCGCCATCCGATCGTCTTGTTGCATGGCCTGGGTGGCTTCGACAAACGAGGATTGTTTCTCGGCCTCGAGATTCACTACTGGGCGACAGTGCTTGATATCCTGCGCAAGAAGATTGGAGCAGACGTCATCGTAAAGGCGGTACCGGGAGCTGGATCGATCAAGGATAGGGCAAACACGCTGCATCAGTTTCTGTGCACGCCCGAAGCTGGCGTGCTCGGCAAAAAGGTGAATCTGGTGGCGCACAGCATGGGTGGTCTGGATGCTAGACACCTCATCACCAACATCAAGCCCACCGAATACGAGCCCATCAGCTTGACCACGCTCAGCACGCCCCACCGGGGTAGCCCATTCATGGATTGGTGCAATGCCAATGTTGGAGTCGGCAACGATGCGATCGAGGAGGCGGTGCAGCAGGCTCGTCAGAGCGGTGCGTTAGCCGACTCATCACACCTACCAAAGGTGCCGTACACTCTCAAAACGCCCATCTTTGTGAAGCCCAAGAAGACCAAAGGAAAGGAGGGAGCAAAGAGCGAGGCGGAGAAAGAGTCGAATGCCCTCGACTCACGAAGATCTGGGGGCGATCAGAGCAATGTCGAGCTGGATCCCAGCTTTAAAGAAAAGGTTGACGAGAAGCTCTGTGAGGCTGTGGAGACTGTCAAAGCAACTACACAGAGCGCCGGGATTGGCGACACTGCAGACTCAGACTCTGCAAAGACGAAGGCAAAAACAAAGGGCAAGCCTAATGAAGGAAAGCCGGGCGGTATCAGCTTGCCCTTCAGTATGAGTACGTTCACAAATGCTCTATCAATGCTGGGGGGCAGCTTCTCGTCGTACATGCTCTCTGTGCTTGATCAGCCGGCCTACGCGATGCTTAGCACCAAGTACATGACGGAAGTGTTCAACCCTTCCACCCCAGACTCGCCACGCGTCCAGTACTACTCTGTCGCAGCACGTACGCGCAGCATACAACCTTGGCATCCACTCTGGCTGCCCAAGCTGATCCTTGATGCAGCGGCCGAAAGTCGTACGGGCGGTGCAGAGACGGACGGCAGTGGTGATGCATTAGGAGGCAAGCTGCAAGGCAATGATGGATTGGTTAGCGTCCAGAGTGCAAGATGGGGTCACTTTCTGGGTGTCATTGACGGTTGCGATCACTGGGATCTTCGTGGTGGAGGTGGTCCTAGATGGGGCGCTGGAGAGAAGATCAACTACGCTACTGGCAAGCCTTGGGAGGGAAGCACATCAGGGTCAGAACGTCTGGATGACGCGCCTAGAAAGGCTGCGAAAGCAGAGGCTGCAAAGACCGAGGGTTCCAGCTGGATCGATATCAATCGGCTGCTTGATGTCTTCACCAAGAGCAAGAAAGAGCCGGATGACAACGCCCTAGTAGATACAAAGGCAAGAGACACCGCGACAGCCAGCAAAGCAGAGGACAGGGAGGCCGCAGACAGCGTTGGAGATTCTAAGCCTACGTCGGAAGGGCCCAGCTCCTTTCTAGAGCACTACGCCGCCATAGCTGCGCCTGACGATGCAGGAATGCTAGATACTGCCCGGCCTTGGCATTCGAGCGAGCTTGCAAGCATGTCGAGAGATGCTGCAGGTGCCGGTGACTCGGGCATTGTATCAGAAGTAGCGGAATGGATCTCCGAGCGCCTTCCACAGCGGGACGAGCGTAGACGAGCGCAGGCGGAGAGGGCGGCAGATGCTCAAGATGCTCTGGCCGAAGCAAGCCGAGTGACTAGCCAAGCCGCTTTTGCCTACCTTGCCGGCAGCAATGGAGAAGATCATGACCCTGGTCATACCGAGCCAGCACGCTTGACGCTGGCGAGCACCCCAACGTGGAGCGAAATACGTTCTGCTCCGCCCGAAGCTGTGCTCATTGGACAGCCGCCGCCAATTCCTAGTCCCAGATCGCTAGGAGGCTCACCAATAATGGAGTCCAGTGGTGCGAGCGCCAGCCCCCGACTGAAGCGTGATGCGCAGTGGGAAGCTTCCCTGGATCAAAATGCTGCTTCGCGCGAGCTGCGTCGAGAATTGGCCTGGCATCGGGCAGAAAGGGCTAGAAGATTTGCCATTCAATACCCATTGTCGGGAGATGCAGCCCTGACGGATGCTGCTGCCTCGATGAGCAGCTTCCCCGCTACGTCTGCAGTACCCAACCGTCGCGCGCCCGTCGCTGGCGACAGTGCGGATCTGGACTGGGACGCGCAGGCAAAGCGCAGACCGAGCAAGGAAGCCTCGAAGAAGGAGTCTGAGAAGGAGAAACGTAGACAGAGCGATCAGCTTGAGCGATTCTGGCTCGCTGTATGTTTGCACCTGTACCAACAAGGACACTGAACTGTTTCAGATCATGATGCCCCCACCATCTTTATCTGCGTCATCACGCTCGCATCTCTACTCTCTTGCCGCATTTCTGCACTTGCAAAGCTTTGCGCACTACATTTACGCATCGAGACAAGATAATAGTAATAATATGCTGGTACAGAACGTCGTCGTCATAGTCAGAGATTGGCTACGCTTGAACCCTGCGCACCATCAGCGGCGCTTGTTCGCTGTCGACGGTCCAGTCCCAAGGCCTGGTGACCAGCCAACGTTTCGGCGTGACAGGTCGACGTCCTTTCTCAAAATGCAGCGTGCTAGTCAGGATGGACAGGAGCGCCTTCATCTCGGATACTGCAAAGCGATTGCCTGAAGAAGCAGAATGGATCATGAGCGAAAGGTTAGATTGCGCCGCTTCCAACTCCGCATGTTCGCCAAACTCACCTATGCAGGCGCGCGGACCCATCATAAACGCGACTCCACCAGTGCGAGACCACCGCTTGGCTCCTTCCATTGCCCAAGAGCCATCGCTTCTTCTCGCCTCGATCCAGCGCTCAGGCCTGAACTTGTCCGCGTCCTCTCCCCACAATTCAGGATCTCTGCCGATCGCGGTAAGCGGGATGATCAGCATCAACCCCTTCTCCACTCGCACGCCTGAGCGCGGCACATTGGGCGAAGCTAGAGGATCCACCGGAATGACGTCGTCCTCGCTAGCAACACGCGAAGACGTGTGGACTGTCAAGAGGGACATACACTTGAGCTGCAGGATCACCACGATCCGGCCTACTTCTGCTAGAGCGACTCACCTGCTGGCTGCAACCGCAAGACCTCTCGAACGACGGCGTCCAGGTACGGCAGTGTTTCCAGCTCGTCTACAGTCAGCTCCCTCTCAAGGTCTCCATACGCATCGGTATGCGTATCTATGTCCTCTGTTGCTAGCCAAGAGCCAGCAACAGGGCTGAGACCGAGTTCTGTACGTTTAGCCCGAAGCTCCTCGCGCATCTTTTCTTGGCAGGCGGAATTTTCTGCCAAATAAAGCAGGGTCCAAGTGAGCTGGGTGGAGGTGGTTTCAAAGCCTGCAAGCATGAACGTCGATACTTGGGCGACGACTTCTTCATCTGCGAGCGTGGCCTTTTGCAAGGACATTGGCGATTCTGGAACGCTTGACCAGCGAGAGAAGGGCGAGCGAGGCGAAACTGGTGAAGGACTGTGCGACCCCTGCCTTTTCTCTCCCGTTGCCCCTGAGTCATCCGCTGCCCGAGCTTGCAGAAACGCTTCGGGAATGTGACTTTCACTTGCATCGCGAGCGGCCTGTCTGGATAAGGCATTCGCTCGCATCATGCTTGCAAGCAAGTCTGCCCTTTCACCTCGATACGTTGCAGCCGATGAGCCAGCTCCGCCGTCCACGCGCAACAACTTGTCGGCATCTGCGCTCGCAGCATCCAAATCTGCCTTGGCATCTTCGACAACTTTCTCGGCTTGCTCTCGAAGGTGCTTTTGCGCCCTGCCAAAGGTGCGGCTCTGTGTGCCAATGGGGATCCATACCAGGGTAGGAAAGAACATGATGGCAATGTCCAGCAACATGCGCCACTGCGAGTTGCTGGATGCTAGCTGCAGCGCTTGGTCATATGCACGAACGAGCGGGTTGGAGCTGGCAGACTTCTCCCTCTCGTTGTCCAGCCAAGTGGGCTCCTTCTCGAAGCCTGGTCGTATGAGCTCAGTATCTTCCAGGCACTCCAGACGAAGCCCAAAAGCGGCATGCCCTAGCACGTCCAGTGTAGCTCGAGAGCTTGCTCTTAGCATGTCGATGAGGACACCTTGATCAGACGCAGTCCCCGCGCGTTTGGTTCTGGCAGTCCGCAGCTCCTTGTCCACATGTTGCAGCAACTTGTGGCGGAGGCGCCGAGCATAGAAGCTGCGGGGAGAGGTTTTTCAAGGCGGACAAGATGAGTCCTCGAAGTGACTACCAGGTCGCAGCGCCCTTGCTAGCTGCACTCACATGAATACCGGACCCAGTCGCTTGATGGACGCAGGCGACATTCCAGCTTCGATGGCCCTACGTTGTCTCTTGTGCACATCTCCTTCGCTCACTAGCAGACCCGCACCCATAAGGCTTGTCAGAACCCTAGCCGTATCCACGCCCTTGGGATACGCGTAAGGACGCGAGACCAGAATGTGCCTGAGAGCTACGTGATCCGTCACCACCAAGCGCTTTTCCTGTGCGAAATGTTGCATCGGAGCAGATCAGTCTGCGCAGGCAAGCATGTGGTCGGGCGAGCCGCGGAGCCCGACGAGATGGTACCAGGACAGCTGTCACTCACTCCCATGAACGCCGACATCTTCGTCATGCCTCCATACTTTTGGCTCCATTTGAGGAACAAGTCGCAGAGATCCTCGTCCTGCGTCGATGGGCGAAGCACGTCGGTCAGCAGGCAAGGCGGGCGAGCAAATTTCAGCCCTTCGCGCCACGACTCACTGCGAAGTCGGCCCAATTGCCGAGGAAGAAGGAAGGATTGTCAGGTCCTGGCACGCCTGGAAGCCATCTCCGCCATCTGAGATATCGCCAGCCGACGCTATAGACGACATAGACGCAGAGGATTACAGTCGTCAAGGCGGACGCTTGTAAGAGGCCGAGTAACGCCTCGAGCGCGACTCGCTGGCTGATCATCTTGCTCGAGGATGACGAGGCTTGAATGAGGGGTGGAAACTTCGCATCGCTTACATGAAGCGAGATTTATGCCTACTTAAGCATCTTGCGAGGGAGTCGCTGTCCAGTATCGGAGCAAGGATGGTCGACTGCTTGTTCATGATCACTGAGAAATTGGGACGCTCGAGCCTAATCGCAGCACTTTGCGGAGACTTGGGCGCTCCATGTCTGCGCACCAGCAGCTTGAACAAAGCCCGTGCCACCACCACATTTAGAGCTTTGATTGTCGGAGTCGGACACGCCAATCCATGACAAGAAGCTTGCAGGTGCAGGAACCGCCGGGCTTGATCTGCAGGACATCCTACCTGTAGCCTTCGCGCTCTTGAACCCCCATCGTCTTGCATATCCATCCTGCTTTGCACGGAAGACGGCTGGGGGATCATTCATGCTGGTCGTTGTGGGCCGTCAGAGCCCGCATCGAGCCTCCATACACGTTGTGAAGCGCTTCTGTTTCACCTGGGAAAGTGATGGTGTCCGGCCGCTCTTCACTGCGCGCATCAGAGGCTAGAGTGTAGGTGCATTCCTTTGTGCTGGCCCCTGCACGCGTGTAGATGCAGGTGTCAACCGCATGATTTGGGCACGAAGGTCCTTGTGAGGCACTTTGCATCCCTGTGCGATGCTCTCTCACCGCCCCTCCCACAGTGAAGTCATGCTGCGACGATTTTGCTGTCTCTGCTTTGACGTGATGGCGCGTGGCCCTTCAAGAGAAGTCCATGCTCTCCAAGACATGTCGTTCTCGAGAGCCTGCGCATGAGGTGAATGCGGTCGTCACTGCTGCTGGGACGGCCCCTCGCGCGTCTATGCTGGCCAAAATTGGCACAGCCTACAGGGACACGTGACTGGCACATTCACCTTGACTCCGCGATCGATGCATGCATGACGTTTGCGCGGCTCAGCGAGTCAAGAGTCTTGAGTGGAGTCGTGAGTCTGAACCCGGCAGGCAGCAGCTGCTGCATCCTAGCTGCTGCCATGGACGTCTCGGCGGCTCTCCACACCTGCTGCTGGCTCGTATCCAAGCTAGTCCGTTCATTTCATGGATCGACAGCCTGCTGGTCGCACCGGCTTGGCGCTCATCAGAGCTTTCAACCTACGCCGCTGCGGCGTTTTGTACCGCGAGTCAAGACTTGCAAGCGTGACGCTCTCCTTCGAGGCGATTTCTTGATCACCGCGTGCCGAGTCGGGTGAATTTGAGTCAGAAGAGCCTCGTCAGAGCTCCGCCTACTCTACCTTGGCCCCCTGCGACAACATCATCCTCACCGGCCCCAACACACCAGTCCCATGCTGAGCATCGCGCGTACGCATTGCAGGCGCCAAGCAAGACACCTCAAGGCTTCTCGAATGCTCCCTCAGTCCTGGCAAGCAGCATTTGGAGGAACGAGAGCTGCTGAACAAGCAGCTGCGCACACGCAGCAAGTCTCGAGCCAAGAGGCTTCCGACGATGGACTAGCAGTGGAGCAGAGAGAAGCTAGGGAGGCGAGCGCCGAATTACCTTCGCAGCATGATGCCATGCACTCTCTCAGCAGTCGTGGCGCCGCGGGGGCGGCGGGACAGTCGGCGTCAATGAGTGCGCCGCGAGAAATTGTCGATCTTGACGATACCCGGCAGAGGGCCTCCTTTGAGCTCGCAACCTATCGAGCATCGCACGATGGCGTCTCTCAAGCCACGCAGAATCTGGTCCACACAACGCACGACGGGCCAATCTATCGAAGCACTGATCCTTCTGGTCCATTGCGCTCCAAGGTGCAGACGGCCAAGCGACGAAGTTCGAGCCCCGTCTCGGCACGTCGGTCATCTGAAAGTGTGCCGAGAAATCGTGAGGGGCCGTTGGAGCGGAGGAGTCCAGAGGATCAATCCGGGACCAATGAGCTGCGTCAAGCTCTAGCAGAGGCCAAGATGGACCCCTTGCCCTCTGTCATTTCTGCTCCTGCGCAAGCGCACATTGCTCCCGACAAGAGTCCGCAAAGCCGAGCGCAAACCACTTTACAGGCAAGCGGTCGCGCGGTGGCAGCTCAAGCCGAGCGGCCAGGACCAGCAGGGAACGGTCGGACAAGCATGCCTCACGTTCCGCCGAGCTGGCTCGGTGCCTTGGGCTTCGTGGCGTCCAGCAGCGCAGACAGCTCGAGCGAGAGGACGCATAGACGGCAAACATCTCAAGCATCTGCAGGGTCCATGGAAGGTAACGATAGAGTCGAAAAGCGAGCGTCCCCGGCCGCGAAAGCAGGAACATCAGCTCCATCCCTCCTTCGTTCCCTCTCTTCTCACAGCAGTCGAGGCTACGCTGCTCCAACTCTGGGACTGAACAGGCATGGCCTCGTTACCACGAGCGTTGGCTCTCCTGGTACTTCCACGAGCGCTGTAGGGCCGTCAAACGCTTCACCCGAGATACCATCTGCCGCTCACACGGCCATATCTGCCAGACAATTCGGAAGCTTGGCCCGCAGTGGCTCACCAGCCCACGATGAATCGAGAGGTGCATGGAGCGGAGAGGCAGCAGTCAGGCGATTCTCAGCAAACGCAAATCAAACATACCTGGACGACGTGGAAGACGTGCCCTCCTTCTGGGACTTTGAGTTGAGCAGTGATGCTGATCACACAGCCGGCGTAAATCCTCAGCAGGCATCGACAACGCATGGCAAGGAGCAGACAGGATTTGTTGGCGCCATGTCGAGGTTACGAACCGCTATGGGCTTGCAACCTCCGGGCACCAATGATTGGTGGACCTCACATCGAGTCACCCTGGAAAATGCGCTGGCAAAGGCGTCGGAAGCAGCTCAATCCACGTCCTCCGGGATGATGACGGCGGCAAAGAAAGGAGAGGAGGAGACTGCAAAGACCGGCAAAGCTGCACGGGACACGTACGACTCTGATGCGGTGGAGATCACGCCGCTGCGAGAGCAAAAGACTTGGGAGATACCCAAACATCCCATCGTGCTAGCACATGGCTTGTTCGGTTTCTCTTCGTTGGCTTTGGGACCCGTCACCATCAACTATTGGCGAGGCATCTCGGAAATGCTGCAGAAGAGAGGCACCGAATTCATCGTGGCTCGTGTACCAGCAAGCGCGACGATTGAAGAGAGGGCAGAAGCGTTGAGGGACATCATAGAGAAGGAGTTTCCCAATCGCGACATTTCACTCATTGGACATAGCATGGGAGGACTGGATTGTCGATACTTGATCTCGAGGTTGGAGAACAAGTCGTTTCGAGTGAGATCTCTGACTACCATTGCTACGCCACATCGAGGCTCTAGCTTTGCAGACTTCATAATACAGCAAGTGATTGGCGAAGAGAATATGCCGCGAGCACTCGCCCTCGTCAAGGCTCTTTCCATTCCTGGAGGTGGAGGAGCTTTCAAACAGCTGCAGCTAGGTCCCATGCAGAAATTCAACGAAGCGGTGAGCGGGCTACGTGGTTCGGCGAAGCGTCCCAGCTATACATGTTCACGCCCCTTATTGCGAGATGGCTCACAGACACCCAACGTGGACGGCGTCAAATGTAAGCTCTTCTTATGGCAATGACCGAGCGTCGTGGTCTCTGAATTTTGTGCAATGTTCTTTCTCGACCGTCTGCTAGATTTCTCTTACGGAGCAGCCTTCCAGCCTGGCATGTTTAGCGAATGGCGCGTGCCCTTTGGGATAATCTACGAGCAAGAGGGAGCCAATGATGGCCTGGTCAGCGTCAAGAGCTCCAAGTGGGGCGAATACGCAGGCACGCTCGGGGCCAACCACTTGGAACTCATTGGTTAGTTCGCTCGGATTGCTCACATCTGGCTAATTCAATGGCCCTGAAATTCTCCTCTGTTATGCTATCCAGGCTGGGTCAACGCCGTCAAGTCGCAGTGGCAGCGCATGACTGGTGGAGAAGAACCTTTTGACCCAAACAGGTCAGTCTCGCAGCAGATCCTCATTTCGCGCAATGACCTGCTCGTCTTGCTGGGTGCAGCATCGCTAGTCCGAGCCAACGAATTCTGAAGCTCTGTTCTGCTTTCCTTCAACGCATACAGGCTCTATCTACAAATCTGCGACGACCTCGCTCGGGAAGGCTTCTGATCCATTTAGGGCGCATGTGACCACCGCCGCTCGTCGGACGAAGCAGATGTCACACAAAGGCATGCCTGAAGTCCCCTAGAGCTGAAGCAGAGCATCCAGCCAGACAGATGTCTCGAAGCCGGGGCAGTCCAACATTCTTCGTCACATTCGGCCACTCGTGGGATGAACGCCCTCCTGTGCGCGCTCTGCTACCCAACGTTTGTCGAGTGAGTCGAGCCAGATGTCTTCCCATGTATACGTTGCATCTGACGCCGACCCAGACGCTGCACCGCCAGAGCTGGCTTTGTCCGCCTGCCTGAAGTCGTCATCTTCATCCAGGCATTTGACGACTATGGATCTTTTCTCGGAGATTGAGCCTGTTGGGGCCGCAATTGGCTCTGTTCGGGTATCCTGCAATAGTTTGACAAGATGCAAAAAGATCCCTCGAGCCGCTGGAATGTGTAGACTCTCGGGATAGCCCTTGTATAGCTCTTGCACAATTGTTCGTGCTGTCCACGCGTCGTCTGTGGACTCCGGGGCAGATTTCGGACGCAAAAGCAACTCGAGCACTTGGGATTCGCGTTCTAGCCTGTGAGAGATGTATTCCCTGATGCTGGCTTTTCCCTGAACGAGGATAGGGCCATGAGAGGGGTAGAGCCTGTTCTCCGGCGTGCTTGCTTGCGCCTGATTCGAAGCCTCTTCGAGACGCTCAAAGCTCTTCCCGTACGCCTCACGAGGGGTCGAGCTTCTTTCGAGAGCGTCCGACATGCGCTTCAAGCTTTGCAAGTAGACGCGCAAGTCTTCAAATACGCTCGTGCCTTGTCCCAAAACATTGTCACCAGTGTAAAGCGAAGCTTCTTGAGCCAAGAACAAGCAAATGTGATCACCCGTATGACCCGGAGTGTGCAAGATTTGCAAAGTCGTCATATCGCCAGACGTCTCATCAAGCGCGAGATGCTGCGGAAGCGCCGGGACGCCAGCATTGCGCTTCGATTGCGGCTGTTCGGTGGTGTTAGACCCGGTGGAGGAGAAGCTGATTCCGTTATTGGCAAGTTGGAAAGAGTCACCATCTTCGATCCAGTGCACATCTTCTCCACCCTCCGACTTTGCGAAGAGCGTAAAGCTGCAATCTTCGAGCAGCCGAGCCACCTCGTCCACCTCGCCAGCTGCGGCTTTGACTTTGTCTCGCAGCTTGTGTATCCGAGGAGGCTTGCTCTCATGCTCTCGTCGAATATCGGCAAGCAGCTCGAGTACACTCGGCAGACCGCCCACGTGGTCTACGTGCCGATGAGTAAGAATTCTAGGCAGGAGGGCGGCAAACGATGTGTTGAGGTGAAAGGGACACGATGACCTTGATTCGAGCCGGCAACGCCACCGGTCGAGGAACTCACATGTCAGTGATGGTGAAGCGAGGATAAGGATCAGAACTTGAGCTCGCGACCGAGCTCGTTTGATGAGTGCCGCTCCAAACGTGTTCATCTCGACCAAGCAAGACACCTCTCAGCGTGTCGATGTATGCGCTCTTTCCCTCCGCTGCATCGATGAGGACGCAAGGCAGCGCATCCACATTTCGTCTATCGGCATGATCGACGGCTGATGGCACAGGCGCATGAACGAGGTAGGTGTTCGTGCCTTCGGATAGATGTAGAGCGGGCAGCAGATCTCGCGATCAGCCTCCTCATACGCGAGCTTCTTGTCAGAGCTTGAAGAGCTCGTTATTGCAAAACCTGGGCTGCTCACCTTGCAGTGTGAACTTGCCTGGATTGGAACCGAGAACGCGCACGACCCTCGAGGAGAGCCGAGTGACTTGCTCCAAATGCACCAACGCTTCTGACATGACCAAACGCTCATCAGACTGCTGCTCTAGAGTGTGAGTAGAATCGCAAGCAGTCAATGCGTGGATGACAGTTCCGCCGTTGCACAATTTTGAACCTTGAATGTGAAGATGTCGAGCACGACCTTTGTTTGGGCAACACCGTCGAATGCTCGGATCACGAGAAGAGCCGGTACCCGTGCTGCTGTGATGACAGTCACGTGACATTGATTTTCCCCGCTTTTGCTCTCGGCCCAATTCTCTGTGGGGTTGCCGATGCCCGGGCGGCGGGCAAGCATCAGGCATCAGCGGCAGCTGCCACGCAGAAAGCTATGGCGCTGTGGGCTGCTGCGACCGTCACTGAGACTGTGCGGTGCGACTGGATGACACACAGGTGCTCCCGCCCGACTTGAATGTGAATGAGTGCTGCGATCCCTCTGGCAATTCACCTTAAGTGGCCTGCTTGTCATCCCCACCATCATTTGCCCAACTTCGCAGCGCGCTTCGTGCTCACTTCATGCGCAACACACTGCTGATAGGCTCGACTTGAAAGACGGTCCTCGCGCGCGCACACCCACCCTCCTGGAACCATGGTTCGACCTGCCGCGCCTTCTACGCGCAATGCGATCTGTGAGTAGCTCGACTGTATCCCGAACGCATCCAGACATCACTTCCAACGAATCAAACGATCACACTTCGGCACTCGTCGACCTCATATGCGCGCAAACGGGCGGCAGCTTGCTTGACCTGTCTGGGTTAAGCTGGCAGTGTGTCGTGTGCCAGCCGCAGGCGCCTAGGAAGGCCTCTACTTACACAGCTTTTGTCAATTTGGCACGTGTCGCCTGACTTGCCTGCCCACTCCTCCCATTCTTGCAGTCAACCTCATGCGGCAAGCACATGGGGCGGGCTGCCCGTGCCACGGATGCTCGAGCATGCGAGGAGAGACGACTTCAGCTTTGCGAGCAGGATTGGGCATGATCAACACTCACAACACGCTCTCCTCAACTCGGCGGTCCTATGCCTCTCCCGTTCCTCTGGCTGCTCAAAAGGAGTACGCCTTCGAGCTTGCGGCCAGCAACATTCGATTTGGAGAAGGAGTGACGCAGGAGTTGGGCCAGGACTTCAAGAACATGAAGGCGAGAAAGGTGGGCGTATTCACGGATAGCACAGTCAGGCACTTGACCCCTATGAAGCAATCCATCGAAGCGCTGGAGCGTGAAGGTGTCAAGTACGAGATCTTTGACCGAGTACGCGTGGAGCCCAACGACAAGAGCTGGGCGGACGCCATCTCTTTTGCTCGAGCCAACGACTTTTCTCACTTTTTGGCAGTGGGCGGGGGAAGCGCAATGGACACTGCCAAAGTGGCCAACTTGTTCACTTGCTATCCTGAAGCGGATATTTTGGAGTTCGTGAATGCGCCTATAGGTAGGGGCACGCCGGTGGACAAGGTCTTGAGACCCCTGCTTGCTGTTCCTACCACAGCGGGTACAGGCTCAGAGACGACAGGCACGGCCATCTTTGATCACACAGAGACGTCAGCCAAGACGGGCATCGCCTCGCGTGCCATGCGACCTCTGCTCGGAATCGTCGATCCGTACAACACCGAGACGTGCCCGACGGCTGTTCATGTCAGTGCAGGTCTTGACGTGCTCTTCCACGCCCTCGAGAGCTACACTGCTATCCCCTACACCGAAAGAGCAAGACCAGCGGGTCCTCTGCAAAGGCCAGCTTACCAGGGCCGGAATCCCATCTCGGACGTCTTTTCGCTCTGGGCCTTGAAGCAGACTGTCAAGTACCTCCCTCGCGTGGCCAAAGACCGGACAGATGTAGAGGCTCGCGGACAGATGCTTCTAGCTGCTACATTTGCAGGCATCGGCTTTGGAAATGCGGGTGTGCATCTCTGTCATGGAATCTCGTACCCCATCTCGGGGCTCAACAAGACCCTGGCCAATTACTATCATCCCGGCTATGCGTCTGATCATCCCATCATTCCTCATGGTCTTTCCGTCTGCTTGACTGGTCCAGCAGTCTTTGAGTTCACAGCCGCATCAGCGCCCGAAAGGCACAGAGAAATTGCGGAAATCTTTGCTACGGAGGAAGACGCTGGACAGGATTCGATCGCTAGGCTGGCCGACGACCAGATCGGACAGGTTGTCTACGACCGTATTGCTCGATTCCTCACCAAGACTCTCGGCATGCCTAGAGGTCTTGCTGCTGTCGGATACAAGTCGGAACATGGTGAGTCAGCGCTCTACTGAGCAAACAGGCTAAAGTACGTCGCTGACAGCAGCCCACTTACACCACGCCATCTTCAGTGTCCGCCCTCGTCAAAGGGTCCATTCCTCAGCGTCGTGTTCTCGACTTGGCACCTGGCATTGGCGACGTGACTGGTGGCTCGGATGGCCAGGCGCAGCTCACTCAAATCATCGAGCGCAGTCTTAGCTACTGATGATGCCACCAGGCACTGCCTGACTCTTGGATCTTTGACAGGATTGCCGCCAAGGACGTGCAAGGCGTAAGCCTAGTGAGGTGTAGTAATTTATTATTATACAAGTTGCAGACATGCTACCATTGCTATCCTGCGTCTGCGTCTGCATCTCGAGAACGCAAAGGAGGGTCCGAGGAGAGTTACGAGTGTACATGGCAGAGGTCCGCGACTATGAGCGATGAGGCGGATTGCTGAACGCGTAATGATTACGACTGGAACTCCAATCCGCAGGAACGGGATAACTTTCCCCCACGAGAGCCTTGGTCGCCATGCAAAGCTTATCGATGCGCAACACGATGCCAAAAGCGATGGTCATGCCTACTGCAAAAGCTTGATACTGCTCCGATTGAAGTGTAGCCATGTCGACGTGCTTTGGCAATCTGTATGCGTCGTGTGCTAGAGGACTTGGATCTCCGACCATAGACTCCGCTGTATGCATCTCTGAAGCGGCAACGTTGTCGGATGCGACCTTGCCTTCGTCGGAAACGTCTGTGAGCTCATAGCTCGTGCCGCTGACAAGCAGTCTATCCATCAGCACGGGCATGACTTGAGGTAGAGGCTCGCCGCTCCGCAGTGCAGTTGCGCACAGCGACAATACGGATATGCAATCTGCCAAGAAGCCCGGATCCAAGAAACGCGTCTTTCGAAGAAGGGCGGCAGAATATCCTTCGCCTAACTTCTCCGTCACGGTGACTGCGTGCGACAGCAGCTTCGATAGTTCCATCGCGACAGCTGATAATTCCTCGTACCGCTTGACCGGCCACTTGCCTCGCAGCGAAAACTCGTAAGTGACGACGGAGCGAGTCAGCGCAAGCCTTCGCAGCTTGCTCCTCGTTGCCAGCAGCCTTTTTGTCAGCTCTGTGGGCGATCGATCGGGATGATGGGGTGCCGAAGCGTACGCGACGACGTCGCAGTAGAGTTGGCAGAGCTCAGAGATTGTCGCCGCATGGCCCAGGCGCTGGTACTTCCTCAGAGTGCTCGAAGGGGGCAGTATCGCCATGACCAGCGCTGCACCTGTGCCAATGAGGACACCAACGAACCTGCGCCAGGCTACAGTCCAGCCTACTCCGCGGAAACCAAACGTGGGATTGGTGGAGTCTTTGAGGCTGTAACCGAGCACCAGAGCCACAGTCACGCACGTGATGATGGACGTGATGGGCGGCCCTGGTGCGTTTAGCCTGACGAGCATAACGATGGGAAACGCTACGGCGGCGGTCACCATGAGCGTGTAAGGGCTGGATGCGTGATATCCTGTAGGCGCTGCGATGTACCAGATGACGAGCCCCATCGCGGCACCAGCAGTGGTGGCAATGAGTCTGGATACGAGACCAAATGCGACCTCTCCTCGATGCCTAGCCATGGTCAGCTGTGCCATGAACAAGCTCCAGACGGCTTTATTGACGTAGCAGAATCTGGCCGAGCTGCGCATGAACTGAGGTAGGCTCAGAAAAGCCGTGACGGCGGCTGCCTTGAGGCAGAAGAGCATGTTGCCACGTCCGAGAGTGTGAAGGAAGGTGCTGGCACGAGTGCCAATTTGTTGAATAGCTCCTTGTGGTTCCAGCGCATCAGGATCGCGCCTCTTTGTTCGTCCTAGCATGGAGGAGTGGCCCGGACCCATGTGTGCAGGATCTTCATCATCATGCCCATGCTCTCCATCAGCAGTACCCTCGGAGTGCCACGCTTCCGCGGAGAAGATGTGAGGTAGCGAGGGCAGCCAGAAGCGCCCACCGATCGCATCTTGACGCTCTTCCATCTTGACGATCGCTTCCAACAGGGTGATCAGCCTCTCGCCAAAGCGTGCCGTGTGGAACTGGAACACAAATCCTTGATATCTGTGAATCAGGACATGTGTTTGGGGATCAGCACCTCGCAAGGAAGCAATCTTGCCAACAGAAGAGACGCTCACAAGTAACGGTGCGGAGGTCTCTCCTCCGGACTGCCCGTGCACTCAATGGTCGCTCTGAAAGGCTCAATCAAGCCTAGACGCGCCGTATGAAACCTTTCAAGGGCGCTGGACAAAGACTCCAATACTTCTTGTGAGCTCTTGCGCTTTTCTGCGTCTGCACTTGGTAGCCCTCCGATGACTTTGCCCAAGACCCTGCGTCGCAAGAGTGCCAGCCTAGTGCGGTTGAGGTCCGCCAACCAGCTAAGGATGTGATCGAGAGCGTCCGCTTGAGCAGCGAGCAGCTCGGAAGTCGTTTCGCCGAGCAAACGAGTGCACTGCTCGGTGAACTTGTTGTGCGCTTCGCGATGCAGTTGCGTCTCTATCGCTGCGTATCGCAGAGCCTCCCATGCCCCTACCCTCGGAGCTGGCTCTGGACTATGATGGCGTGATCTAGGAAGGTGGAGGTGAGCGAGTCGCGGTAGGAACGCGCCGTGATGAGCCTGACGTGTGTTGCCGGAGCTATCTTGCGACGAACGAGGAGTGGAAGTCGAGGAGCTGCCCTTCTCTCGAGCCGCAAAAGGCGCCAAAGAGGATGGACGGTGGGCAGCCTTGTCGGCGTGCGAGACATCCTGAAAAGGTTGCGGACCTTCTATTCCCGGCGTGGCAGGTCTGCTCGGGGCTCGCGATGCAGGCCGACTTTGCTGACCATGGCTCTCATCCTCGAAGCCAGGCTGTTGACAAAGGTGCGGAAAACGGTCATGCTTCATATCTGCACGTATGAGCCGATAATAGTAGGCCATGCCGTCCATAGGGCTCATGAGGGCGCGAACCAGTGCGATAAGACTGCTCAAATCCTGTCCGCTCGCAACGCCAAAGCTCACTTCGCGGGTGAGAAGCCGGCCAGCTCCAACGAGTGCCAAGATCCCGCCTTCACTCTTGGTCATCAGGTCGTGGACTTGGGTAAAATTGAAGTCAGGATCCAGAGGACTTTGCTGCAGCAGTTCAATTTGGCTCCTAGCTGCGTCACGCATGGGTGCCAGGACTGCCACGAGCTTGTCGGCAAAGCTGCTGTTGACGCTCTTCGGGAAGAAGAACAGCGCGACGACTGCGGAGCGCAGGCAGTAGAGCGTCAGCGCCCGATTGGCGTGCGTGCGAACTCTACAGTAAGCCTTTTTCATGGTGGAGCTCACCAATATTGACCGCAGCCTTGAGTGCCAGTGGCTTGATGATGGTCGTGGCTAGCATGTAATCAGGGTATGGAAACAAGGGTTGATAACCCAACGCTACATCCAAGCAGATGCACGACAGGATCGCCGCAAACAGGAAAGGTCTATGGAAGTATGCGAACGGCACATTTCAGTGACTTTTGGCTCGAAGCACTACCAATGCGGCCGTCTGACACTCACGAGGGCCCGAAGCGTACCTTGAGGTAGAGCAGAGCAGCAGCACCGATGGACAGAAAGAAGCCGCATATGACCGCTTCCCCGCCCTGTATATAATCTCCAGAGAAGATGGAGGCCAAAGGAGCCTCCGTCGGAGCCAACTGATACGTGCGGGCCTGAACAGCGATAGCCGTGCCGAGGCAAGACCAAGCCCAAGCGATGAGCAGCAGTCCCAGTGTGAAGATTTCTCGCTCGATCACTGCCACCACTGGCAGTTCGCAAGGTTGAATGAAGACGCCGACGAGCAGCAAGAAGCTCGCGTTGCCGAGTTGACGCTCGATGGGCTCGATCACCATCAGCAATAAGCAGATCCAAGCTACGATGGCAGAGCGGAGTACTGGCTTGAATTTTGCCCAGCTTGTGAGCACGGGCACAGTCCACGCGATCATGGGAGGAAGCAAGCGCAGAGCATTGAGGCTGTTCTTGGGCTTTTGCGGCTCAAGGTGGGGTGAGCCTTCCTTTGTCTCCTGTTCATGCGGCGCAGTCCCTTTGCTTGTCGAGCTCTCGAATCGCTGTCGCCTCGCCTCTCGCTCTGGATCAATCGAGGATTCAGCCCCCGCGTGCTCCCCCCTCCGAACGGCTTCGACGCCAGCACCTGCACGCCGTCGGGGTCGTTCCTGCAGTACAGATACATCCCTAGCATTGCTGGTTTCTAGTGTCCTCTGCGCTTGCCGATCCGTGTCCTCTCGTAGTGGGTGCAAAGGGATCGAGGACTGCATGTCTGATGCTGTTGGCCACAAGCAGGCAGAGCCGACCGGCAATCTCCAGGTCCTACCGCACCTTCGAAGCTGTGCTCATGCTCTGCGCATAGGCGACCTATCAAAAGATGCCAGAAGAAGTTGAGAAAAGTGGTGACGATGCTTAGGAGTCGCAAAGGATGATGGTGTGCATGCATCAAGAAGACCTCTCGTGCCCTCGGCACCCTCTCGTGCTGCACGTCGCCGCAACACAGCATTTCGACAGGGACACGCGCCGCCGGCTCGGCGCAAAAGTGCTTCCGATCACCCACTGCTTTGGTGCTGCTGCATGTGGCGCACCGGTCCTGACCCTTCTCCACTTATCGCAAACAGTCAAAGCAAGAAGCACCCCAACGGACATTGCCTTCACCAAAGCACCATTGGCACGTGCGGCCATCACCTTTCACTCGCTGTCTCGCAGAAAAGCTGGGTAAGATTGCAAGTCCTGAAGAGCCAAAACTATTGTACAAGGATTGAGGGGTCTGCTGGTCGCGGGTCCACTTGTATGCATGAGGAATTGAACGAAACTACTGAGCCATTGGTCAGATTCAAAAGTTTGTGAGGCCACGAGACATCGAGCGTCGCGGCTTTTGTATCGGTTCAGAGAGAGAGAGAGGGAGAATGTACCACAAGCGCGAACGAGGCTCAAGATGGGTAGGGCGTGACAGAGACGTACTGTTGAGCAGATTTGGCCGATTTGAACCTTCTCTCCCTCTCTTCTTCCGTCTCGTTCTCTTCGGGCGAGGGTGGGAATTCGAAAGCCGGTGGCATAGGCGGCAATCCGTCCGCGTCGGGAGGACCATCGGGCGAGGTGGGTAGCGAGTTGGCGGCAGGTTGTCCTCCCGAGCCGCTGTCTGGTGTGAGCGTATCGATAGCAGCTGGTCCACCGTGCGCAATCTCGGCATGCTCGTTGGCCATTCGTCTGTAGTGCTGTTGTCGCAAGTGCTCCGCTCGCGCTGCTGCCGCACTACCCGGACCTCGTCGCTCCCACTGCCTTCTCATGTCCTCCCACATCATACGCGTCGTGCACACGTCCTGCTCATCGTCCACCTCGTCCTCCCACGCCAATAGCGTCTCTAGCGTCTCTCCGCATGCACATCCAGAATGAGAGACGTGAATGTTGGCGTAGCGCTCCGGCATCCAATCGTCGCGGCCTCGCTCAGGTACCGGGCACGGGTCTGCGATCGAGTAGGACGGCAGTCTCATCGACCGCCTGTCGTACGTGAGGGCAGAATTGTCAGCATGCAAAGGCGGAAGGACGTGCAGCGACTAGCCGTAACTCACCACATGCATGCACAGTGGGGTAATATCAAGGACCAGCTGGCGCGATACAGCAAAGGCTTGGTGCTTGGCAGATCGTCTGGTCGATAGATGATGCGAACCTCTAGAGAGTGGGACAACCGTAGCGCAGCTTTGCTCGCCGCTAGCGTGCTTGACCTGAACGAGGTGTCACAGATTGCTAGTAAGTGCCAAGAAGCACTTTACAGCCTGACTTTTGCGCACTCACCTGATCTGGCTGTCGTGGGGCATGCGAGCGATCCAGTTGCCTTCATACGTACCGTCTGGCAGTCTCTTGGACAAGAGCTCATCGAAGTCTATGGCTGTGATGACTCTGCTCTCTGGTCTGGCCCGTTCTATCCGTTCGCTTTGTCGACTGTGCAGTGTGGTATTCTGTACGACGCTCAGCGAGAACTGATCCAACACCAGTGTAGGTGACGGACTTGGTAAAGACAAGGCTAGCCTAGCATAGCCGCCTACGGTCATGTGCTGAGATCGGACAGCCAACGCGACGGGTCCGAGGTGCTCCACAAAGGTGCCGTGGCTTTGGGCGTAATCCAGCACATTGTCCTCGCTAGGCACGGCAATGATGAACATGTCCTTCGACGCGCTCAAAGAACGTCTTGTGATGAAGTTGCCGGCAAAGTGTAGCTTGGTGTGTAATCGAAAGTAGACGCGACCAAGATTGCACCTCTCGTAAGGGACGACATCATGCGGAATGGACAATGGCAGCTCCCATCTGCGTGAGAAGAAATGAGCGTGAGCGGGCGGGGCGCCGACATCCTGCCAAGAGCGAAGGTGCGAGACAATGCTGACCTGTAGGATTTGCCAGCCTCGATGGGCATGTCGACTGCTTGCTCGCTAGCACACGTGACCTTGAAGGGCCGATTGGTCTCGTAAGAGCCGCTTGGAAACTGCCGATGAGGATGCATGTGGGAAAAGGTTAATTTGACATGACCGGGTGACGCGTTGACCAGGCAAAATGTGCGCATACAAACTCACGCCAATGTTCTCGACAGCCTCGAGCGTGACAGATAGGGATTGAATGCGACTGGGCGGAGAGCTCTTGGCTGGGATGGACAAAGTGATGAAGGCGACGAGCACCGCGTCGTCCCGTGGAGCCTGGGCGCTCTGCCCTTCCGAGTTGACCGTGCTGCCTGGCCACACGTAGATGTGCGACTCGCTGGTGTCCAATTTGAGCTCCATGGTCGACGATTGCAGGAGCGATGTGGTTTGCTTTCTTGTCTTTGCCGTAGCTTGTTGTCGCCTATGTCTGGAAGGAAAATTGTTGATTGCGCTGCTGCTCCTTGCTGAGTGGTCGTCGTGTTCGCTGCTTGCGACGCTCTGCTTGCATTCTCTGAAAGTAGCTTGATGTCGATATCGACAATGTCTGGCTCACTATGAGCTGGCCTTTTGTACTGATCACTTGGCGTGCGCGGTTTGCATGCTCTGATGGTTCGGCTTGCCAAGAGGGAAGTTGCGAATAAGGTTCGGCGTGGCTGCTTCCGATCTCAGGCGGAGGGGGGCTGAGGGCCAATTTGGGAACGCGAAAGACCTCGAATTGAAAGCTTGGCTTGGCTTTGCCAGAGACTCTCGCGTTGCGTTGTGGACGCTGCACACGACACTAGAGGGTATGTTGCAGTAAGCCCGAGTGATTGGCTCGCATTGATGGTTGTAGGGTGAGTCTGAGGGAGGAAAGGGTGTGCGAGGAATTCTGTGCAAGGGTCGACCTCGCTTTTGAACTCGCGACTGCCCTCTGCAAAAAGTCGCGTTTCCCCGCACATCAGTCTAGCAGCCATGCAGCATAAGCAGCCGTTCGAGTCATCCCGACGTCCGCCTTTGCGCGGAGAGATCGAGGGATGAGAGCGCTTTTGCTTAATTGCATGCCATGTGCAGGGTGCAACCACAAGCTTCCACCGAAGTCGAGCGATTTGAACCGACATGCCTGCCTGCCTGCCTGCCTGCCTGCCCTCTGCAGCAGCTGCTGCCTGATGCTGGCCGGGATGTTGTGCTCGCATCAGCAGCAGCTAGGCAGGCCTGGCGCCCACGCGTGACCCGGTGCACAATTAAGTCGTGATCCGAAGTGTAAGCTAGCCTGCAATTAAAAGGTCTCACCGGATTTAAGCCACGCCGGTCGTGTGCATTGTACTACATGTTTGGCTGTATACAGCATGCAGTCGCGATCCAGTCGCAGCAGAAGCTTGATTCACATTGCTGCTTCACCGCCGGCTCGCGCTCCCATGCAGCATGTATAGCTCGATCGCGGGGACAAAAACGTCCTGAGCTCTGCTAGCTGCAGATATTCCTCGGCTCGTCCCTCCTCTCCATATGCTGCCTGGCACTCGTGACTCGTTCGTGACTATTTGATGACTTGTTGGCACCAAAGCTCGAAGAGGATGCAATCAAGGGAGAAAATAACAAAAAACGTCATCACAAATCAAGGATTGTGTCGAATTGTTGTGAATGCAAATGCGCACCACATCTACAAGCTTCGTTGACATTCCTCCAGACTTCACTGACAACTCGCGACGCGGAGGTCATGTATTCGCGATGTTCGTAAAGCGCTAGCAGCCATGAGTTGCCACGTCGACAAGCCGAGTGCTGCTGCTGCTGCTGCTGCTGCTGCTGCTGCTGTATGTAGCGGCTCGTCGCTCGCGAGTCTCGAGATTAACCGGTGTGCGATTGTGGTAGACGTGTGGAGAAGAAGCACGTCATAAGGGAGAGAGCATGACTCGACTTCTTTAGATTACGATGGATAGGAACGATCAGCAGCGCACCCCACGTTGGAAGGGAATGGACGGTGTGAGAAATCGGGAGCGGCAGGCAGGCAGGCAGGCAGGCAGGCGGGGCGCTGTGTGTTCCTGAAACCCTGCTTGATGCCGTGCATGCATGCATGGCATGGCGTCCATGAGCACCGCTGAGGTCGCAGCTATAGAGAGGCCGAGCTGACCGTCATGTCTTGTCATGTCATGCGGAGAGAGGGATTCATGATCAAAGGAGCGCTTCTTGATCAGCAGCACAAAGCCGCCTCGGCCGCAAGCGAGCCAGCCAGCCAGCCAGCGCTCCGAATCGCCGACTCACACTACTGCCACACCACCTCGGCTGTTCCCGAATGTCGACGTGTTCATTATTCATGCTCACGAACTTTTTTCCTTTTGGATCCCGTTGGAACTTTACACCAAGACTTCTTGTCCGAGGCTCACCTCGCATAATCTGAGTGATTGGGCGCTTATCAAAGAGGACGCTATCGTACCCTGGGTGATCATCTCATGCTCGGCGCTTGCTTGTCAAAGAAGCTCGTCGAGCCGCTTCAGAACCTTTCTCATCTTTCATCCACGGATGCCCGCACCCAAAATGCAGTGGTTTCAATGTAGATCGGTTGCATGCCATGGGTATTGCAATGAAAGAGCCACAGATCAAACATCACGCTAAAGCAATTCCTGCTGCCACGCGACCCAGAAGGAGCCCTCTTGCGATGCGCACTCCCAACCCTCCTCGACGATTCGCCTCGGGCCCGCGGGGTCGAGTGCGAGAGCGACGGCCCACTGCTGCGCGTGCGCTCCTCGAAGCAAGGTCTGAACGCATCGTGTCAAGTGTGCAAGCTCTGCACTCGAAGATGCACGCTTCGTCTCGTTCTGCACTTTTGCTGCCAATTGTTGTCGGGCCCAAGTAGCTCGCACAGCCGCCAAGATCGCATCCGCAGTCGTGCGTGTGCCTTCCCAGCCGCCTTGAGGAGCGCAAGCCTGCAGCGCTCGCATAGCGGCGTCCGACCAAGCAGTGTCGTTTGCCCCAGATGCTTCCGGCAACACGCTCGAGCTCAGTCCGATCTCCACCAGCGCTCTCCTCGCAAAGATCCTGGCATTGTCTAGCAACGTTTCTTTGCTCTTGTCGCTCATAAGCGGTGCGGCAGCCGGACCACCTCTCAGTAGGCTGGCGCTGCTCAGACTGCAGCTGATGTTGGCTCGTGCTCGGCCTGCAGAGGTGCTAGCATCGATCGCACCCAAGGCCCCCGCCTTGCGCGACAATAGCGTCCCATGAGCGTACTGAAAGAGCTTGGTTGCTAGAGAGGCTATCTCCCAAGCTTGTTTCCGGCAATCAGCATTCTGAGCACGACGAGTGCGGATGACTGAAAGGGACAGGAGCTGATCGGCCAGATCGCAGGCTTGTCGCACCAATTCGTCTTGCGAGGTCACCAAGCTAGCTGCACCTGCATCCCGAGCAGCCGTGGTCGACGAAGGAGAAGTAGAGGTGGATGCCAGACCGAGCAGATGCATTCCACCAAGAGACACGTCCCCCTCGATCGCATTCAAGCCAGCCATGTCTTCTGCCGTAGCTGGGAACACCTGACCGCTCAAAGAAGCTAGTTCGCTCCTCCTGTCAGCCTCTGCAATGACCCCCGCTCTTCTTGCGGCTTGCAGATTCGCCAATGCCACCTCCCACTCCCCCTCGTCGGAAAGCTCGCTGGGGTTGGGGCAGGTCAGCACCAGCTGATCTGCTCGAGCTAGGGCATCGCGAGCATCTAGAGCAGCTCTTTCGAGGGTCTGGGCGCTGGTGGTGCCGGAGTGCGGCGCGCTGCCAGCAGGAAAAGATCGGGAAAGGATGGACAAGAGGCAGCTGTGAGCGGACAGGAAGGTTTCCAACGTCGTTGCGGGTGTGACTGGGCTGGCTGTCCAATCCTCCTTCTCCGCATACCCATCCGAGTCTTCATCAGTCGACATGTGCCCGCTGGACGCGTCCTCTTCTTGCATCTCGTCTTCAACCTCCTCCGCTCTGTCCGCTTCAGCCTGCCGTCGTGCCGAGTCGTCCAGAATGGCCCTTTGCATGTCGCCAACGCTGATGAAGCCGTACGCTGCGCTGCTGTACAACGACACGATCGTCTCTTCATCTACAGGTCGTTGACTCTCCTCCAGCAGCTCAGCTAAGCTCTGCTGAGCAGCGTGCAGGTTGTACTTGACATCCAATGCAAATGCGTCTGGCAGCTCTGCCAATGTGTTCTGCTCCAGAGAGGACATTTCGGGCAGAGCTTGAGACAGTTGGGTCGCCCTGTCGTACAGCTGTAAAGACTGTTGCAAAGCGACGCACGACTCGGGAGGCAGCTGAAATTGGGTAGCGAGGACGAAGTGTACGCGCGCGAGGTTGTACAGAGGAATGGCGTTGCGGGCATCCAGCTGTGCAGCGATGGCATAAGCCTTGACCGCTTCGTTGAACGCGCTGTGCGGCAGTTTGAGGTTGGAGAGGGATGTGAAGTCAGACGGCTTGTAGATGGCCCGATCGCCACGCTTACTGCTCACCGCTCGGCCTTTGCTCCAGCGTGGAAACGCTCTCCGCGCTCTTCGTGCTCGATGCCAGCCTCCAAGGCTTCATCCATTGTGGTCGGGGCAGCCGCAGCGCTGCTTCTAGAACCGCTCGCAGCTCCAATCTTGAGGTGCTTCACTTTGCGACCACTCGACATGTTGTGAAATATAGAGTCGAGGATCCAGTTCGCTTTGGCTCAGACTCATGTCGAGATGTGCCAGAGTGGCGGTCGTGATGATTGTGGGTAAGACGGTTTGCGTGAGGTGCCAACGGGATGTGTGCATGTATGTGCATCGATGCTGCGTGTCACACAGAGCGGCATGGCGCGCAACCAGCAGAAAACATTTTGGGATCAGTGTGCGGAACTCCGCGGAGTTGCTTCGCTTGGGTCCAAGTGTGGAGGCGATCGACGTCACGTCTCGGCGCTGATGTTCATGCTGCACCAAAGTGTAGATCCAAAGGCCAGCGGGAGGTCCCCCCAATATATGCTCTCCTTTCAATTCGAATGTGAATGTCAGGCTTGATGCTGGGACAAACCGTCACGAGTGGTCCCTCCAAAGCACGCCCGCTGTTGTGTTCGGTGGTTCCTGCTGCTGCTGTGCAGCATATGGCTCAGCACAGCATGTCGGATTCGATCGCCAAACCTCAAGCAGCCATTCTTGCACTGAGCGCTCTGAGCCTTGCAGGGAGCATGCTCTTTCTCCTTCGAAACCCTCCTCCGACACCATTCGCAGATCGTCTGTCCAAGCTGGACCCAAAAGAAACGAGCATAGACAATGATTTCTACGACGATTATTTCGAATCCTCTGCAGAGGAGTCGAACGGTGACGGTGACGATGGTGGGGTCGTCGATGCGAGCGCAGAAAAGGAGGAGGAGCATCCACTCCAACTGGTCAACTACGGACGCATACCTTACTTTTTGCGCACTTGGACCGCACAAAGTCCACTTTGCGCACAAGTAAAAGCGGACGTCGAGACGATGGGAGGTGCGACCACTCGCACTGTGCTTCCTGCCAGCTTCAAAGCGCTCGATGTGGGCTGTGGCGGAGGGATCGCCGCAGAGGTCGTAGCGCGCGCTGGAGCTCAGGTCACTGGAGTGGATTTGAGCGCAGGAGCCATTGCTTGCGCAAAGAGACGAGCCAAGGCGAGGGGCTTGAGCATCGAGTATGTCGTGGGGTGTGTATTCTCAGCGCTTAAACAGTCTCATCAGTCGCAATCGATCAAGCAACGCCTCTCGCGTTTCCAACTGACTCCTAATCGCCCCCCTCCCTTCCTCGCCACACGCTCGTACGCCGGCGTCCAGCGACGCTTTGGATCTGCCCGTGCCCTCGGAAACCTACGACGGTGTGCTCTGCTCAGACACGCTGGAGCATCTCTTCGACTTGGACGCAGCACTAAAAGAGATGGCTCGCGTGCTCAAACCAGGTGAGCTCAACGCTTCCGCAATCTCGAAACATCCCCCCCTCTTCGCCCCCCTTCCCCAGCAATCCCAACTTTCTCAACCCCCTCCTACCTTCTTTTCCAAAAAGGCGGCATCCTCGTCCTCGACACCATCAACCGGACCAGAGTGAGCTGGTACGCCCTTGTACTGATAGCGCAAGACACGCTTGGCTATCTTCCGCACGGAGCGCACGACTGGAGATTATTCAGTGAGCTCGTCGTGCGATGGCCCGGCTCTACGCTCCGAACAGCAGGCCTTCCTTCTCCCACTCGCGCTCCACTCGCTCATATCGTCGCTTGCGCCCCCCCTGCATCTTGCTCCTTTCAGTTACGCCGGACGAGCTCAGCACTTCTCTCCAACGAGCAGGCCTGGAAGCGTGTCCAGAGTCGGCTGTGCGCGGCATGAGGCCTGGTATGCGCGCACCTCACATCATCTTGGCTCGCACTTGGCACTACGCCACCAGCAAACAAGGGTCAGCGAGCTTTCTAGACTGTTTCATTGGACGGTGGACCGAGACGACCTTTACCGCTGGCAGCTACCTAGCCTGGGCTCGCAAGCCGTTGTAGACACGCTGCACTGCTATGAGACGCGACCTCTGGAGAGAAGGCGCAAATCATTCAATTGCTTGCGTACGTGTATCCCTGGCAACTTCGTCAACGATGCCGCGACTCATTCACAGCGCACTCATGAAGGACGCCCAAGCGATAAAAGATTCGTTATGGAGAGATAGGAGGGGATGCGAGTGGGACGAGTGTGACGTGTATGAGTCGATACAAGCAATGATGTGGTGATGTATGAGATTGGAGACATGCTTTTGTTGCAGAGTGATGCTGGGTCCCGATTGGAATGTCCGTGGGCTGACGTGATGTCATAACAATTGGGTGATGAAGAAAGTGATTCCAGAAATGATGGGCTCAGACGCCCAGAACGCTGGCCCAGCTGCGCGTATAAGGGGCGTTCGAGTCTTCTGCATCGAAATGTCGGTCCCACAACGGGCTGACAGGGGCAATGGACGAGCTAGCTGCGTGGTCAGCAGACCTCTTTCCCTGCGCAGGACTGTTGAGCGTTGATGAGACGGGGGTCAAGCGCAGCGTTATTGCTTGATTCTTTCGACGAAGCTGCTCTGCCCGTGCCTTCTTAGCCTTGCTAGCCTGAACCTCGGCAAGGTCGCCCCAAGCTGCTTTCAGACCGTCATCGTCTACCTCGCTGCGGTTCGACGTCCGGCCGGATGGGAAGCTGAGGGACCAGCTGCGGTGCGCTGACGATGACTCAGACTCCTCTCGGGAAGAGTCGGAGTCTGCCTCGTCCGAATCATGCACGAGCGATGGCAAATTATTGAGACTTCCAAGACTGGCTAGACTGCTGCTACGCGAGATGGCCGACGGCATTGGCAGTCGAGCAGTGGTCGTGGGCTGAACCTCACTCGTGGAAAGCACTTCGCTGGCATTAGCGTTGACAGGTTGGTCAACCGTGCTGTCAGAGAAGCCCACGAGCCATTTCGCCAGATCCAACCACGATCCCGAGGACTTTTGCACGTTCCGGCCTCTTCGCGACTCGGCTACAAGAGTGGCTGGTGTGTCGGTTGGAAAACTACCGGTCGTAGCTGCGCGCACGCGCCGTACACGGCGAGGCGTAGTGCTGCGGATGGCCGTGTCGAAATTGTGACGGGAGGAGTGATTGCGGGTTGGTCGGCTTAAGGACTGACCACCGAACAAAACAGAGATGGTCGCAGCGATCGGACCCGCGCTGCTGTAAATCTCGTGACCATCGTCGTCAGTGTGCTCGACGTCGTCAAAATCGACGTCGTCCAAGCTGACGCTGCGCCGATTGTGGTGGAAGGAGGTTTCTCTACGGTCACGACTTGAAGGGAGCGCAGCCGAACGTAGTCCAGATGCAGATGCATCAGAGCGCGCGATCGCGGTGGCAAGCTGCTGCTCAGGGTCGTCATCACCAGCATCGCCGTGGCAACTTCCATCGCTGGATGCCCAGCTGACCAAGCTGGATTCACTCGAATTGCGCGGTAGCTTGTCTGCAGGACCGAGGCTGCCTTTGTCCGCCGCCCTGTATGCACGGCTGTGATCCCAGAAAGGTACAGGATACGCGAGTGGACTCGCAGGAACGAGTTGCGACGATGGTCTCTCGATCGGCAAGGCAGTGTTCAACTGTAGATCCTGCCCGAATGCTTCTGGTGCGGACTCGCAGCGCACATGACGTCGCTTGCGACGCAAAGCCATCAGGTTGCAGGGTCGTGTTGAGGCGGCGGCGTCAAACTTCGGAGCCTCAGCGAAGGTGCGCGTGCGGCGTAGCGATAGCGTTGACCTTTCCACGTCGAAGGAGTCGACTGCAGGCCTGATGGGTTGAGCTTGTCGTGCCGCCGTGGCTGGCTGCCGGGGCGAGCCGTGGGCTGGCGAAGAAACAAGACGAGTGGAGGATTCGTCGTCATCATGGTGGTCATCATCCTCCAAGTCGGCCTCGATGTCACTGTCGTGCATCGCTGCGATCCAAGGGGCATCCCAAGCCTGAGCTTCGGTGCGCGCGCTCGGCCAACGGCGAGCCACATGCTCTGGCAGTCGTACCGTCACATGCCGGCGTGGTCCGTCGGGCCTGCCGGCATACGACTTCGAAGATTTGAGTGCCGGTCGGATGCTAGAGGGCTTGAGAGCCTCGTCGACGTCGCTGGTGTTGCTCGAGCTGCTTCGCTTGGCGCGAAGCGTGGGTTTGTATGTGCCACCGTGGCCAGAAGATGAGTGGCTGAAGTGATCAGGACTTGCGAGCCTCTGGACCCACTCGTTGGCGCTGGCAGCTGAATTGAGCCAAGCGATGCTAGCATCGCTCAAGGAAAGCGGTGGAGTCGAGGCCGAGGCAGAAGGCGCGGAATTGAAGGCCGAAGTCGGCGTGGCAAGCATGGTCGTCACTGCTGGCAGACAAAGCAACGTCAAGATTGCAGATGGGAACTGCGACGGACCTCGAACAGCGTGCGAGATGTATCGATGTCGCAGTGCGCAATGGAGTTGTAGTGGTCAAGCACGATGAGTCGATCTCGAGGGTGCGTAGAGTGAAGAGCAGAGAAGTTCACACCTCCTCCGCACTTTGAAGTGTTGTGAGTGCATATATACCTGTTCACGCATTCGCAGCTGGGTGAGTGCTGGCTCGAGAGATATAGAAGACAAGACGAGTGGGTCCGATCGCGGACGTTTCTTGGCCAGTCTCACTCTGCAGCAGTGCCTGATCGGGCAAAGACAGGCGGGCGGGCGGTCACTCTCCTATACGCACCCCGCGACCAGAAATTCTGTGTAGAGATGGCTACATTCAGTTGATTGGGCGGCCCCCTCCGCTCCAAGGCGTTGCGCCGTGCCCCCCTCTGGCAATGACCGACTGACGAACCGCTTGGATGCTGAATTTGCGCTCATCCCTCATCTCCCATCGGCTACATCTTCCCGTTCTGCGCCGCCACGAAGAGTCCAGCGTACAAAGGGCAAAGAGACGAACTGCTGCTGTGGAGAGGCGATGAAGCCGTCACTCAAGTGAGTGCAGGCAGTAATTGACATGGAATGGTTCGCCTCATTTGTGTCACCACTTGCCCGCACTTTTTGCATTGAGCTGATAACGGGGCGCCAGAGGAGAGCAGATTGGCTTCGAGCTAATGCACGCACGCACCGCTGGGACGGACGGGCCCTTGCTTCTCCGCTATGCGCTTCGCGGCTAAGTTTTGAGTCAAAAAGTTCCAATCTGGCTCACCTCAAGCCTCTTCGCTTCCAGCAGCAGCACGAAGCCCGCACGCATTCCGCACCTCTTCGTCTCATTCTGGCCAAGCGTGCTGCTGCACACGCACAGCATGCTGGATGGATCAAATTTGGCCTCGACGAAACATGACGTGGCCGCGGCAATTCGTTCCAGTGCAACTCAGACTTGATCATACAGGAGTCGTGAGTGCGAACATGCACACCCATCAGTCCGCATATAGTGGATGCTGGAGATCGTACACTGCGTTTGATGCTTTTGCCTCTCGAGCAGATGCTGGTATCAAGTCGCGGTGGACGAACCACGGGTCGCTCCTCGAAATGAAGCGTCAGCCTGGGGCTGCGGTGCCGTGCACGAACCTCTCGACGACTCCTATTCGGCGATCAAAGGCTCAATGATGCGCTGCGGGTCTATGCAGCCGTTTCATGACTAACGACTGGTGACTGATCACCTGCTGCTGCTTCATTGGGAGCAACAATGAAAGAGATGGGAAAAAGTTCGATGATGTTCATGTCGACGCGTGCGTACAGCGCTGTAGGAACGAACAAATTTCCAAACCGACGCGCATGCGTTGCGAGCCGAGAATGTCGGAGTCTGTGGCTGCGTTTCTCGGCTGCAGCTTTACGCTATAACACGAATGATGATTTTGCGGGACGATCGAGGACAGCTGCTGTGCGTGGCGCTATTGCTCAGTCAAATTGGGCTGCATCAGGGCTAAATAGTCGTGCACGAGTGTGGAGACGCGCGGGGGCCCACGCTTGGACATGCTCTTCAGCTGAGGCAGATGGGCCAAGGAAGCAGTTGGCCCTTGGCGCGCCGCCCATCAGTGATACCTGCATGCATGCAGCTTAAGCTCGCTGCATTGACAAGTGCACACTGGCATGGGAATTTGCTGCTGGACATGGCTTCCTGCTCTTCTGGGCGTGCCGCTGCACCCCTCTGCTATAGACTGAAGTTCCATTCGGCTTGCTCGTGCTGGGTGTGCTGTGTAAGCGTACGGCACCGCGCCAAACTCCGCACGCCGCCGCGCAATCGGCTGGGACGGCTCTTTTGACTGCGCCTTCGCGCCTCTGTGTTCAAGCATATGATGGTCATCAACAGCGTATACAGCATGCATGCAATGCAATGGCTCAAGACGCCGCAAGTGAGACCGGAGCCAAGAACCTGCAAAGTTCCGTCCACGGATGTCCGTCTGTGTACTGCAGGTATACATGATGGCTGCCGTCCACGCTGAGAGACTCATCAGAGTAGCGCGTTGTGGATGGAAATTCGACTTGTCTTGGGGTCCTGATCGGTGGCTCAAGTATGCGGGTGAGTCAGCTTTTGCGGAACCGAGCGAAGATTCCAGTTCAGTCAGTCTTCTTGAGTGTCAGATAGGAGTACACGCTTCTGCATGATGAGACGCAATGACTTCCATTTACGAGCCAGAGATGCGCTTGTGTACAGTTGAGTGTAGCCAAATCCAGCATGGGCCTCACCTGGCTCGTAATGTGAGAGGTCAGATGGCGCCACGGTGGGCAGTATGTCTGAGATACATAGATGTCGCGCCTCACGTCGAGCGTCGTCTTGTTGAGCTCGGGCCGTCTCGTCAAATGAATGACTATTTTGGTGTGCAACACCTCACCTCGCGTAACCGAATCAATGAGTTGCGTGAGTCTGAGTGCTCACATGCCTGTCGATCCCAGACTGCCGCATTTGTCCAGAACATGAGTCACGATAGTCTGTCTGACTTCCGCCTCGCGACTACACGCTGACCACCACCAGCTGAGCACTCTTGACTCATACATGTTCCCGCTGCCACAATTCGAGCAGATCTGTACGTGGCCCGGTGCGCTCAGGGGCACCCATATGCTCGCGTACAGCACCGCCAGATCCAGCCACTTCGATCGAGAGTATAGACTAAATCTTGCACTCCGATCCGCGCGTGCTTGCTCCCATTCGCGAGCCACTCGCAACGCTCGCTCCTGACCCAAAAGACTCTCTTCTCCTTTCCTTATCTAGAGCGGGGCATCGGCGCGAACCTTGATGTCGCTATACTGCTGGCCCGAGCAGGTATCCCTAGGAAGCATCTTCAGCCCCACCTACTCCGCATTCTTATTTTTGACTTCTGCGGGGCCCCGTCACGATCTTCGCGACCCGTGTCCACACAATCCTGAATGCTGCGGACGCTGGTGCCTGAAGTACTTAGCACCAGAGCGTACGTTGCGAAAATCTCACTCAAGTCGTGAGTTGACCTCGAGCTGCGTTCGCATGGACGTCTGGGGATGTGTGTACCCGCATATAGAGGCGCCATTAGCTGCAAAACGTGATCGGGGATGCCGCGAGGGGCGCCGCGCGTCGAAGCGATCGAGCTCGCTAGCGAACGATGCAGCCGCACAAGCGAGACAGCAGCAGATATCGATTTAGCGCGCTGCCTGGCGCTTCGGCGCAGGTCTCATTCGTCGCTCCTTGCTCCTGCTGCTGCCGCTCGATCGCGGGCCATCATATGATGTGTTGCCTCTTGACAAAACCACAATTCGTGATTCGTGATTCGTGATTCAGATATATTCACGATTGCAAGGCCCGTCTAGGACTTCGGCATGCACCGCCACTCCGCCATGCTCGTTGAGATCGCAGTGATACACGACGGGGTTCGGCAAGGCGGTCACGTCCGCTGCTGCATGAGTGCCTCGCGGCCTCCTCTACACTCGTCTCAGGCCTGTTGTCAGGACCCTCCGTGCAAGCGTTTGTGCTACGCAAGTGAACAGAGCAGGCGGATCAAAGACACACCCTCCTGTCTCTTGCCCACCTTGCTCTGACAAGCGCAATAAGCATCAGAACTCAAAGTCTTGAAACCACAATCAAGCGCTCGATCGCTCGTCAGCTTGACTCACGAACGCTGCCTGCAGCCGGGGGTTGTGCAGCGAGGTAGACCGCGTGACAAGCCGGGGGCAAGCCTTGGCAGGGACCGAATCCGCGATGCTCGGCGCAACTCCGGCGAGACTCGGGATGGCTTGGGAAAGGGACAACATCGTGTGCGCGCACGATCGATCGGCACCCTGGATCCAGAACAAGTCCACGCACGATCGAGCGGGAGGATTCGTGGTTTGAACAATTTGATTGGCGACTTTGCAACTCAAAATGTCGCCTGGAAAGCTCGCAACTCGGCTGTTGCTGTGCAGCAGAGCCACGAGTGACGGCCGTCGTGCCTGCGCGCTGGTACGGATGGATGATGGAGCGCTTGCACAAGCAAGAATCTTGAATGTCAGTCACTCGAGTGTACAAGTCCTGAGGAGGCGGTACCTCATCAGCATCGACCTTTGACCCATGGTCGAGTCAGGCCCCGCAACACGTGACTCGTGATTTTTGGAATTTGCCACCCTTTGCATAACAAGAGTTGATGAGTCCCTTGCCCAAACAGCCCAGCTATCGGTGCCTGATCAAAAGGAGCGATGAGCTTACGTGCAGACGAAAGTCACAAGACCCTCTGTTATCATGATCAGTGCCCCACGCGAACTCGCGTTGCCGCGAGCTTCCTGCTCGCAGTGAATGAACGAGAGTCTGTAGTCTGGGTCAAAGCCCGCCAAGCCAGCGGGTCGGCTTTCTCAGCTTCAAAGTGCACGGGACTCCTTCGAATGACGCCTTGAGCTCTTCGTTGGTCCGCTACATCGCAGGTAGGTGACCGGCGAGCTTGGCACTACAGAAAAGTGTCCAGACTGATCAGCTGGAGAAGTGTTGAGCAGGAAAAGCTGGTCAACAGCCCTGGGGGCTCTGCTACAGAGCGTGTGCAAGAGATCAAGCCCACTGGAATTCGTGATAGCGATTGGATTCGGATGACGCAAATGTGGATGCCACTCTACCAGGGTGCAGGGAGCCGCGTTCCTCTCCGTCGCAAGCCTTCACAACGCTTGCGACGCTGTCGCCGAGTTCAAAAATGTCCCCGCCTCGGCTGAATCGTCCGACTTCATGCATTGTGGCCCCGTCTCACATTCCTACTACTTCACGAACGCACGGGCGATGCGCGATCCGACGTGCAGCACGACGACGCTGAAGACAAAGCCAACCGCCAAGACGAGGACAACGACGGGATCACTGAGCGGGGGATGCAGAAACAAGTTCATCAGCTGGGCCCAATCTAGCGCGTTGTGTCTGGAGTCCTCCAGCTACTTGAAAGGCTCTCTGTCTAGCCATTCGCGATGAAATATTCGTATCGCGCAGAGATACAGAGCCGGCCGAAGAGAGCGCCCTCCCTGCTCCTCGCCATACACCATTCGTGATTAATGGTTTTTTGAGACAAGATCAAATGCGCACGCACTTTCTCTGGCAACACCCGTAACTATCGTCTCAAATTCCGCCTAAATATCTCCCTGGACCTCATCAGCTGGCGCCTCAGCGGCACCACCCTTCGGCCGTCTCCCGTCTCTGATTTCCGGGATGCCTGAAACAAAGCAGCATCTTGGCAACGAGCGACCTAGCTCGACGCTCCCACTCCGGTCCCGCCTGGATGCTTTCCTTTCGATACAAGAGTACCTACTCACACGCTAAGGCCCTTGGAATCGTCTGTATACAACCTCATCATCGTGTTTGAGCTTCCACCAGCTCCAGCAGCCCGAGCAGAGTTGGGCTTGGATGCGGCATCCTTGGCAGCAGCTCGACGCCTGCATGCAAGCAGGGGAATGAGATGCTTGAGAGTAGGTCGCAGAGCGTCAAGGTGTGATCGCAAGACTTACCTGAGAGCAGTGGAGTTCCTGCTGGCGAGAGCGGCCAGCTTGGCCTGAGTGGCAGATGCTGAAGCCTCGTCCGCCTGTGGAATGGATGCGATGCTTTCTTGAACACTCGAATGAGGTTGAGGAAGCGCTAACGAGCACTCACCATGGCGTGCACGGTTACAATCCCAAGAAGTATTGGCAACTAGAAGACGTTTGCGTCCTTGTCCTTGTGGCAGAGTTTTCTCTGCGTAGCGTCCTGTCCTGTTGATTGGGGCTGCTCTTTGATGCAACAATGGGACAGCGCAGAAAGACGGGGGCGCACTTGCGTCTCTGATAATCACAGTGTGAGGCCAGCCCGTGAGTGGTCTGAAGCGAGTGGAATCACAAGTCAGTCACTTCTATAGGCCACGGCAGTTATGAGTGCTTGCGATGCCCGCGACGTGGCAGTATGCAGTTTCGGCTTTACTCGCCCGTAAATGCTGGTGCGCCGATGTGCGATTACCACGTGGCAATCCACCGAGCTGGGTTGCTGATGATGCCCGGCTCTCCCAACTCCTCCCGCGCGGCTGTAGCTAGAGAAATCTGAGGCGAGTGCGCGTGCATGCAGCAGCTGACGCAAATAGGTGCGGTGGACGATGCCTGAAAGCCGCACATCAATTCTTTCATGAATAATCAGCATCACCAGGAGTGGCCACGACCTGCGAAACAAGACGTTGCCTAATCGCAAGTCCATCATCCCGATCGAATAGGTTCTGCACTGCTCCTCATCGCTCAACCCTCTTGTGCCGTGTGCATACGCTTCTACGGGCAAGATGTCGCTTCTTCGTCAACCCATCGCCCGTGCAGCCAGGACTGGCCTTTGCCGTCATGTCGCCGCTCCCGCAGCTGTCACCCAGGTCCCTACTCGATGTGCGTTCGCGAGCGAGGATAGCGCCACTGCCTGCAATACATCGCTAACCAGACGCTCTTGCTTGGCCACTTATCCTCAGCGATGAGCCTCGCTTCTACCCAAGCTCCCATCAGACACGGTCGCAGCAACATCGCCGCTGCAGCCGCGGCTCGTCTTCCCAGCGCTGTGAGGACATACGCTGCTGAAGCGGGCAAGAAGTATGTGCGAAACAAGCCACACATGAACATCGGTACAATCGGGCACGTCGGTAAGTAGCTTTGTGAAGGCAACCTTGAAGAAGCTGCTCGCTGCAATCTTGTGTCTCATGCATGTTCTCGTCAATGACCCATCTCCACCTGCAGATCATGGGAAGACCACTCTGACGGCTGCCATCACCAAGGTTCTCTTCGAGTCCAGCGGTCAGGGCAAATTTGTGGACTATGCGAGCATTGACAAGGCGCCCGAAGAGAAGGCTCGTGGTATCACCATCTCCAGCGCGCACGTCGAGTACGAGACCGCGAACCGCCACTATGCGCACGTCGACTGCCCGGGTCACGCCGAGTGAGTCATGGAGTGTCACGCGCGATTCATGGCTCGCAGCGAAAGGCATGAGATGCAAGGCTCAAGGATCAGAACACATAATTCTGGGGTTGCACTGAATCAGTAGAGCTAGCTCCCCTGGATGGCCGGCTGACTCTGGCTGCCCTTCGTATTAGCTACATTCGTAACATGATCACTGGTGCCGCTCAGATGGAGTGAGTTTTGGCCTCCTCCACAATCCGCATTCGCTGCTCTGCTAACAGAGCACTTGCACCTCCACAGCGGCGCAATTATTGTCGTGTCCGCAACGGACGGACAGATGCCTCAAACCCGAGAGCACCTGTTGCTTGCCAAGCAGGTCGGCATCAAGAAGTTGGTCGTATTCATCAACAAGGTAGACCAAGTGGACGACAAGGAAATGCTGGAGCTGGTAGATATGGAAATGAGAGATCTGCTCTCTACCTACGGCTTTGATGGAGAGAACACCCCAATCGTTCAGGGTTCAGCCTTGGCTGCTCTGGAAGGAAAGAACCCCGACATCGGCAGCGAAGCCATCGTGAAGCTGATGGCCGAGGCGGACGCTTGGCTTGAGCAGCCCGCCCGTGATCTTGACAAGCCTTTCTTGATGCCCGTGGAGGATGTCTTCTCCATTTCCGGGCGCGGAACTGTTGTCACTGGCCGTGTGGAGCGTGGCATTATCAACAAAGGGCAGGAGATCGAATTGGTCGGTCTTGGCAACAGCTTGAAGACCACCTTGACGGGAGTCGAGATGTTCCACAGAGAGCTTGACCGAGGAGAAGCTGGCGATAACATGGGAGCTCTTCTGCGTGGAGTTCGCCGAGACCAGGTGCGCAGAGGTCAAGTGCTTGCTCTGCCAGGTTCCATCAAGCCGGTGAAGAAGTTCGAGGGACAGTACTACATTCTCACAGCCCAGGAGGGTGGACGCCGCTCCCCCTTTGCGAGCGGATACAGACCGCAGCTCTTCATCCGAACCGCAGACGTTACAATCTCTCTGACATTGCCAGAGGGCCAAGAGGATCAGATGGTCATGCCTGGAGACAGTGTCACCCTTAACGGCGAGCTCACTCATGATTTGCCCATCGAGATCGGAAGCAGATTTACCCTGCGAGAGGGAGGCCGCACTATTGGTACCGGTATCTGCACCAAGATTGTTGCCTAGACGTAGGCTGGACCTTTTTAGCAATGCAATATCTTTTGCATGCATTTCGTCAGCGGCCCAAGCACATCCAGAACACGGAGCGCGTTCGAATCGGACGCGATTGCCAGACGCTCCTGCTAGCTGATGCTAGTGACGAGCGTTCAAGAAGAAGCCGGATGCTACGCATCGAAAGGCGGCTCATGCCTTGTAATCACTACTCATCATTGTACACGAACGTGACACAGTCTGCAATCCCGGTGTGCTCGCTTCGACGTGCAAGTGAGCGCCAAGCTACTTCGCCCGTCCCACAGCGAACGCTAGAGCGCTGCAATGCGAGTACTAGCTAGAGGCGTGAGTGTTGCTAGCGCGTTGTATTGCCAGTCTCTTGACCGAGACCCAGGATTGAGCGAATGGGCGCGGTGGACACGTCTCGGATTCGCGACGCCATGCTATTTTAATCGGATGGCTTGCTACCGCAGTGACCCGGCCGACTCAGAAAGCAAACTCCAGTGGGCTCGAGTCGAGTCCCATCGCTCGCTTTTGTAAGGCGTTTAGGCCGCGATTGCATGCGCACGAAGAGCTACGATTTGAGAAAGGAGCCCATCTCGAAGTCGCTTTGAAGAAAGTTGAGTTTGAGTGTTGCGTTGCCTGTGGAAGAGGGACTACACTATCTAGTCACGTGTCTTCTGTGAGCCGTCACCCGCGCGCACGCGGATGCGGCAAGCCGACCTGGCCTCCGCCGCCCCACGGAGCAGCAGAAGCCATAGGGTCTGTGCCGCGTCGTATCACCTTCTCTCTGCTCGCGATTTTTCGTTGCAAGGCTTCGACGAGCGAAGGTCGATGGTGCCGCCGCTCTTGTGGCGAACCCAAGACATTGTGAAGCTTGCCCACTTTGCTTCCTGCGCTCATCGTCACACGCTGCAATTCTTGCTACTCTCTGCACACCCAAAGTCGCCAAGGAGCTTTTTCGCGAAGCAGGGAAGACGCAGCTGTAGCCACACGGGCTTCATTCTGCGACTTTGAGCTCGCAGGAGTGCAGGCTGCTGCGGAAAATTCGCGCTGCTGGCTGTATCAAGTACAATGGAAAGTCGTCGAAGCTGCGCATTCTGTCGGGCTCGCAAGCTTCGTGAGTGCGATGGCCGTCGCTGCACCGGATCTTCAGTGTCTACCGATGCTGACTTGTCCCCCTCCACTACACCCTGTGACTACGTCGATGCACCGTCAGGGTGCTCTGGGGTACGTTCAGAGCCGCAAAAGCAAGCATTGATAGCCTCTGCTGAGATACCGAGGCTCTTGCTCCCCTCCCCTCCTTAGGAAACACCATGGTGCGACAAATGCGCCGAGCGGGAGCAAACATGTGAGCTAGCTGCGCTGTACTCACTGTGAGAAGCGTACGAAATGCAAGCTGAGGCGTCTTTGAATGCTTGCAGGCATATATGAGCTGGTCAATACGACTAGAGCTGGAGCTCGTCCCTCCATGGAAGCCCACACGAGCAGTCCTTTCGAGTCTGGCTATAGTCCGCACACATCAGCACCTACTGCTCCGGCGAAGCGGAAGAAGGTGTCTACCACACCGAAAGCATCCTCGAGAGCGCGATCTATTGGAGATGTATGCGATGAACGGGCGGGCGACTTGCAGAAGTATGAATACTGCGCAGCAGCTGCAGTGGATGATGGGCACAGCGAGCTGGGTGTGTTGGCACAATCGCTAGAAGCTCCCATTGGGGAGTGGCTGTTAGGTAAGCCTCGAGCAAGATCCGTATCTTCTCCGCTCGTAGCTCCCTTCTGACCGCCTCATTTGCGTGCTGCAGTAATGGCATCTGTCTCAATTTGGCTCACTGCTTCGCAGCACTCGTCGATGGTGCCACAGAACGAGAGCGTGCTGGGACTGCGCCAAGGGATTTCAGCCCGTCTCTGGGTTCCGGACGCGAAGCCAGGACAGAAGGCTACGTGAGTGCGAACGCTACAGGAGGGTTACATGCAAAAGCTCACGCCACTTGAGACATAAATCGTGCTCAAGGGACCCTGCGAGCACCATCACTAGCTCACTGAAAGTCGAGCTCGTCAATGCCGCTTTCGCGCAGCACCCAATACTCTCTTTGCTCGTGAACAAGACAGTGAGATTGGCATCGTAGACGTCTTTGCACGCTAGCAGCTGGGCCTCTGACGATTCCTGCACTCCTCGACTACTGCCAGATCCTGCAACGCGACATGCATGATGGCAATGCAGAGCGCAATCTTGTCAATGCCATTCTGGCGGAGGGCATCGGACTGACGCTCACAGTGCAAGACCGCAGCGTGGAGTACATGAACGGAGAGGCGCTGCCCTCGCCGTCAATGCTGGCCGAGGATGCAGAGGCGGAGGTCAGACTTTCTGATGCATCGAGCGCTGCGCGAGCCTTCACGAGCGCTCAGGTAATCGTTCTGCTTGCATGGAGGTCACTCCGCCTAGACCAGCTGGGCCACGCCGTGATCTTACTCAGCGTTGCGTCAGATCTCTTGTCCTGGCTAGTCAATGAGCGCCGACTCAGACCTGCAAGCCACATGGTGCGGATCAATGGCGTTGACGTCAAAGAGGTTGAGGCAGATTTGATAGGTGAGCACAGAAGCGCACTGTCCGGTCCTTCACAGACGCAACAGCAACCCACATGAAGGCTTAATATCGTGTTCCTACCGCAGATAACATGAGATGGATATGTCATCTGGCACAGACCTTTTTCAAGTCCACCCTTGGTCATGACACTGTGACCCCGCGGCAGGGCCTCGTCGCAGCACTGGAGCCTAGCGCGCTGCCCAAAGCTAGCGCTCAGGAAAGCTCCGGCTACCTTCTGGATCGCATTGCGGGATGTTTCGCAACGCTTCCATCGCACTCCGATCAAATTTCGGCGTTGTACACCGCGGCGCAAGCGCTGGACCTCGCAAAAGCCACCATTCTGCCAGGGACGAGCGCGGCAAATCGAGGGCACCAACTTGCCAATCTCCGCAACGCCTACGCAGAGCACGTCATCCGGGCTGAGGGTCTGCTCGAACCGCGTTATAGTCTTGCAGTCACCAACACATATCAGGCTCTGGCTACTAGTCTAGTCACTCCAGTCGAAGAGGAGGAAGAGTATGCGGGCTCTGAGGTCTTGAGCGCGACTTCTAGAATCAACAGTCTCCATACAATCTTGAGCGAAGTGTCGCAAAGCAGGGTCGCCCGCCATGGGCAAACAAGGCTCGAAGGAGGCCCGCTTGGTGTGCGAGGTAGAGGCCTGGCCGCCACGATGCGATGGCTGACGTTGATGACTGCAGCACCATTCTGTCTATCAATGATGCGCTCAAATCTCAGCCTACCCTCAGAAGATTTGGCGCTCCTAAAGAGAAGTGCTGCAGAAGTGTCTAGGGCAGAAGCTGCGGAACTGACGGTTGCACAGACCTCTGCACTTGTGCATCGTCAGGAAGACATCCGAGTAAGTCCTTGCGGATTTGTGCTCAGCAAGCCGAGAGTAACTCCTATTGACTGCCTTTTGAGCCCCTTTCGCAGCGGGTGCTTGGACTTGACGAGGTCATGGCCCGCGTGACGCCGCAAGTGGGCGAGTCCGAGCCCTACACACAGCGAACCCGCGATAGGGCATCCCGTTCGCCAGACGGCAATTCCAATCATCTCACGTCTCGATGGACGTCGTCAGCGGAGCAGTCGCGAGGCACAGCTCCTTCTTCCTATCAAATTAGCGCCTCCGCATTCACTCGATCTTCGCCCCCTAGTCAGCCCATCACGCTGACCTCTACCTCACTTGGCAAGCGACCCTTTTCGCCCGCTAAGGAGTTCGAGTACACGCCAATTCACCGGGTGACTCTCTCTCAGGACAGGTTCGAACAATCGCAGCAAAGCGAAAGTAGCGCGCTAGAGGGCCAGCATTTCTCTCAGTCCCAATCTCAACGGTCACCCAGGTGGCGAGCGAGCTCACCTTCGCAACGATCATCTCCGCCCCTCGCGCCGCCGCCGCATGTGTGGAGACGAGCAGAGTCATCTGTGCAAGGTGGCAACATCAGCGCGATTCGCATGGTTGAAGACCAGTCCACTGCGAATTGCCTGGATGCGGCCAGGTCCGCGTCGTCTTCAGCTTACGCTGACTTGCCGACGAGCTCGTTGTCAAGGCCACAAGTGCAGTCGATGTTTGCCAACAGCAATCGCAACGGAAAATTGAGCCGTGCACGAGAGCGCACTAGGAGCAGGGACGCCCCGCCAGCTTCTCATCAGCCCTCGACACACCGTTCCACGCCGTCACCACCTCTGCGTACGCTCAATCGATTCGACCCCATTGTTGAGACGCAGCTGAGTAGTAGTGCGGCATCGTCGTCGCAGACAGATCAACGGCGGGAAGAGGGCGTCTGGCATGACAGCCTTGGCGATTTCGTATAGGACAGGGAGCCTGCCGCAGCTGTCTCATTCGCATCATGTCCCTCCTCGCACATGGGTGGGTGCTGCCCTGGGATGCCAAAGCCTCTCCGCAATATGCTGTCGTACTTCCCATCAGGATGTCGTTAGCCCCGCGCGGACTGCCGGATCTTATCGGACCTTGGCCTGAGGATCGTCAAATCAATGCAGTCGTGCATGTGACAAGGAAGGCGCCGCTGCGGGCGACCATCTGCAAATTTGCTGTGTTTCTCAGCAGGCAACAATCAAAATTCATGTGTATTTACGGCGAAGAAAGACTGGCCCAAGCGTCGTTCGTCATCATGTGATTCTCGAGCTGTGGTGCGAGCAGGCGTATTCGACGGAGACTTGTGGACCAGCAGCTGTTGCGCGAATCCAGACCGTGAAAAGACTGGACCTAACGCAGCGCTAGCGAGCTGACGAGCAGCCCTGCCACAGCTTTAGGCAGCGAGAAGGTGCATCGATGCCTGTGACGCACACACATGCCGGTGCTCTGTTGGGCGAGAGATCGTAAGTCTTGACTGTATGCCACGCGTATCTCGCTTTGCCACTCGATTTTGCTGCTGCTATAGTGTGGTGGCAGAGCCCTGGCAGGCACAAGAAGAGACAGACGCGCAAAGACGCGCTTATGCATTGGAGACGCGCTTCGGACCATGTGTTTTTGTGTTGAACGTGGCGCGTCGACATCGTCTGCCGCGCCCTAATCGTGTCTCCCCGCGGTCTACATGCCAATCGAGTAGCGTCGCGTTGCTGACTGCACAGTGCTGGAGCGCCTGCTCCCCGCCAGCCTGCGGCTCTGCATGCATGCAGCATGCACTTCGCGCTGCGCAGACAGCCAACGTTTGCCAGCATTCTGGCTGCTCTGAAGCCTGAAGATCTGCTGTGGGCGACGCTTGATTTGCTTGCAGCAATCTGAATTGGAATTCCAGAACCCAGCGCCATCCAGAGGCGAGCGCAGAGGAAGCATCAGTACCGTACGTGCTGAGGGGCCCGGTGCCCACGCCCGTGCGCTCGAGAACAACATCAGCGTCGTACGTGGCGGTGGCCAATGCCTCGTCGAAATGCAGGCTGCCTTGCTGGCCTTGCAGCAATTGAGCAGTGTGCTAAGACGAGCTGCTCTGGCGAAGGACGCGCGCGTACAGAGTTGCACACCTTCTCCGTCTTTTGAGCTCAGGATGGGCGGGGGCCGCGAAGAGAAACACGCGCGCGCGCTGAGGGCAGCCAACAACGGCCGGGCCGCGAGGTTGAAGAGAGGGCTTGCACCGATATTCAGCAAAAGTGTCTGCTCCCCCTCCCTGCTGTGACTGTCGATAGTTCTACCAACCTCCCCACTCCTCACCGCTATTCCACACTTCGGACTAAACAGCTCCTTGACGTCTTCGACTCGACAAACATCGCGACGAAGCTTTGCCGCCCATCTCTCAAACATCAACATCACGCTCGGTGAGGTCTGAATCCTTCCTCGAGAAAGGTGCGTTCGCTCGTCGTGAGAAGATTAGTTGCGGTCGAAGAATGAAACAATCAAGGACCGGTAGCGGGCATTGCCAGCGCGGATGGTGCGCATCATACGCTGGTGAAGCAGGTCAAACTTCGAGCGTGTGCGAGCGCTGCGATCGAGAAGATTTATTTGGTACATGTGCCATCACAGATGCTCTGCTGGAAGCGATCTCCTGACGTCTGTTTTCACCACTTTTCGCTTGGGACTCTTCTCGCCCTACTTCATCCTCGCAGCTCATCATCGCACATCAACTGACCAAATCCCCTCAGTTCCATCATGAGAGAAATTGGTGAGTACCTTTCCAACCTGCTGAGCTGGGATCGAGTGGGTGCGAGAAGGGGAACGTGAATTTGGAAAGTACACAGACGAATACACGTATCAGACCCTGCGTACGCGTACAGGGTCAGACAGGGTCAGACGTTTCCGATGATCAACCAAAAGGCGAAGCCGACCTGGGCGTGCGAGGAAATGCATCTCCTTTGCAACGCGGCTCCCGGCTGCCTGTCTCGCAACCACAAGGCGATCTCCATCGGATCGTTCGGGAGATTGAAGTGCAGTGAAGTGTGGGGGATGGCGCCTGTCGGGCTTGCATGCTAAAAGTCGGTCCTCTTCTTGTTTGCCTGAACAGTTCACCTGCAGACCGGCCAATGTGGTAACCAAGTTGGTGCCAAGTTCTGGGAGGTGCTTTCGGAGGAGCACGGCATCGACCAGACGGGTGCCTACCACGGTACCACCGATCTCCAGCTCGAGCGCATCAATGTGTACTAGTGAGTCGATGGCATGAGGCGAGCAGAGCGTCTAGAAGACGCGAACATTCACTGCCAGCTGACCTCAAACGCCTTCCATGCATTCCTGCTCGCAGCAATGAGGCCGCTGGAGCCAAGTACGTTCCTCGTGCCGTGCTTGTGGATCTTGAGCCAGGAACGATGGACTCTGTGCGTTCGGGCCCCATGGGTGGAATCTTCCGTCCCGACAACTTCGTCTTTGGTCAGAGCGGTGCTGGTAACAACTGGGCCAAGGGTCATTACACTGAGGGTGAGTAGCATTTGGGCGTGCGAAGATCGCTACCTTCCAAGCCTTTGCTGCAGAGGCAGCGCGAGGTTCCTCGTCCATCTGCGTTACGGGTCCGTCGCACTTGACAAGCCCCCTCAGACAAGCACGAGGTGGTGCTGCTGAAGGAAGGATGTTGTCTAGGCGCATGATCAGCACATTTGTTGGAGAGTCGAGAGGCTGACAAGGCGATGCTCTTGATACATGGCAGGTGCTGAGCTGGTCGACTCCGTTCTCGACGTCGTGCGCAAGGAAGCTGAGAACTGCGACATGCTGCAAGGTTTCCAGATCACCCACTCTCTCGGTGGTGGTACAGGCGCCGGTATGGGTACGCTCCTGATCTCCAAGATCCGCGAGGAGTTCCCAGACCGTATGATGGCCACTTTCAGTGTCATGCCGTCGCCCAAGGTCTCCGACACCGTCGTTGAGCCCTACAACGCCACCCTTTCTGTTCACCAGCTCGTGGAGAACAGCGACGAGACTTTCTGCATTGACAACGAAGCTCTTTACGACATTTGCTTCCGTACCCTCAAGCTCTCTACACCCAAGTACGGTGACTTGAACCACCTCGTGTCCGTCGTCATGAGTGGTATCACCACCTGCTTGCGTTTCCCTGGTCAGCTCAACTCTGACTTGCGCAAGCTGGCTGTCAACATGGGTGAGCTTATTGATGAAAGTAAAGCTTGCCAGGTCTAGGGAGGTGTTGACCCTCGCTTCTATTCTCGCTCCTTTCCTGTCTCTTCTAGTGCCATTCCCTCGTCTGCACTTCTTCATGGTTGGCTTCGCTCCTTTGACCGCTCGTGGCAGCCAGCAGTACCGCGCTGTCTCGGTCCCTGAGCTTACCTCTCAGATGTTCGACTCGAAGAACATGATGGCCGCATCTGACCCCAAGCACGGTCGATACCTGACTGTCGCCGCCTACTTCCGTGGAAAGGTCTCCATGAAGGATGTCGAGGACCAAATGCAGTTGATGCAGACGAAGAACAGCTCCTACTTCGTCGAGTGGATTCCCAACAACTGTCTCACTGCTCACTGTGACATTCCTCCTCGTGGTCTCAAGATGTCTGTTACCTTCATTGGCAACAACACCTCCATCCAGGAGTTGTTCAAGCGTATTGCCGACCAATTCTCCGTCATGTTCCGCAGAAAGGCTTTCCTCCACTGGTACACCGGAGAGGGTATGGACGAGCTTGAGTTCAACGAAGCCGAGAGCAACATGCAAGACCTTATCGCCGAGTACCAGCAATACGAGAACGCCACCACTGAGGAGGAGCTCGATGAGGGTGTCTACGAGGAGGAGGTCGTTGAGGAGTAGGCGTGACGTGTGACGTTGAACCACGCCGCGAATGGAAGTCGGCTCCCTGGCGAAGAAAAAGGTAGATTTGCCTCCCTGGTCTTTTATACAGCGATCGTCACTGGTCCCCCCTTTGCCGCGCTATGGCGGATCTCATCCCGTCATCAGCCTGAGAGGATGCGTTTCGCCTTTTTCTTGATCTAACACTTCTGCATCCCCCTCGTCTGCACCTTTGCGATCTCGTTCTGGCTCAGAAAAGTGTTACAAAACCTTACCTAGTTCAACCACCCTTTGTTCCCTTCCCTGGTCGCTGAGATGTCCGAATCGATCCCCCTTCACATGACTTGCGTGAGCTGGAGACAATTGCACATCGCCTCGCCAATTCGCGCGAAAGATGATACTTGACTGTCACTTGCAGTCTGTCGACCCAACAGGGCCATGTCATCGAGCTAGCCAGACAGCGATCCAACTCGAGAGCCACATCGCAGCTCGGTGCTGCACTGCGCGCATCCCGCTGGGGGCGCTGGGGAAGCAAGCAGCCACTGCAAAGTGTGAGAGGAGAGCGTGATTTGCGGACTCTCTTGCAAAGTTGTTGGGCGCTTCAAGCAGGCGGGGGGCGTTGCGCTCCGTGGCTCGTACCCTCGGCTCGGGCCTTTGCAAGAGGCCATGCATGCACGATGCACGACTCTTGACAAGCACTACCACTACTAGCTCGATTCGCATCTTTCAAGAGAGTACCTCTTCCCATTTGCGCACATCTTTGGTTCGCAGCCTCTATTCAACCTGGCGCGCAAAGGGACCGAACAGTCCCCACGGCGAGGCTCGGGGCATAGGCTGTTCGTGCTTTGCAGGCTTTGGCTCCACACACCACACTATGCAAGCTCTACGGGGATCCAAATGTCACATTCCATTCATCGTCTAGATTTTCATGCAGGGGTAAGTGTCAAAGTGAGACGACCTTGATCGAAGTCCGAGCCGGATTCTTGGCGCAATGTGATAAGATGCAGATCCTATCCTGCAGTTCGTGTGGCTGCCCCCTTACATTTTGCCAGAGACGTTTGCGACATTGGTCTTGGGCCACTCGTATCCATCACTGACACGAAGAAGGTGGGGAAGCACACGAGGATTCAACGTTTGACTATGACCAGGTTTCTGAGGCCAGTGACCGCCAACGATCACACTGCAACTCACGATCGTCTGTATCCGTACTTTGCCAAGAACTCGTTGAGCTCGGAAGGACCTCGGCTTCCATAAGGGTACGAGCTGACTTGCACCTTGCCGGCGTCAATCGCATGCAAGATAGGGGTGAAGATCTTCCATGACGCGTCCAGCTCGTCGTCTCGAACAAAGTTGCTGTGATCGCCGTTAAGCGCGTCGAGGATAAGCGCTTCGTATGCTTCTGGAATGCGGATGTTCTGCGAGGCATGCAAGGCACGGGTATGGTCAGCTTTGATGCCACTCGAAAGTAAGGCGCTACACCTCAGTCTGTCAAGCTCTCACCTCAAAGCGCTGCTTGTACGTGAGGTCCAGATCCGCGGGCAAAGAGCTTGAGAACGAGCCCTCCAGACCCGGTGTCTTTGCGTTGATCTTGTAGTACACTGCTTCATTGGGCTGCACTCTGAGTACGAGCTCGTTGCGAGCAGCACCCTTCAATGGGCCCTCTGCATCCTTGTACTGCACTCGAATTGACACCTGGCCCTCGTCAAGTGCTGCAAAAGTGGAGCCGAGCATCCTGCGTTAGTCGCCATCGAGGCGCACACATCTCTCCACCAAGTGTTGCTCACCCTTGCCTGCCTTCAGGACAAAAGGCACACCCTTCCAGCGCTCGTTGTTAACCCAGAGGACGAGCGCAGCGAAGGTGGGGCAGTTGCTGTCCTTTGGCACAGTGTCATCATCCTTGTAGCCGGGCTTTCCATTGGCAGCCGAGTACTGGCCAATCAGCACATCCTTCGCATCAATAGGAGGCACAGACTCCAAAACTTTGACCTTTTGGTCTCGGATGTCTTCAGCTCCCAATGACTTTGGCGCATCCATGGCCAGCAATGACAAGACCTGTGTCAAGTCTGGTCAAGCAGGCAAGAGTTACGCTCGCATGAGCATCCTGCCAATGGCTCTGTGCACGGTTGCCGGGAGATGCAGCCTCTCACGATTTTGCTGAATGTCACGAATGATTCCAAACTCGTCAAAGTAGCCTCCTCTACCTTCAGTACCAAAAGGCTCCTTGAATGTGATCTGGACATTGTCGACAAATTTGTTGTTCAGACCCACATCCACCACTGGATTTCCGAAGCGCATGACCAGCAAGTTCTTGACCATCTCTTTGCCAAGGTAGTGGTCAATGCCTTTATTGCAGCCGTGATGAAGACGATCAGCACTGGCATCCGGCGCAACATTCCGCAAACGAGCATGTTGTGCAAAAATGGCACCACTGCCACTCGCTTCCATCACGGGTGATCACTCACGGAAAGTCTCTTCCTCTTTCCACAAATCCTTCAGCTTGCCCATCATCTCGCGACTGCTTTCCAAATCCTTGCCAAACGGCTTCTCAATGACAATCCTGTTGTTTCCCTGTTCGACGTAGCAGTTCTTCTTCAATCCAGCAGCGACGACAGTAAAGACGTTGGGAGGCAAGGCCATGTAGAACAATCTGTTTGTGCTCTTTCCCTTGTTGTCCTTCTCGATCTTTTCCAATTCAGAATTGAGATTCGCAAAGGCCTTGTCGTCATCGTAAGCACCCGGGATGTAGCTGGACAAGGACAAGAATTTCTTTTTTGCCTCTGCGCCTTCGCCCGAGTCGGCATCTTTGAAGTATCCGCTGGCCTTTTGGTGGAACTCGTCATTGCTCATCTTTGTGCGTGCATAGCCCACAATCGTCGTGTTCTTTGGCAACAATCCTAGACGGAACAGGTTGAACAGAGCTGGAAAGGTCTGCAGAGAGAGGTGAGGCGACCATGGTAAGTGAGTCAGTCAGTCTGCTGCTGCTGATGTGCAAGCACTCGAAGACAGCAGCCGAGTGGCACAGCGCACACACTCACCTTCTTCTTGGCCAGATCACCGGATGCACCGAGGACTGCGAGCATTTGTAAAAGAGCGCATACAATAGTGTCAACTTCATCATTGCTGGTCCACCACGCCTCACGAGGCCATGGTCCATCTCGCAACCTATCCTGACGCTTTGCAGCCCAGCTCATCTCTACAGCGGCCGTATCGGTCAAAGGACTCACCGACAATGACAGTGTCCTCGGTGAGCTGGCTAGCCGAAGACGACATCTTGACTGCGAGTACTGATGAACGATGAGCAGCGGTTCTGTGTGTGGGATGCTCGTTGACCTGCGATACTGCTGTGATGATCGTGAGCGGGAATCGATTCACGATGATCGATATGCACTCGATTGTACGAACCGAGGACAGTGGAGAGATGTTTGTATGCGCTCACACTCGGTCGAGATTGCTAGCTGCATGGGACCACGCATCGGATGCGCTCTGCCATCGACCGGCTTGCGTGCGGACATCAGAGAGTTTGCTATAGACATATGCGGTAATCAGCTGCTGCTGCTGCTACGCCGCCTAGCTGCTGTTGCATCAGCAGACCAGAAGCGCGCACGGTTCGATTTCGCTGGGGCAGTCAGCAGCAGCATCAGTCGATCATGCTGCTGCTGTCCCTCCCTCTGCTGCTGCTGCTGCCGGCTGAGACGAGGACGCGTGCACGCGCGCGCGCGTGTCGGCGGCTGCTGGCCCGCGCGCGTATGCTCCCTCGCTCGTCCTGCTTCTGCTGAGCGCAGCCTCTGCACTGCGCCCACTGCCTGCGCGCAGCGTGTGGAGGTTTTGGGTAGACATCAACGAGCGCGCCCGGTGCGCCGCGTCTGCAGCATGCAAAGCTGTGCTCGCTTCTCGCTTGCTTGCCACGCTTGCGGCTGCTGATATCTGCTGATGAGATCGATGCGTGAGAGAGCCTACACTCAAGACTGCAATCGTGAATTTTTGTCGCTCTCTCGCTCCAATCCTGAATGAATCATTTTCGCGGAGTCTTCGGCCGCACCTTTCCGATCGCACGTGAGACTGTAGAGAGCAAGTGCATTGCCCCATTAAAAAAGTCCCCCATGCGCCGATGATTTCTTCAAGTTCTTTGGTCGGCCTCATCATGCCATATATGCTGGCCGCGCGTCGCACCAAGTCACACAGCAGCAGCAGCAGCAGCAGCAGCAGCAGCAGCAGATGTGATATGTGATGTGATGCGCTGCCTCGGCAATCGAATTTTACAGCATCGACGACGACGATGACCGCGCAAACTCGTCGCATGGGCTTGCCTATAGCTGGCCGCGCGCGCATCGATCGAGCCCTAGGCTGCGGCTCTTGCATCAGCGGCGGCGGGCAAAGGGGAGCCAACATATATGCATGCAGCAGCCTATATAGCTGCTTGCTCAGATACGCCGTGGCGCAGGACTGCAACGAACTCTCGACCGCTTTTGCGCACCGGTAGGCACCGCACCATCAACGCAAATCGTAAATCACGAGTGATGACGCGCGGGCGCACACGCTGTATATGTACGGTACGTGTAGTCATAAGAGCCGCTCAAGAGAGATTGCCGGTGGTGCGAATCTTGAATGGTGGGTGATATCTCCGCGCGTGGACCCCGTACGTGTTCTCCCATCAGCAACAGTCGTGAGTGGTCATTTCTCTCATACGCACGGCTTGATAATCACGAATTTGCCCAATCAAATCCGCACGTTGCGTCTCTTACTGGCCTTCAAGAGTCTAGGCAGACATTTTTGCTCTGCGGTCAGACGTCGACGTCTTGCGCAGAAACGCTGCGCACTCGTCGTCCGGCTTGCTGTCATGTGTGTGCGGAGCACACACGGGTACGCCATAGACGGCCAACCCCGCAAATCGGATTCGGCAAGGCTGCGCCACGCAGACGTCAAGCCAGCTTTTAGCTGACGCGATCTTCGCTCTCGTCTCACCAAAGCAAGCGCGCCATGCCTCCCCGGGCGCCCATTGAGTACAATTACACCCATTGTGTGGCTGGAACCTTACTGGACTGTAGAGTACAAATGTAGAAAAGCAGGTGTATGAAGGGTCCAGCTCAGGACATGCTCGAGTGCGACGTCGTCTTGCGGTCAGAGGCGTCGTGATCAGCAGTTGGTTGATTCGATGCGAGGCCTTCCTCTTACGCGACGCCATATCACGAGACGGAGGCAGTCGTTGAAGCTTCTGGGTCAGTGGTAGCAGCCCGAGTCGCCGTGACCGAAGATTCGCCAATGTCAAGCGTGTGATTATCACCTCCAGCAGTTGGACCCTTGACGACAGCAACAAGCACAGAGACGTCATCTGTAACGAGCGGAAGAAAGACTCAGCATCGACATGAAAGAGAATGGCGTAAAGAGCCCCGCGATGATGCCGGATGCGGCTAGAAACGAAGACTCACCGAGCTTCCCGCCGACGTAATGAAGACCTTCATCTGTCGCCGCGCATTGGAAGGGTGAAGTGACTGCTCGAGGGTCTGACGAGGCAACAGTAGGAGAAAGTAGTCAGGCGAGATTACAGAGATACTTGGGCGCGACACGCGCGTGACTCACCTTCAGCAATCTGCTTTGCTCTCAAGCAAAGCGCCTCGCTAACATCTTGCGGTGAAAAGTCTGCTGGCAGAGGGTTCGCTGCCGCACTCGAGTTCTGCTCGCCTTCAACTCCGCTGCCTGATACTTCGCCCACTTGAGAGACAGGAATGAAACGTAGGACTTCTTCCAAGACATCCTCGTCGAAAAGGTTATCGAAGCAGCCATCGCTACCCACGATGAGCAAGTCGCCCGGTTGCACACGAAGCTATGGGAGATGAAGCGCAAGAATCGTGAGTCGTCTCGACTTCACGTCGAGGAAAGGCGACGCGACACTCACGCTGTATCTGCCAGCATCGCGACGTGGCTCGTCCCACTCGAGACTACCGTCAGCCGCTCTACTACCCTTCTCTCCGCGCGCAGACTGCTTGCCTTCGCCTTTGGCAGACAGCTCCTCTGGATAATCGTAATCGTCAATCTCCAACTCCGGCTCGCTCAGGGAGGATCCAGTTCCACTGCTCATCATGCCGAGCTGCAAGGGGTAGTTGAAAGAGTGCTGCTGCTCTTCCGATCGGAACACCATGGTGCGCTGCGAAGGTCTGATGACCAGCGCCACGCAGTCGCCCACATTTGCAATGCGCAGCTCATCCTCTCGCAAGATGGCAATGAGCGCAGTGGAGCTTCCCTTGATGCCTTCCCTTCGCGATGCTCGAATGCAGCGACGCCAAGCTCGATGCATGATCTCGACAGGGTCGATTGATGTCCAAGCAGCTAGGGCCTCCCCGTTGTTTGCGGTCAATTCAGCCGCCGACAGGTGATCGTATCGGGACAGTTCGACAGCACAAAAGTGCATCAAAAAGCGCGAGAACAGCGCAGGATCCGCACCTGCTCTCGTACCCCACCCGCCAACGCCGTCTGCAATTCCGAGAGAGTCCTGGAAAGAATAAAGCAAAAGACGAAATGTGAGCACATTGACGGTAATGCACCAACTGTCAGGGTTTCATATTCGTACTCACTGGTCGGAGGAAATACGCATCCTCACCAACCTGCACACTGCGGAGGCGGTCACGAATCACACGCCCGTCAGCGTCCCTAATGCACCTTCGATTCCCTGTGCCGTTCTCTGCCCGACTCCAAAAAGCTTCGTCTCCCTGAGCAGTGCTTCCCCCGCTGAGCGCCGCGCGTCTAGCCTCGACGGCATCCACAGGCCCGAGACCAGGTTCGGAGGGCACGCTGGAGCCAGTGAGGAAGTCCCCCATTTGAGCAAGCTGACTACGAGGTGCTTGCTCTCTACCTTTGCCTTTGCGACTGGCAGACGACGAGGTGATGGCGCTAAGCGGGTGACGCTTTGGAATTCCGTACGCTCCGTGCTCCAACGTGTAGTCGTGCCGCTGAGACCGGGGCGCTTGGAAAGCCCGTTCCCATTCGGATTGAAGCTCGTGGTGACCTGCTGAAGCACTGCTCGAGCTCGCAGGCGCGCTCGGCGGACTGCTAGAGAGAGCGCTTGGCGCATCTCCATCCGTACTGCTGCCAGTCGCGCGAGCAGGCTGCATCGACTTGCCCGAAGGCACATTGCCGTCGCGCGCCGGCGGTGACTGAGCTGGGCCGGGAGAAGGAGGTGGCGTGAAGCTTGGCGAGCTGCCTTGAGGTACTCCATCGGCCGCACTGTGGAATGACGAGGTGGCGGCGCCGGTCAAATTGGGCGGCAGCTGGGCGAAGAAGTCGAGTTGCCCAGAGCCACCGTCAGACAAATCGGCATCCACGTCAGACGCAACCGAAGACGTGGGTTGACCTGCATTCACAGCTGCAGCGCTGCCCTTCAACAAGTCGACGAAGTATCGATTGACTGCGGACGCTTCTGAAGATTTGCCAGGCGAGTTGTCATCTCTAGCACGCGAAAGCGGACTTCCTGTCACGCGCAAGACATCTGCACCGTCTGTCTGAGCTTTAGCTCTGAGGCGTTTTGGGTGTGCGTGTTTGGTTCCGTGGGCTTTGCCGTGCATGCTGCTTGGCGGTAAAGCGGGCGCACTGGTCGAGGCGATACCACCTGGTGCGGCTGCTTGGCTTGACACGCTGAAGTAGCGGCGCATGGGTTGTGGAGCTAAAAGAGTAGAGCGCCGACTAGCACTGACAGCATGTGCATGATTGACCAGAGCAGCGTAGGGGATCAATGCTTGTGATTGCAGTGATAGATTGCTTCTGCCGAGGCCTGGGGAGTTAGTTGAAGAAGCTGAGAGCAAGCTGGAGCTCTGCGAAGCGCTGCTGGTTGGTGTGACGTCCGCTTCAACGACAGCTCGTGGCTGTGGACCAAAGAACGGCGCGCTCACTGCCCCAGGCACCTCGTTGCCCGTAGCGATATGCGAATTGGTGGAGGTCGCGGATGAATGGGAGAGGGAAGAAGGGCTGGGAGTTCCAGCAGCAACGACGGGAGCACTTGAAGCTGCGTGAGATGATTGAGGCGTACGCTGAAGTCCGCTCATGGCGAAGCCGGTGTGGCGAGAGGAGGCATGATGAGCGCCAAAGCTCGCTGCTCTCAACGTCCTACCGCTCGAGCTGGCCGTGGCCCGAGACCATAGATGTTGTGGGGGAAGCTTGGACATTGTCACTGCGCCTAGCCTAGCTGGCAAACACAGATGATCGGCAAGTAATGATGTCCAAAATTTCTACTGTGGATGTAGCAGCGTCGATGCCCTACATCCACCCTCGGCTTGCACGCTTGACGCGCCGTGGTCCAATGCTGCGTTGTGTCGCGAGCGGATAAAGACTTTAGACAATTGCGAGCAAGTTTGTAGAGATGTGGATGCAAAGTGGTGGCCGGTGAGAGTACCCTTGGACAAAATTCTAATCCCGAAGACCGAAGCGCCCAATCCACCCCTCGATCCTGAGAGCGGGCGCGTACACCTTTGAATACACGCGATGCCCCGAGGTGATGCGGCGCGACGGCGGTGTGGGGATCGGGTAATGTCGGACGAAGTCCAGGCGAGCGCAAGGCAAAAAAAAAAAGCCGATTCTGTCCTCAAGAATAGAGGGCTGAGAGAGTGACGAGGATGGTGAATGGGCGCAATGTGCGACGTTGTGAGGAGCATACCGTCGACTCGAGCTTCATTCCCAATAATTGTTACTGCGCGAAGCACCGTGCCTGTGATGGATGGATGCGTGCAATCAGCACGAATGCTGAATGCGATGTGCCATGGCAAGGCGTGCATGGATTTGAGAAGCTGCAAACTCCCAAAAGGTCCGCGAGCCGATTCCTGGGGTACAGCAGCAGCTATAAGCTGTGGCAGTTCCGCATCAGTTGCATGGCAGCTACACAGCGGCCGCGGCGCGATCAAAGGGAGACTACAGGGCCGCGGGGGAGGGCGTGCACGCGCGCGCCCGCGAAATATGGGATCGAGCCGCGCCGAGCCGCGCTTGTCGACCGTCGTGTCGTGCACGCACGCACTTCATCAGCAGCAAGAAACACCGCATTCGTGATTTGGCGTACGTGGGCCGCCGTCGCGGATGCATGCTGCTGCTGATGCTGGTGCTGATGAGAGACACGTACTGTACATGCTGCACGCGCATCGCTCGCAGCGTGAATCTGCTCGCCTCGTGCTGAGCTGCATGCATATGCTGAGGTATATATAGACGCGCGATCAGAAGGATCCCATGCTGCGTGCTGAAGCGAGCGTAATTATGTGTGATGTGCCCGCCTTCTCTTCCCCTTTCAGGCACCGCCTTATCGCAGCCTCCGCGACCCTTTGACGGTATTTTGACTTGTTTTGCATCAGCAATGCGCTGCCACTCCCACCTTCACTCTGACTTGACAATCATGCGCCAATAAGTCATTCGCCATCTGAGCCTATCAAGAAGACGCTCAGGTCTGCTGTAGAAGAGAAAGGTGGCCGCACATGAAGGTGGCATACGAGACATCACAATCAAGAATCTTGAATTGGACTCGAGTTTCTCTACACAGCGAGGTTTTCGAGGGCATGCAGGCATGCATGACGCGTGAGCTGCATGGCCTCCTCTCTGCACGCCACTTTTTGTTTTGGCTGGTGATAGGCTGGCGGTAAGCACAAGTCAAAGCTGAATTATCCACAACTACCATTTGAAATAAAGTGACGTCAAGGGTCACATTTATCTCATACTTGAAATCAATAATATCATCGCTCGACCCGCTGCCTTACACAAAGACTTAGGCTCAAGACCCTCAAGTTTTGGCTTCAGGATTCACTGATTTTGACCTCGAATCAAGTTGAGATTTCTTCACAGCCACGCACGATAGCATTCAAGAATCAAGTCGAAAGTCTCGTGTCTTGACGGCTCCTCTTTCATTCAAGAGTCCTGCTTCTTGATCGCTCAAGACTCGGGTTATGGGGAAGATTAAGAGGAGTCTGAACTCAGGAACGGACTCAGCGCACAGCATTCAAGAGGTTCTCCGCCGCGTCTCTTGCATTCGAGTCGGAAGTCACAGTCGAGTGTGGATTCAAGCGTGCATCTAGCGGAGACCACAGCAACGAACAAGGCCGCTCGCACGTCTTTCGCCACCAATCCATATCGTGCCTTTGGCTTTGGGAAACAAGCGCGGCCGAGCAGCGAATCGGGATGAAGCTTTCGTGTGGTAGCAATGCCTGCTCTTCACTGCGAAACCTCTGACCGCAAGGCGCAAAGGCAGGTGGCGGGAGCATCGACTCAGAGTGCTGCACATGTTCAAGGCAGACTACCTTCAGCTACCTCTTCTCTGCGCGTGCAGCTCCCTTCGACACCAAGCGATCATCAAGATCGACGAGCTTCGAGCTCATCATCGACGCTCCTCGCTGCGCAGCAATCACAACCTGAATACGATCAGGGCCAGTCGGACGCGGCAGTGCTTACCTCCTCCATCCTTGCAGCTCAAGTAGAAGCGCGTTCCCAGCTCTACACGCACGAGAAGCTGGTTGATGGAGTCTCTTCAGACATCCTACGACAAATGCTCACCGTCGGACGTCGTTTCGTCCCACCAGACGATCAGAGCGACTCCACGCATGAAGAAGCTCCGGAAGGCAATTTTGGAAAGATTATCCGTTCCCTGTTCTTGGCGGTCTTGGAAGAGAGGCACGCCTTGGCACTCTGCGCTTATCCAGCTTGCAGATCCACACCGTGTCGTCCACGCCGCCCAGCTGACAAGTATGGCTCTTCGTCCCGCTCTCCATCGTCGTACCGCATCAACCGGCACACGCACTCCATCGAGCCCGAAACGAGGCTCGAAGTGGGAGGAGCGTGGACCTTTTGCTCGGATGCTTGTTGGGCGAGAGCTACGTGGATCAGGCGCTGGATACTCGGCGATGATGGGCACGATCAGCCTTCCGGTCAGCCATCCAACTTGCTGCTCGGCGGCAATGCGAGCGGTGGCAGGTGGGAAGTCTGTGATGATACCCAGCAAAGTATAGAGTTGCTCGAGGATCTGGAAGCAAGAGGCGAAGTGCAATTGCCCGCGGGCCAGTCTAGCACTGTGCCCATACAACAACAAGAGAACAATCTGTCAGAATCGCCCTCAACCAGAGAGGCACGAGAAGCGGATAGACTCGTGCGCAGCAATACGGCTCGCAATGCAAGTGCCAATGCGCTCGCATCTCGAGCAACAGCCACTCCACTTCCTCCGCGCTCTGACAGACCGCGTAATCCAAAATTGCCGAGAGGGATGTCTACCGTGCGAAGAACACCACCAAGGGGCCGTGCAGGCATTGCAACAGCTTCAGAGATGACAGCAACAGGCGCGTCGACCGCTGCTGGAAGCAGCAAAGGCGAAGATGCGGGAAGCGCCCTGCCGCAAACCTCTCAGAGTGTTCGAGATGTACGCTCGCCGACCACACGAATCTCGCGAGGTCCCAATTTCGAGAGACCCGAATCCACACTGCTGCTCGTCAGCCGCAATGAACCCAAGGACGTCTCTTCCATATTTGGCGATCTTCGCATTGTAGAGCGTGGAAGGGATCCACAAGAAGCTACGGTCGGATTGTCCCAGCACCTAGCAATTTCCGACGGGGAGGGTAAGCGTGGAGCGGGTGACGAAGCTCAAGAGCCTTTGCAGGGCGCAATGCGTCCTCCCAGTGTACGAGCGCAGGAGGAGGAGGAGGAGGAGGAGGAGGAGGAAGAGGAGCTGGAGAAGATGTTGGCCAGCCAAAGAGCGGAGGAAGAACGAGGCGCTTTGAGCGGGCATACCAGCGAGGATCTGTGGGACTTCGCAAAGCTGGCTCGCAAACAGATGAATGAGGAACCGAAAAGGGAAGACGTTCCGTAGACAAGTGCGCAAGAGACACTGCACAATAGAATTGTGGATGCATCAGTTGCTTGCGTGAGAGTGTGCGCAAAGTGCAGCCTCGATGAGCTACGGTCATCACATTTACAAAAGAGGGACCCTACACAGAATCGATGTCTCAGGCGTGATGTGTGCGCCCCAAGGGTGACCGCGCGATGCCTGACACTTACGTTGCGACCTCAACAAGCACATTGACAGTTCAGGACTCGAGCCGTTCAAGTGTGTGGAGCACAGTATGGCATTGCGTGTGACGACAGTGGCCCGCTGAAAATGGACTGACATAAAAAAAAGCCCGCCGTCTCCGAAGAGACGACGGGCAGAAGGAGTTTCTGAATGACGACACTACTCTTTGAATAGTCATGAGAAGTAGTAGTAGTAGTCGGGGGTTGCCATTCAATCAAAAAAAATGGCAAAAAAAAAAAGCCCGCCGCCTCCGAAGAGGCGACGGGCTAGAAAAAATAAAGGGTTAAACCTTTTTTTTTTTTGGAGATGAAAAAGTCAAAGGGTTTGAAACCCATTATAAGGGGGAACAGTCCAACCTCTTAATGTTGAGAGGCGTCGGAGTGAGACTGCTTTGTCGATGTTGTCGAGTTGTTCTAATGCCACGTCGTGTCGAATAGAGGAAGAAAGAAACGAACGATACAAATACAATGGCCCACCAAGGATCGGGAGAAACCGCGAATTATGGGGAATCGCCATGCCGAAACCACGAAACCAAAAGCCGAATCCGATCCTCCCTCTGC